AGGTGAGGCGGTCAGCAGTGCATGGATAGAGTTCATCTTCTCAGCAAAAGGAACAAATTCGGTGAGGGGAAGCCCACCAATTAATTCGTGGACCGGCAAAGAGGAGAAGTCGATCCGTTGACCCAAAACAATCGGATCGGTGAATAGTTCTTCATCAAGTCTCTGTTTCCCTTTGCCTTTCTCAGGCGATTGAGAACCAGAGTCTGGCTTCGATGCATCGGAATTTCCAACATTCTCAAAGCCTGAGCTTCCTGCAGGAGTAGCGTTAGCGTTAGCCATTTTTGAGCTTGCAAAAGGGTCAGTTGGAATGTTCGTTTGATAAAGGTGGACCCCCCAATGTCCACCAATGTTATGGACTGGGATTGCTAACTTACCGAGTACTTACCTAGTAACAACCGTTGGTAGTTACAGCCGTTTTCAAAACTATGCGGAATCGCGAGAAAAACGAAAACGCGCCTCGGGGTCTGACACCGGCGCTCCGGGGGTCCAGATAAGATAAGACCCGGGGCGCCCGTGCCTATTCCGGCATCGCTGCGTGTCCACGTCGTGTTCGTAAGATCGCTCTGTTGAAGAAAGAGGTTTCAGGCTTAGTAAGCCCAGTGGCAGTGAAGGACTAAAGAGTGAGTGAACAGACCAGTCCCAAAAGGGAAGATCCTATGCTGGCAGGCAGAGGAGAGGATGAAGGATTGTTGTCATTACAGGGCAAACCAGCCCAGTATATATACACATTTGATACAGGTCACATGCTGTATCAGTGGTTCATCAGTAAGCACTAAGTCCGATGTTTTGGGGATATGAGTAAGCTGGTAAGCACCATGAGTAAGCCAAAACTCGGAGTTTGATGTGGAGAGATATATGAAACGTGACGGAACATCAGGAATAATATGAGACATGATGGAACATCAAAGAGTGATATAGGACGTGATGGGACATCAAGGAATGATATGGAACATCATGGAACAAAGGAATGTCGTGGAATATCATAGAATGATCCGGACTAAAGTCACATGACGTAATCTAGGCAAAGTCCATCAAAGAACGTATGTAATCTGACATTGCAGAACATAAGTCCATATTTGTACATAACTGATAAGATAAGAACACTGAAAACTCGGAAGTTCAACACGCTCGTTGCAGTGACCTCGCCCTTGCTCACCATCGCTCACCTCCATCGCACGTCGCCTCCTGAACTATGTCTTCTCCTGCACCCCCTCAACTGTCTCCCCCATCGAGCCCTGAACCGCCAGCAGCACACACCGTCAATTGTCATGCCGTCATGATCAGTTATGTCAAGCCTGACAAGGCTGGGAAGAAAGGGAAGTCTTTGACGGTGTCGAAGAAGCACGAGCGGACGAAGGAGTTTGCATTTGCTCCGAGCAGCATGACATACCTTGTCTTCTTGCAGAAGGCTCTGGATAGCCATGGCTTGGCGAAGTATCAGGTCTCTGCGATGCGCAATTGCTTTGCATTCTGATACAACCACAAGCCAATGACGTGAGTATTAACATTGCCTGCTTGTGGGATAATCTCTCATTTGAGCATTGTAGGAAGACCAACTTCCTTGACGTTGACACAGAGAAGGAGTATAAGGAGCTCTGCAAGAAGCTCACGGCAGACAAGCCCAACATCTCGTCGCTCAGGATCACGTTTGAGCTCAGTGAGGTTGAGAAGAAGTGTGTCCGCATGGTATGTTGTTCTGCTTCATATCAGAGGCATTTCATGACGCCTTGCAAGGGCAATCGTGATGATGGAGGCGAGAGTGATGGCAGGAGTGCCCAGTTGGATGACGATGAGGATGGCACTACGGGAAAGGTACGTCGGTGGCTGTGCATCTCTAGCATTCTTTATTCATCTCTCTTGTAGCGGCTCCGTGAGGAGGACATCAGTGACCATCAGCGGCGCTTGGCTGAGAACCGCTTGAAGCTCATGAAGCAATGGGGTAACAAGAACACCGGCGAGGTGAACTTCATCCGCCCGGACGGCAGCACTCTGCTGTTGACACCCACACTGATGCGCACATGGTGCGAGGCTATAGTAAGTTCATGTCCTATATCAGAGACAACATAACTGACAAGGATTAGGTTGAAGCAAAGGCGAGCATCTACCAGCCTCCACCGGTGCAGCCGTTCATGGCGGCTATCAATTGTGTGAGCCTCAGTTCAGTGTCCATGCCTGTCCCAGCCCCTGTTTCAGCCCCTGTGGCTCCAGCACAGAGCAATGTCAGCGCTATGGCAGAGATACTGCGGCTGGTGGTCGGTTCCAAGGCATCATCGGAGGTTCCGCAGACGCCTCAGAAACGTCACAAGCGCCCTCCGAGTGCCTCGGACATTGACCATTTCCTTGCGTACCTGGGGACTCATCCTGAACATGGGAATGTAGACCCGTGGCAGCTCCGTGACCTGCTCAATGAGACAGAGGCTGGGCCTGACGTGCTTGCCCAGCTTGAGCTTCGGGATCTCATGCATAGTCCAATGAAGCTCAAGCTAGGCAGTGCCCAGCGTCTGAAGCTGGGTGCTCAGGCATGGCTTGCTGAACCTGATGGCTCCCGGAAGATTCCTCGCCTTGACATTCCCAGTGCCACTCACTCGGACTTACTTTGATGGCTTCTGGGTCACGTATTGTGCCTGAGCCTGAGGAAACTGTCCGTCTTGTCAAGTACAAGCATAAGTTTGCTGACGGTGGAGGCCGGCACTGGAGTGGACCACCCCCTAGGCGCCTGGAGGAGCGTGAGGATCCACCAGACAGGAAAGGTGATACGGTGTGGTACTTCAGTGATATCCTACAAATATGGGTTGAGGTTCCAGTAGGATTTGTTGAACAAGGGGATGAGGGAGATTGGTTGTAGATTTTATAGTAGTGACCATGCCTGCATTACAGTATCCATATTGGTGTCTCTGTGAAGCTACATGTAGCCAGATGCCCTATACCATCCTGCAGCCATTTGTGGAGTAATCCCTATGCATGCCTGAGCAATTGTCAACAGCAAATCATCTTTGTGGCGCCGGATTGCCGCCTTGATTGACGAGAATGCATTCTCAATTGGGTTGAGATCTGGCGAGTACGGTGGGAGGAAAACAAGCTTGCACACTTCAGATGTCACGGTCAGTTGTGGAAATGCACATGAGAGCACAACACTCACATGCATCATCTTCGACAAGGGCTCGCACCTCATCTGCATGGTGAATGTTGCAGTTGTCAAGGATGAGGACACTACGTGGTCCTGGATATGGAGTAGTCAGAGGAATCTAGACCAAATTTATGTAAGTCAATTGCCATATGAACCAAATGCTGTACATACAACAAATTCCTTCAAGAAATCAATGAATTTCTCTGTTGTTACTGATCCCTCAACTGTCTTGAAAGCAGCAATGCCATCAAGAGTCAACAGCGGTAACATTGACCACTGCTGCCCTCGGATGAAGCACTGCCGTGTAACGCACTGTTCCCCAAGTGGTGCCCAGCCCCTCCTGTGGTTACTGGTACGCCCATCCTTGGAGCTCTCATCAGTGAACATGAGCATGTTCGGGTCAGGGGCAAGCTCCCCAATCCTGTTCATAAAGACAGCGCAAAGAAGGTTGTTGCGTTCTGCAGCTGCACGCGTCACCAACTTGCTCGAGAAATGCATGTGGCGGAGGGTACGTGAGATGGTCGGGATTGAGATGAAGAGATGAGCTTGGAAGATGCGCAGCTGGATCTCGTCAAGATAGAGGAGAGGATGCATCTCTAGAGTAGAACATATGTAATTGAGGATGGTGTCGGATGACATGGTTACGGCCACCGCGTCGGAGAGCAAAGGGGTTGTATGGCACTTTGAATCGGTGGTGATATCAAAGGGAGTTGTAAACAGCTGTCTTCCTAATGCCAAGAAGACGGCATATTGTCTTGACACTGAGACCCTCCCCATGCCGGAGGATTGGTATGTGCTCCTTGAGGTCGTTCGAGATCGTTCGTGTTGGCATCGTTCGGTGTTGTGGAAGGGAAGCGACGTTGGGACTGACCGTGACACGGCGGTACAGGCTTATCTAACATGATCGGTCTTTATCTAATCTAGATCAACTCGGAGCGCCGGTGTCAGACCCCGAGGCACATTTTCGTGTTTCTCGTGATTCCGCATAGTTTTGAAAACGGCTGTAAGTGTTCGTAGTCGCCTTAGTTAAGAAATGAATTGAGGATTATCTCGTTGTGAAGAGGATTAACGCAACAATTTGAGTGATCAACTTATGAGGATTAGTCAATCGAGAATCAATTTCGCTCAATAAGTTCAAGCAATAAGTCCAGAGTGGCACAGTAGTGCCTACATTCTTAGTGAAGCTAAGAAACTTGGTTGATCGAAGTAAGCCGCTTACGACTATAGTGAATAGAGCGTTACAACAATAGTTGAGGATGCCACTAAGCACGAACCCGACTCTAACCGTAGATCGATGAAGCTTACTCTTACCGAACCCTTCAGAGTAGCGCGAGGCTATACTATTGAAGGGGTCAAGGTAGATCGACTTAGCGCACGGCTATAAGTACGATCGACCTTAGTATGTCCAGCGCGGAGCTATGGACGATCGAGTGGCTCACACCGATGGATTGAAGTTCAAGAGAGTGTTATTCGTCTGGTCACTACCACAGTGTTTAAATACATTCCAAACGTACTAGAATATTCTACAAGAGAACAATAGCCTTTCCAATGTCCTCGGTCGAGTACCCCGTATACTCATTGTTCTTAGACCGAACCGATCGGCTTTAGTTTGGTCACCCTTGCCGAGTCTAGACAAGTCGATCCCTCGCCCGAGCGATCTCCGGGATCAGCTGATACTGACTCTAAAGGGTAAGTAAGGACTTGTACCGGAAAGGAAGGTCTTCGCCGTAAGTCACGTGTCAGCGCTTAACCACTTTGACAGGCTTTCGCGACTTAGGCAATCCTTTTGACGTTAGGCATACCTAACAGCGACTGTTGGTGGAGCTGTTGTACGTTGTCCAGGCTTGCTTGAGCGCAATGTGCATCTTGAGGTATGAGGAACGACCTCAAGAAGAAGGTGAAGCAGGTTGTCAATGAGGCGTACAGATTTGCGGGGCTGAAAGCACCTAAGAAGGAGGCTCTGGTGACGTGGCTGCTGAAGACCTACAAGCAGTGCGTGAAGGGAGGCTACGCCTACGTGCCTTACTTCACCTTCCCAGTGTTGGAGGTTGTCTGGACAGACGGGCAGAAGAGCAAGGGTGGTAGTCAGGTCGACGAGCAGAAGGTATGTGGTCTATTGATAGGCTACTGAATGGATGCGACTGACGTTCACTTCAGAGCAAACTGGCCAACACAAAGCTGTTCCAGCACCCTGCCATCGCCAAGCTCATCTACGCGTTCTGGTTCAGCTTATCGCATAAGGAGGTGAGAGATTGGCGCAAGAAGTTCAGCAGCATCCTGGACAACCTCATTGCCCTGGTCTGCAATGCAGTGAGTACAGGTATTCATCATTTGAGCACGCTAACGCTGCTGGTAAACAGCTGGACGTGGCTATCAAGGACCATCTGCAGACCAGTGCAAGCAATGTGCTGGACTTGCAATTCTCGAACAAGATCTACATGCCAAAGTGAGTCCACACTAGCATGACTCACTATTGAATGTATAACTAGGGGTCTGCTCAGGTGGAACGACCACATGACAATCCTTGAGGAGATGCACAAAGTGCGCCCAGAGGTATACCAATGCATGAACAGTGGCATCTGGACCCGCGTCAAGTAAGTAACGGGTTTTGGATGAGTGGTACAGGCTAACTACGTTTTCTCAGCCGAGCCAATGAGGAGAGTCTGCCTAGCCAACCGCAGGGCTTCAACTGGGATGACATATCTGCGGATGACATCGAGGAAATGGAGTGCGAGGGTGAGGAGGACAAGGTGGAGAGCGAGGATGAGGCCAACACAAAGGACAGGCAGGGAACCTCATTGCGAGAGCTGTCTGCAGCTGCAACGGAGGAGGCAGCTCGGGATTCTCAGGACGGCGGTGAGCGCAGGCAGCCTTACTAGCAGAACTTCACTTAATTCTTAGTAGCTGAGGGGGCCGAAGGGAGTGCAGGACAAGATGAAGCAGGCACGTCCAGGATCACGACAGCAACAAAGCCTAGGTCCAGTATGCTGCTGAGGACAGAGGTGAGTGCATGTCTCTTGTTGAGGACGAAGTGTGTGCTGACAGTTCAACTTTGAGCTGGGTCGAGTGCCAACGCCCATGCCCATGCACAGGACATCACCGGTGTGAGGATCAAGGTGCTTGAGACCCAGACGTTGCCACCATTTGACAAGAATGCACTCCACAAATGACTCGGCCCTGTACCTGAACTCATTCCCAGGCTTTACCTGTATCTTCCTCAATTTAGTCCGTGTATTGCTACAATGTATGAATGAATTGCGAGTGGTCTGAAAGGATGCCCTGAGGGGGATTGTGTGCCTAAGGTGCCTTGCCAGTGCAGTGGCTTAGTGGCCTTAGGAGGCTTTGAAAAGGGAAAATAAGGGTTATCATAATGAGTTAACTGACTGGCTTGAATGACTTAACACAAGGTACCCAAGGACATGGCTGTCTTGGGTGGCTTAAGTTTGGGGGTCGCAAGGAAACGACTTGTTAGTCTGAGACTCATTACCGCACTTTACCCGGACTAGACGACTTGCGGAGTTTTCCCTTCATGTGCATGTTGACGCCAGTGTAAACATGTCAACAGCAGCAAATAATGCGCCGCTTGGCTTGCATATCGACCTCTAACCTTGGCACTGTATTTCGTAGTCAATCCCTTCTGCTACATTCAATGTGACTCGGGTATTCATGAGGTTCTCTGCACAGCTGAGTCTTGACCCACCAGTACGTCTTCTTACCTTTGCCTTTGTCTTGTATCTTCCCCAGTCGTGTCCTCCCCACTTCGTCTCACTCGCCCGCCGGGCACCCCTGCCTTACTCATCCCACTCACACACCTCATCCACTGACACCCGCTCGCACAAGTGTGGTGCGTGCCTCCGCGTATTGCGCCTGCCAGGCCCACCCTTTATAGCTGCATGTCATACAAACACTGCCTACATCAGGAAAAACTGATCTGTCTTGCCAAGCCTGGCCAAGCCATGTGATGTCTTGTCAAGGTACATGAGGCCAAAAAGGCCAAAAAGACAAGTTGTTAGTCTCCGTTGCCGACCATAAAAGAACGACAAGCACTTTTATGGTCTGCACTGGTACGCGCCCCTGTGGTAGGACTAGGGCACTTCTAGAACTCCGAATGTCCGAGCCAATTGGATTTCCGCGGTGCTTCAGCTGCCAGGTGGCTGAGTGGCTGAGTGGCTGAAAGGACCAAGAATGAGGCAAACTATTGGTCTTGCCAGCGCAGATGCATCTTGTGAGTGAGGCGGCGCAAGTGTTGCATGCACTGGACAGCAAAGATCAAGATAGGTCCGCATCCTCTGAGTTCTGAAGCGTATGGTACGCAGCTGACGGCGTGAGACACGTGTAAAGACTACAATGATGGACTCGTTGGTGCTCTTTATGTGCTGCTGGCTTGTCACTTTGGATGCGTGTTGACGTGTCAAAGCGGCCGTGGGGCACACGTACAATGCCCATCATGGGTTGATTACTTCATGGAATGGCCGCGCTTCACAACCTTGAGGTTGCGCGTGCGAGTGGCGGGCAAGCAACGCTGGGCGGGGCTGAGGAGGAGGGAGTGAAGGGAGGTTATGGTCAGCGCTTGTGCGAGTGGACGCACGCAAGTGCTGTCGGAGTTACCTAATGCGGCAGGAGTGCAGGTACATGTGACAGAGTCAGACACTGTGCGACAATGCAAGTCAACACCGCACAGTGCAAGACTCTCCAAGGCCGCATCCTTGCCGCAACACAGACTAGCCGCATCAAGCATGAGAGCTACCTAGGCAAGAGCAGATGGGAAGACAGGCTACTGGGTGGCGAAAGCGGCGGCAGGAAGTGTGACGTGGCGAGATGGCAGGGTACGTGAAGACATATGCAGGTAAGCAGCATGCATGGCTACCTCGCCTCCGTGCGGCGTTGTCGCCCTTCGCGCCCTACCACCATCCCCACCACCACTGTCGCGCGTCGCGTTCATCACTGTCTCCACTAGCATCCGTCACTCCCCTGCCACCATCCCTGCCTCACGCTGCCACTGTGTCCTGCCCCACTGCCACTGCGTCACTCGCTTTGTGGCACCTCCGGGCCTCGGTGTCATGGAGTTGGGGACTGCACAGTGCGCGCAACCAGCCTATCTGGCAGCGGGGCAGGTGCCCACGGTGCAGACACGGCCCATGAATATGCGGTGGGCACGTGAGCAAATGATGCGAAGGTGAGTGACCTTGCATGCGAGCGAGCTAGCTAATGGGGCTTGTGGGGCAGGGCCAGGGTGCGCACGCCAACCCAGCGCGCACACTGGGTGAGCGACCAGGCAACAGCGCACACGTCAACTGCAAGCACGTTGGGTGAATGTCCGGCATGCAGACACAGCCGACGAACATGAACACAAGCAACCAGGTGAGCAGCCGAGCATGAGGCACGGCAATGTGTTGAACACACACGGTGACCACAAGCATGCAGGGCAAATGCCCAGCACGCAAACACAGCCGACAAGCGTGCCGCGACTACGGGCGTGGCAATGAGCAGGCAGGAGGGTGTGCGGCTCTGTTCTCGGCGATGTACGCACAAGCGTCTCCCCCCGCATCGGCGCCGTATCTTCCTCAGCCACTGCCCCAGCAGCCCTATGCCAGCTACAACCGCTTTGACACTGTCCTACGTCCTTCCTCAGGTCCTTCTGGCTCTCCCTCTTGCCCGCCACGCGGCTCGCCACGTCCCCTCGCTGCCCAAGAGCAGTCCTACGACAACTACGCGTACGACAATGGCTCATCAACACCACCAGACCCGGACGGTGACGACTTCTATGCTTCCCAGACAGACTTCCGCGACCAACATGCCAACACTGCGCCGTCTATTGCCACTCAGTCCATCTGGGTACCTTCTCCACCGCTCAGCCCTGTCCTCGACCAGTCTCACCTTCGGCCCGGCAACCAGGCTGCTCTTCTCTCGTGAACATATGCTTGAGCTGTACTGCACGAACGCAAAGAAGACGCAGGACACTCACAAGATGTGGGGAACACATTGTACCCCCCAAACTCACGTGGCTTGCTATCACATTCAGCTCCAGCGTTGCTGGAGGCTTGCAACAGAAGAACAGGCTGAGCGGAAGGGATATGATGGCCAGCAGGGCCAGCAATGCAGGTGAGTTACTCCACTCATCACCAGCATGGCCATCCCCCGCCGAGCCCTCTGTATCAAGCCACCCGTGCCGAGCCCTGCGTGTTGTGATGTACATGCTAATATCCATGCAGCCCAACCTGGCGCGATGAAGTAACAGACGCGCTCGCTCAGCCTTGAGCTCTCCGCCTTGTAATACATCTGCACGCCCGCAACGTCCGTGTGATACGCGTGTGAATGCAAGGGGATCCTGTTGTGCTCTTAGACTGTAGTACTTATCACATAGTTCCAATATCTCTCTCATTCTCCCTCTCGAAATGTGCTCTGTGTCACTGCAACTGAGCAAGCAAAAGTTGGTAAAAGCACTACCAGCAATTACTGGGATTGTAGCCGTCTTTGAGTTTTAGTTCTGTGCTCGCAGATTACTGCGATTTTCTATGGACATTTTCCAGGGATGTATGTGGACATGGAGAATTACAGACATTATCATATATGACATCGTAAGCATCTGAGATTACTCAGTCTTGTTGTATTACACAGAATTTCCGTGTCCATTAGGTATTTCTCAGGGGAGGTTTTTCCTGATGTAGCCCCAAGCTTTGAGTTCTGCTGGCGTGAACTCTACTACCCAAGCCGTTCCAGTTCACTCAAGGAAGTAGGAAGAGATTAGAGTATGCTTGTAGGTTGAGATGTGTACATGGCTTCAAGTCAGACAACTTCAGACCTGTCATACACTGTCATTCATCAGTTATGGTCGATTATGCCGACAGACATATAGGACAAGCTGTCTACTACTCACCGAGCCGTGGCAGTGTCATAGTCAGCGGGTCGCCCGGTTGCGTAGACTTCCCAGAGGTTCCTGACAACAATGTCCACTCGTCAGTACCAAAGATGAGATGACCTAGGTTCACAGCCTTCTCCGACAAGGCTGCTTGTATGAGTGTAGGCTCAAAGACGTCGTACAGCTGGCAGTCCTCACCACATATAATGACGTCCTCAGATTTGCAATGATGTTGTTGCAGGACATCCTGACGTGTATCACCTCAAGACTCAGCCGTTGTTTCAGATACTGCACACAAGGTAGCACTCACAGTGTAATCCTTATACAGAGCTTTCATTCGCGCAGAGACGAGCGTTTTCTGCTTTGCATAGACATTGAGCCAATTTGCATATTGGAGGCGTTGTTTCTGGTCGGCCGCAAGGATGAACCCATGCCAACATGGCTGCAGCAATGACCTGGTACGATTCAAGTTAGGTGTTAGCAATGCTCGAACTCATTGAACTGTACAGTGTGCTTACGTCATGTCTTGGTGTGCACGATGGGTGAACATCCAGAACACCTTGCACAGACGAGCCATTCGGGAAGGAACCCAGAAAACTTCCAATTCAGTTAGGAACACTGAGAGACCTATGATGATGTGAGTTCAGTCTGAGTCAAATGGAGCCCAACCTATCAGATTCATCGAAATGCACTCACCTGCCAGAAAGAACACCTCTACAACAGAATAGACTCCTAGCCCGCCGAAGACTGTGTTGGCATCCCGGATTGCGTTGACAGCAAGTCCGCCCATGTCCGCCCAGTCGTTATTCCAGCAGTTCTCCATTGACTAAGCCTTTCAGAACCCCTACAAAGTTCATGTACACGTTGGCGTGTCGAACTGGCAGCTCTTCTTTTGAGAACGCCCAATGAGGCTACGCAGACATTGTATATGTGAGATTGTTGTTGCGCTTACATGATGACTCACCGTGAAGTTGAGTGTTGGAAAGGCCAGTACACAAGTCCCATTGTATGAGTTTGGAGATGTATCTATTCAAAGTCAGCTAGCTATAACACCTTGTGAGATCTCTGCTTACCTGAAACTTCAGCAGTCCAAAGTCTAGAACCACAGATCTAGGTGTACGTTCCACAGGTTGCAGATCTACAAGTATCCACGCCATGCTGTGCATCGCTCGAGGAGTAGAAGACAAGCTATGACCGACCTTTTTGTCCAAATTGGTGCTCCTGTCATGGCACAAGAGTATCAAGTGTCAGAAATTTTATTCTGGAAACCGAAGTACAAGGTGAGATAGCGGCCTCAGGGGGCATTGTCCCGAGATTGGTGCTGGAGGAAAAATTGGCTTCTGCGCACTTTTGGATCCACACCTGAATTTGTCCTCGGGGTATATTTCAATGACGTGGCCCTTGGACGCTCTGTGACCGGACCTATATTTATGACATTCCTTCTCCGTTGGATCGGCCCAGATTGTCTGTAGTGTGAGAGGTGCATCCAAGTCAGAATTGTGCATCTGTTCCACCCATCGTGAGACAGTGAGTGCACAACTGAACAGTTCCCTGTATTCTGGCATACTAGTCCAGTGAAAGGACACAAAACAAAGCCCAAGACCAGAGGTAGCACACACAACACGGTGTTGAGACACGTCGCGACGTGCACTGTGGTGCACAAGACGCGTCGCGTCACATGTGTAACACTCTGTGACCCAGATGTTGCAGTGATTGTATATTGACCTACTGCACTCACAATTGCTCTGAGGTTCCTAAACATTTGTGAGGATGGTCCTGAGCTATGCTAGAATCGATATATTCACTCTGCCATGCTTAGAATTAATGCCCCACCTGTGGGACTGAGGTGAAGGCTGCCTGAGCACAGCCAAGTGAGCCACTGCCCAATATAGCAAGTGCATGCTTTTCATGACGAGAATCGTGCAGCTGTAGTGTTGAAATATTCGGAAGAGCGTGTATGTGATTGCCAACACGTCACTGCACCGGGCTATTGACTCCATTCGGTACAATTCCCTTAAGAAAAACTGTTCAATTTACTCATTTTCTCGACACCCGCTGTCCCAGCGTATGAAACAGCGGTTTGTAGCATCTGAATTCAACACCATATTTGTATTGCATTCTCGTCAAAGACTCAAGACCAAGAGGATACAGGGTAGTATTACAGACAAAACATAATCAGCTTTCACAAATCATTCAGTCGTTGGTGAGATCAATGGTACCATCAGCAAGTATAGTGTAGGAGACAGAGTCGTCCGGCACAGACAGATCTATGATGTTCTGTACTTTCTTGTTGACCTCATCAGATGCAACCTCGAAGGGATCATCCAACTCCTCCGACTTGGTGGCTGTAAATGTAGGGAGTACTTGTCAGTGACAGGCTGACAGCATAGAGGAATGTCAAACCTTGGCTACTGGATGGAAGTGTTGCAATGTATCCTGGATATGCATAGCGTCATGCGAGGATCCCAGGTGCCCGAAGCAGTGGTGCTGCAGCAATATGTTTGTCCCATGAACATGTTGCAGAGGCAACATTTACCTACCACCCGTGTGAGGTTGGTGGGGCTGACTCTCATTGCCGATCCATCAAGAAGGCCCAGTACGACACTGGTCACCTCATCGTCGGAGGGCAACAAGTCTTCCCAACATACTGTGTCGGGAATGCTAGCAAGCGCAGCCTGAGGCTCGCCTGCCACAGAAGCTACTATGCAATGATATCAGTAAGTGACAAGTAGCGTGTTGCAGAGCCGCAAAACTCACCCAAGTGAAATGCGTCCAGAGCCGTGATCATTGGCTCATCCTTTGCACAAAGACTATCTGGCGTTGACGGCTCGGACGACAGAGGGGTCAGCGGTGAGAGCTACCCACTTGATGGGCACCCCACTCCAACCAGAGGCAAGCTATTGCCTATCAACTGAGTGAGTACAGAGTTCCATGAAAACTACGTAATGTACAACTTACCTCTGGTAGGCGTCATAGGTAGAGCTGCAGGCCAGAGATGATGATTAGGCTCGCCAGTGATCAATCAGTCTAGTACTTACCCTGAATGTAACCGAGGTGTTCTCGTCTTGGTAACATTTCGAGCTTGAGGTTGTCGATGCATATGTCTGCTAATGTTATGACATCAATGATGTTCACTGTAGGAACGGTTACCATCAATGTCAAAGATCACAATGCTAGATCACTCACCAAAGTATGAGCAATGCCCACCAGGTGTTGAGCAGGCAGCTCCACGCAGTGGTGCGCCCTCACAACTTAGTACCTGCAAGGTTGCTGATGCTTGATGCACACGCAAGTACTTCGACTGAAGGTACTGGGGATTGAGCTACGCTACTGGGGTCCTTATATACATGAGGAGACCGCTTATCTAAGCTACTGTATAGTACGTTCCCACGACATACAAGGTAAGCAGTGTAGCCATGTGATAACACACAAATGACATCATAGATGACATCATGGACCCGGAGCTTCCCATAGAACCGGTCCGGCCTGTGATTGAACCCGGCAGCCTGGTAGGTGCCTTCCTAGTTCAACACCGGGTCTACCATAGGATCAACACCCAAGACATGGAGAACCAGCGTGAACACCGGTGCTTGGAACAAAGACACGAGGAGGATGCAACACATATGGTGTGCCTGCGATGAGGTTGCAAAAGCACATCATATTGTAGGGCCAGCATCGCTCCCTTGAGAATTGTTCAAGCTCGCCGGGCGGGACAACCTGCCCATTGTCATAGGCGGGACTAAAATCAAGAATGAGTGATGAAGGAAAGCGCAATGAAAACAGGAATAATACTCACTATCCTACGACGTCCAAGGTCCCTGTGTTGCTGTTGTACGTTAATAGCTGGCTGGCTGTCTTCAACTCAGCCTTCAGGTTGCGCTTGGCGGTCGAGAGGGAACATTGAGATGGGGTGTATCAAAAGAGAGGAGCCAAAGATGAACGAGAGTACGGCTTTGCAGCGGAAGTGCGGAGCATAGGCGAAGTACGGATCATGGTGCTCGAAGACTCACTGTTGGCAAAGGGGGATGGAGACTTTGTTGAGCAAGTCCCCATAGCCTTTATAGTAGAGTACATGTACAGTGTGATACCTGTCACGCTAGGAGACCAACCTCCAGAATATTCAGTAACGGAGCTCGAGGAGAATATGCAGTCACAGAGTCACCGTTACTTTGAGCTCGAGGGCTCTCATGAACTTAAAACCTGGCCGCAAGGCAGCAACGTCTGACGGAAACCGGCAGTCAGTCTACAGCGATGATCACATTCCAGAATCGAAAGGCAAACGCGCAGTGCATGGGCCACGAGGCTGTGATATACTGAAGGGCATAGGAGTTACAAAACAGGGAGTGCCCATGAATGGACGAGGGGCGCGGGAGACGTACCGTATATGGTGGGATCGCGCCCTCTCTGCTTTGATTGGGAAGACGAGCACTGCACGTACAGGTTGGGAAGTGACATTGGCAGCTTCTGTCAAGTGCCTGTCACTGCAGGCATGCGCTTTGTGTGGACGCGTTGTGGGCATGGCCCACGGTCTACGCACGGAATCGACAACATACGAACGCGTCAGGGCGAGAAATGGGACGGCAATACGGCGCAAGGCATCTCCGAGAAGTACGGACTTGGGGAACACAACACGAACGGGCCAAATACATTCCAACTAAGCCAAGCACACGGTTACAGAAGGTGCTACGGACGACTACATGGGGTCAGTTCAGCGAAGGGCTTGCGTTACGAACGTTCCCTCCGTCCCCGTTCCTTCCGGACCCTCCAGCCTCTCGGTCAGCAGCAGCATCAGCAACGCTACGCGTGAAGCCCATGGGGCGTGGATTAAGAGACATCGAACCCCTAGACGTGGCGAAGACTAAACGACGAGGAATTCCGGAATAATCGTCCGGAAGGTACAGCCCGTGTGACAGCTGGTCTTGAATACCTTGGACCGCGGCGGAGAGCGTGGCTAGCCCACCATCGAGCTGGTCAAGGGCGTCGGTGGTCGAACACTGGGCATCACTAAGAGCTTCCAGCTGGTTGGTGACGACGTCCCATCCGACGGAAGAAGCGCGCTGGTTCGATAAAGCGAGTGGACTGCTGCGATAGGAAATGGCTGGGAGTGGAGCACCTTCCTCAGCAATGCTCTGCTCGGCGAGGACGCGGTTAGGCGACCAGGCGATGACGGGGTATGGCTCGGGAAGAGACGACGCGTGCTCGGAAGGAAGGGTTGCGAAGATGGTGTCGAGGTACACTATCAGGGCGTGCACGGATGGTGTCTGGCGGACGGAAGGGAGAGAGATATCCCCGGAGGCTACGGCGATGCTACGAGACTCGAACAGCATGCGCTGGAGTACAGTCAGCGTGGGAGACGACGAGCCCTAGGAAAAGGACACACCAATAGCCAACGGCTTCCATGGGCCCAGGCCAGCCAGGCAGTCGGATCGTGGGGGAGGAAACGGGGTTCCAGGTCGCGTTCGTGTCGAAGGAGCTCGAGGAGACGGTAGAAGCGGACGACGTAGGGGGATTGCCCAGGGAGTGACATGGTGGGCGGAGACGGTGAGGGAAGGAGGCTGGGGCTTCACTGACCAACCGGAAGGAAGGGGGAGTAGGGGAGAGAACGGGGAGAGTCGGGAAGGTTTGAGGGCGTGGGAAGTCGGGAGGGGAAGGACATGGCGTGCTGGCGCGAGGGGGGGGGACTTACTTACCACCACCACTTCGAGAGCGGACGGTTAGAGGCAACTCCTGCGAACTAGGACAGCTCTGTTTTCTTAGCGGCGTATAAATCTCTCTCTCTCTCTTGCGGATCTGCGGCGACAGCGGCGAGCGTGCGTATAGCGAACTCTGCGTATTTGCGTGTCTTTGCGGGAACAGCGGTTCCATCGTTCAGCGGAACGAACCTCGGGCAGCGTAGCCTAACCACTTCCCTCCCCCTCCTTCCTTCCGTGACTGCTAATAGTTACGTCAACATCGTCCGACAACGAAACCCGTCGTTTCTACCGACTATCGACCCCTGCTCCCTGCCACCTCATACGGCCCTGGGAGACTCGCAACCTACACACCGCCATCACCAGGATGATAGTCTACAATGACAGGAGGACTGTCCTCAGAATACATGTTCAAATTCTTGTAAGATATGGTGAGGTCTGCATAGTCTATGTGATTGAGCTTGAGCCATTCCAGAGCATTGGCCACTTTATTGCGTCTCACTAGCAGTGGAGTGCGATGATGTTCCTTGGCCAATGGTTTTGTTGGGCCAATATATATGTATGCAAGCACTTCATCCAGCTCCTCAGGGCTAGGGGGTAATGCATTGTATACCTTTGGCATAGGTATGGTATGGCATACTGCATTGGCTATCATTTTACTCTGCAGAGAGCCCTTGACACGAACAACACATCTGTTATGGTTAACTCGGCTAATGAGAGTGCGCTCAGCCCAAGTCAGGTTCTGCAACTGCACAGGTACCTCTCCAATCCACAGCCCATTGGCTAGTGCCTGTTGTGGTGCTGTGCCATTGTCCAATGTCATCTTGCAGTTCTGACAAACATGTGAAGACTTTGGGAGAAGAACAGGCCCTTTTAGTTCCTCTACATGATCACGTTCTGACTGTCGTTCTTTTCTTGTCACACCTGTGCCATCTGTTTCAAGGACATGCAATTTGTGAGATACTGTTGACAGAGGATGCAGTCTTGAAAATGGAGTCAATAAGCCACACACTGCGCAGCCAGTTTCTGCATGTTGTAGTGGATGAATAGCTTTGGAGTAATCAGCTATGACTTGCTGTATCAGAAGTGGGCTTGGTGGTGGTGGTGGGAAAGGTATGCTGGATGATGCATCAAATTTGGTGGTATTGCGGAACTTCTGCACCCGTGCTGTTGACTTTACATGTCCACTCCATTTTTGGAGAAGTGACACACATGTACTGCATTGACTTTGACACTGGTGAGACAGTACTGCGGTACGTATGGTGGTCACTGATGATTTCAATGGACATTGAATATTGTGTAGCTTTGTTATGATTTTTAGATGCTTGTGAGGTAGCGTAACCAATTGCTGCAATGGGATACGGGCCACAAGCAAATTTTTTGACTCTGCTGAAAATGCTTTTACATCATCTGTCCTGCAATGTGTTGCAAACACAAAGCGGTCATCGGGCATGGAATGGTCTGGCAGCAAATCATAAGATGCATCCCAAAATGGCTGGAGTTGGGACCAAGTCCATTGCTCCGCTGCTACATGCCTCTTGGCTCCTCCCCCATACTGCCACATTTTCTGCTTGTTTTGTTGGGCTTCAACAACCTTTTTGAATATATGCTCATGATAGTCAAACTGTTGCATAAATGACTGCACATGGTTATGGTGGGCACATTGATCTACAAGCAGCCCTGATACTTTTGCAGAGTAGTCATGTGAAAACATCACATTGCGGGACAGGGCAAGTTTAATCTGCTGGACCAAAGGTTTCAGCATGATACGCGGCACTACAAAACTGCCCATAAGTTGAATCAAGGGTGTGAACAATAGTGGCTTTTGGATGTCAAGTGGGTGCCAATGTTGTGGAAGCGTTTTTGTAATGGTGCTATCCTGAACCATCCCTGTACAGGGTGCAGACATTTTGGGATGTGTGTCTGCAAGCACACAATGGACTGTGACACAGCTTGTGACATTCCAGGTGTCTGTCATGAGCTGTGTGGTGGTGGTGTTGGTACTGCAGCCAATCAAAGCCCATGCCCAGCACAGAAGAACTGTGAAGGTAAAAAATCCAGTTTGCATACACAGCTTCATGGTGGTTGGAGGAAGAGATGTTAGACGCCAAAGTATGGTTGACCTTGAACATGTGTACTGCAATCTTCATATCACATGACTTTTTCACATCACATGTATGCATGTAACATGATTTTCTCATCCATTGAGCAGTGGCATGTGATTGGTTCATATTGCACACATGTTATCAGGCGTAGCAGCATATTCATATGTTCATAGTGTCATACAGACATAAGGCATACACATTGCGATAAGTCCATGTTCAGTTACCCCTAGCCTCATTCCCAACCAAGATGACAACACCAACAACATTGAGTGACAGATTGGTAGGCTCACCTGCACGACCATAGGTGGACACAGTGTGCAGCACAGCCACAACAGAATGGTGCGCTGGCTCCTTCTCAACAATAGGACAGTTGGCGGCAATTGTCTCAATGTCAAAGACAGGGGCCTCCTGCTGCTCAAAATAGTGCCTGGCATCCCAGATGGGTACTGTGAAATCACAAAAATAAGAGCATGTCCATGACCATCACAAGGCCACAAAAAACATACTCTTCTGGTTTGAAGACACTGCTACCTGTGAGCTTGATATTTCCGCAGGCCGGCTGCGGGACTTGGGGTGCTTGGAGGCAGACGGTGAGGACACCTTGTCCTTCATGGGGCTCTTGACGACCTTAGTCAGGTCAACAAAGGACTTTCTGGAGTACGATGGGCGGGATTGGGATTCATCTATTGCTGTATGAGCAGGAACATCATGAATATAATATCATACTTACCAGATATCTTCGCAGGCAGGGTGTTAAAGGACATGTATCCCTCAGCCCTCTTGAAGGATCCCAACATCAGGTCACCTTGACCCAGCACCTCACACCAGAATCCCCATGCGAGATCAAGCTCCACTGCAAATGGCGTGATGGTGATGTACTTGCTCCGCTTATCATGAATGTAGTCGAGGTTGCCTTCCATGAGATAGCTGAACTCTACAAGACCCAGGGTGAAGTTGATGATAGGATTGCCATTGAAGGTGATGACTGGGCGAGTGTAGCCAGGTAGGCTAGCAGAGAAGTTCTTAGGGCTTGCACAGGCAGGGTTGACAAGCCAGTTGCCAGTGAAGGACCACTGGATAGTGCGCTTGAAGTTCCTGTGTTGATTGGATCAATGGGCATAATAGCACATATGTGTGTCTTACTTACTGTCTGTGGATATAAATGCCATGTTCCTGGAATGCATTGATGACAGGATTTGTCTCAACAAACGCATGCTCAGGAACATCATGTTTACTTGAACATATTGATGAGCACAATATACATGAGCTGGGTCATTGACATACCGCATAGGCCACATATCTGCATATGTGTTCTCAAGCCATCCCTCAACACTGTCCTTGTCCAATTGCTTGCAGTGCCTGTTGATGCATATCAACAATGTACATCTATACTGTGAAGCAGTTTCTCTCACTCATTGCCTGTAGGGGGAAAGAGCTCAAGCTTGGGCATCATGTAGCTAATGAGCCTGTCAGTATATGTGGATATATAATTAGTACAGCGGTTGAAACTCACACTGCACCAGGAACACCAGCAGCATCATCTCTGTCCTTTCTGTTGGATGATCATCAGAAGCATGATTCTATTTTCAGACAAAAGACATACCCAGATGGTTGCTTCCCACGCTTGAGGGTTTCTGGTATCTCAATGACAGTGTCAAGTCTGGTACCCAAAGGTTCAATGCCGTTCACATCAAAATGGAGACCATTTACTGTTTGCCCCCAATGAACACAGCCTCCCTGTATATCACAGCTATCAACAAATTCATGTGACAGTGAACAAATGACGTACTTGTTACTTGTTCCAGCAATGAATGGATTATCCTCTGCATCGGAAAGGACTACCGCCTTTGCCTTGCCTTTGCCTTTATTGCTGTAAACATGGTCAGCTGTTGATCATCTAATCTGATAACATAACTTACACCGTTGTACGTGACTTCTTGGTTGGTGATGCTTTCAGGGACTCTTCTTCATCTGCAACAGGACTTGGTCGCTCAATGCTACACTCCTAAGATCAGATGACATTGCAATGACACAACAAACAACCTACCGCTTGGCTCTCACTTTATCTTTACTGTTAAAGGTCAGCATGCATATATTCCTACATGAATAATTCAAACCTTGGGGATGGTGTTGCTGGACTGTCTGGCGGACCTGTCAGGTTTGCCCTATCAATCAATGAGCATAGACAATAAGCTGATATTGCACTGCTCTGGAATGTACCTTTTGATGGGACTATCTGGGGTTGAACCCACAAGGTCAGTGTCCCAGTCAGGGCTAATTGACATGTATATCAACTCTGTGAAACCAGTCACTGTGTACACACCTTGACCTGGACATTTCACTGAAAACACATGAATGAGAGACAGCATATCAAGAGAGAAGCTGACAACTTACAGGATGGAGCGACGTCTTCTCAGTCTTGAGGTAGAGGCATGGCCTTTGGTAGATCTAGAGGTCATTTTGTCAGCAATGCATTGATGAGGTTATATCAAACCACTTACACAACAGGCTCATCATCACTCGACACAATTGTAGCCACATCTGCTATCTCCTGCTGGTCATCCTCTTCATCAGAAAGCTCAACAATATCTTCATCATAATGGTCTTGATAATTGTCAGTGCCCTCAATCCCTCTGGCCTCCCGAGCTTCATCATCAATGAAGCGGCGGACTTCAGCAGCGCTGGCCTTGGCCCTTGCAGATGGACTGTATATGTAATGTATAGTGAGTGAAAGACATAAGATCAATTGATAATAACACACTGCTTGGGAGGTCCACGCTTAGCTGGCTGTCTGCTGTTGTACATCATTACCTACATCAGCTTACATAACAAAGACAATCACGTACGGCTTCTGCTTTGGCCTTGGGACATAGTCATCTCCACTGTCAAATACCTCCTCAGGTTCAATCTTGCCCATCATAGCCTTGAAGCTGAAAGATGGAGTATAAATATAGTTCAGTACAGTGAGTGAGGTCATGGACAAAGCACTTACGACTGGGTAGCAGCACGCAGCTTCTTAGGGGTGTTTACAGCCCCATGCTTTGTACTACTAGATCTGATACAGCTGCAGTATGAGACACACCCAAGCCACAAATGAACAATGACTCACGCAGACATGACAGATTATTGGTATGAATGGGATGAGGTACTGGGGCTGCTTGGAGAGATTTCAGTCTACTTATACAGAGCGTGAGTGAGTTATCTATCAGTGGATCAATCAGATATCCATCAATCGTGTGATTAGTGTGATACTGATAGTTGCCATCAGAAACAGAAGCATGCACAATATCTTGGAAACACAAGCTAGACAGCTACATAAACTGCTGCATACGCTCCGAACAGCCACATTCGACAGCTCAGGCAACACACAAATGCATAGGAGTCAGTGTAAAACTGAGGGATTTCAAACAATCATGGCTGACAAAGTCCAGCGATCCTGTGGAAGTCTGGCATTCCATTGATTAATACTCATGGAAGCATCAGATGTTTCAGATGCATGTGTTGATGGGAATATAGCCAGTCTTCTCAAGGATGCTGGCTGGACGTGTGTTGGTGTGCTAGCCAGTATCCCACTGCATCCTTTCATCCTGCACTCATGGCTCTCGTCAAGCTGTACGATGCATCCAACAAGTACAGTATGTTCAGCTGCAGATACATCACAGACAAAGACTCACAGACTGAAGGACAACAATTACACAATGAATTGACCCTGGCTCAGAGCGGCAAGAAAGCATCAAAGCAACTTGTGACCATGGCTGCTGTGCGTACTGACATAATAAATTATTCATGAGCTAATAATGCAGGCATTACATAGGCTGATCACTTACGTGCATCTGCGGATGTTCTGAACCATGGGTCTGGCAAGGACAAGTTGCTTGTCTATGGCGGAAAGGACGATGCAGTGGCTGAAGAAATGGTACTCAGTATTCAAGGGTATCTGTTAAAGACCAAGTTACCACCCATCACAAAGGAGTCGGAGTATGTGACTTACCCTACAACATATATAGCATATCTGATCATATATGCAGCATAGCACAGACCAAGGTTGTCCACACAGAGCAATATGTGCGCATTGGAGGCCTGGCAGATCCGCTGTTTGACCAGGGAGCTGTTGCGGTTCTTGCAATTCATCAATTCCTGGAATCAAGGCTTGGGTCGGGGTCATTGCAAGATATGGATGTCAAGCGAGAACAGGGACACATTGTTCTTGACTTTCATAACCGGTACCTCACCCCCCGTAGTGAAGCAGCAGTCACGAGCATCATCCCATTTCCCAATGACTATGATCCAAGACACATCTTGCAAAGCCGGGTTACAGATGAGGTCTTCACAACCGATAATGCTGTGCAGTTCTATGAGCGGGTCAAGCTGGATGGATCTAGTCGCAGGTAAGTGTATTATTTAAGACATTTGTACACTGGCTCATGAATAACACTGTACCAGCAAGTATCAGTTCAAACAATCTCATCCAACTGCCTTGAGTGTTGGACAGCTTGTTGAGATCCAGACGTCCTTTGCTGTGGTTCCAAGAGGCAAGAAAAAGTACAAGCTAATCAACAAGCTACGATCAATCTGTGTTCTTGACCGGAGCATTGAGAATGTACGCACAGATTAGGCTGACTGTATGTTTTATTGCATCTAATCTTTATACAGGAGATCAATCAGGAACGCATCCAAGCAGCCTTGCGGAAGACATCACCTACCCGGAAAGTGAAACGGAACGTGGGCTATGAGGATGATGACAGTGAAGTTGAGGAAGCCAGAGAGGATGTGAAGCGCATGCGGATCAGCAGATCAGAATCTCCGTAGTTATATCTGTGATACTGTGAATGCAGACCATTGGCATAATAGACAACTACATTGGGATATACATGCATGGCACAGTGGAGTTAAATCCACGTAATAATCAGACTGGCCTCAAGCCCTTGCGTAGTACAACTCTTCCGCCTTAATCCCATCATCCTCAGGAGCATCAGCATCAATGGATGAGGCCACCTCCCCATCGTCAGGATCTATGATATCCAGGAACCATTTACCGTTCACCTTGTCCACCAAGTTTCCATCCCTTGGGTCATAGCTCACCCACTTTCTTTTCATCCACTTGCAGCGCTTGCACTTGAAGCCAGCAAAGTACTGCATGGTATCGCGCTCGACACTTTTGATGGGCTTCAGGGTACCAAGCCGCATGCAATCAGGGCACTGGGATGGTATGCGCATCCCGCCAGGTGCAAGGTTTGGGTGGTGCCACACATAGTTCTCGACAGTGATCGATGGGGTGTTCTCCATGCTGTTGTGGTAGCGGAAGACAATGACACCACTGTGGAGACGGAGGCTGAAGGACATGTTAAGCATACGAGCCATTGTGTGGCGAAGAGGGACAGCAAGCTGGATGATGACGCGTGTGGCAAAGTGGATGATGAAGTCGGAGCTGAGGTGGGCATTGAACGTTGCGGCTGAGAAGCCAAACGCAAAGGGGACCTTGTACTCGAGAAGTTGACGCTTGAGGTGCATGCGTGCGGTGTTGTTGTTGACAATGGCACCACAGGCAAGGATGAACATCCAATGCTGTGAGACCTTGTCGCATAGTACTTTGAACTCATCGGTGAGCACAATGTTGAACCACTACAAGATGTCAGACAAGACTAATCAAATATGTCAGAGACTCACCTCGTCTATAGGCGAGGTTGCATCATGAGCATGGTATAGGTCGCCTGTGTGCACGTTGCTGTGCGTGTAGATGAAGGTGACAAGGCGGACATTTGGGACGCTAACACACAGCCAATAAGCATATGCACCATCAGATTAGTGCCTACATACGAGATTATGTCAGCATACAGACTCTTCATACGCCTGGCATGAATTGCGGCATCCTTCACAGTATGGAAATCAAAGACGATATCGTGGTAGTGGAGGTTGTCGGTACACCAAAAATAACTTTCAAGATGGGTGCGCAACATCAACGGGACACTGCCACGGTTGCCAAGTGACTTGAGCCGGAAGGATAAGATGACAACGGGTGCAGTGGAACAGAAGGCTTTCCGTGGGCCAATGTTTGTGCCTACAACTGGGCAGGGCTCTTGCACGGCCGGAATGGACCGGCCAAGATAGAATGCCTATGCACAGATGATGTTCTGAAAACAAATGAAAAGGTGCATGACTCACGTAGTATGGCTCGTCCTTCAACTGTTTATCTTCCCCATGGCATACGGGGCATATGAAGCTCCACACATCCTGTATGGCAGAGAAGTCCAACCGCCCAAGACACTGCGCACAGACATCCCGGGTGCAGCGGCAACAGGTGACAAGGCTGCCACCGTTATGGCACCGGTAACAGTACTGAAAATGTGTCATTCATCCGCTAACAATGGTACAAACAGTGCACACACAATGCTTGACTGGTCATGGTCTGTAACATTGCTCTCTTGCTCAGACTCAGGCTTGTCCTCCTGCTCATCCAGCTCCATGTCTTCATCGTCCGTAACACCATTGATCAGCGCCAGGATCTGCTCTCTTGACAGGTTGCTACGTTGTCGATAATCAGACAACCCTACACTCTTGGATGCGTTCTGTGTGGTCCGAGCCATGGTCTGCAACAGTGGCGAGCGTATAGCAAAGGCCAGACACAAAGAATGCACCCTCAGCTATGTCCAGTGGGAAGACGGGGGAAACAAGGAGTGATTCCACGCTCACGGTTGCATATGTGACAAATTGCATTGGACCTGTGATTGGGATTGGATCACTTCTTTGATTGTATCAACCAGCTGTGGAAGGAAGCATATGGCTTCTTGTTAGAGCCCATCAATCTGATGCGGATAGAAGCAGATAGCTTTGTGTCTGTGATCATCAATCTGATGCTAATAGAAACTGCTGCGGAAGGAACCATATGGCTTCTTGTTAGAGCCCATCAATCTGATGCGGATAGAAGTAGATAGCTTTGTGTCCGTGATCATCAATCTGATGCTAATAGAAGCTGCTGCGGAAGGAAGCATATGGCTTCTTGTTAGAGCCCATCAATCTGATGCGGATAGAAGTAGATAGCTTTGTGTCCGTGATCATCAATCTGATGCTAATAGAAGCTGCTGCGGAATGAACCATATGGCTTCTTGTTAGAGCCCATCAATCTGATGCGGATAGAAGTAGATAGCTTACTGAAACCATCAAACACGTGACACACGGGGTTGATCCGAGACAGTTCCTCATTCAGCAGAATTCATCACATGCATTGCCGAGGCTTAGACATCAGCTAGTCCCAAATGGAATAAAGTGGCGGGATCATTCATGAATGCGCAAAGACTGGCCATGTCTTTGAACAGCCATGAATGAGGTGAAGGGAGTGAAGCCAAATGAGTAATATCCTACGATAGGTGAAATGGTTGTGTGACAAGAATTGCGTGGAGGTCCCTGAGGAAGAAGCCATGTCAGTGAATCACAATCAAAGCCCCAATCAGTTGGTTACCTACCATGCCCACTTCTGGGAACCCATGAAACAACTAAGCACCTACATAGGCACCATCCCCTAGATGTCAAATTGAGTAAGGTATCTTGTATCACAAGAACACATACTGGTGAAGACAAGTGTACAGACAATCACAGACAAGATGGGCTACAAAGCAGATGAATCATTGACATGTGGGTCCTCAGACATGCAACATGACGCACACTTGTCTGGGACGGCATAGCCATTCAATCCCCCAGAATCCACAAGACAAGAGAGGGTACGATGCAGATGAATCACTGACACGTAGATCCTCAGACGTCCAACATGACGTACGCTTGTCCAAGACAGCATAGCTGTTGAAGCCCCCAGAATCCACAAGACAAGAGAGGGTACGATGCAGATGAATCACTGACACGTAGATCCTCAGACGTCCAACATGACGTACGCTTGTCCAAGACAGCATAGCTGTTGAAGCCCCCAGAATCCACAAGACAAGAGAGGGTACGATGCAGATGAATCACTGACATGTAGGTCCTCAGACGTCCAACATGACGTACGCTTGTCCAAGATGGCATAGCCGTGGAAGCCCCCAGAATCCGCAAGACAAGAGAGGGTATGATGCAGATGAATCACTGACAGGTAGGTCCTCAGACGTCCAACATGACGTACGCTTGTCAAAGATGGCATAGCCGTGGAAGCCCCCAGAATCCGCAAGACAAGAGAGGGTACGATGCAGATGAATCACTGACATGTAGATCCTCAGACGTCCAACATGACGTACGCTTGTCCAAGATGGCTTAGCCGTGGAAGCCCCCAGAATCCACAAGACAAGAGAGGGTATGATGCAGATGAATCACTGACAGGTAGGTCCTCAGACGTCCAACATGACGTACGCTTGTCAAAGATGGCATAGCCGTGGAAGCCCCCAGAATCCGCAAGACAAGAGAGGGTACGATGCAGATGAATCACTGACATGTAGATCCTCAGACGTCCAACATGACGTACGCTTGTCCTAGACGGCATAGCCGTTGAAGCCCCCAGAACCCACAAGGCATATGGCGGTGCATCTACGCATAGCCAATCGGTACACAAGAAAACAAACTCCTACATGGGCCTCAGGCAAAATCAGGCACCCTGCATGCCCATGGCAACATGCAAGGGGTCTGGCTGTGCACATAAAAGTTGCGTGAAGGTTCAATATAGGTGACAGTGATGGACATGATGAGAGCAGGGAACAAAGGGGATGAACGCTCAAGGTTGATCTTTATGTGACAATTTTGGGCGCTTCCTAAACGAAGCCAAGCCATGTGCAGCACATGGGAATGAAGCTTGTTATCTTTTGTTGCACAAAGGATGTGTGATTCTTAAGCACATACACAATCATGCTTATAAGTACCTTCAACTGCCATGGGCATTGAGCAGCAACACTTTGTATTAAATCATGTTGATAACAAAAGTTACAGTTACATGACTTTGTGGACCTAGTGATGCAGCAATAACAAGTCGCTGGGCACTTGTGTACACAGCCTAGAAACAATCAGTTTCATGCAGTTTGGAACAGTGCACATAACAGAATAGTATAAAGGATTGGAACAGCATGACTGTATGATATTGGCATAATGAGTCTTTACAAGTACGCTACACTTTGAAGTATGTACCACTACGCTTCAATTTACACAAGGCATGTTCCAGCATGATCACATCAAAATTCATCCTAGACTTCACAGCAGCAGGCAGCTTGGCTTCAAGATGATTATATGCAAGCACAAAGGCTGTGCACACTTCACCTTCAGTAGCAGACACACCGCTGAGAAGTCCAAGACGAATGAGACCAGCCCGTGCACCTAACTTCAATGACGCAACCACATGGCCCATCTCAGGCACTGTTGGCATCTTCACCTTTCCTGCATACACAAAGTCTGATGCAAGAAGAGTGGCAGTAAGTGGCCCACAGCCAGGGAGGAGCTTCCGGGTACTGCCTGGGACACGGGGCTCGAGTAAGAACTCCTTGCGGGCATCGAGGAATGGAACATTTGGGTGGTCAGAGAAGAACTCCACAAAATGAGGTGCAGCTGCAAACATTGCCTCGCCATGGCTAGCATCACGGCCCACGGCATGTGAGCCATACGCATTCTTGTTGCAGATGTAGTCAGAGGGATGAGCGTTGCGCAGGGCGACAAAGTCTTCCAGTGTGGCAAAGAAGGTAGGGGAGTGATAGGAAGCCTCTGCGCCAAAAGTGATGCAGCGGAAGATAAATGCACTTGCAATCCCTCCTGGCTTGTCGATGTTGGTAGGATGGAAGGGACCCTGGAGAGACGTCACCGCTCGGCAACCACGGGCAAGCTCCCGGAATGGCAAGTACTTGTCCTCATTCCTCAAGCACCAGTTCTGGAGCCGAGTCTGCGTGATCTGCTTACCATCTAGAAGATGGTCCAGCAAGCCATAGCAGTCCATGACAAAGCGGTGGAGCGCTTCTAAGCCTGGTGCAGCAGAGTCGGAAGGTTGCAAGGTGAGCTGAGGTGCTGGCGGAGTGGAGCGAGAGGATGCAGAGGACAGTGGTGGAAGTGAGGAGGAACGAAGGCGAAGGAACTCCGCAAAAGCACAAGCATCTGGCGAGGTAGGCTGGGAGAGGACTGGGAGTGCACGGAGATCATGGAACAGAGGATCTAGATGGGTGGAAGGGAGGCGACGCCGACGGTCGTCCAGGATGAGAAGGGAAGACTCAGCGCGCTGGTAGACATCCCAGACACCGTCCAGAAGAAGGACATCTGAGCAGCCAAAGGCCGAGATGATAGCGCGTATGAAGAGGGAGCGCACATACGAGGAATTCTTCGGGAAGTCCAGCCATGTGCGCAGGGTGCGCTGAATGAAGTCGATGGATGCAGTGTAACGCCGATCAGCGGTGAAACGAGCTCTTGGCATGGTGATGGAATGGGGGGGAAGATCAGGAAGGAAGTCCTGGCGCTGGAGAGTGACCAAGTCATACGACTTGAAGCCATCGTTCACCGCAATGGCAAGACGGCCAAGCCAGTCATTGGCAGCAGCGGAGGGAGCAGAGGATGAGAGAAACCTTGAGCAGTAGTTGACAGGAACACAGTCCAGCCAGAGCCAAGCATAGTAGTTCATCATCATTATTTCAGACCTAAGAACCGCGCGCTTGAGGTGCTGCAGGGAGTCATCCCGCTCGTACCTTGTCTGCGCAGACCAGTTCTGCAATCATTCTAAGTCAGAAATGCAACCTAGACATGGAACAGAGACACATACACGTTGCAGCAAAACTGCAAACCCAACAGAGCGCGCAGCTGCAGAGTCCTTGCTCTCCATAGCATCAAGCAGGCCATCAAGAAGCTGGCGTGAAACAGATCCGGCAGCTGAATCCTCAGACTGCAGAACACTGGCAACATTGCGCAGCATCTGGTTTGCAGCCTGGAACTTTGCTGCAGTGAACAGCGAGAGAGCAACCGCATACGCTAAGTTGAACATGAGCCTTGGTGTCCAGAAATAAAAATAGCAACTCACACTTTGCACTTGCACTTCCTGATGACTGAGCTGCAGGAGACAAGACAGGAGCTTCCTGGGTCTCATCCTCGTCATCTTATGCAATGAACAGAGGTCAGTCAGGACTTTATGCTGAGAATGCAAAAAAGCGCACCTTCATCTTCGGACTCAGACTCATCTGCAGTGCGTGCAGACAACTTTGGAGGGACCATAAGTGCATCCAGAGGCACATACAGCAGGGATTGACCATCCTCTCTGTCAGACACTGTAGGGTCTAGAGGGAAAATGAATAAAATGGAGGCACTACTTTACAACAGACTTCTTACTGGGACCACGCGGCCGCAAAGTCATACCTCCCCCATGCTGAGATGGCCCAGCAGAACTGCTAGGCTGATCTACAGCAGGTCCGTCCACAGCCATAACACGTGTAGCACGACGTGGAAGGCCTATAACTTTACGGGCTGCAAGGGAAAGGTCAGTAAAATATAAAACCGAACAAATCTCGAAAATAATCGTACCATCTCCATTTTCTAAGTCCAAACGTGCTGTAAAAACATGAGATGAAGTCCAAACCATGACAGACAAAACTCTTACCTCGTTGGGCAGGTCTCTCATCAGAATCCATACCATCCTCCACCTCTGCGTGAGCGCGCTTCTTGCCCTTGGCTGGCTTGGACTTCGGCTTGGGCTTCGCCTTCTTGCCCTTGGACGGCACAGGAGCTTTCTCTGCAATGTGTATATGAGCAGACAGGCACAAGGAACAACAAAAAGACATACTGGGTTGCTGGGATCCTGCAAGAACAGTCAGAAAAACAGTAAAGTTGAATAATTGCAGTACTTACTTCCGGGACGTGTAACAGGAACAGGCGCAGGGTTCTCAGTCCCCATCTCTTTGCGGAGGTCCACAATGCGATTGTCATATGTGGCTCGTGGAATGACAGCCGCATAACGCAGCTTGTGCTCCTTCCACTCCCTCCAAGCCTGAGCGCGTGCAAGGATGGTTTCATGCACATACTCAGGCTCATCAGGCCGATGTTCAAGGACAGGGACCAAGTCCGTGTCAGTGAATGTGATGCGCTGGCCCTCCTCATCAACCGCAGAGAACGCGCTGAAGAACACGTCTGGGTTAAGAGAAGGACCAACATCGGCTTGACGCCAAAGATGGAAGACAAGGTTATACAGCTGGCGCACCATGAAAGACGCAACAGTGCGCCTGTCCCCAATGTTGAGACCATCAACAGCGTAGTTGAGGTAGTTACTGTAGATCTTGTGGTCGCGGTCATACCTGCATGCACATGAGCAAGACTGCATAAGAATGAAGTCAAGACTTACGTTGGATTGTACATCTCAGGCGGGATGTTAATGGCCTTCTGCCCAACTGCACCAAGCGCAAGCATGGAGTTCCCATCCATGACACGGCTCATGGGATACATGACATGATTCAGACGCACAGCGTCCTGCGCAATCTCCACCGTATTGTCAGAGACATACGGGCTCATTCCCATGTGCCAATGAAGGCCAGAGAACAAGACAGAGAGTAGGCTAGACCTCTCTGACTCATCCTCTGTGAACCCGTCCGGCAGCCGCACGAACGCGTAACACTCAGGGAAGAGGAAGAGCCCGGGGTGGATGCCCGCGTGCAACTTCGAGAAAACGGTCATGACAGACATTGCACCTATGGAGTCATGCTCGTCTTGATGCACGCCGCCAAAGAAACCCAGACTGTCAGACAAGTCCATGGGTCCTGTAGTAAACCAAGCTAAGTCATCACAAATAACAGAAAGGCAAAAAAACGGACCTTTCTGGAGCTTATCAAGGTAGTCAGGTGTAGAGACATTCAGCTGGCTTCCACCAAAGCAGACGTTGCTCATGGTCCCAGGGCGGAAGTACCCCAGGAGCTTAGCATGCAACTCCAAACGGTGGTAAAGCTCAGGCTGGACAGTGCGGATAATGTGTACACCCAGCTCACCGCCCACCTGCAGACAAGTCAGACAAGTCCCAAGAAAGCAGATAGAAGCGTACCTTTGCAAGCTCCCTACGGATCTCAGCATCCTCACCATCCCCTCCAGTGAATGATTTAGCCTCCACGTTGGGTGCCAGAACACCATTCTGCACCTGCTGGGACTGCGTGATGGCATAGATGCGCTTACGGTCCTTGGTACCCTTCAGGCCCTTGCTCAGCACAAGTCGCTCAAACTCGGTGCCCTTGATCCACTCCCCATTTGCTGCCTTGACAGGCGCCTCACGCGAGCACTTCTCACGTGGCCCCATCACACGGCTGCGAGAGTTGAGGTAACGCTGCACAAGTGGGACAGGCATGTCCCTGCAAAACATCAGCCATGTGCATGTATCAGAATGCCATAATGACTCACTTCTGTGCCACAATGGAGGCACGCACCAAGGCCTGCAACCAGAAAGCAGCACGTTGTGACACGTTAAGGTAGGCAGCAAGGCCCAGCATCGTGTCACGGCCACGCAGACGCAACCATCCTGCTCATACATAAGCTAGGGCTGCATATAAGGCACACAAAACTCACCTATGTCCAACGCATGCTCCTCTGCGACATGCGGTAGGTTCCACTCGGTTGGCTTCTTCGCAGTCGTGGCAGCAGCAGCAAGCTTGCTGTTGTCTATGATGTAGAGGTAGCAATTGGCGGTGGGATCTCCCCGGTGGGGATTGAGAGGGTGGTCGTTGAGACGGAAGATGGGAGGATAGGACTCCGGACGGTTAGGGATGCGCACCCACTCGCCTGGCAGCTCAGTGATGACCCAGGCAGGGATCCCATACGGATATGCCAAAGAAAAGCTACAGAAAGGTCAGTACAAACCAACAGATAGTCCTATTCACTACTCACTACACCCATTTGTCCTCCTTGTACTCCAATCGCCCAGGAAAACCGTCAGGTAGCTTAGGAAAATCCGGTGTGGGCTACAAGTTCCAAAAGTCGGAAATAAACAGGCATTTAGCCCAAATAATAGTAGAATAGTGACAAAGTATTACTTACCATGACTTTAAACAGGTATTTCGGGATGGATGGCAGAGAGGGAGAGTTGCAGAGGCTGAGCAGGGCCAGCAGATGACGGTTGAGGAGAGAAAGGCACAAGTTGGTGCGCAGCCGCTGATGACTCATGGCGCCTGTGCCGTGCGGAGTTGCATCCGCCTGGAATTTCCAGGCGGATGCAACTCAGCACGGCACAAACGCTGTGCCGACCAGCCAAACTCAGCGGGGTTTGGCGACGTTTCGGGCTCCGTGCGTGTGCCGAGGCTCGCACACACGCGGAGCCCGAAATTGTGGCTGAGGGCGCTCGAGCGATCCTAGCTGCTCAAGCACCCAGAACCACCCCATCCGCGTCGAACAACGCGACGCGAACGTCCCGCGGTGAGGCGGGAGGGAGTAGAAGGGGACAAAGGCACAAAAGGTGAGTAAAATAGGCCATATAAATTGCTGCACTCGCCCTGAAACAGGGCTGCAAGACCTGGCTGCCAGGTCTTCAAGCAGCCCGGTGACTAGTGACAGGGATACCGGCACGACAGCTCCACGCTTCCGCGCGATTGAAGTATCGTCCGATTCTCCTGATACAGGAGAGTCAGACGGTCTTGGATTCGCGCGGTTTCGTGAGGTGCCGCCGACGCAGCAAATCCGCGAAGATCGCACGCGCGCCAGCCACCCACCACCTGCTGCTCCCCCCACCGTTCCTCCCGCCGGCAGCGAACCGCACGAATGCGGTATCATCCGACTCTCCTGATGCAGGAGAGTCGGGCGGTACCGGTTTCGCGCAGTTTTGCGCGGTCCCGACGACGCCGCAAGCCCGCCAACATCGCTCGCGCGCCAGCCACCCGCCACCCGCCGCCGCCCCCTCCCATCCTCTCGCCGTGGACGATACCGCACGCATGCGGTATCGTCCGACTCTCCTGATGCAGGAGAGTCGGGCGGTACCGGTTCCGCGCGGTGTGACGCGGTCCCGACGACGCCGCAAGCCCGCCGAGCTTGCGCGCGTGCCAGCCACCCGCCACCCGCCTCCGCCCCTACCCCTCCTCTCGCCGTGGACGATACCGCACGAATGCGGTATCGTCCGACTCTCCTGATGCAGGAGAGTCGGGCGGTACCGGTTCCGCGCGGTGTGACGCGGTCCCGACGACGCCGCAAGCCCGCCGAGCTTGCGCGCGCGCCAGCCACCCGCCACCCGCCGCCGCCCCCACCCCTCCTCTCGTCGTGGACGATACCGCACGAATGCGGTATCTTCCGACTCTCCTGATGCAGGAGAGTCGGGCGGTACTGCTTTGGCGCGGTTCCATGAGGTGCCACCGACACAGCATGTCTGCCAACATCAGCTGCGCGCTGGTCGCCAGCGCCTAGCCGGTGGCTGCGCGTCCGGCGCTTACGCGAACCATTCTCTTCTCATAGGCTCCTCCCCTTGTCCCTCCCGACCACCCGACTGCCACTGTTCTGGAGTGACACACTGCAGCCACCGCCTCGGCGACACACCCCGCGTACCCGTCGTCAACTTAAATAGACGGGCCGGAGACTCAGACGGACATGACTTACAATCCGGGTGTCTTGCAGCTGCCCGGCCCCCCCGGATCAGTAAAACTACAGATTGCTTTAACTGGCTTAGGCAGCTTCGTGTGGCTTCGCATGGCTTGACAACTCACTTGATGTGCTTAGCTGTCTTAGGCGGCTTACCGTTTGCAGGCTGTTACTACACCAAACTTGACACGCTAAGCCATTAAGCGTCATTAAGCACCACTGTAAGTACACATGTGTTCGACGTAAACTAAGCCATTTGAAGCACCACAAATACATGGGCGTAGCCAAACAAATATGACAATCAAACAAATATGACAGTGACCCATGTCAATCGGGATTTTGTACAATTACTCTGACGGCCCTGTCAGGGGCTTCATCAGTCAGATGAGGATCAGACATCTGAGCAAATGCCACCAAGCACTAGACAAGAGCGCTTAACAAGGGCAATTTTCCTAGACGGGCGTCTACATTTATCATTAAAGTTGCACTTCCATAACACCACAACATTGATCCTCCCCGGCATCACAATTCCTGTGGCTATGTCTGCCCCCACGCCCATCACCGACCATACCGCCGCCACGGTCATGTCAACAGCTCAACCCACGCACGGGACAGCTGGGCCCTGGTATATGTATTGGGTCAATCCAGCCACTATGGCGCCCATACAGAACCCATTCTTGTCCTTGTACGTAGACAGGACCACTTGTAACAATGCCGATAGTATGTTCATGAATGAACAGCAGGCACTATTGGGACTACCACAATGCTACTGGCAGCAGCAATGACAGTGGATGCAACTTCAACGCAATGGATCAGGAATCAGTAGATGAAGACATGGTCAACTCCCAGGCCAAGCCTTTTGAGTGCATGCCAGCAGAGGCCTACGAGGGGATGACTGACTGAAGAAATCCTGGAGACCTTTGACCAGCGGCTGAAGGCAATGGAGGAAAAGTGGACGCAGCTGATGGCGGAAGCAAATGAAGATATGACTGAAGAAGAAATCCTGCAGAACCTTGACCAGCGGCTCACAGCAATGGAGGAGATGTGGGCGCAGCTCACCGCAGATGCAGAGGATGAAGTAACAGATGAGGAAACCCTGCAGACCCTTGATGAACGCTTGGCAGCAATGGAGGAGCATTTGATGCAAATGATAGCGCGAGCACAAGCTCATAACTAGATAGTCTGGTATAATCTTGCTATACCCTGGATACCTAGTCCCTCTGCTTGCTATAGTCAGATGGTCGCCTATGTCACTCTCCTCAAAGTCATGTGTACAAATACAACACTCTTTGGACATGGGATAGCAAGGTTATAGAAGGAGCTCCACAATAAAATGTATAGTTGATTACTGATTGACACTATAGACAGCCAACAGAATGTGGCCACTGCCATGGTAGCCAGCCAGCCAGCAAGATATATGATTGCTGTCCCCAGTTTCCATATTGGGCGCCACTGGAGTGCGTTTCATGGCCCCTCACCCCAGGACAGAGCAGCTAGCCACAGCATTTATTTGTATCTGTTGGTGCAAGTCGCGTCGTCTGGGAGTTTCAAATTTTAGGTCCCACTAATAGGACATTAGTATCAGTTACTTATCTTTGCTTATCTGGGCCTCAAAAAGTCACGTGGACTCCTTCCAAATCGGGCGCCACTGTAAGGCGTTTCATCCCCTCCAGTCATAAGAACGATTCCTTCGTACCTCAGGGATCGTAATGTAAGTCAGTAAGATATTTAGGCAAACAGTTCACGGATATCAGTTGCGCACCTGCTAGTCCGTAATCCACTCCGTGAAGTTCCTGCGCGCGGAGTCCTAGGGCAGAGCACGGGTATACCCATGGGTATATCCGGCTCGAACCGTACCCTTACCCGCGCGGGTTTGCGGGTGGGCAAGCGGGTGCGTCAGTGGGTGGGTGGATGAGTGAATGAACAGCCTGCCCAGCAAGCGAGTGGCCGCAAGTGCAGGTAAGCAAGCGGCCGAGCCACGGTTCCCGGCGCGCGGCGCTGCTGATGTTCTGCGGATGGGTGCTTGTTCGAGGTGCGTCGGCAATGCGCCGGAAGGTTGGGAGGCAGCGGAAGGCGGCAGGTGTGTTTGACGGGCACGCACGCGTCGTGCAAGGGAGGGCGGTGCACAGAACATGTGTGAGGAGGAGGCAGAGAGGGGAGCCATGAAGGTTGAGGGACAAATGTACTCACCGGAGTCATCCCAGCTCCGAGTCTCCTCTCCACTCTGCTGGCTCTCCAAGCTTGCTCCTTCGCGGTGGCTCGTCCGTGCGCGTGCCGGTGCTCAGTGTGCTCGATTGTGCGCGTTGGCGCGTCGATCGAGGCGGTCTTGCGAGCGCAAGACGCGTCGTTCCGCGGCATGACTGGCAGGGCCTTGTCTGCGCTCGCACTTGCGCGCGACCGGGCTTGCTCGTACCTGCGCGCGACCGGGCTTGCTCGTACCGGTGTGGCGAGACCGCGTGTGCAGGGGACGTGTCGCGTTGTGCGTGGGCGTGGACCGTCTCGTTGCGCGTCGCGCAGCGGGCTGATCGGTCGTCTTCGCGTTGAAAGCGCGCGCCGGCGCGATGGTCTTCGCTCGCGGAGTGAGCCGGGGCCTGTGCGTCGGACTTGCTGACATGCTCTTGTCGGGGCTTTAGCGTACGCACTGACGCGTCAAGCCTGCCGTCGCGCAGGGCGCGTAGTTGGTCCGCCTCCGGCCTTGTGTTGTGGCGGCGGGACGGCTCCCGGTACCGAGCGCGCGGTGGTCTCGCGCAGCTCGGTACGCATATTGCGGGTCGTTGGTTGGGGTGACGCCGTTAGTGATCGAACGGCTGACGGGGCGCGAGGAAGGTGGAGGAGGGAGGTCGTTGCGAGAGTCGAGCGCAGAGCCGCGCGTCCGACGAGCCACGTAACAAGCGCCCGCCTCGGAGTTTCCCGGCGGGCTCCTGGAAAGTTCGAAGTCCCGTCACGGCGTTGGCTCCTCCTCCCGCCCCGCCTACCCGTCTGCTTTCGGCGGTCGACTCTCTCCCCGATCCTCAACACCTACCGGACGGCCACTCAACGCGTCAAGTGGCGCCATCCAGCCCTCAAGCCGGCCGCGAGGTTGCACAACCTGTCCGTGCACCTTGCGGCCAACCGGCTCCCGCTGACGTGGATCGCCGCACCCGCGCTCGCGCCCACCGCGATGTCATTTAACTCCCCGGAGGGACAAGACACGTTAGTGGCCCCAAGCGAGGACCGCAACGGCCCAGCCGATACACCGCTCAAAGACCGGCGCGCCCGACCAAGTACCCCCGCTCCCACGCGACACGCGTCTTAGTCGCGCCAGCCCAGACGCGAATGTCCGACTGGGCAGGTCGATTGCCCTCGCTCCGGTCGATCTTGGGTGCGAGGGCGGCGGAGAACGGTTGGTCGGACACGTGGGCACGGGACGCGCATTGAGCGGGGCGGGTACGTCGGTACTACCGAGGTAAGTCGTATTCTGGCTGTGCTGCTGCTGACGTGGCGTTTGTGCAGGTGGGTTCATAGTACCCCAGTCGATCGACGGTTCGTCGGCAAAGGGGAGCTCGCGTGCAAGCTCTTGCGTGACTCGCGCATGGTCAGGGCCTCCGCAGACGGCTTGCCAGAGTGCCTTTGGTGCGCGATCTCTCCCGTTGCCAGTGTGCTTACTGATGATGTATATTGCTCATGCTTTCTCGCCCCCTGCGGTGAGTCTGTACCCGGGCGGGTTAGGGTATGGGTCGAGCTCGGGATACCCCTCTCGTTCGACGCATCTTCACATGCGCGGGCTCACTTCTTCTACCGACGCGCGTTTGCGTTTGCATGCCCCTCCTGTCGACTCGCCCCCGCCTCGCGGCTCTGCACCCGTGTCTCTCTCCGGCCTCTCGAGCACTCCCCCGGCGTCCCGCATGAGCGAATTCCTGGACGAACACCGGGCTGTGCGAGATGACTACGCGTCCGGTAATCGCTCCTCACCCTCCCAGTGTAAATTTGTTGGTTTGTCTGGACTCTAGTTAAATTGGGATATGATTTCGTTGTAACTGTTGTTTGTCCTGTATGCTTGCCTGTCATTCAAGAAACATACCATTGTGTTTTTCATGACTAAGGATCATGCCTGAGGACCTCATTGCATGCTTATGCTGCATACAGAGGTCACAAAGTCTGATCAGAACTGAAGTGCATATGTCATAACTGTATAAGTAGTAGGCAATAGTATATCAAAGTATACATGCCATGTTTACATTTCATTTGCCAGTATGTCTACTTGAGATAATGTCATCAAACTGTATCATCATTAGTGGACATTATGGCCATTAGGACTAATTATCCCAAATGAGAGTATGATTAGGGAGTCAGGCATAATTTGCCCTAAATTAGTGAAACTTAGGGAATTCAGGTTTTCCTGATGTGGACGAGCGTCACGAGAGCGAAGAGTCGGAGGACAATAACTTCAGGGCGTCGCTGACCAGGCGCAGGCGTGTTGAGGCGCAAATACGGCGCTGCGGCGCTGGGGAGGTCTTCGTCGGTGAGCCCCTTGCGGCGCTCAAGCGACTGTTCGAGGAGGAGAGGTCATTTGACAGAGTGTTCAACACTGTCGCAGGCATAGAGATCTGGGAGATGACGTAGAGGCTGCTCGTGACGCCCCCGTTGATTTCGTGTGCAACATCGGATGTCGAGGACAACAGCGACGACGGGCGCAAGGTCTTCGTCTGCCCGGCGCAGTTCACCACGCTCGTTTTGTAACATGATGATACTCCTCCCTGAATTTTCCATGCTGAGTTTAGCCCGCGGGATGATATATCACTCAATCTGATGCTACCCTTGGACAGCAGGCTTCTCGAATGCTGCAGCTTGAACGCGATGTTTAAGCTCATGCACAAACCACAGCGCCAGTGATAAATGTGTCCGTCGCGTACCGATCTTCTAGTGCACGATGGAGACCAAAGCGTTACCTAGAGCAAAAATCGAAACCAGTACCTCAGTCAAAGCTCCTGGGCGATTTTTGGCTGAAGGTTGTCACTCAAAGAGACTCAAATCGCCAAACTCGAGCGTCCGAGCGAACGTACAACGTGAGATTACATAAGCAATACCATATGTGGACCATCCGCACCTTTATGCACCTCTTCATGCCGTGCAACCAGCCAAACCGCACCGTGAAGTGCACAGACTTATCAAGGATCAGAAACATTCAATTCTGTAGCAAATTCTCGTTATGTATCGTCGTAGTCCAGCACGACACGAGACGCGCTCTGGAGGGAGAGTCAGGAGGCAAATCACTACTTGCCTTTTATATCCGGAACCCTTCAGGCCCGGTTAGGCAGCGCGTCTTATTGCAGACCAAAAACGAGAGTAACTCTTTTTGGTCAGCAACGGAGACTAGCGCTTTGCGAAACTTTCAGTCACCCGCGACCTGTCCCGGTCCGCGACATCATCGACGCCTCCCTAGAGCTCCTCCTCTGCTGGCCATGGTCGAACCAATTATATCTATTGATATCACCATTTTACTTGTCGAGAGATCTAGGAACTCAGAGGCGAATCCGAACTCGCTGGCCATCTCTATAGCAGCAAGATGAGCTCCAGTGGGCGTAGCTCGATAGGTTCCTGAGGAACTGCCAGCCCAATCACCCAGGCCCTACTGCACAGGGCCTTGAGCGCGTCGGTGGAGCTCACCTTTCTCAGGTACGTCGGCGGTCACTTGCGATACCATTCTATGGCGTGCTGTGCATGAATAGAATAGCGAGAAGCCTCCCCAATACGAACGGGCAGTGTCGACGCGTGGCGGCGGCCGGGGTTTATACCACTAGTGCGAACAAGCAATGCACGTTGCAAGGTGTGGTGCTACTTCCTCCATACATCTAGACTAATCAGTGTAACTCATTGAGTCAGAGAGCGCAGAGGCGGGAGCCTCATCCCATTGGCTTGCATCGCGGCGAAACAACCAACCTGGTCGCGGTCTGCGGTCATTGTCGAGTGCAAACCTCGCGTCTATGGGCGCGTTGTAGTCTACGTCGTCGGTCGGCCCCCGGCATGCTGGTCAACTCAATCATTCGAACCAACTTTACAGTTTTACCGCATGCGAAGGCGTTTCCTCGACATCCGCGATCTCCAATCGCTACCCGGTTCCCTCATTTGAGGCTCAGCATACCCCACCAAACCCGTCTTCTAGCGCAACTTAGTCTTTCCCTGCTCGGAGTCAACAAGCCATTCAAGCTGACATCGACATTTCTCACGTCGTTCTCTACCAATGAAGATAGCCCTAGAGTTGACTGCAGCGGTCGCGGATGGGTTGCTCTGCGGTGCGCAGCTGGAACGTGTCCCATTCATGTCAAGCTTCTGCCCGAGGGACGAACTGCGTGTACGAACCTGTGACATACAAGGTCCACATATACCACTTCCAGTCTTCTACGATGTGGTACGGACACATGTGGAGCAAGCTCTTTGGCTGCGCGTCGAGTCATATTGCCATGTGTAGCTGTTATTAGTAGTTCATTTGGCGAATGGACTGTTTTGGGGTACCCAAGTACCACATAGTGTGCGCGTACAGCCTCAGACCTTCCGATATACTGCCCTGCTGTCCACCGCCGACTGCGGCGTACTCTTTGGAAGTTTCTACAGTCCTAGCCTCATGTCGCAGCACCAATTCCAACGTAGATACAGCAGAGGCGGTGTTTCTGGCACACCGCCTTGAGCCTGCGAACTCTCCACTCAACGGGATATAAGTACCAGTAAGCTGGGCAGCACACTGCAGCCCAACCACCCGCCTTGTTCGCCATGGATCACACCACTGTCGCCCGCTTCACGACGATCGCCGACGTCGACCGCCAGATCTCCCTCGTACTGAGTGATAGCCCCATCCTTACCACTGGCAACTTTATTACCTCGAGGCTTACACGCTTCGAACACCCCTTCTTCAACGCGTCGCCCGCCGACGCCCTCCCCCGCCTCCTCGTGCTCAAAGAACTATACCGCGTCCACGACGCCGTCGACCGCACCTACGCCGAGCACGCGCGCGCCAACCGCGCGCGGCCCGCCTCCGCGTCCGACCTTGAAGTCTTCCGTAGAACTTTTGAAGAAATTGTTGAATTAACTACTCACCGCCGCCCTGAGTTCCGCAGCGCCTTGGGCCGTGCCCGCAGGTTCTTGGACCTTGGGTGCGCCCCCGGTGGCTTTGCCACTTGGCTCCTGCAGAACACAGGGATGCAGGGAATGGGAATCACCCTGCCTTCGGATACCAGTGTACCTGGTGTCCCGGTGCAGGATGCGCTCCAGTCCTATGCACCCCGGTTCCCTGTATACCTCGAAGATGTTTGTGAGATTGCTAGAGGGCAATCAGTGACGGACTGGGAGAGTACGTACTCACTACAGACCACCCAGGTGCAACATTGAACTAACATTGGTTGTTAGAGCACGTCCCGTCTACAGGCTTCGATCTCATCATCGCCAATGCCTGTATCATGCTGGCGGAAAGCAGCGTGCCACGGTCTACTAAGATCCGTCTCATGTATGCGCAGCTGCTCATAGCACTGGAGCGCATCACGGCCGGTGGCACCCTCATCCTATCGCTGTGGATGCGACCCTTCGACTGGGTCGTCGACATCGTGGCGATCCTAAACGGCTCATTCGGGTCCATCGACGCCATCAAACCGAGATATCAAGGCAAAACGTCGTTCGCCTACATCGTCTGCCAGGATTACAAAATCACCGCGAACAAACCTCGCCATATAGAGCACCTCCGCGCGGTCATCCAACACTTGGACAGTGCAGGTAAGGTGCACAATTCTCGCGGCAAGCTATACCACCCTCACCGTGCACTACAGAAGCCGGCGACATCGATACGCCGACCCTCCCTAACCTCTTCGACTCGGGCACTCCCGACGAGGAGACAGTAGCCTTCATAGTGCGCTTGTTCACGCCCGCATGGCAGCGTCAATGTGACGCGATCCACCGAGACTACGAAAGAGTCCTCAGTGGCATAAATTCAGGTGAGTACTCGATGTTGCATCCGTTCGCAGAAAGGCGCGACACTGATACATGGTTCGTCCTACCTTGCAGGCCCGGCCGCACATTCCAGCCAGTGCCCGAGCTCCCCAACCGTATCTCGCAGACTCCAGGAAATCCCTGCTGGGCGATCGAATGCCGACAATTCGTTCGACTGGCGCAAACGCCATGTCGAGCAGCCCAATGACGCGGACTATAGGCGGCGCCAGGACCAGAGGAACACCGGGTTCAGGCAGCTTTTTGGAGTGCCAACGGCCGTGAGCGAGGGCCGCTGGCGCTAAGACGTTCCTGTCGCCCTCCTCGATGCCTATGTACACACTGGATGGCTGTAAGTCCACGCCGACGCTTCAGGTTGTTGGTAGTTTACTCACCATCTCGCCAGGACCCATCTCCGCCCCCGCCTCGTTTTTGCTCGAGATCTACGCATTCGCGTTGTACATTCTCAAAGAATTTCCCGCTTTCACTTCCTATTTTTCGCGTCGTCCGCCCCGTTTTGTTCTACCTTGTCTTGCTCCGCTTTGTGTCCCGCTATCGCTAGCATACCTCCGCTATGTTGCCTTTTGCCAGGCATACTCGCTTTCGTCGACGTCGAGTAGTCCACTCTCTCCGAAAATACGATTTCGCTATGCCTAGACTTATCCCCTCAGTTGCTGTCAATGACAAGTTTATGTACCCGGTCTTCCGTTTGGCATATGCGAGGCTGATCGTCGAGGATACGACAAACATGGATCGTCATCATGATAGTCAGTCAGTAATGAACAGATTGGATGGCCCCGACGGTGAAGGTTACTGCTGGCGGCTTTACTGACATCGGTGCGACTACAAGCAGCAGTGCGTCCTGTGACGGCTCACCAAGAGTATTTGAGAACTAGTACGAGCCAATAGCATTGTCGAAGCAAGCGTAAGTGCCAGTCTGAGTTAAAGTCGCCCAGGTTCGCTTTGGTCATGGTCCAAGCTCATCGCTGCGGAGGCGCTCATGCCCGAGCCTTCCGACAGAATCCGACTGTCTCTGAGTCTGACACTCGGTTCACCTGTACAATGCGCACACACATTCTTCGGCAATACCTTTGAACTGAGCTTTGCCCCGGGCCACTAGTATGCGGGTTTGTACTGATTGCTCGAGCTATCAGCTATAGCTATGCTGCATGATGATGCAGGTAAGTACTGGCAGTGATGGCTACGAGTCCGACTGCGCCGAGACTAAGTCTAGACTCTGAAGGTAGTAGTGGCCAAGTAGCGGCAACCTCTTTCACGTTGCGACCACTAGCACTACCGCTGCCACTAGGTTTCAGCTTGGCCTACTTCAACATGCCTTCAACCACCGAAGAGACACTCCCACAGGGACCAGACTACGTCCGCATCCGGGTCTTGCTCTACGGCTCGTCGAAGGACGACCCCGTCTCCGACGACCGCTTCGGCGACCACCAGCGACGCGTCGAGATCATCTTCAGCCTCAAGCTGCCGCGCGCGAACATGCCGCCGAACGACATCCTCCAGTACGCGACCGACTTCATCAACTTGTACTACCCCTGCCTCAAGCACACCCAGAAGTGGCACTGCGAGTTCTGCGGTGCGTCGCATGACCTTCGATACGCGCATTTTACGCGCTGACGCGCCCACAGACCTGCCCGCGCGCATGTCCCAGCAGGATGTGAGCTCCTGGTGCTCCAGAACGCCCCCGCATGTACTCATCTACGTACGTCCTGCGTCAGACTGAAGTAGGGCGTCAGTCTGACGCCTAACTGTGTTTTTCAGTACCACTTCGTCTGCGATCCTAGGTCGGGCCCGTGTGCAGACAATCTCCGTATCATCCAGCGACAAATGGCGCGCGTCAACGGCTTGCCAACGCCACGCCGTCCGCGCAACCGCGAGGACCCGTTCGAGTTCCCGCCCATGGCCGCCTGCGCAGGGTGCGAGCACGAGGAGACGGTGGACATGCCTACATTGAAGTGCAGTAGCTGTGATCTCACTAGGTAAGTCTGACATTCGCGCGACAAGGATCTGCATTGAGCATCTGCGTTGTGTTGTTAGGTACTGCTCTGTCGCGTGCCAGAGAGCGCACTGGCCGGAGCACAAGGTCTTCTGCAAGACTCCGAAGGTGGTCAAGTGGGTCTGGCCGTCAGCGGGCGAACTCCAGGAGCCACGCGAGCAAGTTATGCCGGGATCGCTACAAGCTTCCGAGGCCGACGACGCAGCCGACTCACCATCTCAAGGCTGTTCCATACAGTAGAGACGGCGACGTCGGGAAGCTTGTCCTCATACGGTCACGGTCACCCCGCGAGCCACCACGTCGTAGCTCATCGACTTCTCATCCGGCCAGTTTTTCGCGTTGCTACCATCTCCCTGCTCTTGACCCGTGTCCAACGTAAAGTACGTTTCCTAATGTATTTCGACAATCATGTATGATATGCTCCGCCTCAGCTGTATAATATCGTAACAGGACACGATTCACAATCCGCTTGCCTGTGGATTACATTAATCGTGTCTCCGCCTCGCAGTACCGCATATATGCGATGCAGCTCAAGATGAACGTCTCACAAGCGGACCCCTTGGGTAGGGCTATGGCATGCATAGCCTCAAACTACTCCGCCTTCCACTTGATGTGTCCGAGCAATCCCCACAATCAGTATATATAGGACGATCATCCACTACCCGATTATACCCTACGTGGGGTCCGTGCACAGAATGCGGCTTTCCACGGGTCTGCCCCGGCTCAGCAAAAACCACAAGTAGAATGCCCGGAGTATGGTGAGACGGCCAATTCGGGTGGTTAGAGCCCAAGTGACGAGCGCAAGGCGCGACACCCCAGCCAGAGAACATCAGGCAATGCTAGCCATGCGTTTGCATCGCTCGACACCGCCTCAGTACCTCACTTGCCTGTCTGAGCGAGCATAGAACCCACTATTGCGGTCGCATGATGTCCGAATGAACTTCAAGTTGTTGATTGTTGATCCGGAACCATGGGCGCGAGAGCGGATCCGACTGTAGCACGTCGACGTATGGAGCTCTGCCGATGTGCGTAGAGTCCTGATGACCCAGTCTTTCCATGTGAGGGTGGCCCACGCTGACGCGTGGCCAGGCAGGGGCGTATACGGTTTCATAGGATCGCCTGGGAGCGGAGGGACAATCTCGGTTCATAGGCCTCTGGAATTGTGCGGTTGGCTCGATGAGTGGTGCACGCTGCGGCCGGGATGTGCTTGGGCTTCGCAGATAGTGTGGTAGTCGGCTGGTACTCAATCCGCGGGGGCTGAGTATCCGACAGACGGCAGCGAGCCGCAGTGAAAATGGCATTGCTTAAGCTCTGTGTTACTACGAGCATTGATTCAGCTGGCATTAGCGCACCAATATGACGCCTTCATTGCCTACCTAAGCTGTCGGCTGCGACCCCATCATCTCAAGGCTTCCGATTGTCCGCTTCAACTGCGGCGGCCTATTGCGGTCAGTGCTGCTCTGAGTGCTGGCCTTCGAATCAGACAGCTACTGGTGCATTGGCTATCGACTTCCGCAGGTCATCATTGGAATCAAGGCTCCATAATGATGTGACCACTCACCGTCATCTCGACAGCAGCTAGAAGAACATTCCCTAGGACATCAGAAGCAACACGGCTTCGTAGTCGGGCAAGGTCGCGCCATTCAGGGCGCAGTATTGCGCTTCGACGTGTCTCGCTTGTCATAGCTGCGCCGAATAACCACAAGGAAGCATCTTGGGCAGTGATTCATGTCGCTCCTAGTAGCCCAAGTCGGCACCTTGCTCGTCATATGTGATCATTTTGAGTTGAATCCTAGTATCGCGGCGGCGCAGAAGATGTTACTGACCATGCGATTGGCTCCTGAGGACCATAGCTGAGTGAGCTGTATCCATTTGGGGCTTCTACGATCCTGTTATCCTCGAACCGCTGTACTTCCACGGCGTGCACAAGACTGGGAATGAATCTACGCAGTCTTGGCGTGGACGGATACAAATATCAGCACAACGGACGGTTGCCTGCAGCTCACTGCCCACTCACCTCGATCGCCATGGCCCTCATAACCCGCGAGGCTGTTTCCCGCTTCAGGACGATCGCAGATGTCGACGAAAGGATCAATCACGTCTTGACCGACGGTCCCCACGAGATCATCTCGACGCTCTCCCCCGCCGAGTCGCGGTTCTGCAATGCAGCAGAATCAGATATCCTTCGCCGACTCCTGGTATTGAAGGAACTTTACCGCCTCAGCGACGCGGTCGACCGCTACTACATCGACCAGAGTGAGCGCAACCGTGCCACACGCGCGGATCCATCCTCGTTGGTGCACCTGGAGGCCTATGAAAAAGCGTTCAAGGAGATAAATGAACTAGCTGGCCGTCCATTTGGCCGCAACCAGGTCCGCAAATTCCTGGACCTCGGTTTCGCTCCGGGTGGCTTCGCTACATGGCTGTTGCGCAGCAATGGAAGCGCGCTTGGAACGGGGATCACTCTGTCCCCGGAAGCCTCAGGCATCCAGGCACGGGTTGATCTCCAGTTCCTTGAGCGGTTCCAGCAGCACGACCAGGACGTGCGCCAGATCGCAGACGGCCAGGTCATCATCGGTGCGCAGTGACCACCTCTCGAAGGACAGCCACTCATCTTACCTATCCTTAGGAGACGCCCCCGCCGCCTTCGACCTCATCATCGCCAACGCCACCGTCGTGCTGCCCGAAGACAATGTGCCTTGGAACGAACAGATCCACTTGACGTTTGCGCAGCTGCTGGTTGCCTTGCGGAACATCGCCGCAGGGGGCTCCCTCGTTATCAGTCTGCGAACGAGGCCATTCGAGTGGATCAATGATATCATTATAGTCCTCACCCAGTGCTTCAAATCAGTTGTCGCAGTGAAGCCCGCGTTCCAGGGAAGGAGGTCCATTGCCTACATCGTGTGCCGTGACTACACCGCCACTGGCGATGTTGATGGGTACATCGAACGCCTTCGCGCAGGCATTCGTTACTTGAAACATATTAGTACAGTGCACTTTCTTGTAGCATGCGCCGCGGCGGACACTCACAATTTGATCGTAGCAGGGTCTGTTGACAACCCGTCCGGCGGGACCGCGAGGCTCCCTCGACTGTCTGGCCTGTCGGATCAGGCAATCTGGGAGCTGCATGGTCAATCCGTGGCGGCCTGTCTCACGCCTGTCTGGAAGCGACAGTATGATGCCGTCTACGAGCATTACAAGAACATCCTAGAGAAGGAGTATGGAGGTGAGTGTGCTCTCTAGACATTGGTACATAGGGGAACCGACCGCTTTCGTCCTTAGGTGGACCTACCACACCCGCGAGCAACACAGATACAGATGTGTCCTGGAGGCGTCAGCAAGCACCTGCCGTGCAGCCCAGTGGCGCCGATTCCTCCAATTGGCGGAACCGCACCGCTGAGCAGCACGGCAGTTCCCAGAGACGCCGTGACAGCAGGACTGCTGGATCCAGTGGCGAAGGCGCGAGTGGCAGCAGCTGGAGAAGGGCTCAGCACTGAGGCCTGAGGTGTCGAGGCACCCACCTCAAGCCTGTACACGACACAGTCATTCACGTAAGCCTCTATGTCGAGGTGTTGATAGCTTGCTCACCACGTATATCGCGACAACTTGAACAGCCGTCTATGTATTGAGTCCGAGTCTCACGCGCGTTGTACATTACCTCCCGGTCCGAGTCCTCCCATCCTGGTTTGCAGTATATTTGCTGCTGTCTTCCAGATCTCTTGATTTTCCCTGTACGTCGCGTGTATGATAAGACGGAGATGAGCCATTAGGTATGAAAGTGCTGATCGTCAATGTTATCGAATTTGGCAGGCTATGCGGGCCCATGGTCACTATTGCTTTCAAAGTAATGGTGAACATAATTTGAAGACATCAAGCAAACAAATGTAAGGCACTTACATCATTATATATGTGCGCTAGTACTCTCAGCCAGCCGACGAGGATTACCAGGGCCTCGTTTGAATCTTCTGCGGGGATCCCGCCACTCAGGCTGCACGACGTCACGGTGGCGGGAAGGAAGGAGGAGGAGGAGGAGGAGGAGGAGGAGGGGGTCCATTTAGCCGTCCCGGTCAGCAGTGTTAGTGAACGCCCGGGTTCACAGCGCGCGTCTAATTCGCGTCAACACTTGCCATTTGCTTGCCATGATACCCGCGCTGGTCCCGCGATGCGACAGCACCTTAAGCAACCCTGTGAAACACTATCTCTGGTTGCTTCTTGCAGCTATGCCTCGCTCTCCTCGACCTAAGTGCTGCTGAAACTGGCGTCGAGCCGACAACAAGTATGAGCAGCGACTTAGAGGTCCGGTGGCCCAACTTCCAGCTTTCGCACCGTGTTTCAAAGTTGTTTCGCTCATTCACGGGAAACGGCGCGACTGTATACAGCTACTATGAGCTACGCAGCTTTGACGAAGACTCCGAGGTGCCTACAGACGAGGAACGAGTGTCATTGAGACGGGTAGCTGATGCAGTTCCGTGGAACGCATTTCGTGAGTCTCGCATTGTTCGTCCCAGTGAACCGCGAACGGCTCCCAATTGACGTGTTCCATTCTCAAGTGATTGCCTTTGTCGAGCTTGGAGAGAGGTTCTCTTACTATGGGACTACCGTTGTCTTTGTGAGTTCATGATTTCAGGACGTCACACTTACGCGGTCGTATACTCGTCATGCATCCGTGAGTGTATGAGCGAACCGTGACTGTCGTTCGACAGAGACTAACAAGGTTGACGGTATCTATCCGTTGACAAGACGAGCATGACGGACCTTGGGACAGTGGGTATTTGGTGTATTGTGATGAATCTGTCGACGCTTTTGTACTTGGAGATTGCATTATCCTGACTACCCCGCTTGACTTGTGATATTCAGACCATGTACTTACCGCAACTTTCTAGACCAACTTCATCCAGCAACCATTACCTCCTGGATCACGTACGGGTGCTGGTTATGCCGATGGACAGTCGGGAGCCCTCGGGCTGGGACAACGCACCTCCACCGCGATCGGTATGCTGAACACGTTCTGGTGAGTATTGACCTCGTTCGCCGCCAGCAGTACTCAAGGTCTTCAAGGGTGTACTTCATGCCTCTATTCGGCGCGTACATAGCAGATACACGCTGGGGTAGATTCAAAACGATCTGTGTTGCTGTCGGCATCGCTCTTGTCGGCCACGCTATCCTTGTGGTTGCGGCGCTTCCGGGAGTGATTGAGAACACGCAGCTATCTCTGACGTATTTCATCGTCGCTTTGGTGATAATGGGCGTCGGAACGGGCGGCTTCAAGTCGAATATTTCTCCACTGGTAGCTGAACAGTACCAAAAGACGAAGCTAACGGTCACCACTATCGCGAGCGGCGAGCGCGTCATCGTAGACCCTGCCATGACGACAGCTAGAATATACATGGTACGTTTTGCACACCCTCAATTGCTCGCTTCATTGCTAACATGGTGCAGTACTTCTATTTGTTTATTAATATCGGGGCTCTTCTTGGACAGATCGGTATGACCTACTCAGAAAAGGTGAGCGAGGATGGTTGAACGATGCAGAATTCTGACCATTATCCATAGTATGTTGGATTCTGGCTCGCATTCCTCCTACCAACACTCGTGTTCCTCCTTTGCCCCCTCGTTCTCTTTCTTGGTCGAAACCGCTATGTGTGCTCGCCACCCTCCGGGTCGATCCTCGGAACTGTCGTCCATACGTTTCGCTTCTGCATGCACGGAAAGTGGTCTTTTAATCCGGTCACGACCTATCGGCATATGACCACACACACTTTCTGGGATCGTGCGAGGCCTGCAAACGTCTCTCCCACAAAGCGGCCGGAGTGGATGAACTATGACGATGCATGGGTAGACGAGGTGATCAGAGGCGTACAAGCGTGCAAAGTGTTCTTGTGGTACCCAGTGTTCTGTACGCCACATTTCCTCCGTCTGTCTGGCAGCAACATTGATTTAACGATCACATTCAGACTTGACGTTGAATCAGCTCAATAATAATCTTATCTCCCAGGCAGCGACGATGGAAACCTACGGAGTGCCCAACGACATCATGTCGAACCTCGATCCGCTCTCGCTGATCATCCTTATCCCCCTGTTTGACGTCATCGTCTACCCGCTCCTCCGCCGCCGTCGAGTGCGTCTCACGCCGCTACGCAAGATTACCGCAGGCTTCTTCGTCGCCTCGCTGGGGATGGGATATACTGCATTCATACAATATCGCATTTACGCGACGAACCCCTGTGGCCGATACGCCGCGACGTGCGTAGACGAGACCGGCGCGCGCGTGACGAGCAATATGAACGTCTGGGTGCAAGCAGGGAGCTACATCCTCATCAGCATCAGCGAGGTGCTCGCCAGCGTGACGGGCCTCGAGTACGCGTATACGAAGGCGCCAAAGGGCATGCGGAGCTTGGTCATGGCCGTCTTCATGTTCATGAGCGCCATTGCCAGTGCTGTGGGCGAAGCTTTCGTCGGTAAGTACATCCTCCCTACGGTTGTGCTATACACACGCTGACGGACGAATCCTTCCAGCCCTTTCCGCGGATCCTCTCTTGGTATGGAACTACATGATCTTGAGTGCGCTATCGGCTGTGGCTGGTGTACTGTTCTGGCGACAGTTTCGCGACTTGGATGCCCGTGAAGATGAGCTCAATAGTATCGGGGATGATGAGGTCGCTTCCTCTCCGAGTCTCGCCGTACAAGATTGATGATTGTAGATACTTGGAACTTCAGGAACAACTAGTCTTTCTGCAACAACTGGAACCTTTGAACCTGCTTTCGTGTAACTGACTCAGAGTACTCCTCAGTTATTGGTGTGGGATGTTTCGGATAATAACTACGTTATTATGTCTGTTCCCTTTGGTATCTCAGCTGGAAGAGCGCGAGACTGTGCCCGCGCATCGCGCGCGGACCCATGCGCCGTCCCGTCGCGAGCCGGCGAGGAACTGCTTACACTTGGGTACAGCCTACGAACCCCACCATATCTTGGGACTGGAGAGGGACGCATGTGTACTGGCGAACTGCAGAGCATGCACACCCACAAACCCTCTCCCGACGATCCGCCCAAGGACTCGGAGGACGACGACGTTCCCGGCGACAAGAAGATGTTGGACCCGGACTTCCTCTACGGACAGACCCGGCACTCGATCATGACCATCCTTGTCTCATCCGCGCAAGTAGCTCAACTTCCCGCAACTGACCCTTAGCTCACGCATCTGGATTGACCAGGCTGGTCGTCATCATCGTCACATACCTCGTGCAGCGCCCCCCTACGAAGCTGCGCCGAGTCGTGCTGTCGTACATGAAGAACCACCCGTGCCAGTGGGTGATGCATTCACGCGTCGGCGAGGGCGTGCTCCTGCGATGGGCCCGTGAGGACTTGATCTTCGATGCGGGAGAGGAGGACACCATGGTCAATGGCCCGGTGGGTCCGCACTCCGCGTTAGGCTTGGACGAAGGCATTCCTCTTAAGCCGTCGCCACGTCGGCCGAATGCGTACAACTACGGCAGTGCGTAGTGCTCAATGATGCCCCATCCTCTTACCACCCTCATCCCTTATGTTGACGACCCTTGGACGCCTGCTGTATTGGAATGACTTGCTCGTAGACTGTTGCTGTGCCATTAGCCGTCGTAGCTTAAATGCTGTACGACCCGATTGTGGTGCTAGTTGCCGCTCGTGGCACCCCGTTGAAGCCTATCCTTTGCAATCATCTCTCAAGACCTGACTTAACACAATCACGTCATACCAAGCACCAGCAGTGATATCCATGCAAGCGTGATGTACATCACCAAATGATTGTCTCCCTCATCAACCACTCCCACTCCGGACATTCGAAGTCGTCGACTCGCCTGAACGCGACTGTCCCGTCTGACCACTGCTCGGACACCTTCACATCCCCACCCTCGCGCTCGACGTAATGGAACGCATTCCCCAGTCCGACCAACTTTAGAGAGTTTCCCGCTGTTGCTAGATCTTGAGGAGTGATTTCTACATCGTCGGCGCTGTACGTGCAAAGGTAGAGGAATCGGAGGCGCTGACACCTCGTCCACTGAGAGTGAAGTAAGCGACGATGGAGAGATAGGTAATATTAGACGCACCAGTTCAGTCAATCCGTACTCGTCGAGGAAGCCGCCAGACATGAACAAGGCCAGCGCGTCGAGCGCGGGTGGCATCTGGCGAAAGACTTCACGCACAGAACCACGGGTCGGCGCGAGGCGTCCTATGCACAGACCTAGCACTGTGAGGTGCTGCAAAGACGAGATCGCCGACGAGATCAGTTGTAGGTGCGTGGCTGCGATGCGGAACGAGCAATCGAAACACTGTAGTGTGGGTATCCCGCGGAGAACTTCCGCGAGCAGAGTAACGTTCGTCGAGAGCAGTACGTCCCCGTAATTCTCGTCTCCGCGAATCTTGAGCTGAGTCAGGCGCGGAAGCTTGAACGGAGCATACGTAAACGCAGTGAAGAGCTGCTCTTCCTGTGTCTCTCGGAGGGTCTGCAGTGTAAGTGACTGGACATCGGGGAGGTTGTGCAGGAGAACCTCGAGGCGGCCGAGGTCACGTATGAAAAGTAGATTGAGATGTGTGATTTGCTTCGATAGACCCCCGAGCAAGTGGCCACTGGCTGGTGTCGTGAAGAAGAAATGTAGCTCGCACAGGTCCGGGAAGGTCTCCTCATTTATCTCGACATCCTGGTAATTGCTCAAGAGAGGGTCGATAATGTCTTCATGTGTCCAACTGAACGCTATCCAGCGGAGGCGTTTGAGCTTGTGGAACGGAAGCGCGACATATGATAGTATCCTGAACGTGAAGTGGGCATGTCGACCTTTTGGAACTACTAACGAGAGCAACACTCACGGAAGAGCGAGATTCTGTAACCTTGGACACGACGCAACAAGAGCATTGAAGACTCCGAGAGAAGGAGATGGACTGCATCCATGCCAGTAGAAGCCTTCAAGGTTGGGCATACAACGGATAGCTTCAGTCAAGCAGCCTGGTAATGGGTGTTCAGTCCACCGCCGTCACGACTCTTCAACGACTTCGAGGAGGAGACATTAGTCTGTGGCACTGACATTTCTCAAACACACCCCTGGAACCATCCTTCATGTACGCCTCAACTTCGAGGGCCTTCACAACTTTAGCGAATGAGGCGTCGAGCGCAGGAGGTCGTACGACCTCGATGACCGCGTTTCGTCCAGCTCGTCGTAGAGTGCCACTCTTTCCGGCCCGTCCACCTGTTCATCGGCCACCGAAGCTTCCCAAGAACCAGAACAGATGATGATTTCATAGAATAAGATGGGGATGGTGTGGCTGTGGAACACCCTAGAGAGAGACAAGCAGGTCCGCTGGGAGGCTTTGTTGCAGTGCCCGATGACGTCCACCCAGATCTCTGGAGGCAATAATTCATGATGGAATGGGTTTCGCACGCCAGTGGTTACAGACAAAGACTCGAATGTAGACTCTAGAGAGGACATGTCACGTTCAGATAGAAACGATGTGCCAGTGGTGGTCGGAAAGGACCCCCCGCAGCGCCCATAGATCTCAGATACCGGTGCGGCCATAAACGGTCCCCGAAATTCGCCAACGTCCGATGCCCATGCGGACATGAAGGGCTCTGCGGACGCCCCAGGTTGCATCGCTATGCGGCCATACAGGCCATCGTGCTCGCACGTCAGATCGACGTGCGGACATATGGTGACCCGTTGGCCGACGTCAACCGGTGACCTGTCCCGGCAAACGAACTTCCTGTGTGAGCTCTGTGCTCTTGCGCAGCTGCGCTCCCCCGAAATGCTCAAGTGAATGCCTAGAGTTGGCCGTGCGGCGCATCAGTCTTCCGCACTCGTATGCCTCGATCCTCCATTGGTAAGTGGGGTACACTTTCGAGCCATACTGATTCGCATCCAACCCCATCATAGATGGCAGAAATGCAACCACGAGCGTATACGTGTCTGAAAAGCCTCGAAGATGGCCTACCAATAGGCAGGCCTCGCTATCCCGGCGAGTGCGTTTCCCCACGTTTCCGCATCTGCCCACTAAACGTACAGTACTTGCATAGGCCCCTTGAAAGTCACTGCACTGTACCGCTGTGGCCGCCATGATGCCCGCGGGGTTCTTACGCAGGCGAAACTCACCCCTCTCTGTGTACCCGGAGCGAGGGAGATCACTATTGAGTGATAATATACGGCGTAGCAGGGCATGTGTGCGCGCATTTGAGTCTAAGCGTGCGTGTCCGTTGAATCTGCATGCTGTAACAACAGAGAGCTGAAATTCTGACTGTTCCGGCTTTGCTTACGAGGCGCTCAAATCTGTCAACGCCCATACGACCGCGGTTCATCGAACTTCACGCACCTCTTGACGGTGGTAGCATGTCGATCTTGCAACCTCCCGGCAATCCACGCCGCGAATCTACTCCGTCAGCCACTAAGATAGGCCCAAAGCATTCTCGACTACATCACGTGCACACCTTCTGGCGCCTATACACCACTTTGGCTGGGAGCGTGGCGAGAACATGACCCGCAGAGAGCTGGAGCGATGTTGTGGAAATTGTAGCACTGTCAGGTTTTTACGCCGTACCTTTAAACATATCTGACAGTTCTCGATTTTTGTGTCTCTCACCAGACATTATCCTCGCAGCCACTCTTTCTCGCATCAGTACCATGAATATTACATAATCAGGGGATTGCGGCAATACTGTAGACGGCTCGCTGCAAATTCAACCTTGCCACTCAATGGCTCCGCGCAGCAAACGCGGCCGTATTGGCCTCAAGAACCTGGGTAGTCCGGATTTCCATTGCGAAGCTCCTGCCCTTGATTGTTGCATGCGCCGCCTCCTCTATGACGAGCCGGATTTCCGCGACGTCGAGTCGATCTTGGAAGGTCATTGCCGCGAGCGTGGATTTTGGGTGTTATTCCTCCCGAAGTTCCACTGCGAGCTCAATCCAATCGAACAGTGCTGGGGATTTGCCAAGCGCGTATACCGTCAGTACCCATCATCGACACTCGAGGCTGATCTCGAGCGGAACACACTCTCCCCGCTCGACGCTGTCCCTCTCAACTCAATACGGCGCTTCTTCGTGCGATCCCAGCGCTTCATGGACGCGTACCGCCGTGGACTGTCGGGTAAACAGGCGGCTTGGGCAAGCAAGAGATATCGTGGTCACCGTGTGCTTCCGCAGAGTATCCTTGATGAGCTTGAGGAAGCCGGCATAGAACGGGAGTGAGCAGCATTGATTCTAACATTGTCTAGTACTACTATATAGTCTGTTATCTTGGGTTCCTAATCTGTATTTACGGTACAACTTTCTTGTCTGACTCGGAGTTGCTTGAGTCGAGCACTGTACTGTCCTCGCATTTTGTACCGATGTCCCGCCATTTAGCCCCGATTGGGACTTACATGTAGACGAGGGTTGGGGTTTGCGCGCCACACACGTGCCATCTCGCAGGCGCGGATAGTAGTCGAGAATGCTTTGGGCCTATCTTATGTACTACCGTCTTGGAGCCTGCCGTCACGGGGTCACGCTCTCGTGACGGGCAACAGCTCACCTTGTGAGTTCGTCGAGCTCCGCGATGTGGTACCTACATGAAGGCCCTCGTCGCCAAGAAACTGCTGTGAAGGGTCTCTGCAGGCTCCTGAGGCTGAAACGGAATGCAGGCAAGGGGCCGATTGCAGATATTGTCTGTTCTCCGGGGGATTCAAGCCCAGATCGGGACAGTTCGCGGATTCGGCGGATTCAGAGGAAGGGAATGTCGATCGCTAGTTCTTTCTTGTCCCCGCTATCGTTTCAAGCACACAGAGAGCGATTGAACTTTTTTCGAGATTTTAGCGATTTTTTGTATGTTACATCGGCCATGCGGACGTTTTTGAGCCGATTTTGGCAGCTCCGAGACCGGTGCGGACACAGCAGGGTCAAAATCGTGCGGACATTTTGGCCTGGATCTCGGCCATTTTGTATCTGACATGTGTGCGACTTGCTGGGGGTCCTGGTCGGAAACCAGGTGCTCATACCGAGGCGCTCAGTGATCTGGATCTCGCTGAGGCCTACATGCATAGGCCGTAGAGGTTCACCCTCTACTACTAAACTCAAGTATGTATGTAGCATGCGTAATCCGCACTACACTGTACATACATCGGCCAGAATCTCTCTAGGTAGCAGTCTAACATTTAATACATCAACCCTACAAGTGAGCGGGCTGGCCTAGTGCTGGAACTTCGTCGGCGTTTACTAACTAGTCCTAAGCCGCCACTTCCGACAAATGTTCACCAGGGCCCCGATATTGAACACATGCTAGGCAATACGACCCCGCTGTACTCCCAGTCCCAGCGCAGGGCCAGCCCCTCGCGCTTGGGTATACATATTAAACACGCTGTGACGACTGTTATTGAGTCGTAGGCTTACTGTAATACAAAAACGCCGTTCAGCAAATTCCTTCACTTCAGATCAATCACATCGCACCTACCGACACCTTTCATTCAACATAGCCGCAGTAATCGTTCAACAACGGATAGCCCCGCATGAGCCACTCCCAGTCTTCGCACCCGAAGTCCTGAACCGTTCGGAATTCAACTTTTGTGTGAGACCAAGGTTCACTCATTTTCACCTCGCCATCTACACGCTCCACTTCGCGGAAGCGCCCCCAACGGCCTATCATCCTGAGAGACGGGACGGCATCAGTGAGTTCATCAACCGATACTACAATCGGACCATCTTCGTCGTCCCCGATATATGCAAAGGCAAGCCTTGGAAGGCTTGCCCACTGGAGCGACCGAGATCAGTTCTCTCTTCCCGTGTATTGGACAACAGCGCGGCATGACGTACCAGCTCAATCCACGGGCGGCCAGGGTCCAGCGGGTCCTCCACTCCGTACCACCCTGGACCTAGACGTAGCGCCGTGACGGTCTTGGGGATTGTACGCGTGAAGTGCACGAATGCGGCCCGTCCAGAGTATCCAAACTCAATGTCGAGACCCAAGACCTCCAGACCTGGCAATGACTCGATAGCCGACAGGACAGGAGCCAGATTGGTAAGGTGTGCGGCCGCCCCGCTGAAGTCCAGACACCGCAATTTCTTCTTCGACCGAATGAAGCCCGCCAGCGCATCGTATCTGATCTCGCCCAGAGGACGGTACACATAAAGCTTGAGGTGTGTGAGGAAGGGAAGCGCAGAGGGATTTGCACCCATGGCAGCATAGAGATCGTCTGGTCGTTGGGCAAAGGATTGTATGTGCAGCGACTCGAGACGATCACAGCAACCAAATACGATTAGGATGCTGCCAAGATTTTCATCGTCGGTGCAGTCGATTGTGAGATGAGTCAGATGTTGCAGGATAAATACGGGGCATACAAAGATAGCCTGGCTTGGCACGGAGAGCTGGGTCAAGAATCCTCTATATGCGTCGAAGAGGGGCGCAAGGGTACTGTCAATCAGAGCCGCCTCTGAGCCCCCGCGATTTCGTTGCACGAACTGCAGGGAGACACTTGTTGCTCGCAACTGTTTGAGACTGTGTATCTCGCTCAGACACTGGATGCTGAAGGGTACGATTGAGAAAGACGGTGCATATACAAATGAGATATGACTCACGGCAAGCTGTATTCGCAGAGACGATTGCACGTCGATGCTAGAGTTTTCAGAAGTTCGTTGTCCGGGATACTGGACGTCCGAGAACTGGTGTGCCACCTGAATGTACGCAGATTGTGCATGGCGCCAAGAGCTTTCGTCAGGCAGCCTGTATCCGATATCACGCATATATTGGAGATGCACGAGGAACACAGAGAACATATGCGGCTTACACAATTCAAAAGTGGCCTTCAAGTTCTTATCCACGAACGCGAGTACGTCAAGATGTTTGACGTACGACGCAAACATGGAATTCGTCATGATGTGTAAGAGCACACAACACGACCTGCAGCCGCAGTCTTCTTCGACCCATGGAATGTCACGTTCAGCTTGCCAGGCTCCGAATTGAATACGGAGTGCCGAGAAAACCATGGGAGCTGCGATGTCGTGGAGAAGCTTGGAAACGGCCAGACATTCCCGCATTGTGGCAGAAGGCGCGAAGCTAAGGATAATCTGCCAGAGTTCTGGTGGCAGTCGTTCAATCCAGCCAGCTCCGAATCGTCCGACGGCCTCAGCCATGATGGTCGTGAAAGAGAACGGGAGTGTCTAGAAATTGAAATAGCGCGTAGTAAGTCAATTGTACTGAGTGTAATGAAAGTATGCTATGGTACTGCACCTTTCCCTGTCAGTCCAATCGACCTTGTTTCAAGTTTACCGTGACTGTCACTCTGCAAGGTTCAGACCGACGGTGCGCTGAGCAGCGCTGTAACGATAATAGACGCTTGCCGGCTGTTATCGTCTGCAACGGAGACTACGCTGTAACGGTCGCTCAATAAGCTCGAGTTTCCTTTTCGGGGGACCTTGCTTCATAGCGTTGCCACAGCCTCGGCTGCCAGTGGTGTGACGTACCCGTCCAGTCTGAGCGGGCCTAGCCGCCTACTGATCATGAGTCGGAGGCCTGAGGTGTTCTTTGTCCGCATAACGTTCTCGTTTATGCATTCAGCAATCATGTCTGACATTCGAACCGAGAGCCAAGTCCAGCCGTCGTTGGTACCTCCTCTAGATACATCTCTCTTCAACCCCAGTCAGATCGAGCTTGAGTTCCTCCGCACGGCGGTGTCAGCGGATGACGAAGACATGCGAAGGAGAGTTGTTGAAGTGCAGAAAGAGTGAGTTTGTCATAACGGAGACAAAATACTGGCATACACTACAACTCATTTTGCTATGTTATCACAGAGCATAGTACGCATGCTTAGTAGTCGTGTCCCAGTGCGCGCGATGATGCGACCCAACGCACCAGTGCAAAGTATCCTTACCCATGCATCCTCGGCTTCCACCATGTTGCTCTCATGATGTCCGGAAATCCGGTCTACGCAGCCGTTTTGGAGAGCGGGAAGAACGGTGATACACTGTTACTTGATCTTGGATGTTGCAGTACGTCGTCACTGTTCAAGTCTGCAGACATCGTGAACCCTGAAGGAAACCGCACACGCTCAGTGGGAACAGACGTGCGCAAGCTCGCACTCGATGGCTATCCCGCGGCGTCCATCCTTGGGTGCGACTTGCGGCAGGAGTACATCGACCTTGGGCACAAGCTGTACCGGGACCAAGAGAGCTCAGAAGTTCGCTTCTTCACCTCTGATATATTCGACGTGCTGCCGTCCTTCACCCAGCCGTCTGTAGGGGCGGAACACCTTCGTGGCGTACAGGTCACATCGTTATCCCAGCTGCGCAGCTCAGTCACACACATCTACATCGGTGCTGTCTTCCACTTGTTCGACGAAGCCACGCAATATGCGGTTGCTTTGCGACTTGCGGCGCTGCTGAAGCGCGAGCGCGGTGCTATCATCTTCGGGCGGCATCAAGGTTTGGAACAGGAGGGCATGCTAGATGATCACCTAGGCAGGTTAGTCCTATCCAGCGACCAGTGTTGTTTGATGGTCCCACAGATCTTCTGATTGATGTTCGCACAGGACACGCTATGGTCATTCAGAGCGATCCTGGCCAATTCTCTGGAAGAAGGTCTTGACCGAGGCGGAAGGCGCCGAGTTTGCTGAGACAAGGGTCAAGGTGGAAGCAAAGCTCACAGATACCTTTTGGCAGCACGTCTTCGGGGAGAAGCGGCCCGGTAGTATGCTCGTATGGAGTGTACAAATCGTATGAGAGCGCCCCATAAATGAGTCACGGTCTCGAGGATGTCGGATGTGCATGAACGGTATTGACACCGTCTATGGGATACGAGAGGGATTTGCGCGCGGTAGCCACCACCACCCAATCCCGGCGGTCCATCCGGAGTTCGATGGTTGCTGATCGTGCCCCAGGACGACGTTCTCCACGCGGTGCCACCATCCTTTGGGTATGAACAACGTCTCCCCTTCCCTCAGGATACAGCAGAATCCGGAAGTCGACATCGCTTCCACGGAACGGCCAGGTGTATCGGGTGCTGCCATGATAGCGAACGCGTCTCCGTTCTGAGATGTCGCGAGCGAGAGGCCGATGGAAGACGTGTTTCGCAGGGCGTGTTGCCCATCGGCGCGCTTCACGAACTCCGAGGCGTGAGGAGGGAGGAGAAAAATGTGCTTCGCGTGACGTTCAGGATTTGCGGAGGCGTACAGATGGTAGAGATTGAAGTATGGGTCATAATGGAGAGGCGTGACCTAAAGAATCCATCAGTCGACGAAGGGTACAACATCGAGGATCACGAACGGCGCCTGCGGGCCCGATGAAGAAGCTTGTCTGATACAAGTCAGCTTTCACAGGGACGTCTTTGAGTAATGGAGCGAGAAGCGGAGGCGGCTGTATGAGCTGTGCAAGAGCCGGTATCTGTGCGTCCAAAATCATCACCGTGAGTCTATCATGCTCTGGATCATCGAGTGACTTACGTCGTCGCTTGCCCGCCATTGCGCGAGGTAGAGCTGTCGCCCTGCGACTTTACCGCCGTTCGATTGGTCGCTCTCGATCCAATTGAGGTACTGGCCGAGTGGCAGGCTGATGTGTTCAAATGATCCAGCCGTGGCGTCGTCATAGCGTCCTAGCTCGACGTCTATGATCCTGTCTTCTGCCTCGCGAAGCCGGCGGAGCAACTCGTGCGCCCTCGACTTACCAGTCGAAGACGGCCGGTGAATATGCAGGGGAATTGAATCAGACGACGTGGCATGACGTAGGAACTCTTGAGGACTGTCAATGTCGATCGTCAAGGGTGGCACCGGTGCGGCTTGCACGCAGTGTTCCTTCAAGGTAACGTCGGCCGCATCTGTGTGCTGCGACGCGATCCTCCGCCGAAAAACGTGCCGACCGGTTGTGGATTGACGGAAGGAGCGAGAAAAGGTTTTTGAAAACATCTGTTGGTGTTTGTAACCCAGTTAGTTGGACCGCCCGTAATAAGATAAGGAGTACCGCGAAGTTTGCTTTGACATGGAGCACACTGTAAAGCCAACATACCTGTACAGTGTAAACTACGGGTCAATTCTGTTGCACAGTTAAGCTCAAGCTCCGCCAAATACGACCCCCGGGTGGTTCCACAGATACCACCACTGCGGCAACCAGTATTTGATTACAACAGTCGCAAGAATGTCAAGGAAAGAGCCGTCGATGTGTTGTATACCCTTGAGTTAGCGGGTTGCGAACTTGAAGCTGGAGCTGAAGACTTGCTGAAGACTCAGCGCGACTGCCAGCCTGGATGGCAGCCGCGCGGGAATGCCGCTGCGCGCTGAGGCGCCGTGCTCCGGGACGCGACCACGTGATATTGTCGCGTCGCGTTCGATCGCAATTGCCATTGGTTCTTGCGCTGCTTCCCTTCCTCAAGTTTTGCGGTTATTCATGATCATCCTGTGTCAATATTAAACGTACGGAACGTAATGAACGCATAAACGCTGCGCAGAGTCCATCCAAATCTTCGGCTCAACCATCACCTCCGCGTCGACCATTTAGCACCTCTTTCGCCTTTAACGACCTCCCCGAGACTCTGCGCTCCAGGCCTCCGTTCTCATATTGCGCTGCAATGCCATCTGTACCAAGGTAAACACATCTGATACAACTTTCTGCGCATACATGCTTATTCTTCCCGGATGTATGCGTCCGTCGGCTACTGAGCATGCCACCGCCAGCCGATGTCTCATTCTTCTTTCAAAAGTCCTTCACGTATTGAAGATAGTAGTCTGGGTGACGCACCAGTCTCGCACATGAGCCCTGCAAAGACGGATCAACCATGGAGTTTACCCTCGAGCATCGCCTGCCCGACGAGTGGAAAACGGACGCCAGAGGTTCGGGATTCATGTGTGCTCTTCCTCATTCCGTATATTTTGGCAACAGGGCCCCGTCAAGCAACCAAATACAGGACCCCAGTCCAGACAAAATCCGGCCATTTGAGACGGGTATACCTGATGCCATCCGGACAAAATCGACATTCATGAGGGCGGAGGCCTGTGTCAGCATCCGGACATGGTTCATCCAACCCCGCGAGGCCTGATCCTGTGCGGCCACCTTGAACGTCCGTGTAGCGTCGAAACACAGCCTGCATGCGCAAGGTCGGTGTCATGACTTCCCTGACGTCGAATGCCGAGCAGCCATAGCCATCCCGTCGGTGCACCGGTGCTCGCTAGCTTGCGCAAGCATCTCAAGGCCTGATCCTGCATTTTGGACATCAATCCGCTCGTACCAAGGCCTGATGTACAGCAGCAGCGGACAATCCTCCCTGAGGCCTGATTTAATCCCAACAAATCTAGATGTCTACGTCCAGGCAAAAATGCCAAGATCTCGGGCGGCAGGATCAGGCCTCCCCAGCAATAACTTGCAAATACTGATCACAACGGACTGTCGCAGAGCCTAAATCAATAGGTGAGTACTCGGCGGCTCAGCAGTACGTACTGTAGCGAACCCAACCCGGATGTCACCCGGCACAAACTCATCCGGGTTGTCAGGTTCGCCACAGTATTCAATAACCACGGGGCTTACATAGGATGCAACATTGACTACGGTGACCTGATGCGGTGCCTCAAGTGGCGGAAGATTGCCTGAGAGGTGCGTAAGTATGTCGCTCAAGGTATTCCAGTCATGTGCAAACCTCTGTCTTCCTGTATGGCAGAACACAATGAGGTAAGTCTAAACTTGCGATATCATCTACGCGGGCGCGCGACGTACATGACAGAAAGGTATCGCACGCCGGCCGGAGTATGCTATCTCTTTGCATCGCTCAAGATCTGTTTGCTCATAAGTACTTTTTCACAGACTCGTGTGACAGACAGGATGGCGCGCTTGGACCCATAACGAGGTATGTGTTCAGGTATAACATGGATTAGACCAACTGTGACTCAGCGTCAGATTATCAGGGTGGCTGACCGTGTATCGGAGCCTAAACCGTTCACTATTGACGTGCCACCTACATCAATCCGATTGAGCTCCGCTGGCAGCCGGTGGCACGAGGAGAACGGTGAGCGCAACAATTGCGTCGTTCTCTCGTCGCTGACCACCTGTTTCCGCTTGCGGGTGGCATAGAGGGTCGAGGGATACATTTCGGCCATTTGCTGCGTTCGTTTCCTCGCTCTCGCGCCGTGGATCCAGAGAACGTGACCGGCGGAGCTTCGACGAGCGGCCAACCCCAGCCTGTGCGGACTGGAGCTCGTGCGATCCACGACCACTTACAGCCTGAACACTACCTGTCTCGCAGCACCGCCCTCATGCCTTGCCCGTCGCCTCGCCTTGCTTTCTGAACGCTCTGCCCAGCTCTGCCATGTCCAATGAGACCCAGAAGGCCGACCAGATAACGTACAGGTTCTACACCAAGCTTACTCTCGTCGTCCATCATGCCAGGGCTACCTCGGAAGCACCAGCAGAGGCTAAGCTGGACAAGTGGGTGAGCGAGGACACATGTATATCGCTGAAGCACTGCTGACGCCCGGCAGTTCAACTTGGAGACACCAGACCCGGAGATATTTCGAGAGCAAACCCGTAGCTATCGCAGCATCTCGACTGTACAACCCGTACCCGGATTCCAACTACAGGTCCTCCTGTGTGTCCCAGAGCTGGCCAGCAACCAGGTCCTCGTCTACCATGCCCCCAACTCATCGAGGCTCCGCATCGACCCGACACCGACGCACATCGTACTCGAGTCGTGGGACCTCAGCTTCCACCCCGAACCACTACACGCGCGCCGGAGCGACGACCGCTCGGACATCACGCCGCCGACCATCTACAAGCACGGCATCTCGCTCTTTAGAAGCATCTTCACCCTTCTCCGCATCCTCCCGGCGTGGAAGCTTGCGCGACGACGGCGGACGGGAGGCAACCGGAATGGGAACTTTGGCATCGAGCTACGCATTGTGGGGCAGGGACAGAGTAGAGGGGAGATTCTGGGTTTCGGTGCGCAATGCGGGCATTGTATACATGCGTAGTGAGTCGCTGACACCTGTTGATAGACACGCCACCTGCGCCAGGGGCGTCGCCGCTCGCCAAGGAGGTGCACGCATTCGCGCCCATTACGCACCCGACGGGCTCCCTCTCCCTCTCTGTAACATATCTCACAGCACCGCACTTTGAGCTCGATGCTCTCGAGTCGCTGCTGTCGTCGCGCTTCCTGTCGGACGAGGGTCCGGACTTCACGCCTACGCTGGCCAAGAACCAGCAGCGGGACTCGCTCTCGACCTCTCCTGGGAGCCTGCCCATGCGCACGTCATTGCCTCGCTCGCCTCCCTCCGCGTCATTAGCAGATCGCTTCGTCGTCGCGCCTCCGATAAGCTCGCGGACCACATCATTCCCCACCGTTGGCGGCAGCAGCCCCCGCATGCAGAGTGTGGCGTTGCCTTCCGGAAGCCCTCGCATGCAGAATGTGGCGTTACCTTCGGTACGGCGGCTGTCGAATGCAGGCATGGGTACAGCAGGCTCTGCGTCAGGCCTATCAGACGAGTCATCGCGGCAAGGTGCTGGCTCTATCAGGGATGATGGTCCAGGCGTGTCCGCTTTGGGTGTTCGGTACCGAGTGGAGAGCTTCGGAGGAGGAAGGGGCACAGTGAGTACTTTGTTGCAACTAGCATGCATTGCCTGACGATAGACTGCATAGGAGTACTCGTCGGCTCAAGGACCACTGCCTATTCGGCGCCAACCCATGAACCCTATCAACCCCTTCAAGTCGTCGACACTCTCGTCTGGCTCACCGTCGACCCACTCACCTTCACCGTCACTACGCCAGACCTCGCCGCTCTCCTCCCTACCTGGCGGTCCTTCCCTGCCATCGCGACCCGCTCACACGTCGCCGACCTCCTCACGTGCGGGCGCGAGTGCTGTACCGGTCGCCGTGAAGGTATCGTCATCCCCTGTCATCCCGTTCCGACCGTCACCGCCGTATGCGCCGTCCAGCCTTGGTGATCGTCGGTCATTAGCCAGCGCTGAGGGTGTTGCTGGCGGCATCTCAGAGAGTCCGGGTGGTACCAGGAAGCGATACTCAAGTAGCTTCGGCCATCGTTATGCCGCCACAGGAGGAATGGGCAGCGAAGGCAGCGCAGGAAGTGGTCCTAGGGAAGGGGAGCGCGTGGCTGTGAGTGTCCGTCCGGCCTGCTTATATGACCTGGCCATCGTGATGCGAATCATGCTGACGATGTCCCAACAGGGCGCTTCTTATCTGAGCGCGAACACGGACGATGACGATATCTCCGCATTCGTGCAGGACATCGATGCGCGGAAGCCGCTGCAGCGTCTGCGCGAGCAGAGTGAATCCTCGCCGGCCGAGTCTCCGGTGGAACCTCAGAGTGCAGCGGAGCCGGAGAGGCCGTCAGACTTACTCTCGCGCGCACGCACGCTCTCCATGCCCGAACCAATGCTGGCTACGGAAGCCGCAGTGGATGAGCGGCTCCGCGAGATGAGTGACGCGTTCATGTCAAGTTTGCGGGGCCTCGACAGTCGGCGACGTGCGCGGGGCGGCATACCTAGTCCCGGCGGGCGCTCCACTGATGCACGGGGTACGAGTGGCACTCCCGTTGAAGAACGGCAAGGCGGTCTTCCCCTGGACGGTGCCAGGGTGAGTCCGGCGAACATCGGACTGCCCGCGACCTACACCCGCCCGAGGATGGGATCCACAGCGAGTATCCGGTCTGGCTTCAGCGTCGCATCTGGAGAGGTGCTGGGCAAGATGGACCCGGAGGTAGGCGATAATCCTGGGAGAGGCGGCGCATCCTAGGGGTTCACTTGCAGGTAGATGGAGTGAAGGAGCCCCTGAGACGGATGTCTATCTATGCTGCCTAGACGTCCGGAGCCTCAGCTATTATTGGACTCCGGCTAGAGAGCGTAGACCTCAACGACCTCGATGACGATGATTATGGTGTGTATATATGTAATCCTGTATGCTTCCTCACGTTCCGGCATTTCGCCCCACTCTGCATTGCTCCGCCCTACCTACGACGAAGGGCCATCGAGGCTGTACTTTTACTGGGTGGTATAGTCCGTCATCACTGTCTCACATTTTTCCTTTCCTTTCATTCGTCATACTTATGTAGCATGCAAATTCTCGGAAGGACGGTAGTCGGTGTTCCTGCATATGTTCACTTATTGCTTTGCATATGTCTAGCATACCCGCAATATCAGACGGCCATTCATGTTGTCGTATACTAACAAGCATTCGCACAATCCATTATCATTTGGGTAATACTCCCTATCATGGCGACCACTGGGGCCTGAGGGCGTCCGCGCTTCGCAGTAACTTTGAGCGCGAAGCTTTTTGTACGTCGTCACGATGTCACCAGCGTCGCTCACTAGATATCCTACCTCAAGATTCGGTGTGCTGGTTATTGAACGCATTCCTGGATCATTGGTGGCTCGTCTCAATCTTCATGCAGTCCCAGATCTAGAGCAGTATAGCATTGGCACTGTGAGACGACAGCAAATGCATATGCACTCTCCAAAAGCGTGATACGAGTCTGAATAACAGCCATTTCCATGTCATAAATAATTCGCGCCAGTAGGTCCTTCACGGATTCTGCGGCCCCTTGCTCTTCGTAAACAAGGCACGAGCCACGAAAAGCGTCGCCGTTCCCACCAGCATTACGATCTGGAGCATGTTGACAAGGTCACATTCGCGATGATAAGCATTCCAAGGGTCATGAAGGCCGCTGCACGAACGCCCCAGGCGAATCCGACTCCGTGGTTGAACAGCTGGTTCAGCATGATGGGATATACCGCACCACCGATCGACGACCCTACATAACCTGTGAGTAATCTGGAATGAGCGCAGATAGAAGCCTTGCAGTGTACCCATCAGAACGATGCCCATGGCAAGAGCCCGTCTTCTTCGCCAATGATGCGATTGTACAGACAGCGCCGGAACAACAAGTAAACCAGTGCCAAGCCCACCGCTGATACCCTGAGCGAGTAGGAGTTCGTAGTAGCGAGTCGGATTCGCAATGGACAGCATCATTAGACTGGGTATATGACTGATAAGTGTTATCCTGAAGTAGCGGATAGAACGTACGAGAAGACGTAGAGGAGGCTACCAGAAATCATGATGTGATGAAAGTACCCTTGGTCGAATAGCTTGCCCGACAGCAAGCCCATAGAAAACAAGAAGAATATCTGCGGAGATTAGAGTCCACGGCAAATATGTCTCGTACGAAGAGTTCGACTTACCTGTAGCGACCCGATACAGCTGATGTTCGATGAAGAGGAAGTCTTCTCGTTGACATAGTAGTCTTGGAACACTCCGTACGAGAAAGCAAAACCGAAGGTGCAGAATGCCACGATCCAGCTACCAGTCACAGAGTTCATTAGAGGAGCACATGTACCAACACGTACGATTCCAGGGCGGAGTCGTGCATCTTGTGCTATCACCACGCTGTGAAGATATGAAGGAATGGAAGTTGTCTCAGACAGATGTGTACCCGCCAGAAGTTGTCTACATATGTAGACCGACCAGAAGTTATCTACAAATGTAGACCGGCCAGCTGAGCATACCGAGCGGCAGCGAACTACAGTAGGTGGCACGACCGGCGAACACGCGCCACTCACACCGGAGACACGGGCCGGTCGGATTAGGGTTGTCCCATATTCAGCCGAAATTGATTCCTATATGGTGCAAGTACGACAAGGTGTTAGACCACCCAATATACCCCAGCATAAACGTCCAGTCTACGGTGACCACCATTTCCACGAGGTAGGTGAGCAGATTCGATTGCCTTTACTGTCACACTCGAGCGCTGTCGTCGTCGAGAAGTCGAGACGCGCGTGCGCTATCGGCCGGTGGCTAAATGTACCCTCCTCCTCCTCCTCCTCCTCCTCCGAACGGTAGGCGCCGCGCGGAGGCGTGGCAATTCATTACAACGACTGGCGAAGATACTTATAGCGCACAAAACCCGCTATCCTACGAACGCCCGGCCCGAGAAGGACCAGCCACGCCAACAGCACCCGCGAGCTCAGCTGTACGAGCCGTGAACCCGTTCTGGGCAGCCGCAGTCATCAACTCTTCATGGAGGGCCTCTACACACGAGAGCTCGAAGGACAAGATGTCCATCTGGGAGGTGAGAGTCTCTGCACGCGCCGCGGCGCTCTCTAGGGCTCCACGGACCTTGGACTGGCCTGCGAGCTTCTCAACGTGGGACCGAGCGGCCCTGGGGACCGACGCGAAATCGCCGACGAGGTCTTTGAAGCTCTTTGAAGCGTCATCGAGGCGGGCCCGCTTGTTGGGGCGCGATGAGGGCGCGGTGACGGGTTTTTCCTTGTCCTTCTTGTCTTCCGCAAACACTGATGTTAGCTTGGGAGCATCAACGGGGAAGGAATGAGGAACTTACTCCCTGAACGTTCCTCGCGCCTTTTCCCAGCAAACGAGGCACCCCCGAAGTAGCAACCAGCCTGTGCTTGAGCACAGGCGATGCACGCTACATCGTCGGGATCCGCGAAGATGCACTCGCGTACTTCGACAAACCAGGAAGCGCACCGGTCGCACTGGGGGCCGTAGGCTACTAAGTGTGCACTGGTAGTCGAAACTGACGATCACTCACCGTCTTCGTAGCTTCCCAGATCGCCCAGGCGCGGGCCTTGCGCGCATCGACAGTGGTCTCAGCCTTTGAGGCTGCGGCGGGCTTCAAGTGGTCCAATAGGGCTGCTCAATTCTCGCCGCCCGTTCGTCGGTTCGTCGGGCACCTGCCCCGTAAGGCAGGTAGCATCAGATCCGGATCAAGCCCGGCAGATTCCCGACTAATCCAGCCACCGCCTACGGACAATGGCGCTCAACGACTCGTCGATACTTAGCACTGACCGATACGACCTTTCACCAGCCAGAGGACGAGCCTAGGGTGACTCGGAGCTCAAGCGCTCAAGCGCTCACGTCCTGGTTGGTTTACCGTCGCAGAGCTGTGAACGGCGATTTCGAAGTTAAAGAATGTAAATGTAAGATGCATTACATAACATTTTTAGCAGTCAATGTAGGTTATTGTCGGGACAGATGAGAGAGCGGCAGGGGAAGAAAAACGCGATGAATAGCCCGACTAGAAACGAGACTCAAGACTGTGAACTGACAGCAGTGAACGCGCGCGTTAACGGAAAGTTACTGCTGACTACCTATGTGATTATGTAAGCCCACTGATAGCGAGCCCTCGACACTGTGTACATGCATCCCATAGCAATTGGCAAGATTCAGGTATTCTGTGGGTATCGTACACATCCGACACCTCGTACGTAATGTACAGTCGGGAAGTGAGCTGACCTGAGCTCGTTCTCTCGTTGGTCCTGCCGCTTTCGGTAGGCGGTGGCTGGATCAATCGGGAATCTGTCGGGCTTGATCCGGATCTGATGCTACCTGCCTTACGGGGCAGGTGCCCGACGAACCGACGAACGGGCGGCGAGAATTGAGCAGCCCTAATGCCTCAACCTCGCTATCGCTGATGAGTCGTCGGGCTTGCGTTTCTTTTTGCCCTTGTCCTTCTTGGGGGCGGGAGCTTCGTCGATAGACGGGGGGGCTTCGATAAGGCTTAGGCGGCGCTGTTCAACCACGATCCCGTTTCCTCCTCGACCAGGGGCGCGAGCTTCGGCGGCCTCGGCGCGCTTGGCGCGCTCCGCAGCTCGAGCCGCTCGAATGCGCTGCTCTTCTTCCTCTCGGACACACTGTTCTTCTTCCTCCCAACGACGGTCTTCTGCCTCTGCGCGCTCGCGTTCGTGCCGCACGAGGACACGAGCGAGGAGCTCCCACCCGGGGGTGCTCTCGGCCACGCGATGGGCAGCTTCGGGGTTGCGCCGAGCCGCCTGATCGACCAGCAGGCTGAGTTGGCCTGCGAGGTCCTCGGGCATGCATACGCCCTTTGCACGGCGGTTATATCGGTCCTTCGAAAATGAGTTAGCCCAAGTCTGCTGGTGAGCTAGAGTACGAGATATTTACAAGCTGTGAGTACAACCCTTCGAGGTACTCTTCGATGTCGCTGTTATTTTCAGGGCACTGGTGCTGATCAACCCAAGTGCGGAATATGGTGAGTGGGTCCGAGGCAGCAGCAGAAATGGAGTGAGCATGGGAGTAAATGGAAGTGGACATGGTGAAGTAAACAGTCTGGACTCTGAGATAGCAAGCAGCACCGTTGGAGGTGGGGTATGGGCTACTTATAGGGGGGTCTGCAAGAACCATATCTTATCTATCGTGTTTTGTCCTGTTTGCTTTGTGCCTTTGTATTCAAAGCCTGTAGAGACCTCCACAGTGGGTACATGAGCGTGTTGGAACTCTGAAACCCGTCTACGAAGATTGGTCCCCCTGGGAACCTTTTCTGAGGGTGTTTGGGCCGTCCGAACATCCTCAGAAAATGGTGTGTTTCAGCCAAATTTCAGCATGTTCGACTAAAACACGTTTTCGGAGCGTTTTCTGGGTCCGTCAAATCTCAGAGAAGGTTCCCATGAGCGACTTTGTAGCATTGTCGGAGCCGAGCAACCTGGTTCGCCCGCGGTGCTCACTGCATAGACTACACTGAGCAGCCCAAGCCCAATATTGAGCCCACTCAAAGGTGCCCAGAGGCTCTCAGCACTCGCAGCTCGGCACCACTCCGAAGGGTGGTGCGAGCTCGACTCCGAGTCGTTCCCGGAGGAATATGTGTCGCATACCGCGAGTCAGAGCCAGAGGTCGTAGGTTCAAGTGTCATGCGCTCACAAATGAGCCACGATACACCATATATTTTGTTCGGGTCGAACGACGCGCTCGACGCGGCCCACGACGCGCTCGACACCGGAGGCGTCGAGTGTCACGAGCCCGTGGCGAGCGCTCGGAGCGCTAGCGTCAACACGCTGCTATCGACTCAGACCGCCACCACCATCTCTTCGACCGCCAGCACTTCGGAAAGCCACCACGAGTGCCCGTCTGGCAGCTCGGATGCGCGCCCTGCCCGAAGAGTAGGCGAGCACGCATTTGCGACTGGCGGACTGAACTGGCGGCAGTTCAACTAGCGGCCCTCGACGACTCGGACCCCCTGGCAACTCTGAGTCTCTACGGCTCTGGCGACAGTAAGTATAGGACAAGGAAGTTTGCTACCGGCTGCCCTTCCAGTCCCGCCGACTCAGCATAGGACGACAAGATATTGTCGCCAGTTGACGACGATTTAGCGTTCAGAACTGACTTGAAAGTATACGACATTGCAGCAATACACAAAGCAGCGTGCAGAGCACAACACATGAAAGCAATTCGATGTTCCTACATAGCTACATACAAGATATGTACAAATAGTAAACACCACGATCATGAATAACTCGGACTTATATACAATGACCTAGGGAGAAACCATGCCCACTGGACCATTTCCGTTTGATGTTGGTGTCATAGCGTAGAACCCGCCACCCTGAGGCTCTGCCGATCCTCCCAGAGTCGGCGACATCAACAACGAAGTCATATCGACGGTCCCATCGTTGAGCAACGCAAGGATATCGCTCTGCGACATGGGCAACGAACTGTCCGTTGACATCAAGTCCAAGCCGTTCGACGCGTCCATGAAAGAGGAGATGCCTCCGAACCCGTTCTGTGCGAGCGTCTGTGTAGACGGATTTGATGCGAATGGATTTGGCTCTTGGCTTTTGGCACGAAGATCCATGAAAGCATCCGTGTAATCTTCTGGACTGCTATGGTGCGAGGGTGAGTCCGCAGAGTGAGCAGGTGAACGTGCGGTCGACGGTGTCTTCTTGCGAGCAGGCCGTACCCAAGCGGGTCGATTGCTCGCTCCTGGGCATTCATTGCGCGCAGCATCCAAAGGAATCGCGGTGACTAAAAACCCCAGACGAGCCGATCAGTAAGGGCACGAGTAAGGGCACGACAACGAGTGGCGTGTACTTACGCCTGCAGAACTCCTCCAACAGATCACCGGAGCGTTGACCGCAGATATAGCGGCCGCTGAACCGCTTCAACAAACCAACAGACGAACGGAGAGCCTCGAGACCAGGAGCGATCAGAGGTTGCATATTCTCCGGTTGGCAGCACAGTAATACTGCCACCAGAGTACGACCGGCAGCCGTAAGCTGATGGATGACATGTACCCCATCTGGATGCACACCGTATGTGAGCACTGGCCCACATGAGCGTGACTAAGACTTACAGTAGGTCATCAATCCCTTCGCAGCAATGTGCAGATGCGAAGATATGATCTGGAGAGCACATGCATGTGCAGCCCGCATCGCCTCGACCTCTGCGTCCGTTTGCTCGATGGTTCCCATCTGTGTCCGCTCCGCGACCATCTCCGAGAAGCGATGCCGATGTATGAGCATCCGCACATACTGCTGAGCACAATGCAAACGATTCGCTTGCGTGACTCGCAACACGTCGTCGCTCGTCATTGTCTCCACGGAGTGCGCCCAATGAGGAGGGATGGACCGCACGATCTCGTCCAGCATCGCTTCCTCTTCGCGCAGGTCTCCCATTCGCTTGAAGGGCCCCAGGACCGACGATGCCCGGGCGAGGAACGCTGAGCACCCTTCGCCAATAGGTCGAGGAGGCGGAATGTCGACGACCGACTCCAACACGATGAACATGCGGATGCAGCTCACAAATGCGCTCATGCGAGTCTCCGTCTCCGCCGGCTGTGCTCCAACGCCCTCGCGCGTGATGAACTCGTCATCCAATATCGCAGGCTCGCCGACGTCGCAGTCGCGCAGACGGATGACGGGCGGCCGCCCGAAGTACGAGCTCGCCTGCTTGTCCCACATGTAGACGCACCAGAACGTGCGTTTCCGCACCTCGTCTTCGATCGGGTCGAACACGTCATAGTCATCCACGGAGCGGTGCAGCCCGATGTCGATCGAGAGAGTAACGGCTTCCGCGAGGAGCCCGAACGCCTTCGAGAGCTTGCCGAGACCGACGGCATACACGCCCGCAACAAGCACGCCCTGGACTGTATAGATCGTAGGTCTATCTGCACTCGGAAGCGTCCGCAAGCGGCCGAAGAGTTCAAACCATTGAGTGCCGGCGCTATTCCCATCGTTGGGATCGCCACGCACGCGAGGATCGTCGATGTGACGAGAAGACAGACAGCAGACCGCCACCACGAAGGCAGCGAATCCTGGTTCGCCCCATTTCCGCGGGTTGCCGTAGTCCTATGAGTACATCGCTGAATAGATGGTTCCAACAAGTAGTGATGGAGCGCCTACCGCAAGGAACGTCGGAACGTGCAAGAAAGGCAGCAAATAATAGCTGGTCGACAAGAAACATTGCACAAGACTGACAGAAATCAATACCGGAGCTCAAAGCCAATGCAACCGCAACAAACCTGTCCATCAGCTCCGGCGCAATGAAGGAAGTGATGAGCTTCCACACGGCCTCCGGGTTGTTGTCCACCCTCTTCGACGACCGATCCGGGAACCAGTCACTGACCGCTTGCCCGTTCTGGCTCGTCCACACCTGCGCCTGGGCCTGCCCTCTTTCCAGATCGGGCTTGACCGCCATGTTGTGGCGCTCCACCAGCAGATCCAAGAGTGGCAGACCTGACGTCTCGCCCTGCCACCGAGTATACCCCTCATCGTCGAAATATAGATATGAGGACGACAGCGACATCCGCGCGCTGTCGTCAGTGAGATTGTCGACCACTATGATGCCGCTTTGCCCGCCCGAGAAGCTGGGGCTGGAGTGGCGCGTCGCCTTGACGGGCGCGAAGAACGTCGACGGGTTCATGAGGGGGTAGGAGTTGAGGGAAGGCGGGGGGACCGCAGTCGGGAATATGTGTGTCGATTCGGCGAACGATGCGTGCGGGCTTGTGCTCGGGTCGATCGGTGAGTGTGGGGCAGATGCACCTGCGCCACTCGCAGCAAAGACGGCGGGAGGGATGGCTTGAATCAACGTCTCCAAATGGTGCATGCGATCCTCGAGGGTCGCGGCACGCCTATCAGAGCGGAAAGTCAGCGATGTTCCAAGAATAGGCGCAAACGAGGTCATGATGGTAGATGGAAAGACGAGTATTAGGGAAAGGTGTGCCTTTGCAAGACATCCGCTCTATGTCCGCGAAACGGTACAATTAGGTTCTAGAGCGCGGAGGCAGAAGCATTATGCCATCTTGGTAAGCCACAAAATCTGAAGAATGAACGCGACGTGTGCGTGGATCTAAAACCAGTTTCGATTGACTGGTGCAGATGGGATCTTCAACCCCTGAATGGCGATCTGTGGCCAAAAGGACAGAGCCTTTCCCCTGGTTTTGTGAAGTGACGATATAGCACTCGCCACTGCTAGCGATAGTACGCCCATGTGAACGGGTACACGTCACAGCATGCGACCGGCCAGGAATCAGACTGATAGACTTGAATTGATGACTCCAAAATGCACGGGTAGTGCTTAGCCAACACACCACGCGACGGCAATGCTAGGGCGGTTGAAAGGACTGCTGGGCAGTGATGAGGAAAGAGTAGACATGGTCGCTTTCAATGACCAGGCCCACACCACGAGACTCGCTGGGGCACGGTTGAACCTGCTCGTCGCGCAGAGTTCTGCTAGTCGCGCGTGCCCACGACGCTAGGCTCCGACTTCGACGGATCCACGGGCGCAACTCGTTCCAACCGCTCGCCCGACGTGACCCGGGGTGTGAAAATGGTAGCGCCACCTCTGGAACCGTGTATACCAGCGCATGCCAGGACTGAGCGTAGGGATCGTACAGAAGGTGGGGAGGCCAGATCCCAGCTTGGCGACATATTCGTCGGTGGTGATACCAACCCGCATGTATCCCCGCATGTATGACGCTGTCTCGGATCTTGTTGGTGGGCACCATTGGTGGGTTGAGCGTCCTGAACACGCAGATAGGGCTGGTCACGGTATCTCGGCCTCCCGTAGACCAAGGCGCTCAGAGCAAACGCCAGAAATCGCACAACGGCACACCGCGCCACCATCGTCGACGCTCGGAGCCCCCGGGAGAGAGAAATGACTCACTTTGATTTGTGCGGGTGTGTCCGCTTTCCCGGCTCCTCGAACGTGCATGACGAATTGGATGTGAGGCACGACTGGCATGGGTGACCCTCGTCGCACTTGATCCTACGACGCCTGTCCCAGTATGTGAGCTATGGGGGTAAGCTCCCGGAATTGGGCAGCATGGTGCTCACCGACACCGATCGCACGCTCTATAGTTGCAGGACTTCGGTGAACACATATCAGATGATAGTCGACCGCGACGAACCTGCTAAGCTTGAACCGCCTCTCCTTCAAAATAGAGCTGGTGCTGGCGACCGGAGTAGACGATAAATTCGAGGTCGACGCTGACGCCGACTTCTCCGCAGCTTGCTCGTCGCTGTTCCCGTTCGCTGGCGGCATGTTGAGAGTAACTCAAAGTTGACTCAAAGAGCAGAAAAGCTGGATCGAGGAGTGGGAACGACGAGCGTGATGACAAAGTCGCCTTCAGCCACCGACTCATGCGACCCTCCATGCGGGGATAGCCGGGCCGGGCCGCCCCTCAACTCAGCGCGCCTGAGGCTGCAGTGGCCGGCTCCATTCTTGCCACAAGTTGAAGGGCTGCGCGGGGATAATTGTAGTTGCGACCAAACCGGTATAGTCAGGGAGCACAGAACAGCGAAGCAGAGAGCTCAAAGGACACACATAGTGTTTGAAAGCAAGTGAAGAAAGATGGGAACGTTGCCGATTTCATTTCGAGGTTTCTTATCCCGCTCAACCTCCGCACCAGCCTCGAGCGAGGTCGATGCAAGGTCGATGTGGTGCCTCGCCCATTGCCAAGCATGCGTGGCAAATAACCGACTTTCTGCAGGTCTCCGGAAGGATGTTGGGTTGCCGGAAGACGGTGCACATGCGTGCAACGGAGCATCCAAATGACGTAGAATCGATTTCGACGGACTAGGCAGCATACTGGAATATATTACCATCACAAGAACATCTCCTTGGAATAACAATGGGTGCTGTAGCAAATACCGAGCAAATATCCAAACACTCTTTCCTGACCATTGCGGAATCCAAATCATAGTGCAGGGATCATTCGCTCGACGTTGGGGAACCGAGGTGTCACACGAGCACGGAATGGTTGCGGATGGCTGCAGGCGCAAAGTACTCTCGAATCAGAAAAACACGATGACTGATCCAGGATACGAACCCACCCAATGAACCCATCAAATGTTGGGTCAGGTTCGATAGGAGTGCCGTCGGCATTCAGAGCTTTGGATATCTCGAACAGCGCGAGAACGGATGCAACGGCTATGAAAATCGAGTCCTCCGCAAGACCCCTGCCTGGACACACGCTGGGTGGCAAGGATCAACGCCAAATCTCCCTCTGCAGGCACAGTCGCGCGACTCACCGCCGGCCGTACCCGAAGGCGAACTGACGAGGATCCGGGTTCAGCCCCGTGTCCTTGCTTTGCAAGTATCGCTCCGGCTTGAACTCGAACGGATCAGGATACAGTGCGGGATTGTGCAAGATGCCCCTGTGTGACCATCGTCACGAGAAGCTAACGAATCAGTGAACGGAACCGACTCACCAATTGTTGACCAAAATCGTGGCCCCCGCGGGAATGTGATACCCCTCATAGACATCGTCTTGTACCACTCGGTGCGGCAATCCTTCGACAATTTGTGTCAGGGTAGTACGGAGCGGAATCGATCGGATATACTCACCAATCGGAGCTACGGGGTTCCATCGGTAGATCTCGAAAATCACAGCCTGCACGTACGTCAATCGCTCGAGATCCTCCCAGTCCGCCAGATGACCGGGTCCGAGTATTGTATCGAGCTCATTGTGTACTTTGCGCTGGACCTCCGGATACAGTACCATGGCGAGGAAGAAGGCCTCCACTGCGGAAACGGTCTGGAGACAAATCAGGCAAGGCGAAGAGGTTGTATGAAATTACGGACCGTGTCTGCACCAGCTGTATCGCGTTGATAGTATTGGTGAGCGGCGCATAATAAAGGACACCAAGACGTACCGGAATAGATTGAGCTTGACATGTACCTGAATAGCCGGTCTTCTTCCTCAGTACGATTCGGATTTTCCTCGATGAGGCTGGCCGTGATGGACGGCTTGGCTACACCTTTCGCCTACAGAGGTAGTGATGATTTGAACACGACCGAAGCTTCGCGGAGTAAGTATCGCCTACCAATTGTTCTTTAACATACTCGAACGGCTCGTCCCTCAGGCTCTCCGTAGTCTGACGCCATGCCTTCATCTTTTGCTTCCATCCGGCACCGGGGAACCACTCAGGCACATATCTCACTGTGGTTTATAAGCCAGCATCCGGGACGATCTATGGGAGGCTCGTACATGCAGGGATGATGTTGACCAAGAAGGCTCCCGGCTCAGCCGCCATGCAGTACTCACTGTTAGCACGCTCGGCGAGGCGGACCAGAGGGTCGTCGAGGCTCTCCACGGAGTAGCCGTGGCTGACGCCAAAGGATATGCTTGCAATGAACCTGCAATCAACATGAACACCGCGCCCTACATCATGTGGTTGAAACTCACCATCGTATGTGAGACCAAAGATCCTCGGGAGTGTGCAGCAGCTTCCCAAGGAATCGGTTCATCTTCTGCTGCTGGAGATGGCGGATCTCGGCGGCTTTGCGCGAGCTCAATCCATTCGCCATGATCCTCCGTCCCTCCCGGTGATAACTGCCGTACCCGCACACTGGCAAGAATGGCCCAAATCCCATTCTGTGCACGAGCTTCGCTCAGTAATGATCTGAAGAGGCTAGGCTCTAGATAGCTTACAGCTCGCTGGTCGTGATCTGGACGGGTCTGTCCGAGTATATCGCGCTCCGCTTCTCGAGAAGTTCGTTGACGATCTCGGGAGAGTTGAGCAGTATCATCGTTTCGCCGGGGACGGATAGATATACTATGCCGCCTGATCGAGAATACGTCAGTTTCAACCTCCAGAACATGTAGTACAGAAGGCTCACCATAGATCTCGCCCCACTTCGCAAAGGTGACCCACGAACTCTTGGAGGGGATCTGCAGTGCATTGCCGATGATGGGTAGCCTTCGAGGACCAGGAGGCAATCGAAGTGTTAACCGGCGAATTACCTGACGATACAACAGGAATGTGAGTAGACCAACGCCGAGGAGGACGTGTGGCATCGACATCTCGTCAAAGATAGACATAGGATTCGCCGCGGCGAAAGGACGTTGGAAGAATGAAAGACGAGCAACCCTGGCGATATATGAAAAAGCCTCTGACCTGTATATGTATACCCACCGAGAGCGCCCCGCCGCGCCCAAATCGCGCCCTCAACTCAATGTCCACGGTCCCACAGACTGATGCCGATCCCTGTGCAGCGCTTGTGATAAGCGAGTTGTAGCTAGTCCGGCGATAGGCAAGCACGCCGCACCAGTGGTGCATTCCATTCGTCACATCCGCAAGGTGCACCGCCTGAAGGAGTGAGTAGTACTGGTCGTGCAATCCTTTTGAAGTTAGCACCCCGTACGGCGCTTGTTTCGGTCCATACCTGGACTGAGACCGGTCTCATGGGGGTGTCGCCCGCCGCTCTCCTATCTCTTCTCAGTCTTCACGTCGTCTTCTCTGTCACTTCCCATCACCGCGCAGAACAGCATCTGACGACTGGTGAAACAGGCTAAGCAGTCGTTTCGCGTGATGGATATGGTACAACTTCGACAGTCACCAGTGGATTTACACTGGTATACAACATTCATCGACTACATGTACAACACATCAACATGCGCCACAAGAAGACGGCTAACTCCTGACGCACCGGGAACACAGCCACTTCGTACACTGGAACACATCATACAAGGATATCACATACAACACGAGTTCAAACGCCTCATCGTGCCCTCTCCTACTGCCCGCGGAGCGAGCGGGTATAGTCCACCAGGTTCTTCAACTGCTCCAGCGTAACGAAAATCAGTATGGTAGTTGGCTGCAGACGGGTCCATGCAGGAAGCCAGCCTCGGAACATGAACATCGGCCCTTCGTTCTTGAGCGACGTCCTGATGACTTGCAAAGTCGACTGCACAACCGATCCATAAGTAACAAGTTATGTGAGCATGGGACTGACAAACCGATCCGTCCTTGCCCGAGGCGCTCATGATCCGGCTCTGCCAATCAGATGAGTTCTGCAGTATTAACGCACAGAAAATGCTGTGTTGTTTACCTTGATGACGTCGGCTGGCGAGCAAACGGTTGTTGCTACTGTGCCCTACAACTGTCGCTTGAGTATTGTTATGCCAAGGCGGCCATGTAGCGCTTACAGCAGCAAAGCTCGCCGTCACATGGACGTTAATGTTATCTTCGAAGTAGTCGGTCTTGAGCAACTCGGCCTTGAAGAAGTCGTATCTAGTAGGAGCGATGTTTAATGCACGCGCTCAAATATCACGGAGGCGTGGAAGGACTTACGACGCCAATTGACTCGCATTCATTAGGATTGCTCGGAAGACGTTGGGACCAAGTCCACGTCCTAGGGATGACCAACCTTCCTCCCTGACCATCTACATAACAGCTCTAATGCCTTGATTGCAAGCGGTTCATACGGATCACGTACGCGGACAAGTCCATCAACGGCATTCTTGTATCCCAACTGCTTCTCTGGTGGCTTGGCCAAGTCACCTTGGAGTCGGACCTGAGTACGCACGTGCGTCAAGTACACCTTCTAGTGACACAGATTGGAACGCTACAGACCATAATGATCTCTGCGCAGATCCTAATCTCAGCGATCGGTATGGTAGATTAGGGTGAGATTGACTGACCTCCGGGATTGCCGACGAGGCCCGCAATACCACCCGCTACATAAACGCATGTATAAGCGTCCGGCGAGCAGAATAGAGCCTTCTATGTCCGCACCCATGCTACCCGCAAGCGCCAGCTTCCACGCCGGTGCATTTGGACCTGCAAAGTACATTCAGATTGATATGCTCGCGCGCAAATGATCTTGCCCACCTGCTCCTACGATCTTCTTGCTCTCGTCGTACGCCCAGAACCGGCACACCGAGTATGACATTTGGCGTAGCCACGTCCCAGTAATACCGTCAAAGAGTCCCCGTACACCAGCCGTGTGCACAGTCTTGCGTATCGACGCAATCATCCTCTTGTCATCCGTCGCCTGTAACCGCACTTTGGTTAAATCCAGTGGGCTGTCAAGCACCAAATTAGTTCATCGCGCTCCTATGTCACGACGCGTCATCCAAGACTGATTACATACTGTGTTATGGATGCAGCGATTGTCGCGGCGACACCTAGATGCGGACATAGTGGAGATTAGATCGAGCTCGATCGTACGGTCGGTCGAAGCCAGGCCAGTGGCTGTGCTTTAGGATGAACGTAACATACCTCCGAGCCAGAACGGGTACGGCTGCTTCTTCTTGGGCGGCGCGACGTCAGGAGGCAGGTTGACCGGAAGCGACGCTGCTGATTCCAGAGTCTTCGACATGGCTGGTCTCGATAGGTGAGAACGCTAAAGCCTCGACTCCGAGTTGGATGGATCGTTGGAGTTCTGCGACTAACTTGAAGGGCCTGCACCTGATGCAATACAGTCGAAAGCTAACCCGCCTCGCACTGGCAGGGGCTGGAATGAGCAGACGCGACGCGCGCGGTTTACTGTATATAGGCGGTGGTCGCGGCACGCGCTCTTCGCATAGCCGGTTCACACCGACTGCGTCCGAAGGGAACGAGCCCGATGCAGGTAGCGGGTAGATCTGTGGAGAAGAGGAGTGCCGAAGGAGGCATAAGACTAGGGGAAACACGGAAAGGTATAGCAGCTGACCGCGCACCTGATGAGACACGCCCTCGACGCCCTTTCGTAGAAGTCAAATTCACCCCTACGTCACTGGTAACTTATCACCATTGTGGCCATGTTTTCGCGCGATGTTCTCTATAAGAACATCGGTCTTCGCGGGGATCATAGCATCGTCTAAGCTTTCGGCCGTTCGAGCAGAGAGGGAGAACCAGAGTTCACATTCACATGGACGATGGTGGTGGTCAGGAGGACGACGCGTTAAGTGTGGCGCCGCGCGGCGGGCGCGGGATTCGCGCACCCCGCATCACGTGGATGGCGCATCCGGCCAAATGTTCATTTCGCTGGCTTGTCAATGTCGTTGGCAGCCGTCTTTGCCCGACCTACACTCTATGCTCTTCTATGCTATGCTGTAGTGAATCATGCAAGGAGCATAGAGAAATAGATATGATACAGACTAAGGCTCGCCTGCCGATATTCGCCTATGATTTTCTTTAGATCCGTATCTTCCGAGGCCAAGCAATGCAGAGGTACGACAGCCAATAGGCGATGTTGTACACCTTGTCATTGAACCACGCGGCGGGGGTCACCTTGTGCTGAGTGCGCGCCCTCAGAATTTATCCATCAAGTATAGCGATTTGGACAACTTGGATAGTCTGAGCGGACGTAACCTGCATTTGAATGAGATGTGCGCCAAAGTAACGACTTAACTGTTGCCCACTCGGCGGTGAGCCTATCTGGGAATAAAGATTCGTATCTGTAGGGCTCGTGTAATCAGTAGGCATACAAGTGCCATACCACCATGGACCTGTGCGCAACTGTAAGCACTCTTTAATCGCCAGAAGCACACGTACATACAGTACCTCCACTCTCATGCCCATTGCAAACCCTAACTCAACTGCGCGATCAATGCCTCTAGATTCGAGAAGCCTGGTGTGACCTTGCAGAGGAATGGAGGCGCATGCCTGTGGGAGTTCTTGCCTCAGCATTCGCACAAGCAGACGATCTTGCACTCACGCTATGATGCTGGTGAACGTTATGTCAGGTTCGATCGGACGACCCTGAGAGTCCATTGGCTTCGAGATGTCAAACGCGAGAGTCGCTGTGACGGCCCTGAATATGTTGTCTTCCTCCGGAATCTTTCCCGGGCAAGCACCACTAGCCAGACAAAGCAACTACTCAGTACACGCTTCGGGGAGTGGGGCAAGACAAGCTCACCTTCCCGAAGGCATATGAGCGCGGATCTGTGTTTGCCATCCTCAGAATCCGTGTATCGGTCTGGCAGGGGTCCGGATACACTGAGGATGCGGTAGCCTCCGTACTCATCGAGTCGCTCGTGATACAGCGAGGTAGTGCTGTAATGCAACTGTCGGTTAGGCAACTACCAGTTATATGACCCTGCAGTATAGTATACCGAAGGGCCCTACCGGGTTCCACCAATCAACCTCGTTTAAAAGGCCGTTGATGTACTACGGCAGCTTTTCGGCATCTTCCCAAGTCACAAACCCGCTTTTTCCGATCACTTTCTCTAGTTCGAGCTGAGCCATACGCTGCAGTTCTCAGGATAGAGCATCATAGCGAGGAAGAACAACCCCAGTGAGGAGCCAATCTGCGGATTCATCAGCACAACAGTTAATCGAGCTTGGTCACGAAGTGAATGCCAACCGTGTCAGGAAGAGCCAGTCATGTATTTGAAGAGCGTATCTTCCTACGCTGTGCGGTTCCGTTTTTCCTCGATGACGGATGCAGTGACATTTGATCCCGCTATGCCCTTGACCTGGAGCGAGTTAACAAACACAGTAGCCTGAGCTATCGAGACGAGAACTGACCGCCCTTTCTCTAACAAGGTCATACAGGACGTCCTTGTGGCACAGTCCAATTGTCTACATTTCGCTTCCGCCTGTTCCCTGGGAACCAAGTGGGAAGGTATTGCACTGGATAAGCTGCCGCAGAAACCAAGATTGATAATTCGCCATGAATCTGCGTAGCAAGTTGTCTCTCACACGAGAAAGCTGAGAATCAACGGTAAGTTACAGGGAGACGAAGTAGGGTGAAAGCTCACTTCCTCCGAGTCGGCTTGTATTACGGACGTGATGAGATAGCTAGAAAAACAGTCAATGACAGTGGTACCCTGTCTAGCGGCCCCAAGTTGAGATTTATCACTCCTTCTGAGTGGTCGCATTTAGGAGTAGCGGCATTTGTTTGCATGACAGAACAAAGAGGTTCGATTGGTCGAACAATCCTTGACTTCCTCGACTTCCATGTCGATGGCAATATGCTGCCATCCAGTGGCGTGCGTGATATGGGTAATATACCGGCAACTCGAATGTACGCTATGGCTTGTCGGAGTCTAGGATGATGCTTGAGATGATTCGGGCCATACGGAGTGGGGAATATTGAGGTCTGAAGTGCGGCCCCCTTGGGAACCAAAAGCAGGAAGTGATGAGCGAGCCCGAACTGGATCAGCCCGAGCGTAAGTTAAAGTAGAACAGCCTTGTCGCATTGAAAATGAGTAAAGAGGGGTCCACATAGGGTCCACACGAATCCATACTAAGCTGACCCAGACTGACAGTGAGAGAGACTGAGACGGCCGTCGTCTAGCCGTCGTCACTCTGCGATCAGATTTCCTAATTTGGAATGACATCACCCCATCCGCATTTGGGCATCCGCGACTTGCTGCAAACTATCATGCCGCCACGACTCTGCGCTCTGTGCCATGATGCACGCGCCATCCTGAAGCGACCAAAGACAGGCCAGCAGATATGCAAGGAATGCTTCTTCTGGGTCTTTGAAACGGAGGTTCACAATACCATCACGGAGGCGAAGCTGTTCAAGCCTGGAGATCGCGTAGCTATTGGCGCATCTGGAGGAAAAGGTGAACTTCTGCATATCCTCATCTGTCGCCAGGAAGTAGGCTAACTGCCATATAGATTCTACAGTACTCGCGCATGTCATGAAAACACTGAACGACCGCTACGAGTATGGATTGGAGCTGTTCCTCTTGTCGATCGACGAAGGTATCACGGGATACAGAGACGACTCCCTGGAGGTGCGTGTCCTTGGCTATAATACATACAACCCCTGCATATCTGACTTAGTCTTTTCCAGACCGTGAAACGGAATCAGCAGCAGTATGACATGCCACTCAAGATCCTTTCCTATGACGAACTGTACGGCTGGACGATGGACGCCATCGTCTCGCAGATTGGCAAGAAAAACAACTGTACTTTTTGCGGGGTCTTCCGTCGCCAGGCGCTAGACCGAGGGGCCGCATCGTTGCACGTCGACCACATCGTGACTGGCCATAACGCAGACGACATCGCTGAGACGGTCCTCATGAACAGTCAGTGCACCTATTCGTGACTATATGCGCCAGGACTAAGAGCATCTCACTAGTCATGCGCGGGGATATCGCACGGCTCGGCCGTTGTACATTGATTTGTACTCAGGGCGAAGACACCATCAAGCGTTCAAAGCCCTTCAAATATGCGTACGAGAAGGAAATCGTGATGTACATATGGCCGCTTGCTTCGTTCAGCGGGACAGTAAACTCACGGGCTACTCACTAGGTATGCATACTTCAAGAAGCTCGACTACTTCTCGACGGAGTGCATATACTCACCGGATGCGTACCGAGGTCATGCAAGAGCCTTCCTCAAGGACCTCGAAGCCGCGAGACCGAGTGCAATCATCGACATCATACACTCGGGAGAGATGTTCGAAGTGAAAGAAGAGGTCAAGGCTACCCAAAAGTCACAGAGTGAGTTATCTAGCCGCAAGGTCAATGAAGTCGGGGTACGATGCTCCCTTCGCAGAGACATGTAAGCGCTGCGGGTACATGTCCAGCAACGAACTGTGCAAGGCGTGTACCTTGCTCGAGGGTCTGGAGAGGGGGATGGCCGCTGCTGCAGTGGTACGTCGTGTCTTTTCGTACAGATTCAAGCGCTAAGGTGACCCTCCCCAGACGGAGCGCGCGCGCAAAAAGCTCGATGCTGAGGGCCCAGCTCCGGAGAGCCTGCGCACGATACCCTTCTTTCAGCAATCACGAGGTCCACATCCGTCCGTCGCGCTAGAGCGGCCGACATAGTACGCGTCAGCTTGGCGGCTGGCATCCCTCGCGAAACCGATTTTTCGCATATGTAGCCATAGGTGGGTCTCCTCCGCTAGGTCGGAGGTTGTGCTGAAGCCCGGCTGACACTCGACCTAGTCATCTTGTAGCAATTTACTCGGAAAGCCCCGCTGCTTGGGCTGTGTACCACAATTCATCCCGGACGCCTGCTTGTCGTCCCACTGAATCTCCTGATCACCTGGCCTGACATCCATCCGTGTTTCTCGGACTGCGTGCGTCAGTGTTTGTGCCGCGGACGCGTAAGTGAACGGGGATATCTGGTATTTGATCTTGCACAGCATACTTCACGAATTGCCATTCATAACAACACGAAGGCCGGGAACGCGGGTTCGTGAGACGTTCATTACGACAGTTGTGTCGGCTCCTTCAATCCGAAGCGTCCTGCTCAGGCGCCCGCTGCAGATCAAGATCATCGCAAGTACGTATCGGGATCTGCGCTCAGTACCCGACATCTCTCTGCAATGACACCGTCCGTCTTGGATGTTGTTTCGTTGTGATGCCGAGATTATGCCAAGCGGTTCAAGGTGAGGCGTACATATCCTGTCCTCAAAAATCACCGGAGATATTCATAGCCGCATTGTCAGCGCACGACCGACGAGCTGCCATAGTCATCAGACAGACTCATTTTCTGCCTAGGCTCTCGCCGTCGCAGTGCGGGGCATTCAATGTTAAAATTCTGCAGGGGTCGTGGCCGACCCTTTCGGCACCGCGAGCAAAATGCGAGTTGAGTCACCGTACGGAGGAGGTCAACTTCCGCACATTTGTCATCGTCTTTGTGGCTTCTGCTATGGTCAAACGTGGTGAGTCCTAGTGTCAAACCCACACATTGCTGCCTGCGCTTGCTCAGAGGTTTGACAACTACACAGAGGCCGTCGGCCTTCGGGCATGCTCGCGAGGTACGTCGCAGGAATAACACGCTCCTCAGGTCAGCCTGCAGGCTGCAGATGGCAGATGCCATCATTGTAGATTATGGCTGGGATGCAAGATCCATAAAGGGCGCGAACCGATCCTACTGTATGGTAAGCCTATGACGCACACAAGCACTTCCTGCGTCGGCCGTTCCTTATAAGGCTAACAAGCGCCCTGCTCCAGACTGCCAGTCCTTCAACTTGTCGCCGATGCTGCATTTAGCCCAGCGACCCTATCCCCGCGGGGTCAAATGGCGGTCGAGCGCACCACTAGTACTGTTGCTCAGTCATCGTGAGTCCCGTATTTTTCAGTCACAAGAGTGTTCGCCGGGCGCAAATCGTCTGACTAAATTGAGACCTGGAGGTCCGTCTGACAGAGCACGCGCCCCAACGCCAGGCGCATCGCCTATGGCTTCCGAGTTGAGAGTGTACGCGTATACCGCCGGATGTGCGCTTGCAGAGGAGTATATGAAGGGGGAGGCAGGGAGGATCGAGCTCGCCGACAAGTACTGCTTTCACGCGAACCTACATACCGCACACAATGGCATCGAACACTAGAGCATGTTTCAGGTGCAGGTGCGATACTTTCTTATATCCTCATATTGCATCGTCTAACCACAACTACGAAGGCAAAAGAAGCTGGTAGGTCACTTCGTGCCTAGCTAAGCAGCCATAGCCGAATTGACCATCGAACAGAGATGCGACGGCGCTCGCCCAACATGCCAACAATGCATCAAGGCTAACACACCAGCAGAATGTGTGTATGGCCAGGGGGCAGAGCTATCTGGAATCCAAATGCTCGAGGACAGGATCAGCAGGCTTCAAGGACGTATCGCGTTTCTCGAGAGCAACACCGCGGGTCCAGTCTTGTTACACGACCCCTATGCTCAGCCTCGCCAAACCCAGCCAACGCAGGTCACCGCCGAACGTCGCGTGCTCCCCCCTACTACGACGCAGGCTCTGTAAGCTCTCCATCAACTGCCTTACACATACGCCGTCTGACTCAGCGCCCAGATTGCGATCATTCTCGAGCGGTGCATCTCAGGTTGGATTCTTTCTGCATGTCTCGCGCTTCCTCCAGCGCACGTCGGCCTTACCGCTTTCAGAGTTGCCGAGACATGTGTCGACCTTACTGAACGCCGTCTATCTCCTCGGCGCGTACTTCTCCACGGACACCGACTCACAAAACCTCCAGACTGACATGCTCGCTTACACATTGGAAGACCTCTCGTCCACGCTCGTAGATCTGCATCCGCCTGCGATCATGGACGTTTTGCAGGCCGAGGTGCTCCTCGCATACTATTTCTTCTCCAACAATCGCACAGTCGAAGGCGTCTACCACATGGATGCTGCTTCCGCGATCGTGCTTGCAAGTAGGTTGCACCAGATTCGCAGTGCGCGGTACGCGGCGGTGGCGGGCGGTACCGCGTCTAGATATCAGCTCGCCCCTCCTGTGGACGCCATTGACGAGGGGCAGCGCATCAACGCATTCTGGATGACTTTCATCCTTGACAGAAACTGGTCGTTGGCGCTAGGTAGGACACCAGTTCTGACCGATGATGAACCAAGGGGGACCGAGATAGACACTCCGTGGCCACGCTGTATCGAGACGTACGAAACTGTAAGTAAGCATAAATCGCTGCCTTGGTCAAATAGCCTAACGTTACACTGAACAGGACCCGCTGCCTGAAGGCGTCCGCAATTTACGCACCGTCCAAACATTCCTCTATGACCCCATATTCTCAAACGATGCACATAACCCTCTAGCCATGCATTCCAAAGCTGCAGCGCTTTACAGCGCTGCCGCCCGAATTGCCGCTCAGTTCGGCACTAGTAAGAGCAATCTCCGCACGAGATATCTTCTCGATTAACTTTCGCTGACAAACCTCGTTGTTTTTGGTCACGCAGTGCCTAATACCTTTCCTACTGGCTGGCAATCCTTGGATCATCGTGTAGCAGAGTTCCAACTGGTCTTACCAGCGGCGGATCACATCCACCCTAGGCGACGAGACCTCCTCATAAAGATACTCCTGATCAATTTGCTTGTGCATGGCGCGACCATAGAACTGCATCAGCCCCTCGAGGTACAGGGAAACGGGATCGTACCGAATTCTAGGAGTCTCGCTGCCGCTTTGGCGGCTGCGAACGTACTGGGCCGTATGAACATTGGAAGCATTGTACACGTAGACCCTATCATTGGAGTGAGTCAGGAAATTCTATCATGGCAAAGGCGCTCAATTGATTTTCGGTTCAGTTCTTGTTGGCCTCCGTCGCACGGATCCTCAAACGCGCGCTTGTCTCGCTCAGGCAGAATGCTGCTGCTCATGGCTCTAATGAAGAGAACAACCTGCTCGTATCTCTCGCCCACATCCGGTTCGCGTTTGAAACATGGGGCCAGCGAAACGCTTACATCCGTAAATATCTTTCTCCCTTCCTCTTTATCGTATGATCTGACACGGTGATGTTTGATCCAGGGTCTCAGCAAGCTGCGCTCGCTGATGTATTCCAAGGCTTATAATCATCAGGCCAGGACCGTTCACTATTGTCCGCATCCTGATATCTTTACTGTAAAGCCCACTGCTCGAACCTAATTGTGATGTCATGTTATATCAGAGCTATCCTATCCCACTGCGTTTCGTTACCGCCTAATCTACCTTTGCATCTACATCCAGCTTGGCATACCCCTATCTCATAGACTTCTCGTAGATGTTACATTGAGTATGACCTATTTCGATGCAGTACATGCAACGTTAAGGTTATATACTAAACCTAATCCCTTGAGTCGTATAACACCATGTTCGCTGGTGAGTGTTGGCTTACAAAGTCGATACATGGTTGACGAAGTGAAATACAGTCCGCCAACACTCGCGTCCGTGCAATGCAGTGGCTAGGTTCTACACCACAGATTCCGTCTAGAGCATCTAAGGTGGCTGGCAGAAACGTGATATGGCAGCGTCAATGACCGTCAAGGTCCCAGGGCGGCCTCTGGTGCTCACACCGAATGCCCGAGGCCACCGGTGACTTCTCTCTCTCCGCGTCATCGCCTTCAGTCAGGCGTAAGGTGATACTGTTACTACTGTAATGATCGAGCAGGCGAGCAGAGCGAATAACCCATTTGGTGCTATCACGGTACTTACTAGTAATGCAACTGCAACAGAAACGCAACCTACTCAATTCGGGCCCCTTTTGTCCGACCAATCATTCTGGAATTTGCGTATGTCCTCTTCTTCTGCACTTAGTATCACTGTTTGCTCCAATGGACCGAATGTGCAGCGTGTGAGAGGGGGTAAATCACGATAACTGCCTCTCGCATACCATGATGGCACTAGGGCTATCTCCGCTGGCCGTGTCGGCAATGTGGCACGAACGAACCGTGACCAGCCTCGGAAATACTCTCGTTACTCCCTCCCGGTATATATCCCTCTCATCCCACTGGACGACCTGTACGATCGCACAAGATACTCTTAAACCAAAGACATCGACGTTCAACTCATCTGGTGTAGTGTGCATGGATGTTCTTCCCCACCGTAGGGATTGAACCAGCACATCCCTCCATTCTAGTAGGCGCGCACTAGTCAGAGGCACTCTCCGGAGAAGCTGAGTACTGATTCGCCCCAGTCAGAGATCGAAGCGATGTAGTATCTAACTACTCATCGTCGAACAGGTACGCCTCCTCATCGACTGTGCATCTGTCGCGGAATGGACTGCCCACCGACGAAGCCAGATCTCACGTCCTCGATGATCGGTCGCCAACGACTAAAGACGTTTACTCCTCCGCAGACAGTCTACGAGAGTACAGCGACTGCAGCTGTTCACGCTCTGTCGCGTTACGAATGTGCAGGTAGTCAACGCCCTATGTCGCGTCTCCACGCCTAACAGTAGGATAGCCGGCTGCCTACCTCGCATAGCCATAACTCAAGCATGGAGGTATATGTAGGAGTGAGATGCAACCACGATGGTCGGTAAGTGAATACCGACCTACGCGGTCTGCAGCAGATGTCTTCTCACATCCGAGCGTGTCTCCGGTGCAGGCGAGTGACAAGTTTCTAATAATAGGTGATGGGTCCACAACTGACATGTTTCGCAGGCGTAAGAAAATTGTGCGTGCACAGTCTTTCATGGATTCCTGTGTCTAATGCATTGCGATCGCTTTGCAGAGGTGCGATGGAGTACGACCGACGTGTTACCAGTGCGAGAAAGCCGGTGTACACGACGACTGCATCTATGGTGCCGAATCCCAGTTTCACGGGGCGCAGCTCCTTGAAGACAAAATAAGTCAACTCAAGGCGCGTATCGTACAACTGGAAGGCAATAGGTCGGGTCCTGTACTCCTGCACGACCCGTACGCGCCGTTTCACGAGGCGCAACAAGAGCAGACTGCGCGTAGCAGGGACCGTCAGGAGGTTTCAATGGAAACGATCCGAGCCCTGTAAGCTGTTCCCATCAGTCTACCTCGCACTGACTATTGGCACTGACCATGATGTAGTATGCAAAGCTTCTCAGGAACGGCAACCCAGACCGGTTTCTTCTTGCACGCTCCTCGCTTCTGCCAAAGAGTCTACGCACAGCCAACATCCAGCTTACCGACGCACGTCCCAGCATTGTTGAACGCAGTCTATCTGCTCGGGGCGCACACTTCCACTAATACGCCCATGAAAACCCTCCAAGCGAACTTCCTAGCATCGGCGCTGGAGGATCTTTCCGCGACTGGGGAACCTGAGCCCGGCCGCCATCCTGGACGTCTTGCAGACGGAGATTCTGCTCGTAAACTACTTCTTCTCCTGCAATCGCCCCGTAGAAGGCGTCTATCACATGGACGCGGCCTCCGCCATGATCCTGGCGAGTCGTCTTCACGAGGTGGAAGGCGTGCGCCAGTCACTGCCCATAGACGCGCGACTTTCGAGGTACCAACTTCCCCCACCAGCGGATCAAACCGAACAAGATGAACGCGTCAACGCCTATTGGGCTGCGCTTGTGCTTGACAAGTGTTGGTCGCCGATACTTGGACGCATGCCGATCCTTACAAACATAGGGTTGGAGGCGGGGTCCGCAGATGCAGGACAATTACTCAACGTAAGCGAGACGCTCAGTTAACACATCCAAGCGTAACGATTGACGGTAACTGCGCAGCAATCTCAACTACAATACGTACCCTATGTTGATCAAGACCCACTGAAGCTGCAAGCCAAAGCGGCTGCGATCTATTGTTCCCCAACGCAAATGAATGGTCAGTGCAGTCCCTTCTCCGGCCCTCCTTGTGCGAGGACTCTCAGCAAATCACAACTCCTCAGATGCAACGGCCTACCTTCTGGGCTCAGCAGATCTCGATGCCCGCATAGTGCAGTTCCAGCAGACTCTGCAGCCTCTGAACAATGTCCATCCGTCCAGACAGGATTTGATCAGCAGGCTTCTCCACGTTCATATTCTGATCAACTGCGCGACGATTCAGCTTCAAAAACCGCTCGATGTACGAGCGAACGGAATGCCTATGGATAGCCGGACTTTCATGGCGGCGCACGCTGCTGCGAACGTGCTGAACCAGGTCAATATTGGGGCGCTCACGTTCGTCGACTCATCCATCGGGGTAAGTGAAACAATATTGCTTGACGGATAGAACTAACAATTATGCCTGCAGTTTTTGCTGGTCTCTGTGGCCGACGTCCTTGCCAGTGCTCTGAGACTCTTCGGGCTAGACCCTGCCACTTCGATGTCTCACAACCCGCGCGAACAACGCATTGTAGTCGCGCTCTCGCAGATTCGCTATGCGTTGACGACCTGGGGCGAGCGGAATGCATATATTAGTGGGTTCCACCATCTATGCGCCCCCACTTTAGACTCTAATCCGCCTTCGTATAGAAGCACAATTGCACCTCTTGCTAAGGATTCTGGCAATCACATAGTATGATCTTCGAACTTCTTTCGCTCGTCTAGGTTCGACACAAACCCCTCACACGTGGAGGGTCTTGCGGCGAGACTTTTCGCTCGTCCACATACGGACTTCTTTGTAGATTTGTAGAGATAGAGAAGAATCTTCATATATCAAAGTTATCATGTTACCGTCTCCTCACGGCCACGAGACCTTTACACCGTCGGCAAATATCTCCGCGAGATATATGGCAGTTTCCGCCAGGATGACCAACCGTCCACGTCCCGCGAACGCTATGTTTGCAGACTCAGTACCGATGAAGAACTTGCCTAGCAACGTTCCCGACCGGTCCCAGACCTAAGGACCACAATGAGGCGTGAGACTCGACGGCGATGAAAGAGTGCTCGACACGTACGTGCACACCGTCTCCGCAGGCAGCGTATACGTTGCCGAGCTTGTCAACCTGGACACCGTCCGGAACACCGGCGTCGACGTATGCGAAGACACGCCGATTGAGGAGCACGTCGCTTTGCGGGTCCACGTCGTACGCGTAACTGGAGAATCATGAGCACGTTGAAAGATAGGATGAGTGTTGAGATGTGTACATGGTCGCTGGGTCAGTCGCGTTCTTTCCTAAGAAGCCTCCTGCAGCGCCGGAGTCTGCGCTGGAGGGATGAGATATATCAATGATCATTCATTAGACGTAGCGAGGCCGAATGAACGTACATGTATGCAAGTCTGCCGTCCCCGGAGAAGGCCAGTCCATTGCAGCGAATAAAGCCATCTGCGACGACTCGAACATTGCCTGTATTTGGGTCAAACCGATAGACTTGGTTCGGAAGAAGGGGTGATGGGCGGAAGTGGTTCAGCCAGCCGTACCTGAATGTGGTGGTCAGTGTGCGGCCTGACACGCAACATGTCGGTGATGCCTACGTTACGTCTGTGAAGTAGATATTTCCGCTGCGCGGGTGTATCTTCACATCGTTGAGTGAGTTGAATTGTCGCCCAAAGTAGTTGTCGAGGATGACAGTTGCATTGTGGGGCGCAGACGGGTTGACAAGGACAAGATTGGGCGGGCGCACACCTCGGCCTGAATTAATGAGCAGCAAGGACCCATAATAGGGACCCGTCCCTCCATTCGTCATCTGTACAGTGTCCGGTAGGGAGAGCTTCGAAGGTCCGCGTCACTGCTAGCTCAGAGCTCGAAATAAATCGCTTACTGGAGTTACTGTGACATTGAGAAGGCTCGTCCGGCTTCGGCTTGCCACTGACGCCTCTTTCACGTCACCCAGGCTTAGCTTCCCGACCTCGTTATTGTTTTCCCAGTCACTGAAACCAAGGTATCCGCCGTCCTGGCTACTGAAGAAGATTTCGTCTGTCCCGGGGACCCAGATGGGCGCTTCGTGCGCGAACGCGAAACCGGGGTTCGTAGCAATGGCGCGAATAGATGGACTCGAGCCAAGGATCTTGAGAAAACCGGGGTGGAAAACCTGGAAGAATGGCGGCGACGTGTTGGTCGGGTTGAAGTGATCCGTCCATCCGTCTCCACGAAAAGGCGCGCCCGGAGGATGCACAGCGAAGGACAGAGGGTCAACGTACTATGAATCAAGCACTTGAGAGGCGACGCGCTGGCACATGAGTACTATAGCTTACCACTGCCTGAGGCGGTAGCGGCACGCCCTGTAATGATATTGGCCCCGGCGTTCCTGGCCAACGCCATGCTGCTAGGCCCGCCAGAGCACCCATAGCCCATCCTAGCAGGGTCATACCGGATCCGCCACCCTGCGAGTCCTCAGTGTTTCTCGGCGGCGCTGTTCCTTGTTCGGCGCTCATCGTCTACTCGATGAACATGAAAGTCAGTGAACACTGAAAATTAGCACCGCTGTGAAGTCGACGGCCTCGAGCACTCGCCTCGCTCTGATTTGTACTTCCAGCCCCTGTACGCCTGACCGCAGGCCTCCCGTGCGAAGCAGACAAACGCGGAAAGGAGATGACACTGTGGTGGGAAGTGTGTCCAGCTGATTCGCCGACGGAGGTCCGGAACGATAAACCACAGGACATGCCCGATATGGTTGTTGGTGTTTCTGCCCTTCGAAGCCATCATGATCAACGACCAATGCAACCTCGAAGGCGTTCATCACTACTGGACTACATAGCTTCCGTTTGGGGCCGTCTGAAATGGACTGGGTGGGCTGATTGTCCATACGATCGACGAATCGAAGTGGTAATTGATTACTTACGCACGCATGGCGGGCCGCTCTAGATCTCATGGCGAACCAGCTGTGGTCGCCGTAACATCATCCCCTGATTCGTTGTTGGCACGCATGCGGTGATCAGATATCTCCAGGGGATGAGAAGGAAGCACGGACGATCGTACGAGTGATAGTATGTATCATTGCATGTATCTATAGCTGAGCAGACCAGCATGGACGGTATTGCGTAGGCGATGAAACACAATTAAGAACTATCCTTCCTCCATGCATGGTTTCCATGGTAGAGGTCGCTGAGGATGAAGCGGGAGAGGAAGCGATGACTCGGTATCCCAAACAGGAAATGGGCGATCCCACGGCAGTAAGCGCCTGTTTGCGAGTGGACGCCACACAATAATGGAAGGGCGGTTCTTTTGTCCGCTCATCCCAATCCGCTGGACAAAGGAAAGCACTCCCTCTTCGGATGTTGGCCACAGCGCTTTCCCCTTTTAAACGACTAAAGATGCAGCTTCCTTTGAGCCACTCCCCTCAGGACATTGTTCCATCGTGCTGCATCCCCCAACACACACCGCGTCCATGTTTCGACGAACGACACCAATAGGCGGTCTCCCGGCCGAGCTGCTTTCCTACATCTTTTTACTCGGCGCGTACCGCCCTCCGGAAGAGGACGCTTCGGGAGAAAATCCTGCTGGAGAGGCCAACCATCTTTCGCCATGCATGACCTACAGCTACGCGTTCCCTTGTCTCGTCTCCGCCGTGAGTCGCCATTGGCGAGGCGTCGCACTCTCAACGGGCCAGTTATGGAACAAAATCCCTGTCACCGACGAAGACTCGGATGACTTAAACGACTTGGAGGGCACTAGCTTCAAGCTCGCTCGTCTGTTCCTGTCTCGTTCAGGCACCGCGCCTCTCGACATCATGGTGGACGCGCGGGATCCTGAATGGGATTTCTCGGAATACGAGTGAGTGGCACCCACTGCGCTACCGGGATTGAAGACTGACAGTGACCCGTCTCCAGCACGTCTACTGCTGGCAGCACCCCCGGTATCGACGAAGAGGACGAGAACGAATACCGACACCCGTTCACGGAAGGGCACATGAACGCGGCCATGCAGATGCTGCTGCCGCATCTGCACCGAACTCGCTCGCTAGCGATATTCACGGATCGCTGGGTTCCCATGCAAACTGTGCTGAACGCCCTGAGCCACGATGTTCCTCGTGCCCCGATGCTGGAGAGCTTGATCCTGATGCGGTGCAACGAGTTCGCGGCGTACACGCCCGACTTCATACCTCAAGAATGCGGTGTCCACTGGCTCCTTCCGTTCGGCAGCTGCGTGGGTGGCCCGGCGCTCCCGCGTCTCCAACGCCTGATACTCTCTGGCGTGCATATCAAGTGGAAGTCGCTGCCTGCCTTGCTCCCGCAGCAGACACGTCTTCGCCATCTCGAGTTGACGTACCACTGCAGTGATGTCCGTCCGAACAAGGCCGAGCTGCACAAATTGCTATCTGTCTGCTCGCAGCTGGAAGAACTCAACCTCAAGGTATCGCTGCCTGAAGACGAGGCTGAATTTGGGCAGGAGACGACTATGGAAAACGTAGAGCCTGTGCTCCTTCCGAAGTTGAAGACGCTCAAGCTAGGCTACGACGATAGCATCTTGGGGCAAGAGTTCCTCGAGCTGATCCGAGCTCCGAACGTACGCACCCTCGTCCTCGAAGACGCGTCATACGCGGCGTCTGAAGTTGTGCAGGAAGCGACCAAGCTGCTCGTCCAGATGGCCTACCCTGGCGGCCGCCACAGCCGCGCACGGTCGCTCTTCCCGCACCTCGAGTCCCTCGAGCTCGGCCGCACACAGGCCACCCAGGAGGCGTTCCAGATCTTCTACTCCACGCTTCCCCGCCTGCGCTCGCTCACGCTGCGGGAGACCCCTGTCGCTGCGGCGCGCGCACTCCGCCCCAGCAGCCCTTACGATGTGCAGCAGACGTGCCCGTGCGCGCTGCTCGACACGCTCGTCGTGCGCGGGTTCGAACCGTGCGAGGACCCGCTGCTGTCCGAGATCCTTGTGGAGCGCACGAACTACGGCGCCGTCTTCCGCGACATCCGCCTGGAGCCGTGGTTCGGCATCCCCGAGGAGGACCTCGAGGAGAACGAGGATCGGGTTGTGGGCGAGCCCGTCGGCGAGTGGCTCATGCCTGACGGGCAGCCCATTCCCCCGGCGTCCCCAGGCCCGGCGACGGAGCCCGTCCCGCGCTCTGCGGATGGGCGCGTGCTGATGCAGATGGGTCGTGGGGGCCTGCCCCCGCCGACGCCGTTCGAGTTCGTAATTGGGAGGATGTCAGCCGGGTATCCTTGAGCGCAGGGTTTTTGAACGTCACTATGCTCACTATGCACGAATGTACACTATGTGTTGCTGCGATGGTACCGCCGTAGGCGTATGAATATGTGTAGGCCTTCTATGTGCTCTCACGATGTGTCGCGACGCGTCGCCCCAGTGACCTCTCAAATTAGCCCTGGAGGACGTCGGTATTTGCGAAGCAGATGTATGTTTTTCTTTCTTGTTCGCCTTGCATATCAGTGCATTCAAGGCCTTTCACTGGCCCAAGAGATTCGCGCCGACGGCAGAAGACTCCCTGAATTAATTCCCCTCCTGGCAGGCACGCAGCCTCGGCGCGGGTGTTGCCAATAAGAATCTCAAATGTCATAGACCGGATGTGCTACTCTGTGCTACTACGCTCCGTCCAAGACCTCTGGGACTGGCGTTGCATTGTAACTATAAAAGGGGTTGAGAAGAGAGGGTCCTCTGATCATCATCGTCGGAAGTCGAAGTATGATTGTTACCGTGTCTATTGGAAGTAGAAAACATCTGAAGCGTGTGCTTACGTATTTTACACTCCGAAAGGAGTTGCCCTTGTGGACTTCATGTCACTGTTAACTTAACTTACAGCACTACTAGAAGAATATTGAGTCTGCCACATCGGTCGTCGACTCGTCGTGCTGTGCTCCCAACCTCCTCTACATTTCAACCTGTTTTGTCTCCGAAACCCATCTCTTCGGACATACAGAAGTACTACTTCCGGTATTTTATAAGCCGGAAGGTTTCTGGGGTCACTAAGCGAAGCGCTAAGTTGGCGCTAACGCCCAAGGCGGTGAGCTTGGCTCGCCGCTGACTTTCGTGGCTACGGACACTTCTGATATTCACCCCCTCCTTCCAGGACTGTTCGTAGACCCCGCGCTGGCCCTGGGCTCCATTTTATCTGGAAAATCTGGCCCAGTCGCCATAAACCTGCATGTCTCACACACAGCGACACCCACCCCCATCCGACGACTCTACCGACGAGGAACATGATACCGTCGACCCCGACCTTCGTTTGCGCACGGTGCGCACGGCAGCCAGCACCATTGCGGAGTCTGCACGCCAGGAGGAGCGAGCACGGAGGCGGAAGATCTCTATGAAGGGCGTGTTTCATAGGAGATCGCAGAAGAAGGAGCAGCAGCGGCGCGCGTCGAAGGAGCCGTCTGGCGAGGCGTCGGTCCCGCACGTCACTGGATCTCGAAGAAAGGTCTATGTGAACTGTCCTCTGTCCCGTGAAGACGTAGACCAACGTGGAGAGCCATTGGTCAGGTACAAGAGGAATAAGGTCCGCACGAGCAGTGAGTACACTACCTTAAACGACTGCGGTTCTCGCGATGCTGAAATAGTACAGAGTACACTATCGTCACGTTCATCCCAAAGAACCTATATGAACAGTTCCGACGGTACGCTGAATTATTACTCCGGCGGCGGGGCGTACAAGTGCTGATACGCTCCTTCTGATTTCCAGCGTTGCGAACGTTTACTTCTTGGCGCTTGCCGTTCTGCAGGCATTCAGCGTTTTCGGCGCGACATCTCCGCAGCTCGCGGCTCTCCCACTCATCTTCATCATCGCAGTAACTGCGATCAAGGATGGCATCGAGGACTACCGGCGAGCAACCCTGGACGAAGAGGTCAACACATCCGCGGCGACGAAGTTGGGACAATGGCGAAACGTGAACCAGCCCACGGACCCTCGGATATGGATCGAGCGAATACTGCGTATCAACCCGCCTGGACGCATCACGAAGGGCGTGCGGAAGTTGCGTGAGAAGGAGGCCCAGGAGGGCATGGACATCGTGCTCAGCAAGGGATTGGACGGCGAGCTCGTCAGTGTGCGTGCGTCTCAGGACCCCAATGCCTCTTTCACTTCCCTCCCTCCTCCCGCCTCGCCCGCGCAGAAGCTCGACAGCCCTGGAGCGAGCCCAAGGGTCACAACCAAGATGGCCAGTCTTGACTATCACAGCTACCCGCCGAATCAGGGCGCCAGCGCGGGTGGGCGCGGCGCCCCTCATCAAACCCACCGCCCTGGCCTTGACTCATGGTCGGGCGGGTCTGGCACGCTTGCGCTCTACCAGGAATCGGTCCACTCGCGCTCGAGTATGGGCGTGGTCAATGATGGGCAGCGGACGGCTGGCTTTGCGCATTGGGAGCGGACACTCTGGAAGAAGCTCGAAGTGGGGGACGTCGTGCTCTTGCGTGAGAACGAACAGATCCCCGCGGACATCGTCGTGCTGTCCACCTCCGACCCGGACAACATGTGCTATGTGGAGACAAAGAATTTGGACGGTGAAACGAACCTGAAGCCGCGCAAGTCCGCACGTGCGACGTCTGGGATCATGTCCGAGGAAGACATCGAGCGCTCGTCGTTCGTGTTGGACTCTGAACCGCCGCACCAGAACCTGTACACGTACCACGGCGTGCTCCGGTACCGTGATATGGAGACGGGGGAGATGAAGCAAGAGTCCCTGTCGATCAACGAGCTGCTCCTCCGAGGATGCACGCTGCGGAACACGGCCTGGGTGATTGGCCTTGTCGTTTTCACTGGCCCGGATACGAAGATCATGCTGAACGGCGGCGAGACACCGTCCAAGCGATCGAAGATCGAGAAGGAGACGAACTTCAATGTTATCGTCAACTTTGTCATCCTCATCATTATGTGCCTCATCTGTGCGATCGCTAACGGCCTGTACGACGCGAAAAGCGGGACGAGTGCGGACTTCTTCGAGCAGGGCGCACAGCCGTCGTCCAGCAACGTCGTGAACGCCGTGGTCACCTTCGTGTAGGTTGTTTGGTCAGCCTTTCATGCACTGTGGAGCTGACGCCATATCGCTATTGACAGTTCGTGTCTGATCGCGTTCCAAAACATCGTGCCTATCTCGCTGTACATCTCTATCGAGATTGTGAAGACGATCCAAGCGTTCTTCATCTCTCAGGACGTCGACATGTATTACAAGCCTCTTGACGCTGCGTGCACTCCGAAGACGTGGAACATCTCGGACGACCTCGGGCAGATCGAGTACATCTTCTCGGACAAGACTGGCACGCTCACGCAGAACGTCATGGAGTTCCAGAAGTGCTCCGTGCACGGCGTCACGTACGGTGAGGGTGTTACGGAGGCTCAGCGCGGCGCTGCGAAACGTGCCGGCGTACAAGATGCACTCGACCCCCAAGAACAGGAGGACATGCTACGGCGTCTCAAGGACGGTATGCTGACGAAGATGTCGCGAGCATTCAAGAATCGGTACTTGCAACCGCAGAAATTGACTCTGATCTCTCCCCAGCTTGCGGACGACCTCGCGAACAAGGCATCGGAGCAGCGTTCGCACGTGATCGCCTTCTTCCGCGCCCTTGCCGTCTGCCATAGCGTCTTGTCGGACCGTCCGGAGCCGCATGAGCAACCCTATCACCTGGAGTACAAAGCCGAGTCGCCAGACGAGGCAGCGTTGGTTGCGGCGGCGCGGGACGTCGGGTTCCCGTTCGTCCAGAAGTCCCGCGAGGGCATCGACATCGAGGTCATGGGCCAGCCGGAGCGATACAAGCTGTTGCAGATGATCGAGTTCGACAGCACGCGGAAGCGGATGAGCGTCATTGTGCGCAACCCGCAGGGACAGATCGTTCTGTACACGAAGGGTGCGGACAGTGTCATCTACCAGCGGCTTGCTGCGGACCACGACCCACAGCTAAAGGCGAAGACGTTGCAAGACATGGAGCTGTTTGCCAACGGTGGTCTGCGAACACTCTGTATCGCGTACCGGAACGTGAGCGAGGACGAGTATCTGCACTGGCAGAGTGTCTACGACGCGGCGACGAGCGCCATCACTGATCGCGATGCTGAAATTGACAAGGCGAATGCTATGATTGAGCACTCGTTGACCATTCTGGGAGCGACGGCCCTCGAGGATAAACTCCAGGAAGGCGTGCCCGAGGCTATCGAGACCTTGCATCAGGCTGGTATCAAACTCTGGATCCTCACCGGGGACAAGATCCAGACGGCCATCGAGATCGGTGAGTTGTTTGAGCGAGGTATCAAGACTGTCTTGACTCATTCGGTCTATAGGGTTTAGCTGCAACCTCCTCAAGAATGACATGGAGATCATGATCCTGTCCGCCGAGGATGCGGCGGCTGCGCATACGCAGATCGAGGCGGGAATCAACAAGATTGCGTCGATGCTCGGGCCGCCCTCTGTCAAGCAGGAACGGGGCTTCGTCGCAGGAGCGCAAGCGGCGTTCGCAGTGGTCATTGACGGTGACACGCTGCGTCATGCACTGTCTCCGGGACTGAAGGGTATGTTCCTTAACCTCACCACGCAATGCGAGACCGTCGTCTGCTGTCGTGTGTCACCGGCACAGAAGGCCCTCGTCGTCAAGCTCGTCAAGGACGGTCGGGACGCCATGACATTGTCGATAGGCGATGGCGCCAATGACGTCGCGATGATTCAGGAGGCCAACATTGGATGTGGTCTGCTCGGGCACGAGGGCTCGCAGGCCGCCATGTCCGCAGACTACGCATTCGCTCAGTTCCGCTACCTCACCAAGCTCCTCGTTGTCCACGGCAGGTGGTCATATCAGCGTGTTGCTGACATGCACAGCAATTTCTTCTACAAGGTAGTGTTCACGTCGTCGCTCGTGCTGGGGCGATGTTGATTCGTGAGTGAACAGAACGTCATCTGGACTTTTGCATTGTTCTGGTATATGATCTTCAATAAGTACGTGTTTTGCTTGAGCGCGCCAGGTTGGTACTAACGTGCCGATAGTTTCGACGCTACTTATCTGTACCAGTACTCCTTCATTCTGCTCTGCAATCTTGTCTTTACGTCATTGCCAGTCATCGTCATGGGCGGTAAGTACACATTTCATCCGACCAAACCGAAGCGCTGAGATTTCCCGTAGCCTTCGACCAGGACATCAACGCGAAGGCCGCACTCGCGTTCCCTCAGCTGTATATTCGCGGCATCCGCGGGCTGGAGTACACGCGGACCAAGTTCTGGATGTACATGCTCGATGGGCTGTATCAGTCAGTGGTTGTGTTCTTCATTCCCTTCCTGGCATGGACATTAGGTTTGCCTGCGTCGTGGAGCCATGGGCGGACGTTCGAGTCCCAGGCTGACTTGGGCACTACTGTTGCTGTTGCTGCTATCTTCGCCGCCAACACCTACGTCGGTCTGAATACACGCTAGTACGTGGGTTCATCTAACACTCCTGCCTTCACTACTGACGGACATCCAGTTGGACCATCATCACGTGGCTTGTTGTCATCGGATCCTCCGTGGTCATGATCCTGTGGATCGTGATATACTCGTTCTTCCCTACGTCAAACTTCAACGATGAAGTGGTGATCCTCTTTTCGGAGGTGATATTCTGGGCAGTTGTCATTATCTCTGTCGTGATTGCCTTGAGTGAGCGCTTTACTATGCTCCTACGTATCTCGCTGATGTTGTATGCAGCCCCACGATTCCTCGTCAAGTACTTCAAGAGTGCCTACATGCCTCTGGACAGGGACATTGTCCGTGAGATGTGGGTCATGGGCGATCTCAAGGATCAGCTCGGGATCGAGCACAGACGGCGGAGGAAACAGGACTCGAGGTACGATGCTGAGAAGGCACCGATGTTCCAACAGCCGCACTATCGCTCGGAGTCGGAGGCGTCGCATATCATCAACATCGACCGGAACCCTGCCTTCCGGGAGGAGAGCAGCGGGGACAGTATATCGCCACCACCATCCGCCAGTCTCATGGGCAGGGCAGCGACGCATGAGGCATTCCACGAGAACACGCAGCGCGACGACCTGCTGGCAACGAATCGCAGACCGTACTACCATGGAGTACTGGACGAGACGCGTCTGTCGTACTACTCAGCTTCCGACATTCCCGCTCCTTCACCCATGCCGCCTCCCGCGACGCAGTACACACGCACCCCTCCGATGTCGACCGTCAACTCAGACCTCGTGTCGACGTACTCACAACCGCCTCACATCATGCTGCAGCCTTCCACCGGCTCTGGGACACCGGAGACGTTCGAGATGCATGTGCGGGGACCGTCTGGCGAGTGGCAGGAGTCGACCGAACAGGCGGCATACTACCGACCGCCATATGGGTATGATGACCGGCCACCAGACGACGACTTGACACCCGCACATTCACAGCAACCATCGCGTGAATCAATGTACGGGCAAGCCATCTAGCGGTGCGACTGCTCAATCTGTACTAGCACTGACGCTTTATTTATCTTATCTCGTATGCTTTGCACATTCCACGCCTGGGTGTATCTAGACGGTTTATTTTGTGGTGTCCAGGCGTCTGTTGTGATCACGGAGGCCACGGCCTCGTCCGCTCCCTACCTTCTGTACCACGGACGTTGGATTGCTGTACTAATACAAACAATGCATCTACTAGGAACGGATTGCTCTCCCTCGCAATCGAAGTCTGCGCAAAGGACTGTCGTGGATCACATGGCCACCCTTCACTGTGAAGACGAAGTGTCAACTGCCATAAGCTTGTATGTTCGTTTTCCTTCTCCTTGCTTCCTCCTTCCACTACCCTGTCCCCGGCTGGGCCGTGCACACATCCTCCATCCTACCCAACATTCATGGTCATTCTCGAGATGCAGGCTTTGAGACGCGGACGCCTGCGTCTCGCCATGTTCACGACAATCGTTCTCGCGCTCAGTCTAGCTGCCTCAGTGTCTTCCGTTGGAGTCGCGGCACGAACTGATGGTGGAATTCATCTACCCATGTACCGGACAGTGGCTTCAGTGTCGCAGAAACGCTCAACCATGATAAGCGCTGTCGGTTTGGGTGATTTCTTGGACGTGTAAGCCTCTCGCTGTTGTAATCGGCTGCTCGTATCCTCAATCGTCCCCACCAAGTACCTACACTGTCTCCGTCACCGTGGGCAATACGGAGACCACTCTTGTGCTGGGTATGTGCGCCATTTCCGCCGACGAAGTGTCGCTGACATCGCGCTAGACACGGGTTCATCCGATTTGTGGGTTGTATCCGACGCATGCTCCGGTGAATGTACGGATAGTGTGGTACCCCTCTACTCGATTGCATCACTGAACGATACGGGTCTCGATGTCCTCTTGCTGTATGGCGATTCCCGCACGGGAACATACGCATCCGGACCCATAGGCCAGGACAGCGTCGGAATCGGGGGTCTGAGCGTTGCAAGTCAAACGTTTGCTGCGGCCAATAGCACAAACACAACCATCTTCCAAACGGGATCGGCTGGTATACTGGGGCTGGGGTTTCCGCCCATCAGGTTCGTCTGACTTTTTTTTTGCGCAATCCGATATTGAGTTCACGGCATTGAGGATCTAGTCTCATGTGGCGCGAACGACTTCAAGCGGACCTCGTGAACAGTCAAAGCCCATTGTCAAAGCGGGGACTTCCTGGACCATCTGCGAACATCTCTACCGGGTCCATCGGACAGCCCCCCTTCCCTTCGTTTGATTTCCTCAAGCCGGCTTTGCTGAAGAAACGGCAGGCGCCGGACGGGACCTCACCATCACCCGCTGATCTCGCGATTGCCTCCTTTGCGCATTACGGTCCGCTATTCACTCGGTTGATCGGACAAGACGCCCTTGCCCTCCCCCTTATAGCGACGACTCTGCAACGCGACTCGTTTCAAATCGGCGGAAACGCGGGCATGCTCTCCATTGGCGGCTTACCCGCTGGTCTTCAAATAACGCAGCTTACCTGGGCGCCCGTACGCGGCTACAGCAGCGACGAGGGAGGTCTGCCACCGCCTTCCGATTCTCCGGCCGAGGTCTGCCTTGTTCATACGCGTTGCTTTCTCTGCCTGATTCTTCTTAGGTCTACCCGTTGGTTTGGGAAATCGCGGTGGACGATGTTTATTTCGACGGCGTCAAGTTGCCCAGATCTATTCTATCTTCACCGGCCATATCGCTGTCCGCCCTAATTGATACGGTGAATTCCTTCGATTTTCCGATATCTACGTGCTGTGGATGCGTAGCTTATGCTGATTCATTATGCAGGGTAACTCGCTCGTCCGCGGTCCGCGCGACGTTGTCGAACATATTATGGCATACTTCGGCGGCCCTAATGCCTCCTTCGACTGCAAGGAAGTGCACAACTTGACATTCCAAATCGGCGGCTCTATGTTCACCGTAGACCCCCGAGACTTTGCACACCCTCTGCAAGATGATTCAAGCTCGGAGTCACCACGCTGCACGCCCGCTCTCGCGATGACCGATCCGCCTGGCCAAGGCGGCTTCTTGTATAGCTGGAGCCTCGGTGACCCTTTCCTGAAGTCGTGAGTCCTGCCTTCGTGTCTTGGGTGTCACGACTCACGTAAGTTCTGACTCGTACGCGGTTCCAGTGTGCTGGTTGCGTATTACTACGGGAACGTTACGCATCCGTCTCAAGATCCCCCCAAAATCGGACTCCTATCGACTGTTCCTTCAGATGTAGCGAGTCAACTACAGCAAGCCATCCAAGCTGTGGTTTCATCTGGTGGTCAATTTCCTGGTACGTGACGGCCTCAGATGACGAATATACGACTGCCTTATATCCCTTCTACGTTGGGTAGCAATTGCGGAGTCTGCACCAACTGGGACAGCGATATCGTCCGGTACAGCCGCCAATGGTGTGCCGCAAGCAACGCACGCGGATCTACCGTCCTATGCAAGCAACGCCGCCTTGACATTTGCGCTCAGGACCAAAGCATGGACTTCTCTCGCCCTCGCTACCACTACCGGATTCGTACTATTGGGTATAGTAACCTACCTTTGAGCGCTTGAGCCTCGGACAACATCTAAACCTATCACCTACCTTTCAGGTTTATCCCATTCCACGCATGTATAGTACCGATGTCATTCGCAGTGTACCAGTATTGTTGTGCAAAAGCGGATTGAGAGTCAAGCGACCAGCATAATATCTAAGAACGAAGTACACTAGTGTTCTTATGCGCCAGAAGAATCACAACGGTTTGTTAAATAATAATTTACGGTCCGCGCAGCATAGTGATGCGACATCTCCATCCGTACGCGACGCGACTGAGTATGACTAGAATGACAACATTAGCCAGCATTATGTCGTGGCAATTTCAAAACAATGTAGACGAGACGCCAGAAGCTCGGAAACTTCAAGCTTCAAGACTTGGGAGCCTAAGTACAATTACGCGACGTGTCAGAATTGTCAGCGCAGCCAAGCATAGACAAATATTGCGCCACCATGACAACGTTTGCAGTCCCGGTGTAGTAATGGTAGTGGTACGCTGTTGCACAAGTTACTTACCTACTATTTTTAAAGGGATGCAGCTCGACGCCACGAGTGAGTTTCTTCTTTGACACCCACCCGGGACTACTCAACTGCGGCACTGCTCGATTGTAAGTACCTCCGAGTCTTCGCATACTACATCATATACGCTGACGGGCTCACAAACAAGCAGTGGTGGTCCGGGGTCCCAGCCTGATAAGCGATAGAGAGTCATAGTGTATTACAACAGGGAGAGAGGTACGACGAGGAATGAGGCAAATCCAACAATGAACATACAGCGCACACGAGGAGCAACAGGAACATCCGCCGAAATTGACGCAGAAGACTACCTGCGGAGAAAATTCAAGCTACGCATCCCATCGGGCAGTTCTACCCACAGCTTGGCCTCCCACTCGCGCCAGTCGGTTGCGTAGAATTCCGACAGGTAAATCCGCTTAAATTCGATTCCGTCGACAACTGGATTCGGCTCGAATAGGTCTGTCTCCGGCTTGAGTATTTGCGCGCATTGCTGCAAAAACCGTAACAATTACTATGGCGAAGGTAGACCACATTGGCAATGGTTAGGACTCACGCGTAGGTAGCCAACCCAATCAACTGCGATTTCTTTTCCGAGCTCACACCTTGTAGTTATGTCCCAGAGATGGCACATCGCGAAACCCTCGTGTTCATAGCCTGGCCACTGATATCCAAGTCAGTCTGCAACCGTCAACTTCACTGCCGCAGAGTACGTACCTCGCACTTGTGAAAGACCCAGCCATATTCATTGGCCTTCGGGCCGAGCCCCTTGTTCAGGTCGACGCAGTAACGCGCTTTCTCCTCGTCCAATCGCCCATTCCCGCGGTCGTAGCCGCAATCTCCGAATTCCAAAAACTTCCACAGGGCGGCACCAGGCTCGCCATCTTGTCCCTGGAACTTGACGCTGAAGATGGGCTCTCGCTGATTGAGTCCAATAGGAAGCTGGTCGAACCGTCTTTCTGGCTTAGCCTGCTGCGTTTCCGGTTGAGCCTCGGAGGGCTGACCATTGGCGGGGGACGTCGGAAGGGAGGACATCGTGAAAGGTATGGCGGAGGCTTTACGAACGCCAGGAGCGGACATGACGATGTGGGCAGAATAGCGATGTGGACGCGCGAGTGATGGAAGCGGTGTTGAACTTGAACGTTCAAATACCACGCCTGGCCAACCTTCAAGTTGCTTCTTTGGGAACAAGGACCATCAAGGCGCTCCTCCTGGCATTCTCTATCCCATCGATTGTCGCCTGGCAACATCGCTGACTGCTGATTGTGGCCCAAAGAGGAACGTCACGGTGGCAGCTTTGATACACCATTGTTCGCCTGAAACGGAAGGCAGCCACAGGTGAGGTCAGCAACGCAACAGCAACGCCGCGATAATCGCCTCTAGAAGAGTCCACGGCTGTGCACGGAAGGTTCGCGGCGATTCGTTACAGTGGCATTGTCTACATGCATATCGCCACGTCATATGTAAGCCTCTGTTAGTCTAGTCTATGTTCTAGTTGCCTTGACTAGTACTCGCTGCCACGGAAGTGGAGGCTTGCTTTGGGCAGACGATGCACACAGGACCGAGCAAATCAACGTCGCAAAGAGCGTCGTGGGCAAAAGTATTCCACCTTTGCTACTATGCCATCGACCGCGGGCGCTGAACGTGAACGCTGAGTCCTGGGGTGCTTGAAAGGCTTGCTACCTGTCCCATTGATCGCGAAGGATACGGGCAGGGGCTCAGCCGCCACGCAGTCGGCTGAAGGCATGAGTGATAGTTCTTGTGCTTTTTGTGGGCAAGAATCGCTCAGCGTCGCCCCATCCCTGCGTGCGGAATGATACGAAATGTAAGCTCGGCACGTAGGAGTAGGGCCCTGATTCCGAACCATGGGAGAAGCTTCCTTTGGGCGCCGCTCAGCCCACGAACTCAAGTACTGATCCGGCCCAGGGTAGAGCCGCACCACGGCGGAGAGCGTCGGCCTTAGGACTACCCTTCGCCCTCTTTCGTGCGTCTTTACTCATGTCAGCCTCGAAGTATGTAAAAGGATGAGAGTCAATAATAACGTTCGTGGCCGACGATCAATCGTCAGTCCACAATGGAGACGGTTGCAACATTGCTACATACGTGAGCAGACATACAAACTAGAAGATCAGACAGCCACCAGCTACTACTCCTTCTCGCACTGCTGCACCAGCCCCATGAACAACGTGGCCTCCCACTCCTTCCCGTCCATTGTGTAGAATTCACGAATGTATAGCTTATTCCAGTCGATACCATTCAACGACGGGTTGTCTGTGTTTGAATGTTCGCCGTTCAGAAGGCCGCGCAGCTCCTGCAAGCAGGACAGTCAGCTGTGATTCCTGCGATTACTCGGCGTCGGACGTACATTCATGTAGCCTCGCATCTCGACGGCGACTACCCTCCCGATCTCGTATCGTTTAATTGGTATGGACTTGAGAAACAGCAAGGGCCGGCTATCAGCTGCATAACCTGGCAGCTGGGTGAGAGCGCAAGGAAGAGTTAGCGGACATCGGTTCCATGAAGCGTGCTACGCGTACCTGGCGTCGAAGGTGCATGAAGTCGTCTAAGCACTCGCTCTCGAAGACCTCATTGACCCCGTCACATACTATCTGGCTGCGATTGTTCAACAAGAACTGTGAAAGAGCCACACCAGGCTCGTCATCAAGCCCGTGGAACTCGACGCTGCACACCGGAGATGCTTGGTCCCGAACTCCGGTCGAGAGGGGAACGAATGTCTTGCGGGAATCCTGACGAGACATAAACCGAAACGGCGCCTCGCGGTGAGAAGTGGTGAAAAAACAACGCGAGGCTTCCTGCAGTGTGAGTGTATAAGAGGGTAGCTAGGAGCGCGTACCGGAAATGCTGCGGCGTATGCGAACCATGGGAGGCCACAGCTGTGGCCTTGTTCGGAAGACTCGGGAACAAAGGCCTGATCAAAAAGGTCCGCTTTGTTCTCAGAAACAAGGCTCATCATCTCAGCGTGACCAAGGTCTTCCCTGAGCCTAGTATATCAGTCTGCGTCATTGTGTGTTGACATCGGCGCCGGCGCATTCGAAGTCACGAAATGCTTCAGTAATGATCAACGCGCTGCTTCACCTAAGTTATCGGGGAGGACACAAAACCTTTAGTCTCGAGTACTGTACCCAAACAGATACTTGTGAGCATCGCACATTTTGAGTCAGAGTCGCTAGAATATGAATAGTGGGAGCATCCGACTGAGGACATCGCGGCGCGGACGAGGCTAGCGTTGTGACGCTGTCTCGTGATCGTGACAAGACGCGCAACCGCGAGTTCTGGCGCGTGCCATTGGCACTGGTCGCCTTTGTCCTTCGCTCGCCGCTTGGCTCTCGCCATCATCCTATGCACTCGCACTGCTCGCCATGAAACTCAAGTTCCCTCAAGTCGCTGGTATGCGGCTCAATGCTTGTTCACTAATAACTTGCTTACGAAGGCCGCAGGGTTCCAGCTAGTGCAGCAGCTGGGCGGAGGAGGTTTCTCTATGTGAGTCCGTCTACAGGTAATACTTCTGGTCGGCCGACACAAAACTGATGTGTACAGAGTTTACCGTGCGGTGAACTTTGACGATCACCGTGTCGCAGCGTGCAAAGTCGTTACACTTACGCCGGAGACAACCGAGAAGGAGCGCAAGACATTCGACAAAGAGATGCGTATCCACTCTGCGCTCAAGCACGACAACATTCTCGAATTCATCACTGCTGTCATTGTCGAGCCGAGCCAGCCGGCGAACCCGTACCACCCCGGCCTGTATATGCTACTGGAGCTCGCCGCAGGAGGAGACCTCTTTGACAAGATCGGTGCGTCTGTGTGGATGTGGCGCTAGCGCGTTGACCCGCTTACGTCGGCCATAGCTCCGGATGTTGGCGTGGGCGAAGAAGTCTCGCACTACTACTTCTCGCAGCTTATAGCCGGACTGGTGAGTGCAGGCCATGCTACACTTTCGTGTAACGCAGCTGAGCAACACGCGACTGTGCGTAGCAATACATCCACAGGGAGGGCGTGTGTCACCGCGATTTGAAGCCCGAGAACGTTCTGCTCGATGCCGGCGGCACACTCAAAATCAGTGATTTTGGTCTGTGTGCGGTATACATGCTTAAGGGGACCGGAAAGACAAGGATGCTCTCAGAGCGTTGTGGGAGTCTGCCGTACCTAGCTCCAGAGGTCTGCCTATACGTCCCAAAGCGACGCTATGCTCGTTGACCCGATGGCTGCAGATGTGCCGTGATGCTCCGTACGAGGCTGAACCTATTGACGTCTGGGGCAGCGGCGTCATCCTCTATGCATTGCTCGCCGGCAGTCAGTCACTCCTGTAATTCCTGATGCACCATGATGCTGAAGACGAATGTGATTGTAGACACGCCTTGGGACGAGCCGACGAAGCACAGTTATGAGTATGCGCACTACCTCACCGGCGAGTGCTTCGACGATGCGCCATGGAACCGGTTCAGCAGGGACGTTCTTTGTAGGCTGTTTTGTCATCGTCCCAGGCTCGGTCTAGGCAGCTCACACCGCTATGTAGCTCTGATTACGGGCATGCTCGCGATTGTGCCCTCACGGCGAATGTCCCTCGCCGAGGTAGTTGAACACCCATGGATGATGCGGTGTGTCCCTCTGCGTCCATCCATCATGTTCAACAGATGCTGATCACCCATTGCCCCTCCTGACAGGCCGAGCCAGATCGCGAAGAAGGGCCCAATGGTGCTCGCGAACTCGCTTACGGAGTCGCTTCGACAAACGGGTGACCTGCAGATCGCCACGCCCGACGTCACTTAGTGAGCGCCTCATCTCAATTATGCTGCTTGCTCGGGCTCACCGCTGGGTCATAGCAACGTCGACGCGGACGGGGACCAAATCATGGGCAACGCGTCGTACATCTCCCAGTTCACGCAAACTCTCATGCTCTTCGTACGTCCACACCATCTCCCCTTCCCCTCCCTTTCCCACTCACCCCAGTGCCATGTAGTCGCAAACCCAATCCGGGCGCCGCTACACACCGCACCTCACGCGGTTCTACGCGCAGCTCCTCCCGCATCTCATGCTCCCGCTCATCCAAGAAGCGCTCACCGCAGAGGGCGTGAAATGGAAGTCCGCGCAGGAATACGTGCTCGATGAGCCCGGCGGGGAGACGGTCATCTTGCGCATGCGTATAGGCGGGCACGACCGTCGGCGGCTGATGTTCAAGGGCTGGGTCGAGCTCGAGCACTTTTCAATAGGCGGACATGAGGGGACGTATTGCGTGATGGCCCGCGATCAGGTAGGTTTAATTTGCTTGCCGTGAGGTTGAGTGTGAATGTGGTGCTGACGGGCTGCTTGCCTATGTAGGGCAACCCGATTTCGTGGCGTCTGCTCTGGAGGGCCGTCATCGAGAACGAGGCGGTCGAGCCGCACGTGTTCCGCAAGAGGGAAGACGAGTAGGGAATGAGAGGCGGTCAATCTCGTTCAGCTTGGTTTGAGTGTTCCGTAGGCATTGGGTCCACATTATATACAAAAGCATCATCAATGATTCTGGATGTAGCATTACACGACATGCACCGGCGCATGCGCTTTATGTAGATTATGCACTGTTTCCGACGGAGGTCAGCAATAGATACAAGTGTTCCCTTGGATTTGGAGGATACATTGCGTGCGGAGGGCGGAGGGCGCGGCGTATGAGTAGCTACATGATGAACTTGTGATTCGTATTCTGCACGTAATGTTGAATCAATATATGCGTGTTAAGGAGACCTGTGGCCCAGATGCGACACATACGATACGGTGCGAAGACGACAGCTGCGGCTTCTGGCTATAATTCTTCTTCAATATTTGCCTATCGGTCATTTCCCGAGCCATTGAGTCCGGACTGTGCATAGACAGGGTCTCGAGGGGAGTGCGTACCGTAGATGTTGCAGGAGCTGCTGATATGTCTGATTCTTGTGATCGGCTTTGCAGAGTTCACTCAGACTACGGGCATTAACAGGACCATCGACACCACTCACTGAGGGTCTTCATGAACGCCTGCATACCACCCACTCAGCGAACATACCAATCGATACGTAAGAAGATCTACGCACATAACTCAACGCTCCAACTGCAGCACCACCCTCAACCGTATCTGCGCTCGTCTGCGAATCCATGCAGCCGCTCCACGAGATCTAATGCGCAAGCCGACAATCCAACTTAGCATGAATATCCGCGATGCAGGATGAAAACACGCACTACGTCTGCCTTGGTGGTCTTCTCGCGGAGGTGGCTCGGGGTCACTTCGCTGAGGCCCTTCACGCGACCGTCGCTGTGGTACTATCACACGTGCAGACTGCTTGGTACGGTGTCGTTATGGAGTATGCATGGGTAACTTACTAGGTAGGGAAGATCTGGCGGACAGGGTTGAGCTACGTCTTTCTTTGTTGCTTTCAACGGTGGACGTACCTAGTGCAGATCCGGAGTGACATGACTGGAAATCACCCGATGCTGAGTTGTCACAGGTTACGCTTATGTGCGATGGCGGTGCCACTCACATCGAAAATCGCCTGCAGGGCCGAAAGGTAAGTACCTGATTGATTCTACATCTCTACCCCGAATGGACATACCGTTAGCCGACAGCCATTCGGCAGGTCCTTCACCTACAAGCCAATTCAGCCACCAACGCCAAGTGTTCGTGCCCTTGACTGTTACGAACCATAATCAAGTGCATTTCCTATGGAATGGAGGACTCAGTCCGTGTGCTCCCACAGGGGAGGATCAATCACTCACGTCATCAACGATGTGGCCTGCGTGCTTGTAGTCCACCGGGAATATTACTGTTGTCGTCAGGTACTCATTCTTAAACGCCCTCAGTGGCAGACACACCTTCGTCGAGGCCATCCACCTCATCGCCGTCAAGGTCTCTCGTCTGGCCACCATGTCCCGAATCTACGGCCGCCATCAGAAATTATCCCCGCCGCCAACGGAACGCAGCACTCACAGTGGAACACGAGCGAGTCGTGCGGACACGCATCCCGCACGAGCCAGTGCATCGCGTCGATGATGTTCGCGCGCGTCGGCTGCTGGTGCCGGTGCGCCGCGTCGTCCGTCAGGAGGAAGATATCCTCCGGCTTGAATTTCCACTGCTCTACGGGCGCGCACAGGAGATATCAGTACGCATCATGTGTACGGCAAGCAGGGAAAGACGGACTCATCAGGAATTTGCGCACGTTCTTCGCGTCGTTCACGCATCCGTGTAGCGCATTGTGCTGGCCGGTGTAGTTGATCCCGATCTACCGCACCCAGCGACCCGTCAGCACAACACACACAAAAACGACATGCGACGCCGCGTCTGAGGCGCACGGGCGCGGACTTACGCAGAGCGCCTTCTTGCGGCCGGTGCATTTGGAGAAGACCGGGAGCGCGTGCGCGCGCGATTCTGCGTGTCGCGAGGCGACGGCTCGGTCGACGTCCTGGATAGAGGAGATCTCCGGTCTGGCTACGGGCGCGTGTTGGGACTGCGAAAGAACAGGCGGTACGGTGTAGACGACTTACTCCGAGATCTCGAGCGCGAATGCGAGTTGGGGTGCAGATGGTTCTGAGTTTGCTGTGCGGGTTTGTGGTGTCGCCGTATAATGTGGTATGTGTGGTGATGCGAAGTGGTGATGACGATTCGGCGTCCGCGCCGCTGTGTCTGTGGAGCCGCGGAGGGTGTCGAGTCGATCGCTCTTGACTGACTGTACGAAGATCAGCATATTAATCGCGTCTCAGCAAACGAAACAGTGATCGGCACACTTGCTAAGCATGCACGCAGAAGCTCGGTGGGTATCGGTGGGGCTACCATCCACCACGAGGAATGCGAACACACGGGACGTCTGCGTGCACGCTGAAGCAGATTGCGCATCACCATTTCCTTCGCTGTCAGTGTGTCCTCATACGTACTCTGGTCCATGATGGCTACGCGGATCTTAGCTGAAACGTCCATGAAATGAGGTGAAACTCACGTACGGATGCTGAGACGTGGAAGCGTACGGGCTAGCGGCGCCGTTCTGCGCCCAAGGAGGCGGTCCTGGAGGGCTATACCCAGGAGGTGACCTGTGGAACAGTATCTCAGTCAGTCACGACTTCGTGTCCGCCGTGATGTTTGTCATACGTGGGATACATCCTGTGGGTAATAAAAGAATCTAATCAGTGCATCATTCAACGGCAGCTCCCCAACTGGTCTTGCTTACATCGGCACCGGGAAGTAGACCGCCGGTTGGTAGTACGGACTAGTCGGCGGACTCTGTTGGTAGTTTGCGTACCCGTATGGGTCCCACATCGTGAGGAACAAGAATGACAGGGCGTCCCTGGAGGCCGAGCTAGTAAAAGGAGACCGGGTGAAGATTGAGACACAGTACTGCCTCAGCAGTTATATATGCCAGAACCGAGAGGTCCGGGCGCGCGATCTGCGTCTACGTGGGTAGCAGCTGACCCGATTGGTCCGTATAAAGAGGGTGTTGCTGTCCAGTGTCCTCGAAGACGCGCCCTCTGGGATCGGAGTGGCTCAGTGACTCGGCGCTGGCCTAGAGTGATCCTACGCCGGACGTCTGTGCGCAACAAAGAGGACAAAGTCCTCGTCCGTGGGTACAGAGTACTATACGTACAGCTCAGCGCGTGTGAGGCACAGCTTCAACCTCGACATTCCCTAAAAGGGAATCCAAGAACAACGCGATGACACCTGGGCGCCTACGCTTGTCTTGTCCCAATCACCTCCTGCCAGTGAGTGCTCCAGACGAGTACTGAAAAATGTCGAATACTGCCTCATTTTGATAGCACTCAAGGCAGTCGAAGTACATAAAGAACGGTCGCGGGACCTAAGACTCTCAGGTGAGGTGATGGGCCATCTCAGGATGATAGTACAGTAGCGCCCGAGCGCTCGTGCATAGCCGGTGGCCTTATTAACACTGGCACGCAAATGGAATCCCCTCCTCGTCCTCCTGCTGAATCAGAGGTCTTAATGGATGTTATCACTGGTAATGCAACTTCTCGACAACAACGTTGCGACTGCACCGCCGGATCTCAGTGACCTAAACATAGTGCATTGCTGACAGGCACCTTCACCACTGATATCTTCCTATATCTGTCTGTGTATACATTCCCGACGGTGCACCAATCGAGCACCAGGTACATTTCGCGCGTCAACGTCCGTAGCAGCGGCAGCAGGACGCGCGCCGGGGCGTGGCCCCTCATACACGCCCACGTGATCGCGTCTCGCCGCTGTGGCCCCGGCCGGACAGTTCATGACGTCGGTGCCGACGTTGGGGATGGGCGCGACGGCGAGCACTGACAATGCGACAGCGTCATAATCCCGCAAGAGGGCCAAGCGCACCACACCCGAAATGTATAAAAGGGCTCGCGGGCAGGCAACCAACCTAACTTCAATCCACGACTACATCAGCGATGGCCACAGCTTCACAGACGACTTACAAGCCAAATGACGCCTTCGTGGCGTCGAAGCTCTTCTCTCTAGATGGATTCAAAGCCGTCGTGACTGGCGGCGGTACGGGCATTGGCCTGATGATCACCCAGGCCCTCGTCGCGAACGGCGCGAAGGTCTACATCACCGGACGCAGGCAGGACGCTCTCGACAACGTCGTGCAGCGGTACGGGCCCGGGGGAAAGATAGTCGGGCATGTTGCGCTTTTTTCTTTGAGGAAGCGTGACTGACGCAGGCGGCTTTCGCGTTCCTTGTCACAGGATCTCGGCCGACATCACGAAGCGCGACGATGTGCTGCGTCTCGCGAAGAAGGTCCAAGAGCTAGAGCCCGAGGGCATCCAGCTGCTTGTGAACAACGCTGGTGTAGCGAAGGAGAAGGCGACTACGACCTATTCGAAGCAAGGTGAACCGGACATGCACGACGCAAACGCGATCGCGGAGCACCTACTCAAGGCGACGCATGAATCCTGGGCGGGTACGTCAGAGCTTGCTTCCAGAGCTATATGCAAAGCTGACGCCGGGGACGATCCAGAGACGTTCGAGACAAATGTCACGGCGCAGTACTTCACAGCGGCGGCGTTCATCCCGCTGCTGTCGAAGGGCACCGCGAACACGCACGGGTACTCAGCCAGCATCGTCAACGTCGCGTCCATCAGCGGCATGATGCGTACGTCGTCCTCTGGCCAGTTCGCGTACGCCGCCTCCAAGGCCGGTACGTAGTATCCAGAATCGTCCGCACGCACGAAAGGCTGACTATATGCGCCCGTCTCGCCAGCGATGCTCCATCTGTCGAAGCTGCTGGGCACGACGCTCGCGCAGGCGAAGATCCGCGTGAACACCATCTGCCCTGGGATCTTCCCGTCCGAGATGACTGCTGATAGCTCGGACGAGGCGAACAAGTCGCGCCTGCAGGACGCCGGCAAGTCGTTGCCTGCGGGCAGGAGCGGCGACGATGGCGACATGGCGGCGGCGATTGTGTATCTGGTCGGTCCAAACTCGAACTTCCTGAACGGTCAGGTGTTGCATCCGGATGGGGGAGCGGTTTTGACAAGCCCCGCGACGGCGTGAAGGTGTTGATACACTGGTCGTTGTTGTTCGGTGTTAATTAGCAAATGTAGCTCTAGTGTATTCCTGTAGCAAGTCAACCAAACGTGTATACTTCTATGTCGTCTGACTCCCCGGATAATGAGCTCGAGATCTCGGTGCTTGAGCTTGAAGCGTTTGAGTTAAGTATGTACAGAAGGATCGCGGTCGGGGAAGACCCGGTAGACGCGGTCACATGGGGGCACGCGTAACCGTGTTATTTGTTGCTGTTGATGCGGAAGTTGAACACCGAACAAGGCAGGTAGGCGGTGCGCCCACTAAACCAAACAGCTGTTGTTTGGCATGTTGAAGTCCGTCTCCGTCGTCTCTGCGCCTCTCTTACCCCTGCCGACGCGTCCGAAGCACAGCGTACACAGAACCCTCCCAGTTCTAGTATTCTACGGTCGTTCGCGGGGTGCGGTGTAGGAGACCGGTTGGCAAAGCGACCTTGCGCAATTCGCAAGGTGAGTATGCAGCCATTCGATGCCCTCGCCGTCGTGCTCATACCGGACCCGCAGTGGCAAGTAGCCCTCCTAGCAACAACAGAAAGAAGAAGAACAGCAATTAACGAAGTTCGACATTCGTACGAAGACGACTTGGACAGCACCACGCGTTCAACGAGCCTAGATCAACACCATCTCACGTTTCATAACGACTGCACATATCTCTGCTCTCGACTCAACTATCACGACATCGACGCGCCCACCGCGCGTATTCTCTATTTCTCTTTGATTTATCTTCAGCAAAATCTGTGTGTTATTAACGACGATTCACGTTTCTGTACTCAACGCAAGACCGCTCACGACGACTCACAAGAACAAGTAAAAGCAAGATGCGTAACACGTTGCCCCTCTTGTCTCGTGCACCGGCCCCTTCCTCTTCCTCTTCATCGTCTGCTGTACATTCCCGACCATCGACCGACACACCTCCGCATGCCATGCCCACAATTCGACTGATATCTGCGACCCCGTCCGCGACGGGCTCGGCAGCCGACGCCAGTGGTAGCACATCTCTGTCATCCATCGCCCCCTTCGCGGCGTCGTCTCCTCTTGCCCCACGTCCCACGTCCGAGGCCCCGCGCAAGCGACTCGTACCGAAGAAGTCCAAGCTGGGGCTGCTCGCTGGCGTTGCTAGCTCCAAGCTGAAGGACAAGGCGACCAAGGATTTCTCTGATGTCGTTCGCCGCGTGGGTGGCGACCCCACCTCGACGTCAAGCGGACGCGGTGGCTTCGAGATCTACGTCGACCATGCGGAGGACGAGGAGCTCGGGGAGATCTTGGTGGTGAAGAAGAAGAAGAGCCGGATGGGGCTGGATAGCCTCCGTTGGGGAGGCGCGCTCGGTGAGGTGACGAATGTCCCTCCCGCTGCGCAGAAGGAAGGAAAGGCGGGCGAGACGCTGCTGCCTGTGAAGGTGGAGGAGAACCAGAAGTGGTGGAGCATTAGCCGTGGGCGGAAGGACTCCAAGGGCAAGGAGAAGGAGAAGGAGAAGGAGAATTCCGGGTCGAGTGTGCGGGCGAAGCTGGCTCCGCGGTCGAAGAGTGAGTCCTCAGGATAGCAGAGTTGGCACGTTCGGACTAACAGCTTGTTGCAGCCCCTGAGCCGGTGAAGTCGCTCGACCACGACCCTCAGTCCCTGTCGCGTGCGCGATTCAACTCGCTCGACTCCGGTATCATGCTCTCCAAGATGTCATCCCCTGCTCCCGAGCAGCCCGCGCAGACGGTCTATGTCCAGGCGCCTAGAGAACGTACCACAACCTCTGCATCTCAGGCGTCGAAGGGCAGCAACGGCCTGCTCGCGCCCGAGCCGAATCCCGCGACGGGCTCAATAGCTGTGCGCGCAATCAAGTCGATGCGCTCCCTCGCGAGGATGGCCAGCTGGGCGCAGCTCACCAACAACGGTGAGCAGGAGAACGTGCAGCCCGCGACTAAGGCGGCTGCTCCGAAGAAGACGAAGGAGAAGAGCGAGGCGGGGAAGAAGAAGAAGGAGAAGAAGAAGAAGGATGAGGAGAAGAAGAAGGAGCCGAAGGGTACGGTGAGGCGGAGGGAGGATAAAGAGGCGAAGGAGGCGACCGTGCGCCTTTCCGGCAGTAGCTTCGAGGCGGGCGCACTCAGCACTCAGGCGAGCCCGCACCCACAGCTGCGGGAGGGTGCTAAGACCCTAGGGCGCAAGAAGCAATCGACGCTTGGATTGGGCCTCCCCTCCTCGATGCGGCTGGGCACTGCGACTGCAACTGCGACGATGCGCAAGGTCTCGAACGCGTCCTCGACTGGCTCTGCGGAAGTCGGGCAACCTCAGGCTCCCGCACGGCTCTCCGTAGATTCTGCGCACCTCATCATGAACGCGCAAGGCCGCCCGACGTCCATTATGTCCAGTGGGTCATCGCTTCGGCCGCCGTCAACCGCGAGCGCCATCAGCGAGCGTAGCAAGGGCTCATCGTCGAGCAGCGTCGCTAGCGTACGCTGGGACGAGGCGGGCATGCGTAGTTCGCGCGAGCTCCAGCGGCTCGAGAGGAAGAGCAAGGACAGCACGCGGCCCCACGAGAGCAGGCGCACCAGCGACGGAAGGCGGCGAACCGCGCTCGTGGACATCTTCCCAGAGACCCAGGATCAGATGGGTAGGCCCTTGTCGACGTCGTCGGCGGGATCTGCGGTGAGCGGTGGTAAGGTGAGCATATTTGAGCGGCCGGTTGTCAACGTGGAGTCTGCAACGTCCGACGGCCACTCGGACGACGTCGAGAGCGTAGCGTCCGAGACGCCCGCTAAGAGAGCACGTCCGCGACCCGTGTCTGAGCAAATGCTCGGGAGACCAAGGCCTTCGCCGATCAGTGAGGACCCCGATGGTGAGAGAGCATGTTGCTATCATTACGGCGAAGTACTGACGCTGAGTATTCATGCTAGTTATGCTGTCGATGTTGGATGCTGCGACTAATGAGCTTGCTTCGCTCATCAACCGCCTCGACTTGGAAGCAACGCCAGCAAGCACTCACGGAGGCTCGCCGCTCCGTCTGTCGCCTGGTCAGCGTATCTTCGAGGACAGCCCAGTCAAGCGGCGTCTCCCCAGCGGTGGCAGCCCCCTCAAGTCGGACCTTAAGGGCAAGGGCAAGACGGAGTCGATGCAGTCCCTCCGCCCGTACGCGCAGATGCTCGGCGCACTGTCGGCGAACAAGGAGTTCCCAAGCTCGGTGCAGCCTATGGCTCAGCAGTACCCTGATGTCAGGCGGTTCTTGGGCCAGCAGATCGCTCCCTGGTCCGAGCTCGACTGGCAGGTCTCGCCGAAGAAGCCTGTGGGTATGGTTGTGCCGCGTCCTACGCACAAGCGGACGAACCCACCGACGCCTGCTCTCGACCCGCCTTTCGTCTTCCAGCCACTCAAGCCGGCGAAGAACAACAAGGCCGCCCCCGCTATGTCAGCATCGCCTGCTCCGCGTGTCGCCACTCCCCCAATCGCTACTGCGGATGGTGCGCCGTCGTCGAGCACGTTTGGCTCGAGGCCGTCCAAGGTCGGCCTGAGGGAGTTGGCCCAGGATGCATCCCCGACGCCCGTCTTCAAGCGCCATGCTAGGCATTTGAGGAAGGGCTCGTCGCTGGCCACAATGAACACCAAGGCCAGCGAGCTCAGCTTGCGCCAACAGGCCTCGAAAGACATGGTCCGAATCTCGCCTGAGGCGAGGAAAGGCCTTGGTCTCGGTGGGACATTGGGAGGCCGCGCGTCCAACGAGCCCCAAGTTGACCCAAGGGATCCGGACTCTGACATCCCCAACGAGTTGCAGGTGATTATTGCTGGCCAATCCGACGACGACTGCACACGGCGTCTCGACGAGACATTCTCGCGCTGCAGTACGCCAGCGAGCCCCCTGTCGCCTCAGGCGATCGCGTTCCCCAAGGCACTCCCGGAGTATTCAATTCCAGACAGGCCGCCATCACTCCCGCCTGTTCCCGTCTTCCAGCTCTTTGACGAGGACGATCACCAAGCGGACATTGAGAGCAGCCCGACGTCGCCTGCAGAAGACGATACGAAGAAATCGTTCGACTTCACTGGGGAACTGCGGAAGCTCAATGAGTCTGGTGGATCTGACCGACGCAGCTTCGTCGAGCAGCTCGAGAATGCTTTCCGGACTCCAGCCAAGATTGGGCTTGACTACGGCCTGGATGAGCAGCTTGGATTCAAGAACGATTTCTTGGACGTCCCGCCTGTCCCGCCGTTGCCCGCGAATCTACGCTCGACGCCCTCCGAGGACATAGCACCACGCAGTGTCTCGAACCCTGAGGACTATTCGGCGATGTACGGTCCATCTGGCGACGATCTGTACCGCGACTCCTATGCATCCGACGACATTCAATTCGATATGGTCACTGGCGTCGACGATGAATGCAGGGTCTATCCCGTGACGAAGCGATCTGGCTCCATGCGCACGATGGCATCCGATGGTCAACTCAACGTGGACTTCAAGTTCGGAGGCAAGCCGACTGTTCCCTCGACGGTGGAAGAGAAATCAGAGCGCCCCTTGACGCTGTCCGACATCATCCCGCCCCTGACGCATTCGGCTTCGCGGTCGTCTCTTGTCGAGGAGGACAGTTCAGTGCTCAAGTCAATCATGGCCCAAGCCGCTGAGCCCACTGTTGAGGAGGATAGCGTGCTGAAGTCTATCCTGGCACAAGCCGAGAACATTGTGGAAGTGCCACGAAGGCGTGCCCTTTCGGAGTCTAGCTCGAACCGGGTCATCTACGATCCTCAGTCTTACGCAGCTCATGCCAGCAACTCCGACCACTCTAGGCGCGAGTCTGAGGCTAGCTTCGCCGGTTTCGAGTCATTCGACGAGGTCAGGCGTGGCTTTGAGTTTGCGAATCGACCTGCCTTGTACCCACCACCTGGCGCAACTGCTCGTCGTTCTCACTTGCGGGATGAGTCACTGTTCAGTATTGCCTCCATCTCGTCTTATGGCGACGTCCTCAACGCTGGGGTTCCAGATCCTTTCGGATACAGTCGCGGTCTCAGTCGCCCAGCTTCCGGCGACGTCTCCATGTCAATGTCCGTCGACGACACGTTCTCGTTCATGCACAGAGGCCGCCGACAGCGTATCGACAGTGATGCGTCAAGCTTCTACTTCCGTGCACCGGGGACGACCTTCTCCCATGGTAGCAGGCGCGCCGGGCATCGTCGCGATGACTCACGGATGTCGGTCGCCTCAAACGCTCCTCCAGTTAGCATGTACAACCGCAGCTTCGGCGGGCATCGGCGCAACGACTCCAACATGAGCTCAAGTTCCGTCGCTCAGTCGTATGCTATGCATGGTGCTTCTGGGGGACGTGCGGCTTGGGCCCGTCATCGCCATGACCAGTCCGTTGACTCAGTCTGGAGCGATTACTCTGCGGGTCGTCTTGGGCGCCCCGGGCTGGGAGACAAGATGTTCGACAACGACCACGGCATGCCACTTACTGCTATCTCGGCTTCGCCTCCAGAGAGCGTTGCGGGCGACCTGCGCAGCAACGCGTCATGGGAGTCCTTTGTCCCTGCTGATAGGCGTGCCTCGGCGGATGAATCGATCTACGAGGATTCTGAGGACTACCATACGACGATGTCGCGCGACTCTGTGTTCGGCTGTACTGGATCAAACTCGCAGTATTACGACCAGATGCAAAGGCGACCGTTCCGTCCGGTGTCCGTGATCAGCGACATGAGCGTGCACCATCCGGGCAAGGAGGATGACACAATGATCACCGTAAGTGCGCCAGTTTCGTTCAAGTCCTTGTCTCTGATCACGGTTGTCAGATGTTCGACGGTGCTCGTGTACGTCGTCTCTCTACTGACTCCCGGATCGGTGGCTCCCCATGCGTGAGGATCGAGAAGGCGAAGCAAAGCACAGGACCCTTGCCTCAAAGAGTTTTGCAATTCCAGCCTCCCGACGCAGAGAACAAGGACTCTCCCGGTTCCCTCAATAAGAGCAAGCTGGTTGAGAAGCCCTCAATTGCATCGACTTCTTCTCAGCAGTTCGGCGGAGAGCGTATGATCCAGGCGCGCAAGGGTCTCCTGGAGCGTCAAAGCCTCGAAGACAGTGCACTCATTGCCCATGGAGAAGACATCCTGGCATCCCGTATGTGTCTCGTCATCGTTATGATTGCTGATGCTCACGGATGCATCAGTGCGCTCACAGTCCGTCTTCTCTCGTCCGGATATCGCTTCCCGCTCTCGCTCAAGCACGGTCAGCGCGAGCTCAGGCGGAGAGACACCTCCTCTATCCTTGTCTGACGGGTCCTCTCAGTCTGGCGGCTCGCAATCCAGTATTGACGTTGGTCAACTGAACGCTCTCCTGCTCAATGTTGCTAACCCGAGCAGTGGGATTGCGCGGAATCGAGTTCGCACAAGAGCCCGTGGTACCGGACACCGTCGTCGCATTTCTCAGGCCAGAGCGTCCCGTTCGTCCGTGTACGAGACCATCGAAGAGGAGTCCTCGGTCACGCTGTCACCTTCGCCGGCAAAGGCGTTGTCGCCCATCTCGTCGCACATGGCTACACCTGGAGACTCGGTGTTCATTGTCGACGAAGACAGTCAATCAATGTACAACGACTGGAACGATGAGCGTGGAATCACGACACTGCGAAGGTACTACGCCCTCAAGGATGAGGCGCATGAGACCGTCATCGAGAGCAAGCAAATGTGGATGGACACTCCGTTCTCCATCTTCGCCGTGCAGTGTAAGTCAACTTTTGTATTTACACGTGCAACATGCCCTGTACTGACATGCGGGTACAGCCTTCTACCCTCCTCATAACCGTGGAGGTATGTGTGCAATGCTCGAGCACTCACAGAAGAACTACGGTCCGCTGCCCTCAGATCTTCACCCGAGGCGTATTCGGTCGAGGACGTCGTCGAGAGCCTCGCCATACCCGCTCCCGAACCATCGCTCCTCATTCTCGCCTGACAAGCCGATGCAAGTCCACGTAGACTCCAGCCCAGAGCTCCACATCAGTCCTCAGCATCCCCCTTCGTTCTCCGTCCTCCGCGAGGTCCCCACGAATGTCAAGAACCAGTCGCCGGTACCCGCCCTGGAGGTCATCAAACCGTTCACGCCCTTCAGCGTCGAGTTCGACAAGTCCAGGCCGGACATCAGCAAGGACAGCTTCGTGCCGCCGGTCCCCGTTCGCCCTCGGGTGACCTCGAGTGTTCGCCGCAACGCGCTCGGGTGGAAGCGCCAGACAGGGAAGTCGTCGTCTAGTAGTCAGAAGGAGAATGCCGGTCAAGGAATGCTAATCACGTAAGTGCACACTTGGGAGGATGCATGAAGATGGCTAACGAATGCCATACACGCAGCCCCTCCGAGACGCTCAGGATCAATCGCCCTCGTCCCCAGCGCGGCCGTCCGACGCCCGCACGAGCCTTCGCTCAAATCGCATAACCCCATCCACACATCGTATAAATCTACACATCACCAGTCCTGCCACGAAGATCCACATGTTGTCGGCCTGCTCCTGGGGTCGACGACCGCGACGAGGACTGACATCTTTATGCTATGGTTATTGCTCTATGCTCTATCTCCCTCCAAGCTCGCATCACACACCTCGCTCTCGCCATCGCCATCGCACATCGACTCGCAACTGTTGCAATTTGCTTCAACGTTCATCAAGTCTTCACACGAACACACGCGTGCTATGACGAGTACACGACGCTGACGCCGTTCACGTTCACGTTCGCGCCCGCCGATCCGGTCCACGATCCGGGCGCACTCACGACACTATCGAACAAGACCCACACCCTGACGTCTCCGATTGAATTCTTGATTCACGACACGACCGTAACCTTCTTGGTCCCGATTTCCCTGCTGTGCTGGGGAGGGGAGTTTCCCGTTTCTTTCTTGACACACACGCACGCTGTTGTTGTTGTACAGTAGACACGGTTTGCTCTGCTTCTCTCCTATGCACACTCACGACTCGTACTGCCTATTTACGACTACAAATGTTTCAGACTGGTGTGTCACTTATTCGTAGAACGAATCTATGATGCGTTTTCTCTGAATCCGACGATGTGGGATGCGTCCGTGAGCGAAAGCGAGAAGTACATCGGGCTATGAATACCCCTGGTTTCGAACGAAACTAGCTGCAGGGCCATTCCGTTTCATGACGCCGACGTTTGCTAAAAGGCCGACGCTCAATATGCGGCCGCACATCGCATGAACAAGATAGTACATACCGGCTCTGCGTTCCCAACCTTTCGCGCGGGCAGTCTCGGGCTTGCCCTTCAGGTTGAGCGTGCGATTGAGGAACTTGTTCACCCTCGCAGGGGGCATCATTGCGCGCGGTATAGTCGTAGGCACCGCCGGGGAGGTGGGTGCGAGAGTGCGGATCGTCCGCGAGCTATTCCGGACGTGAGCCATGAGCCAACCTGCACAGTGAACAGTACGCACCCGGCTACGATGTCCTTGGCTTTTCCTGGCCGTTTTGCGCGCTTCTTGCGCGGGCGCGGGTCGGACGGCTCGTCTGCGGTGTCGAACCGTCTTTTGGAGGAGGACGCGGGGGCGGAGAGGGCGGCTTTGAAGAGGTGGTCGGGGAGGTAGGTCGGCGCGCGGGGGGCCTTTTTGCTCGAGGCTGGAGGTTCCGACGCGGACTCTGCGTCTGAATCCGAGCCTGTTGCGTTGGAGTTTTCTGCGTCGCTGGCCTCCTCGTCCTCATCCGAAGAGCCCTCGTCGTCGCTCTCGCCGTCTCGGTGTCCTCCGTCGTCTATGCCGCCCCATTCCTCTCCCACCTCGTCTTCCTCGTCAGACTCCAATTCCGCCTCCTGCATCGCCCTCTCCATCCTCGCCTCCAGCTCGCTCTTCGGTCCGCCCCCCTCCTCCTCGCTCTCCTCAGACGCCCCCGCGGGCTGCTTGCCCTTCCTCGTCGCGCTTTGAGCCTGTTCCTTCCGCCTGCGGTCGCGGTCGCGGTTCAGCTCCTTGCGCTTCTGCCTCTCCGCCGCCCGATGCTGCTGCAGCGCGTGCTCCGCGCCCTTGGCGGCTTCCTTGGAGGAATCGAAGGTGAGCGTATCGGGGGCGTCGTCTTCGCTTTCGCTCCCGCTCGAAGATGCGGCCAGTCTTGGAGGTGCCATTGTGCGGTGTATCGCGTTCGTTGTTGGAGGCAAGTCGCTGTTCGTCGACGTTCAAGTTCAAGCTTGCTGTGGCGGAAAATGTCGACTACTAGATCTGTAGATCTGGCAAGTATGCGCGTGGTGTGTGGCTAAATGGATCCCCCCCTCCTCCTCCTCCTCCTCCTCCTCCTCACGTACACTGTACAGGCTCAAGCACTCAAGCGCTCACCGATGCACCGTCTGCGGTCACTGCGCATGCAGGACTCGATATCCAGCTCTTTTCCAGTGCATCATAGACACCGACGGTCGCACAAAGCGATACGTTCCTGGTAGGTAAACAACTGCAGCGTATGACAGCATGGGAGGACCCAGGCATATTCAACCAAACGACACAAACGAGGACAACGGGAGCAAGATTGGCGCAGACAAAAGGTCACAAAACAGACCATGACTTGCACGTACGAAGGTTTTCGCGAGACGGTCAATAGTAAGTACTTAGTACACGCCTGATTTTCTGACACAAATCTTGGTTTAGGCTTGTCCCGAGATGCGCGCGTAGTACTCTGCGAGGTCACCGTGACGCCAGAATGGGATGCCAGCGGAGGTTTGGGTAGAAGGACAGTATGTCATGCATCGACGAAATGGCTCCTTATACGGCGGCTTAACGTTTGCGGATCGAGCAGCCACGAAGTCGCTCGGAAATGAAAAAGACCGCAGAAACGCCAGCGTACCAGTGATGAGATGCGTGTGTATATTCGCTATCCACGAGAGAGTTCATTCATTGATTCTTAGATGCAGAACGTTGCAGCTGCTACCGCGTCGGGCAATGCACTGTTACGCCCTCTTCCCCTCGCCGTCAGCGGTGACTGCAGGAGCCATTCAAGCGACGATTATTGACACTCAGCCGGTTTCCAGCGGTGAGCTACACCGAGAGGTGGATAATCAAGGAGTAATACATACTAGCTGCACCCCCGTAACTGGTTGCCTTGGTATATGCTACGATCTACTTCGTGTCCACGCTCTTGAAATCAATCATCCTCAGCTGGTGGCGCTTGCAGCAAGAAGTACGTCGCGCCCACAAGCTTCAGTCCATACTTCTCCCCGAATGCCACAGGGTCCCAGCTGCGCCTCTCCTCCAGTGCTGCGCCGTACTCTGGTGCGTCGGCCGGTAAGCGCAACGTCTCCGTGGTCGAGGGTTCCTGCCATAGCAAGAACGCTGCGCATGGCGCTCAGAAACATCATCCCAGGTACGAAAGGGATGGTCTGCTCACTGTATCGGTGCAGCCCGCTAGCTGGACGCGGCCCCGGGGGCCGGTATGGCGTCGTTGCGGGCTCGGTCTTGAGCGCATACGGGCTTGCGGTGCGGCTCGCAGTGCGCGGGGGCGCCTTCAAGCCTGTGATCTACGCGCGCTCAGCCACCGGCCAACGGATCGTGCAGGAACGCGATCGCACGCACCAGCCAATGTCTGAAGCACCTGAACCTCGGGTCGTCTCTGCCCGGCGCGTCCGGGTCGACCATCGCGAGCGTGTACGCGACCTCCCCCACCGGCGCATCCGTGCCCTGGCCGTCTGCGTCGACGGGCGCGGGGACGTCCGCCTGCTCCGGCGAGAGGCTCAGCGGCATGAAGACGATCTCGGGCTCCTCGCGCGCGGCCTCGGCCGTGAGGGTGTTCCCGAGGAGGACCTCCTGGCCGTTCGGGTAGGAGATCGTGAGCAGCACGGACGACTGGAAGGTCGGCGGGAGGACGTCGGGGATGAGCGCGGCGCGCGCGACGGCGGTGCACGGGTCGGGGTGCGCCATGGCGGTCGGTGCTATGGAGTGGAGGGTATCTGCGGGATGATGATGGACTTTGCGAAGGAGGGAGGCTGGATGGATGGAGCTGGACTCCATCTCTCAATCTGGTGATCAGCTTGGCGGGGGTGGCGGCCCGCTTGAGCGCGAAGACCCATGGCGTGGTTAGAGCTCATATCAATGCGCATCATTGAGCGAGATGCTCAGCCTGGGGGACGGAGGAGGAGGAGGAGAGATACAATTACGGAGTCACTCAACTTGGCGGTTGTCCTCGCAAATGACGGGTCCCACCAACGATATAGCTAGTAGATCAGAGGAATGAATATTATACATAGTGCACGTCGTCGAAAGCTTCGCGTGTCGTGATCATCCGTGCTGCAATCCAGTCCCTCGCTTCTGGGCAGACACAAGCATCAACTCGACGCATCCGACCTTCAATCGCATCCGACTCACCATTACTTCCTTGCCTCCTTTTCCACACCCAACAAGCTCGCCACGACACCCGCGCTCTCCTCCAGCCTCTTCCTCTTCTCGAACAGAGCCTGCACCGCGCTCGTCATCTCTGCGATGAGCCGCTCCTCGTCTGCTTCGGGCTGTGATGCGGCGTTCGACGGGTCTCGCGGGCGCATTGGCAGCGCGCCGACGCCCGACTGGCGAAGGACCGCTGCTAGGAGCTCTAGAGCCTGGTGAAGGGTGGCCATGTCCGCTGCGACATCCAGGATGTGACACGAAGTCAGCACAAGCGAAGCCGGAGAGAAACGAGAGCAGGAACGCGCACCTGCAGTCTGTATGGGATTGTTGCCCGTCTGATACGCATGTTGGCTACACAGAAGCGAAATACAAGCGTCACCGACTAGACTGATGGTAGAATCGTGCCCGATACTCACGTCGCCAGCAAAACACTCCTCGCTAACGCCTGTACGCGCGACACCTGGCCCAGCGCGAGCTGGCTGTTCTGCTTGAACGTCTCCGGGGATCCTACATCGGATGCGGTCGTCGAGTGCGAGTACTGCTGGCTAAGAGTTCCAGAGGACCCATCATAAAGACTCGGTAGACTGGTGGAAGTTGAGAAAAAGGAGGACTGGCTGGCCGTAAGGTTTGGGTAGGACTGGGAGAACATGGAAGAAGCGGTAAACAAAAGACTTGGCCAACGCCGGGGTCGAACCGACGACCTTGGCGTTGCATATTAGCACCACGCTCTAACCAACTGAGCTAGTCGGCCTTGTGAATATTTAGCTATAATGTTATTATCATGGAGTTGCCTCTGACCAGTAACCTAGTGACTACTTATCTTTTTGGTCAGCAACGGAGACTACTCACCTTGTACTCATTGTGTACTCACCTCTGCGACAGTCCCCTGAATCGCTTGGCGCAAACACTCGTATATGGAAGGCAAGATTTGAACAAGGCGAAAGTGTCGCATATAACTCCGATACTGCATGAATATTGAGTGGTTTGCTGTCATTTGTCGTTCGACTCCGTTGATTGACCTTATTCTATGGTAACTTAGTCTGTCGATTCCGAATCGACAGACAACCATAGAGTAAGGTCAGGTGCAGCGCGTACGTCACTATGATATGTACTCCAGGGTAGCAGGAGTCACTGCGGCAAAGAGGGGTATGCATGCACATACGAGGCGTGTGGGGTACCGGGTATTATGTAACAATCACTTACCAGTAACACTGGTCAGTCCAGACGCGACCAACGGAACTCATTCTCCGACACTGAATCGCAGCAGCGACCTAATAGAACCTACCGAAGGACGAACTCTACAAGTAGCATTGCTCTAGCATGTCATCTACGAACACGAGCAATGGCACTGGTGCTCATGGGGGCGTAGCAGAGAAGCTGAAGTACGTGTCAGTCACTGTCATTCACGCCACACCAACCCTGAATCGTTGAGGACAGAGGAGCCGGTCACGTCGTCAAGGGTAAGTCAATAACGTCCACGTCCAGACTCGTCATCCGCATGCCTTACGTGCGCTCCAAGGCATGGCGACGGCGAACAAGGACGAGGCTCAACGAGGCGTGCAGCAGATGAGCTCGGGCACCGGCGGATGCGCACCAGGCAGCGAGGACAACCCAAGCACGCTCGGCTCAGGCTCAGGCGCACCGCGCACCTCGACCTATCTCCCCTCCAGCGTCGCAGGCGCAGGCGGGGCCCAATCTATCACCGCGAGCGTCGGTGGCACACTTCCACTGCAGGGCCAGTACGAGGGATACCCCTCGCAGGAGGGCACCGCGGAGACGGACCGAGGGGCCGCGCGGAACGCCGGAAGGAATGACCGCGAGTTCGAGACGAAGCACGGCCCGCCTGAGAGTGGGACGTTGCCGAGGGAAGATGGGCCTCTCCCAGCGGCAGACGCGACGAGCTCGGGGCCAGGTACTGGGGTTCCTAGCGGCGGGCCGAGTGTACTCCCGTGAGGGCCAGGAGAAGCTATGTATCGAGAGCTCGTGAATGCCAGTGGAAGTGTATTTGTCCCATGTATGCGTCCGCGCGATAGCGAAATTATTGACATTTGTCAATACATTGATGTGTATGTTGACGCGCTCTTGAGAGATTTTGAGGGTTGCATGACCCTCAGGCTATTATCATAGCTGTCATATTCCACTTCGCGCAGCAACCGTGTTGGGACGGCTAGCTGAGAATCCGAGCGATACCGACCGTTAGTTTTGCATAATCTGATCTTGTCAACAGATCGTCGCCATAACACTCGCTGCTGTACACACAAACACTAACAGACAGAAAGCTCAGCGCAACGTCGCGCTATCATGTGCTCCTATGGCCTACTATTTCCTGCCAAAGCGCTCGACCTCCCAGCGGTTGTGGCTGTCCGTAGCCGTCGAAGTGAGGGTGACCTGCCAGCATAATCCAGTCAATGAAAATTCTTGAGGACGCCCGTCAAGCAGTCGCCGATGGCGTCCGGGGAGCACTCCTCGCCATCCTCGAGGCTCCAGAAGTACAAGGAGATGCTAAGTATGGAGGAGTTAGACCTCCGAGTCGGACTCGCTATGCAGCGGTAGCCTGTCTGAGGTAGTACTGGCAAAGTTCAGACCGTACGTGTAGTACTTTTAACCTCCGAATGAATGTCGTACTCCAACCGGTCGGCGAGGGTTATATTCAATTTAGCCTTTGGTCGTTGGATTCAAGATTCGGAAATATGATGCGTGCTCTGCCATTTTGCATAGCACCCAATCCACATGACGACACATGTCACACGGTTCCATAGAGCAGGCCTTGGTATTGTACACTTTATCGGACATCAATGCAGATCTACTCGTACACGCCACTGTACAGCGATCCTACTGGGGATCTCGCCTAGTTCCTGACGCGCTCGAAATGCCAATGGTTGTGACTGTCCGTGGCTGTCGTAGCGAGTGTGACCTAACGAGCAAGTCATCAGCGAGCCCGACGAGACATACATGCATTCAGTCGTTTCCGACGTACCGGAGTACCCTCTTCACCGTCTTCGAGGCCCCAGAAGTACAGCGTGCGATCGGCCGGCGAGAGCCTGAGCAAAGAAAAGAGGTCTACGGTCAGAAATTTCCAATAACACAGCGCCAAGCTACCGGAAACCTCGTACGTGAATACATCCCGTTTCCTCGTCTCCACAATAATGACTTGCTGAGACGAGCCCCTTCCAACAACGGTGGCCCCAACCGCGGCACGAGAGCCGGCGTTCGCATACGAGGCATTTTCTACATTCTCGATGGTAAACTTGCCGTTACCAAGTCTGACCACATTCCACTACGCCAACACAGTCAGCGAAACGTTGGCCGACGAATAACGGTAGTACGGACATAGGTTGCGCGCCCTGTGTTCTCGGCAGTTCCAATGATGCAAGCGGGTTGCTGCTGAAGACGTTCCTGATGATGTATGTACCAGTGCTGATTGACATGGCGCGGCGATGAGCAGGTTCGATAGGGCTCGTCGATGACTATCGGAGACAGCCGTATTCTTGCTCTTATACCCGGTGTGTCCAGTGTGCACATAGAACGCGCAGCACACCATCGCGTGTGTACGTCCGGCGGTCAATACACAGACGCCTAGCAGGACTGGGTATACATTGAATGCGCGCGTGATGAACCTGGCTACCCTGAGGACGGGAAACTTCAAAGAAGACTGCATTGAACAGCGTCAGATCTAAGTGAGTGACATTCATTACCGCCGTAATCACCCACTGCCGAGACCATCCGCATCCGCATAAACCATCTGTTCGGATGCTGGTCACTGACCTGTGGATGCCTGGAGCACGAATCTTACCACACCACCGCCCTGTGTGGTCTCAAATCGCGTGCCGACGTCTGAGTCCGTCACTAGCTTTGAAATTAGTCCGAGCGCCCTCAGGAATCGCCGTCCAGTTCATTTCCGCTGAAATATGGTGAAAGAGCCAGGTACGCACCGTTTGCGAAACCAAAGAAGGAATCTGGTGCGACGAACGTTTGTCACTGATATTGTTTGAACCGCGGCGATGTGGAGGTACTCATCCAGGACCCTGCGTGACAGCGGGTCACACGTACTGAGAAGATGCAGCGCCTCGGTTTGGTGATGCATGAGAACCAGGTCCGGGGGGAGCACGTCCCGGATGCGCTTCTGCCTCCCAGCATGGAATGCCGGCGAGAGAAGCTGTTCTTGGGCCACAATTGCGCGTTTTGGAAGCAGATGGAAGTGACACAAGAACCAGGGCAGTACAGATATGCGCACGACTCGGAGAAGCAGTTCAGGTGCATTCATACTAGGGTCAAGCTCGAGACACACAAATCCGACCAATGGCCGCGTTGTGTGTCTCGAGCTAAGGCCAAGTTCGGGAAGGCTCAGGCTCCGAGTCTCGGTGTGGCATCGAGGGGCTGCCCTGGCGAAACTGCAGTTCTTGTCTAGTTTTGAGATAAGGACGACCTGGACGACTAGTAGTACTTACATACTAAGCCTCCTACCCTGACTCACTAAGTGTGAAACTGAACATACCGAGCATTGAAATGTGAAGTGGAGCACGTGATGGATCGCTAATGGCTTCGTGCAGCCGCATTGTAAGTAAGTATCACGGTGCCACTGGCATGTTCAAACGTTCATGGCATTGGCCGTGGCGCTCCTCGTCGCCGCGCGCGAACGCCTCCTCTATGAACAATCAACGGTGGTAGGGAAGTACGATTGACCGTGTGTGTTGTACCACTCCGAGGCGATAACCGTGACACTACACCTGAACTAGGCTTTCAATATTGAACGGCGCTGGTACGCGAATCGGCTTCTATCTGGCAACATCGCAACGAGGTCGTCTGAATCCCTAAGGGGTTCACGCCGGGGATGAGCTAGCCTCAGAATACTATGTACGCCTTGTTGCAGCCATGCACATCCGTTCAAATCATCCTGACGCTCTATGCGCTAATGGAGACTGACGCAGGATTGGTAATTGTCCGAGGACCTGACTGCTAGGCCCGGGTGTAACTCCTATTGGTCAGCAACGGGGACTACCCAGTATCAGAACTCAGTGGTCACAAATTGCGGTAGGTTTTCAGCCTGATTTGGGCCAGTCTCGAATTGACCGATGTGTCCGGTGTGTGCAGTTAGTACGGCTGCAGATAATGGAACCCTCACGCTTGATAGCGCGTACCTTCACCCTCGGGGTTGTCGTGGCTATGAATGCCGTACGACCTGTGTACCAGACACACAAGCTTGACATGTGTAGAGCGCATGTCTGTCTCTCCACTCGTTCCCGGATTCAATGAATGCTGTACCTCGAGGGGACGCGGAAAACCTATAACAATCAGAAACTCAGCCGTCTGTGGTCTACCAGCCGCGCCCCCACTGAGAGCCACTCCAGCCTCTTGCATACCCTCGCCAGTGAACCACCATGAGCTTGCCATCAGGCACTTACACGATCACTAACGTTTCGTATCGGAACCGTGCGAGTCTGACCAGCGGCGACGATCAGGAGTTCATTCACTGCAAACTTCCAGGCGCGGTTGGCCCCAAGGAGCAGGTGTGCTGGAACTCAGGCTATCTTCCTTCATCCATGAGCGAGTACTCAATGCTATTTCGCAGTGGAGTTTGACCAGCTTTCCGGGCGATCGTTTCTGGATAGTGAATGAGGACTGCAAGCTACACATTGCAACACACCCTAATGCCGCAATCGCTAGTCCGGTCTTTGGTACGCGGGTCAACACCTCCATGGCCTGGATTATCAAGGAAGTTCCTGGCGACGACTATGGACCTGACGTATATAGGTCAGTTCAGGTTTCGTTCAGGTGGGACGAGAGCTATGGATTTGTCTGACGCATCCCGGACAATAGCATACACTCTGAAGAGATGACCACTCTCGCCTGGACCCTCAATGACGGACGCGACGGGACGCCTGTAAAGCAATTGTTCCGAAATCACACTGGACTGAACTGATTTACGATGTATTCAGATTTCGCTCCAGAATTTCACGAAGGACAGACGCAATCTATGGCAGGTATGTTGCTCAAACGGCACATTGACGTGCTGTATCTCACGCATAACCCAGATTTCTACATACCCACCCGTGCAACGCAAGGAATTTCCTTTCAAAGACAGATCTACCATGACCCTGTCGTCCGTTGAGCCAACGTACGTCTTTGCAATCATTTTATCTCTCGCGTACGCTTTCGTCGTTACTCATATGGAATTTGCACTGGCAGAGCCGAACCAGACTACCTCGCGGTGCATTGCGACTGGAAAGGCCTTCCTCCCGGTTATAGTTTCGAGTTTCCGGAACCTCTCTTGCTATTGCATCATAGCGAAGTCGTCGGGGAGATGATGATCCCCGCAGACGGGAAGTTCACGACAGACTCCGGGAGCATCTACATGGAGTTCCACCCGCGAGACACCCCTGCGTGAGTGTGCGCCATGGTAGTTGCTCCTCTGACTCACCGTCCGTTCGACACAGATTCAAGACTTTTGCGGCGGCCATTATGGCCGAGAGCGACGTGCAGGTCTATCTGCAGATTGAGAAGTTCAGGTTCTATCATTCAGGCTCGTCCGACGCGGACAAGAGCTACGTCTACCGCAGCAAGTGGAGCAAAGAGCTCATATTCAAAGGTACTGTTCAGATTTGCACGGGTCCGAGTCGTTTGTTGATTCATGTCAAATGACAGGCCTACACGCCTTCCGAGAATGTGTCAGCCTCAGAAACCTGAAGATCCAAGGGAGCAGCAGCGACAATCTAGGCCCTTACATTGTTGCTACTGTTGAGGCTGGGATCCTCAACCCATGCGTCCTCAAGTGTACCTCCAACATTGTCATCAGCATTCATCACGGCAGTTGCAAGGTGCGTTGCGTGGTACCTATGATCAGTATCACACAGGCTCATAGACGTGTTCACTCTAGCTGGGATCATCAGACCTGAAGGTATTATACAGCAAGATATCTTCGCTGTTATGCGTGTTCACAATTGTCGTCAGGATTTCACCGTCACTCCGCAGCAGAACGAGTCTCGCCAGATCACATGGAAGTTCCGACCCATGAGCCCAGCCAACGACGAACTTCGCAGCTTCCTGGACAAATGCTTCATGACAGAGCAGCAACTCCCCATCCGACTCGGCGTGGACGCAATCAGCACGACCATCTGCGGACGTCTCTTCAACCTTCCTCGCTTTGACATTGAGACACACATCCAAGCTTTCGCCAAGAAGCTCATCACCAAGGTCAACGTTCGCATATCGGCCATCACCGTGTTCAAGCGAGAACTCACATTCGATTTCGAGATGCGTGCGTTTTGCAACGTCACGTGGTGCACGATCGTCCGACTGACTTCTTTCGCGGCAGAGAACCCGTTCAGCGCCACTTTGGAGCTCCAGAATATACAGCTCAAGGTCAGCATCAGGGGGACGCACATCGCGACGGTCAAACATACGTTCGGTACGGGAGGCGTAGAGAGATTTATGATCCCAGTACGTTCCCGCGTGTCCCTGTAGACCCCGCCAGTCACGTCGCTTTGCAGGCCGACGGGCAAGCGAAGAGCCCAAAGATATCTAACTGCTGGCTGAATGCAAGTTACTTGAAGGCCTTCCAGCTGGCCTACTCCGCCAAGACGCCATTGGACGTTGAGGTCACTACGGCTGATCTGTCGTACGTCCTCAAGCTGTTTGTCGCGCGCACAGTCAACTGACATGATGAGTACGTCGGTAGCATCGACCAGTACCCCTTGAAAGGGCTCTCGTATAACCTGTATGACATTCCGTTCAAGTCAGTATCTGTCCCTGTCAGTGACGACAACAGAAATCACTCACGCACACGTGCACAGGCTCAACCTCTTCTGAACATGCTTTGGAAAAGTCGACGTAGTCGTGTAGTCGTGACCACCATTGCGGGTCAAGCTTGAAGCGTCATGTCTATTCGTACTCTGTCTGCTCGGCGACACCAGAAGGAGCGCTACGGCGATCGACGAGAGGTTAAAACTCAGACTAGTCGGTGTACCATCGTACTGTAGCTCGTGATGTATTACATAGCACATTAAGATTAGCATACATACATGACGACCCTAGGAGAGAGTGAGCAAAGAGATGCGCTCGTCCTTGACCGCGAACAACAGAATATACTTCTGACCGTCTGCCTTCTTCTTAATTACAGCTTCTCGTAGTTGATTGGTGTAAGCTCCGTACTGAGCGGGGAGCATCGCTGATATCGCCTTCCAAGCTTCGTCGTCCGTCACCCAACTTGCGTTCTTCGACAGCTCGTCGAACACCGATGTCGGCACGTCGACAGCAAGGGTGGGCATACCCGCAGTGGCTGCCTGCTTTACTTCGAGGGCCGCCTCAAACGCTGATACATTCCATGGTCAGCCGTGCTTCTCACCCACGGAAGGAAGGCAAGATACCTCTATCCATAAACATCTGCTTGGTGTACTTGGCTCGTTTCTTGGTGTCGCTGGGTAGTATGAGCTGCACGTCGGCCCGGCCAACGGGCTCCTTCGTTCCATTGCTCACAGGAGTACTCTCAGCGACAGCTGAAACACCCGAGATGGAGGCGTCGATCTTATTCTGCTCCAGGAGCTGCTGCTGTAAGAACGGCACAAGCTCATGCCGTGATACTGCCAAGGATGTTAGCCTGGAGGATTCGGTGAGTTCGTGTCTATATCACCTTCATACTCGGTGCCACGCAAGACGCTCTTGACTTTGAAAGCAGGCTGATCAACCCGTCGGACGGATCTGGGGCGCGGGTAGACCACAAAACTGTCGAAATGAAGCAGTGAAAAACACGTCAAGCATACAGCACGTGAACTTACAGAATGCCTTCACGGTAGCAAACATCCATATTATTCTCGCTGTCGCCGTCCGCAAGGCTTGAGTCGTAGATGACATCGGTGCTGATATTGTGTTTCCAGAGCATGGATGCCACTTCCAAGCGATCAGCGAGATATCCAGGTTGATAAGATACAATGTAGACATCGCAACGTCGTGGACTCCAGTAGCCGAACGAGCGATGTTCCTTCAGGAGGGTCTTCACTGAGGCACTCTGGAAGGCCGCCAGGACAGCGGTGATCTTATCGAGAGATATCTGGACAGCAACAGCGCAAGTCATCTCCACCTTGGGCTTCGGTGGAGAAAGCCGAGCGATGAGGTTGTCATACCTATCTTTGTGATGAGCTCCCGCACGGTGGACGCGAAAAACACGACTTACCGCCCGCCTGCTGCTAGGATGTCCGACCTCTTGTTACTTCTCACTACTTCAAAGCAGACACCGTCCCTGAAGTAGGAGTTGCGATTGATCGACATCAAGGGATTGAACAGGATCGGGCGTGTGACACCCGAAGCGGCTGCAAAGGTGATCGTGCTCTTGACATCCTGGATATAGGGAGTGAGCACAGGTAGCAGGGCGGGTGCCGTCTTCTCCAAGCGCGCTATGACGCCATCGATATCCTCGTCTACACGGAGTATGAATGGGGAGCAATGCAGTGTACTAAGTATGCTACTGACCAACTTCAGACAATAATTCGAGTTCGTCCACGATGTTCCTCGAGATGCCCTTGCGTAGTAGCATGGAACGCTTCTGAGACTGAGAGGACTTCGTCTGGTTGAGTACGTCTAGGACGGCGTCGCGCACGTCACTGGGCACACGATCCAAGGCAACATCTAGGACTAGATCAGGGTGAGTACAGGACTCATAGAAGAACACTAGAAGCGGGTGTCTCACTCTTAGAATGCGATATATGGATCTCGTACAACTGGCCCAGATTTGCGAAATTGTTCAGGCAGTCGTGAGCGATGGACAGCGCCTCGGCAGCGGCAGCAGTGGGTCCAACTACCAAATCCGGGGTGATGATATCAAATACTGCAGCCTTTGATACTCTGGGATGGCCGGAAATGACACTACACGAGAATGTGATGATCAATCAGGAATTGGCTAAGCACCCGGCATCACTTACTTCGGTCTATATGTATCGCCAATGTAGAACCGCTTAATCCGCTTGGTGCCTTCTCGAGCTGCCAACCTAGCAAAAGGTAGAAGAGCGTTGTTCGGCAATGCGACGACTTCGCCATGTCGATCCAAAAAGACTGCACGATTACGCTCTTCCTCCGTGCTCGTGATGGGCATCAGTAAGGGAGGCTCCATATTCACAGCACCATGAAGGCGGAATATCTCCACAAGGCAATCGATGACCTTGCCATTGAGCGTTACATGTTCTGGGAGTTCCGCTTGCAGATCATAGAGGAAGCCCCGCACGGGCTTGGCGGGCTGGTTAAACAACGAGGAAAGGACAGCTTGCAAGTGAGGCGAATCCGGTTTGGCTGGAACAGGAAATGAGTGACGCTTTCAGAATTCTTTGAACAGACGTACTCATCAGCTTCAAGGCGCCCTTGAAGTATTCGTCTTCCCACCGCGGAGGAAGGAGCGAACTCTGCGACAGTTCAAGCGCCGTGGGTCGGTCATTAGGTTTATGCTGCAATAGCCAGGTAATGACTACACAAAGTCAGCGAGGTCTGAATCAGTTGACCCAATCCTACTCACTCTGTCGTTGTCTCGCACGATGGGGTTGCCAACTTGCAGGAAAATAAATGCCTGGTTTCCGCAGGTCCTCCAGCACAACAATGCGCTCCGCACCGGTTGAGAACATGTAGTTCATCTCGAAGAAGACAATCTACAGTGGAGTCGTCAATGGCTAGTGAATCAACCGGAAACTGGCACGCACTCCGAGGCTATAAATGTCGGCTTTAGTGTGATCGCGCGGACCTCCCTTGGAAGACTGAACCTCTGGGGCGATGTACAGCCTCGTCCCTACGTCTGAGTCAATGTGTTAATGTGATATCCGACGTTTCAGTAAGACTGAATGGCACCTAAGGTCATGTCTGCATCCTGAACAATGGGCGCCGTGACGTCGGAAGGATCAACAGCAGCCAGACTGGATGTCGCAAGACCGAAGTCACCAACTACGACACGTCAATGATGGCGGTCACAGCATAGTCAGGGAGGCCATTTCGTACCTTTGCAGTCACCTTTGCCATCTATGCTCTGAATCAGCAGTCGATCTCACTGTTGTTTTAAAATGTACACACCGATGAATATGTTCGTCAATTTGATGTCCCGATGTAGCTATAAATGGCAATCAACAGACGGCAACGTAGTACTTCAACAGAATCACGTACGATGCCGAGGCTAGACATGTGCACAAGCGCATCAACGATTTGTTGTAATAGCCGCCAGGCGTCTTGCTCAGTGAGCCCTTCAGCAATCCGCTATGTACCGCCGTGAGTATGTGGGCTTCAAGAATGACTTGTGTCGCAGCGCACGTACCTCTTTCAGAGTCTGGCGTTCTACATACTCCTACCGTCGGGTCGTGTCAATGCCTGCAGACTACGACAAAGGCAAACGACCAACCATCTGGATGTATAACGTCCTGGAGACAGCCGGCGCAGGACTCTCAGGTACGAATCCATTGCTCTCAGCCAAGAACAGGCTTCTGAATGCCTCTTCCCCTTCACTCTCCCCGCTGGATTCGCTTCCTTTTTCAGGGTCGGCCGACCCCGAGCGCGTGAAATGTATGCTAGGAAAGGAATGCCTGCTACCTGACCCGATGTCATCAAGATCGACGGTGAAGGGATCACCATCGGACCCGCGGGAGCGCGAGTCGGGCACGGAGGTGTCGCCATCTGTTGCTGTCTCTCGGTCAGACTCCGACGACATTGCGGTGGAGGCTGGTTCCGATGTCTCCACCCAGGTTGTGTAGTAACGGACAATAAAGCGGTGGTTTAAGCGGCTTAAGGCATTGACCTCGCGGAAGATCTTGCTGTCGCTCTGGGATGCTCGCAGCCTGATCTTCTTCACTGTGCACGATCAATGAGCAAATGTCGAAGGCGATACCGTTAATCTCGACACACCTGCGTAGATACGAGAGTCAATCTTGTTGCGGGCTTTAACGACGGAGCCAAACGCGCCACGACCCTGTATAGGCATAAGCATATCAGGACGATTATGCAGTCTAACTAGCGGCTATCCTACCAGTAGCTCAAGTTCTTCCCAGTCTTCCTTCCACCTGCTGGTATGCTTCGCCCTCGGAGGCGGCATCCTGAAGTAGTCAGTCTCAGGAGATCCGTTGGCGAGCTGAAACCACATAGGCGTCTTCGGACCCGGTGTCCGCGCTGTCCCTACAAACTGTCCTGATACACTCGATACGCCGATGACATCTTGCTTACCTGGAATCGGTATCGCGGCGCTTCGAACTGTGACAGGGGAGACAGGCCGGTCTTGCATGTTCGCGAGGAGTGTGCCAGAGGAGACTGGGTGCCTTTTGCTCTGTGTCAGCATGTCGACTGCTTGCTGCTGCAGGTGAGGAGAGATCGAAGCTATGCCATAGTGAGATGGTTCGGTCAGTCTTTCCAGCAGGTGCGCAGGATAAGAACACGAACAGTTGCGTAGCGCCGTGTGCACGTCGGGGAAGCGTTCCATGACGTCGCTACCCATCAGCATCTGGAGCAAGATGATACCGACCGCATGGATGTCTCGAGTCTTCGTGTACACCAATGGCGACTCAACCGCCTCCGGCGCCAGCCTACAACCTTCGTTACTACCGATTCTGTGAGGGACTATCACCTGTCGCTCACCATCCTTCCGGGATCGGCGTCTCATCGACCTTGGGATCCATGTTGAACCCAAAAGGATCGGACCGGTGCAGGTCAAGGAGACGGACGTGGTACCCGACCTTGAAGATCTTGACCATCTTCGCCTGGCCACCCTGTTCGCGCGGCGCGAGCCCAATGTGGTTGATGCACAGGCCGCGATGAACCAGTTCCCGAGTATGTATCGCGTGCAGACCGGAGAGGATCTGGTGCAGGTACTCCTGTAACCCATATGGGCGTCAGTTGCATGCATGTCGTGGTCAAACAGGTGTTCCTTACAGACGCACGCTCTTCGCGCAGCCAGTCGCAGTCCTCCAGGACGTCCTTGAGCGTCACGGCTGGCCGCTGCTCGGTGAGGATGATCAGCCGAGGAGACCCGCTCGAGGTGGGAGTAATCAGCGTGACTGCGAGAGTCGACAGTACATTCGCATGGCGGACAGTCGTGAGGCGTTGAATCTCAGTCTCGAGCTGCTTGAGCTTCTTCCTGCCTGCTTTCACGTGTTTAGAGGCTGGTGAGTCGTCTGTAAGGGATTCGTACCTTGCGTGGTCGTGTAGTACTGCGCATGGAAAGTGATAGAGAGCAGTTCGAGAGGGAGCGTCTTCTTGTCGTTGTCGTCCTCGCAGACAGGATCCGCTTGGTACATCGTTCCCAAACATTCTGCTCCGTTTACTCGTCAATAGACCCAGTCCACCGCTCGGAGCGACACTCACCCTGCCTCGGATGGAAGAGCTTGACCTTGCTGAAACGTACGCCCTGCCACTCGATCGCCTGTGCAAAGGACTCAGTCGGAGTAGGGTCTTCCGTAGACGGGACTTGTGTCGCGTCCGACATCGCTCGCTTGCGTGACTGCTGCAGCACTCTCTCTCGCTCAAGCTGCTGGCGATACGCGTCCGCCTTGATCTGTTCCTCAAACTCCAGAGCCAGCTGGTTGATCCGCTCCTCCTCCTGCTCAGCCTGTTCTTCTTCCCTCTGGCGCTTCGCCTGTCGACCAGCCACCGCCAGTCAGTCAGACTTGCCATTCGCAGGTGTAACACGCGACTGGGACGCACCAGCTCCTCCTCGTACGCGCGCCGGTTCATCTCCGTCGCGAGCGAGCCGACGACCTCGACCGGGGGCTTCACTTTGTTGGAGATCCAGTCCTGCGCGAAGGTGACGATCTGGAAGACCATCTCTCCGCCCTTCTGCTTCAGCGCCTCCGCATGAATCGCGTTCGAAAGTTGCGTTATGTCATGGGCATTGAGGCCGTGGATAGGTTGTTGTATCGTGAATGTGGGGCATGCAATAGTGGGGTATGTCTTGGGAAACCTACGGCGGCAGAGTCAGAGAAGAGATCTCATTGGCGGAGCGATCCTGTTACACCGTGGGCACACCAGCAATTTTGAGCTCCGAAACCCCGTACGAGGATTATTACCCCCTGGCAACCTTTTCGGGCTCCGAATATCCTCAGAACATGCTGCGAACGCGATGCATTTCGACATGTTCGGAGGCCGAAAAGGCATGTTCTCGGCGAACATGCTACGAATATCAACGATGTCGGAGCAAATTCTGAATCAATGTAGCTCTCCGGAAAGGTTCCCATGGGGAACAGATGTTATCAGCCTTTTCGGAGCCCATACATCCTGGTTTGCCCGCGGAGTTGAGCGCCCGGGTAGTCAACCCTAACCCTACGGGCACCAACAGGTGCCAGTGAATGCAACGGCCGCGATCCCCAGCATGACGGCAACCACGTCTAACATAGCGAACGAAATGATACGCACTTAGTATGTAGATGGAAATAGATCTTGTCAGCGTGTTCGGGGTCGGGGTGGGATACTTTGATGATAAACTCGGGCAGACGTGGTGCTCCCTACAAACAACCGTTAGTATAACGTAGAGGTGACTAGCTATCCCGACACCGAGCAAAGTCTAAGAGAAGGGAAGCTAACGTGAGAAACGGCGACATGGTATCGCAGTTGGACGCGACGATAGGTCAATGCAATTGGTCGAAGGGCGTGGCCACACACACGGCATGGTGCAAGCAAGATGAATAGGGGGGTACCGCGGGATCAAGTGTCGGGCGAGACAATCGGTGTGTATCGTTGGACTCAAGAGTGGTCTCGCTCGCCGTGAACCGGAATGTCCGCCTTGCTCGGGGTCGGGTGTGTAGCACGGAGACAAACAGCAACGAACATACCTTCCAAACCTTTGGAGGGGGGCACTCGATAAAATCATCATCGTAAATACTCTGCCCACACCCGTCAGCCTCTCTGCTGCGACCTAGACGCCACTCGAATGCGTACCTTGAGCGCTGTAATCTCCAATTGTTGGCGTTCTTCCTGAGATTCCATGGTGAAGACCAACAAGCAGTCGACCTTGTGCTTGAGGAGGGGAGGGCCCAGCGGACCTCGGCAGCTCAAGCCTGCATCGCTCGCACCTGTGCGTGTACGTGGATGGTCGTTGCGGGAGGGAAGATCGAACAAAGCGCCTTCGAACGCGCTCTGCTCAAATGAATCACGGAGAGTCAGATTCTCTGGCACGCGCCCGGCGCATTGCACCTCGCAGTCGGCTACACTTGCCTTTTGCGGCTGTCACGAACACAGCTGTGACACCACGTGTCTCATGTCACGCCTCGTCTCATGAGCCCTGTGCGTACGGGAAAGACTACATTCAACCGGATCTGGCCAAGGCACCTCCAGCCTAATGCTCTTGAGAGCTTGAGAGGTCCCACAAGCGGTGCATTCTGTTTTCACCGCAGGAAACCTTGTTGCTCAAGTACAAACGAGGGCGTCGTCACGTGGACGCGTTGTGTACAGAATTCGTACGCGAGGCTTGTCGCGCGGTCACCCCTCTTAGGCGAGACCACGATGCCTACATCGTGGTCAGACCAACTCACAACCATCAGAATAAAGCATAGCAACGTAAATAATCCGATGTGGCTCATTGTGCTGCCCAATCCCGCCAAGAAAAGCCACAAACGTTGAAGTGGGCAAGTCACACGTTGCATACGGTGATATTACACGATGTACCTCTACAGTCTACGACTCGGACACACGGACGACTTGGATCAGGGTATGCGGACCACTGCGCGCGAAGAACGTGGTTAAGGTACCGGTTGCCCAGCCGAACTTGACTAAGTGCATACCTTCGTATGTACCTGGTATGTACAGGCCCGTGTAGAGTCGATCAATTGACGGTGCTTGAAGCACCCGTGCCGGTGCCATTGGTAGTTGCGGCTGTCGTCGGCCTGTTAGCACCAGCAGTGGGCGCGGCGGTGGTCGTGTTCGTGCCAGTGCCAGCGGTGGCTGCAGGAGCAGTCGCGGTCGTCGTGCCGGCAGCGGTGCCACTGGTAGGTTGCTTCGTCTGCGCCGCTCCCTGCCGCATCTTCGCGTCGCCTATGTCTGTCTCGGCGTGGTGTCCGCCGGTGCCCGTGGCGGAATCGACGAAATCCAAAACGCCGCCTCTCAGCTTGTCACCGGCTCCTGTATGTTTAGTTAGTCGTGTGTTCGGTCATTGTATCATAGACATCGTACCCTCTACAGCATTCCACCCTCCCCTTCAATAGGGTAATGCCGTTAGACTAGTTCTGTCGTTCATGGCTGTCAGCCTATTACTCACCTAACCTTCTGACCGAAGTTGGCACCCGCGTTATTTCCGTTTGTGTTGGCCATGTCGTTGATATTCAGAGATTCAAAAGTGCGAAATATATACAGTCGTGAGGGTCGTCGTGAGAGATGTGAATGTTGATTTTCATGTGTAGAGCGTGCTTATATATTGTCTTCACCCCAACTTCACCCCACTTCATGACGGCGTTGGTGTAGGTCAGCCACACTGACGTCATGGATTCAAGTCACCACTGTGACCGATCGTGAACCATTTGTTTCGCGATCAGTCACCCAGGTGACCGTGGGATTCTCTACCACACCATGTACAGTAACATTGTACACTTGTCACCGTCTTCCGAATCCGAACATTCCCACCATGCATACTGACCACCACTCAAGTTCAGTCTAGAGGCGCTTCACCGGACAATTCTAGACATAGAGAATAGATATTAGCAATTATACCGCAAGGCTCTCCGGTAAGTTGAACATCCTGCGCCGTAGTACTGTCACGGTTGACTCTCCGTCTGAGGCAGCGAGCTCACCGGCAGGAACATACAGATCGTGCAATTAGACCCTAGATATCATAGAGCTTCATGACCGTCCTCTCCGCGCCCACGTCTCACCTCCCGCCCATCGGAAAGATCCAGAAGTACTCAGCTGAGGATCTCACCAAGGCAGTCCGTTACCTACGACTAATCTACAACCCAGACGTCCGTGGCATCCGGCGCATCGACCGTAACCGTCAGAAGCATCGCAGCGAACTACTCTCCGCGTCTCTCAAGCCCGGATCTCGACCTTCTACGGATCCTAGTCTCGAGGCCCTGCGATCGGATACCTTCGAACGCGCCTACGCGATCAGGTGGCTCACTGCGCTCGTCTCCCAGGTGTACCAGCTCCTAGAATTTGCCGACGAAGACTTGCATGGGGGGTTTTCGGATCTCGAGGATCTTCTCCAGCAAGCGTCCGCCCTGCTGGCAATTTGCGCAGGCACTGCGTCTGCTGGCACGATAACGAGGACCTTCCGCTTCCAAAACGGCGACACGCCGATTGAGGTCCAGCTGACGGACGTGCCGCTCGAGAACCAGGACTACCCGAGCGTCGGTGCACAAACATGGGGCAGCGCGTGTCTTCTCGCTGAGATGCTCGTCGAGGACCCCGGTGTGTTTGACCTGGGTTCTCCACCCACGGGCGTGCGCGTGCTCGAGCTGGGAGCGGGCACGGGCCTGGTCAGCGTCGCACTCGGCAAGCTCCTGAACGCGAAGGGGTGCTGTGCGGGCACGGTTCTCGCCACGGATTTCCACCCATCCGTGCTCGCGAACCTAGAGAACAACCTCGCCGCCAACTTCCCGCCGCCGAATCTCCAGTCAGTGTCCGTCAGCTCGCACTGCCTCGACTGGGCGAAGTTTCCTGCCCTGCAAGACCCGTCCGCACCGTTCGACCAGCCATTCGACCTCATCTTCGGCGCGGACATTATATACGAGGCAGAGCATGTGCGCTGGGTCAAGAATTGTGTTGAGAAGCTCCTCCGCAAGCCATTCTCCCCATCGGTGGATGTACGGCCCGCTTTCCATCTCATCATCCCGCTCCGGCCGACTCACACGCTGGAGTCGAGTGCTATCGAGGAAGTATACCCGTTCGCCAGTGAGGGAGCCATGGACGGCGGTCTGGTCACCCTGTCGAAGGACGTCGTCGTCTGCGAGGCGAGTGGGGACGTGCGCTCGAGGGGCGGGACTATAGAAGAAGTGGAGTATGTGCATTACGCGATAGGCTGGTGTCCGTGAGGCGGATCAGTGCTGGAGTGGAAATGTTGTTTTCTTGTTTTCTTGGGACTACGGTGCGCCCCCTTGCCTATGATGATCTGAATCCTCGAAGGAGATATGATATAGACGCGGGAATTCGATAAATCACTCAGTGTATTTCGTACCATTATGCAGAGTTGATCTCTGTAGACATTTGGAGACGTTGCTGTAGCAATCTCACGACTTTTCTTCACGCAGCTCTGCGCACAACGAGACGACCATTTCGCCTACGACATGAATGACGGATAGCTCCACGTTTGCAAGATATGCTGAGATGAGGCTGGATCGGCGCGTATTTGAAGTGAGTGCGTAAAACAGATGTGATGCAGAAAATCGCTTACTCGAAGGGAACGTCTTGGATATTGCAGATTGGAACAGAGGTATTCCAGAAGATACTGGCCGATGCTGACCCGGAAGATGTGATATTACAATGTTCGCGACGTACGTTTCACAGGCGAAGACGTGCCACAAATCGGCAATGGTGACATGAATGTCTGCCGGCGGTCCAGGGGCCTGAGGCCTGAAGGCCTTAGTCTTTGCCGAGACAGTCATTGATTAACGCCTAATTGTATGTGGCCAGCAGTCGGCTTTGCATTACCGGTTGGCTTGCGGAACGACGTGAGTGTCATATTCAGATTGACATAACACATAGGGCCTGTATGATGGATCTTCTCAGCAGGTCCGGGCGTAAAATCGGAATTAGTACGTTGTCTTTGATTTTGCTACGTGCATTCGCTTTCATATTTGATTCAGGTAGGTTCTCAATTCGAGTCGTTCCCATGCCATCATGGTGGCTAAACATCCACGTCCGCGGAGAGACCGACGATATGAGCCCCAGAGCCGTCGCCGCAGACGGATCCTCAGGAGCTAGCCTCATATCATGTGTCCGCGCTCGTCGCGTCAATGAAAGTGCCTTTCACTTTGCATCGACCGGAAGTCCATGGCTTTGACATATGTATTCTGTCAATGCCAAGTACTACATCCCAGTGACCGAGCTTTTCTTCGATGTTCAATGCATTGCCAAGAGGACGTCAGTGCGGAACTCTCAATTTGCGATTCAAGGATGGGACGGGCTTCAGGCTCGAGTTCATACTGCTGAACCCTGTCGAGTAAGTTTTCTATCGCGGTCTCACTGGTACTTGCGAGTATACTCATCAGGGTGGCTTTTTAGCTGATATATAGGGCATTAAGGCTGCGATAATCATAGCAAGAATCACTCTCTTGTTCGGTGCGTTCGTCGGGGATTCCGTCGGTCTGGATCTCAAGGCTGACCACACGGCGGTGTACAGGGTGGCAGGTGCAAGGGTGCTCAAGCTGCTACGCAATGGAAGCGAGCGACCCTGGATCCCTGACTCGGCACTTCATTGGGCGGTGGCAACTGGTACGGAACTTTCACAGCGACAAATATCTTGGCTGAACCGAGGAACGAGTCGAAACAGTTTGCCAGTGGCTCAATTTCATATATGTGTCAATCCATTGGCCACACAATGTGCATGGAATGGTATACGCCTCAACGGGCTGCCACTTCCGGGCCGCGGCACTCCCAGTCGCGTCAGTATTAAAGCCCAATAGTCTGCCCCGGTCCCCAGCAATCCTGAGCGTGGCACTACTACTTGACGCACAATGTCCATCTGCACCAGTAACTGTACTTGCGTTAGCAAGAACATTTGTATCAGTCCCGCGGTTCCTCTTCCGGACCCCTGCAACGGAATCCCAGTCATCTGCGCTACTGAGCAGAAGGCATGCATCCAGGTCGGTGTGATTATATTTGTGAGCTAGTCTGTACTCAATGCGTTGTCATAGTGGAAGCTGGTCAGGTTGTCCAACGACAGTGTCACCCTCCAGAACGCCGTATGGACGAACACTGCTCAGGCTTGTGCAGCCGCGTGTACAGCCGTCGTCGACAAGTGTACCCCTCAACAAGTCATTGTCCAGAAGAACAACGTCTTCATGTGCGTATTTACAGCCCGACACCGGCGCATGGTAGAAGATGTTTGACGACGTGTCTTTTGTCAGCATGTGTCCCGCTGAGCGCACTGTGTACTGCTGCGGCCTGGAGGAATATAGAGAGTTCCCGCAGGTATGTTGGCGACCGCTTCACGTACATGCAAAATCTGAGTAATCGTATTCTGTCTAGGTCATCGTCACTAGTACGACTGCGACTCCGTTGCAGACGTGCAATGACCGTAAGCGCTCGTGGTTTTTTGCCAAACTTTGACGGATGAACCCGTGAAGTACACTCGGACTCTTATTCGCATGTCTTGTGTCTAGCCTCGAACTCTTTGCATTCACACCCGCCGGGAGCGGACTGTCCTCCCTTGGTTGTGCTCTCGTGGTAGTCGTGGCAGATAGTACATTGATCGAATTCGCAAACATTCCTTCCCCCGTCGCCGAGCCCGATCTGGACTGTTGCTGCCCTCACTGGGCCCGGGTGTACGACACAAAGAGAGTAATATTGAATGAGCACCATTTCAGACGGATGCGCTAGTGTATACCAAGTCCTACCAAGTCCTACGGCTGTGCCTCCCTGTCGAGCTGCACATTTCGTTTCACGAATCCCTTCCAAGTAACTGGACAAGGCCGCCGGGCGCTAAACTTCAATTGGGCTCGCAATTAATCCATATCGCAGTTATGTAGTGCCACCAAGCTCTCCTCTCCTTCCGAGTCTAGGTTCCCTTCTGGAGTGACAGTTACCAAGACATTGCGGCGTGGAATAACGCAACATTGGATCATCGAATGCTCTATCTGACTAGGGTTTGTACTACCCGCGCCGCAGTGGCCTGCCGATACTCACAAGTCTGTACTAAGAGTCGGACCTCCCACTGTACGCACTTGAGCACACTGCCGCATTACGAGTCACTTGCGCGGCTCGATCGCTGTATCATGCACATTGTATGATCCAGAGCACGGCCGTCTCTCTATATAGAATAACGATCCGACTTGGAGTCAGAACGGCGTTGTCATGGTCAAGGCCGTCGCCGAGAGCACGACGAGTGCCTGGGCCTATGCTTGGCCTATGCGTACTATAGCACTAGTACTCTGTTCCTCGCTGGCCGACGTTATGTATCAGGCGACGCGCTCGCGCGTCGTCTCCTCATCTCAACAACGCCCGTCTCGGTCTACTCTACACCGTTAAATCCTAGGCCTACGCCCTCGTCACTCTATTCTGTCTCATCGTCGGCTACTAAGCTCGAGTCTCCCGCCCGAGCTCCTGACGCCCGACCTTGCCCGTAACAGGCGTATCAGAGAGCCGAGTTGGAGACTCGTCAAGTCCTTAGACAGAGGTGAGTCTTACGTGTTATCTTGGGGCATATCCTGCCCAAACCACGGCGTGACGACCTACAGTCTTAGCTACACAGGAGTTCGTGATAGTAGGACCATTGCACGTGCACACGCTCTTGGAACGCAATAGCCACGTTCAAAGTTGCTGGAGCTCTGGAGCTCCAGCTGGAGCCCGGAGCTGGAGGTGACGGTTCTCGGGGTTTGCCGCCAGGCGTTTCCAGAGCATGCCGCCACAGCGCACTGCCGTCGTCACGCGCGCGTGACGTCTGTGACTCGACCGCAACAAGTTATCCTTTCCCTGCGTACAACTGCACGAAGATGCATAAGATTTTATGCATACCACCGCACCTAGGAGCTATTCGTGTATCTGCGAAGGTCTTTTGACAGCAAGCGTCTCACTTCCCCTTCGCAGGTTTGATTACGGGATGCAGCTGACTAAGCAGCAAGACCCTGGCCTGCACAGTACGACATGCTTCACCTGCAGCTTGAAACAGGCCTCCATACACATCTAGCATTTATTTTTACACGTGTACGGTGTCCCATTTACTCTGCATCGCACATCAAGCATGGATTATTTCAATGCGCAGGTACGTCTGCGGTAAGCGCCGTTGGCCTAATCGGGTATACCAATGTCATCGGGAGTGTGTAGAACCCGCTGCTATTATTTGAGGGTCACGGCTTCTGGAGAAAGTACGGACAGACCATCCTCACCCATTTTTGAAGACATATATAATACAAACCCCTTCCCAGGACGTTGTACAGACCAGTTGGTAGCGCCACAGCTTATGGGATTACCTAAGCGCACTGTGGCGGGAATTTCAGGCGATGCCAGAGCTGTTGCGCGGTTGACGGCGTTTGCCGGGGGCGAGCTCCAACCTCCAGCCTCTGGAGCTCCAGAGCTCCAGCAACTTTGAACGTAGCTAATCAACCGCGGAACGCTGTACCAGTGAGTGGTCAGAATCATATTTCCGGAGGGAATCTCACCAATTCAACCCCTCAGTTTCAGGAACCATGTCTGGAGTTGACTTCGTCTTTATGGAGCCGAAACAAAAGACATCTACACCAGTCCCGAGCCTCAACGAGGCTTGGAAACGCCATATCCGGGAGCAGCTATTCCCAGACGATCAACAACGGTTCCACGTAGTAGAAGCCCGACTTGACACACTCGAGCCTCCCCACACCGAGTTCGACTGTATTGTCTCCCCCGCGAACTCGTACGGGATCATGGACGGCGGGTCAGTCTCCTACCCCTTCGCCCTCACGAGCGTTGTCCGCACACCCGATTTACGCCCAACCGATACTGCTCTGCGACAGATTCGACTACTACCTCTCCGAAGCCCTCTCACCCAAGGGCGACATCATGGCGCTCACGCGGTGCGCACAAGCCGCACTGAAAGCCCGTCACTTCGGCTTCGCCCCTCCCGGCACCTGCACGCTCGTCCCGCTCAGCGCCGAGCTCCGTGATAACCCGCGCTTCCCCCGCTGCCGCGTCCTCGCGGTCTCCCCGACGATGCGCTACCCGGTCGACGTCAGCTGGCACGAGGACCTCGTGTACAACACCATGTGGAGCCTGCTGGTGGAGGTCGAACGGTGGAACGAGCGTGCGGATCGCGAGGGGGAGGGAAGAGGGCGGATACAGAAGGTGTGCATGACTGGCTTTGCGACGGGCGTGGGCGGGGCAAGCAAGGAGGTCTGTGCGCGCCAGATGGTGCTTGCGGTTAAGCACTTCTTGGATGTGGTGAGCGAGGAAGGTCGGAAGCGGTGGGCGAGGAAGGACTTCCCGATGTGGAATGACGTATTACCGATCGCGGAGGACGTTGTACGCAAAGGCACTGAGTGAGGTGTGTAGCTTTTGGACGACCATTGTTGTTGTACTTTCGCTATACGGTACCGGTACCTCTCAGCGCCAGAGGACCGTACATGCACACCAATATCACAGCTGCAGGATCGCTACCGCTGCTGCCATTCAGCGCTCAACTGCAGATCTAGACTGATTGCCAACTGTGAGAGATACATCAAACGTAAACGCTATCCGCAACTTACGAGCCCAGGTTGAGACCGCTCGGGATGGCGAGGCGATGGTGATGGCACATCAGTAGCTACGTTCAAAGTTGCTGGAGCTCTGGAGCTCCAGAGACTGGAGGCTGGAGCTCACCCCCGGCAAACGCCGTCAACCGCGCAACAGCTCTGGCATCGCCTGAAATTCCCGCCACAGTGCGCTTAGGTAATCCCATAAGCTGTGGCGCTACCAACTGGTCTGTACAACGTCCTGGGAAGGGGTTTGTATTATATATGTCTTCAAGAAGGGGTGAGGATGGTCTGTCCGTACTTTCTCCAGAAGCCGTGACCCTCAAATAATAGCAGCGGGTTCTACACACTCCCGATGACATTGGTATACCCGATTAGGCCAACGGCGCTTACCGCAGACGTACCTGCGCATTGAAATAATCCATGCTTGATGTGCGATGCAGAGTAAATGGGACACCGTACACGTGTAAAAATAAATGCTAGATGTGTATGGAGGCCTGTTTCAAGCTGCAGGTGAAGCATGTCGTACTGTGCAAGCGAGGGTCTTGCTGCTTAGTCAGCTGCATCCCGTAATCAAACCTGGGAAGGGAAAGTGAGACGCTTGCTGTCAAAAGACCTTCGCAGATACACGAATAGCTCCTAGGTGCGGTGGTATGCATAAAATCTTATGCATCTTCGTGCAGTTGTACGCAGGGAAAGGATAACTTGTCGCGGTCGAGTCACAGACGTCACGCGCGCGTGACGACGGCAGTGCGCTGTGGCGGCATGCTCTGGAACCGCCTGGCGGCAAACCCCGAGAACCGTCACCTCCAGCTCCGGGCTCCAGCTGGAGCTCCAGAGCTCCAGCAACTTTGAACGTAGCTAGTATATATTCGACGCATGAGCAGCGCTGAGTCACTGCAAAGTAGTTGTTCCGTCGCAAAGCAGAGCACTCAGCGTATACACACAGACCAGTAGTTCGTCCACCTACGTCCACCAGTCCATAGGCTGCCTCTGACCATCTCCCCAAGACACAGACTCACCAAATCAACAGCAATGACCTCGTCCACGACAACGAGCAGCTCCGAACCGTCATCCCCACGAAAATGGCCCTTCAATACCGCTCGCTCGACGGGGACCGAGTGCATGCCCCTTCTCGCCGCCCTCCTCGCCGCCAGCGCGCTCGACGAGATCTCGACCTCACTACACGACTTCTCCGACGTTGAGGGGTTCATCCGCGGTCGGGGCCGCATCGACGCCGAGGACCGCACGCTCGACGCGTCCCTATTCTGGGTATACCCGTCCAGTTTCTGGGGCCCGTTCCGCGAGACGGAGGAGGGCGGTGTCAAGCAGCACGGGCTGCTCGTCACGATTGAGCGCGGGGCGAAGGTGACGGAGGCGATGGAGGCAATCAAGGCGAACTTCCAGCAGGATGGAACTGCGCATGTTCATATTGCTGCTGCCTGACGAGGACGCAGTCATTTGCGTTATGCGGTGAATACTTGTTCAGATAGCATTTCGCGGCGGTGTCGTTGCGCTCGAGTGTTTCCCCCGGGAGCAAACCTCAAACACGACGTACAGGCTCAAGCTCAAGAGGCGCAGACGAGGTGGGCAGATCACAGATGTGCTGGGAATCGGATAGCAAATGATAGAACACTATAGTACACGGGATGCGATATCATAGAATGACCAGCTTGTCCGGCAGCTCAACAGACGTTCACGCGACGGCACAGGGGGTAGAGGTAGATCATCTCCATCTCATAGCATAACAGCATACAACATGTAGCGGCAAGCAGCAGCAATGCATAGCGAGGACGACATTGCGCCTTTTGTGACCTATAAAAGCACCTTCCGACGACCACCGACATGATGCCCTTCGACGGTTTGTACGTAGGTCGCTCAGAGCTTCTGCGCGTTGGCCAGCGAGAGGGTCTGGCCGGCAGCCTTGGCGCGTTTGCGGAGCATCTGCGCGGACTTGTTGCCACGGATGCCTCCACCCCACTGGCGGCGTTGGTCCTCGTACTTGTCAGAGCTGGACGAGACGGATCAGTTTGAGTGTAAGTAAGGGTAGAAAGACAACGCACAAGTTCGCCTTGGCAGCGGAGACGAGCGTGCTGAGCTCGCGCTGGTCCTCGCTGCGCACGTCCTGAAGGGTGAGGACAGCAGCCGTCTTCTTGTGGACGACCGTGCCGAGGCGGGCCTTGCCCTTGACGATAACGTAGGGCACGCCCATCTTGCGGCAGAGCGCGGGGATGAACACGACGAGCTCGATGGGGTCGACGTCGTGCGCGATGACGACGAGCGACGCCTTCTTCGCCTCGATGAGCGCAACGGTGTGGTTAAGGCCGTACTTGACGAAAAGCGGCTTCTTCGAGTCCTTTGCCTGCGCCTCCTTCTCCTCCGCGGTCGCCTGGGCGGTGGCCTCGAGACGGGCCTTCTTCTCCTGCTTCGACTCGGGGCGGTACTTGTTCAGGAGCTTGAACAGCTGCGTCGCAGTGTTCTTGTCGAGCGTGTGCGAGAACTGCGCGATCGCGGGGGGCACCTTGAGGCGCTGGTGGAGGATGACCTTCTGGCGCTGCAGGCGCACATACTGCGGCCACTTGACGAAGCGCGTGAGGTCGGTCTTGTGCTGGATGTCCTGGCCTGCATAGCCAGTCAGAGGCCGTATGAAAGTCGACCAGGCGAGCACCTACCAATACCGAAGTTCTTCGGGCGAGCCTCAAACAGAGGGTTCTTCTGGGTCTTGGTCGTCTTGCGCGACCCAGGGGCGGGCGCAACCTTCTTTCCGGTAGTGGCCTTGGGCTGGTCATTGAGACGAGTGTCATCAGCAATCCACACCACTGCAGAGGCAGGTGCTGGTGCGATGCACTCGGAGCTCTAACGCCCGCGCTCATATACCCGAAGGTAACGAGCACGGGCCCAGCAAAGCTACGCATCATAGCTCGTGAAACGAGCTCAGCGTGAGCTTGGACATCGAATTGTCCTTGCTGAGACGGGAATTATAGGGCTGTGGCTAGTAAGACAGCTTGCGTCAGACGGCCTTCGAGGATGACATCCGAACTGAAAACATACCATCCACTATCATGCCCATATCCTAACCGCGATTCCCGCCGTTCCAGAGCGTCGAGTACATCTCCCAGCACGTCTGGCCAGAACACATGCTCACCATTGTCGTGGATAGTCTTGAGGAAGGCTTGTGAGGGTCGTTGACGGATGCACAGACAGGCTTGGGATGGACCGCGGTGGCTTTAAACTCCGCTCAAATCTTGCGTTGACTTTCGGCTCCGATCATTGCGCCACCGAGAGTTGTGGCTCCGGAGTCCGGACTCATTCTGACTTGCTATTGCTTCGTCCGTATAATAATCATGACTCTACGCATCTACTTCACGCGTCAGGCATGCAGTGCGCAAGCCTGCGTGTGTCGAAATATACAGGTCACATCTCTGTCTGGAGTATGTATGTGTACCCGTAACCCAGAAAGGTAGGGAGCCCGACCTGAACGCCACGCCATCTTGACTTCGAACCCTCTCGGTCCTCATAAACTTTCGTAGCTAGTGAATGCTCGGCGCTATGATGTCTGCTTCTGCCCCGAGCACTACTAGTGACTCGTCACGCTTCGTACACCAGCAACCTCCAACTTGACTCTGCTACCGGGCTCAAGCTCTCTGACCTTGATATCATACTTCGTTTCGGGCAAAATGGTGATTGATCTCGTACTCATCGACTCAGCAACGCCTAAGTACGAATCGCGTGGACATTGGAGCTCAGCGGGCAGGAAACAAATGATAATGAGTGAAATTCGTGATGCCTGAAAGCTGCCGTGAGTAGCCGTGAGTGCACTTTCAGCCGGTGACAAACTTCGCGTGCTACGAAGCACAAACCCTTCCGAAGCCTCCGCCGGCGACTTTGAGCTATAAACCTGATCAAGGCTTTCGTTTGAACACTGAGTTGAGCTGCTCTTCCAAGGCATACGTCATAAGATAAAGGGGCGCATATCCATGTCATTTCGGAAACAAAAGAAAGTAAAACTGACACATGGACTCTCACAACTTCCGGACGAGGTGGCCGGCAGGGCACTTACAACAAACGCACAAACAGGTGCCCGACAAGCGAACCTCACCCAATCCCAACCACCCACTCACCTCACACCTACATAGCTCACAACTGCTTCAGCGAACCCACCATGCCTGCCATGCCCCCCTGATTCCATTCTCCTCCCCATCCCATCCTGCGCTCGAAACGCTGCGTGCGCGGTGTAGGCAAGATAGTCTTCCTCTTCGCGCTCCGACGCTTGCCTTCGGGGTCGTAGCGCATGTTGACGAGCTCGAGCGCTTGCATAGAGTCGCGCGGGCGGTACGAGCTCTTCACCCAGTACGGCACGCGAGGCGAGCGTACCTCTGCGGGTGGCGCTGGCGACATGGGCGGGCTCGGGAGCGGGCCCGTCGGGAGCGGCATCGGGGTAATCGGGAGCGCGAAGTCGAGAGGGCGTACCCCGAAGCGCGTGCGGAAGGTCGCCATCTTCTGCGCGTCGTCCGTGAGGATTGATCTACGCGCCTTCGCAATCGTACGTTGGCGCTGCACGGGCGAGGTCACCTGCTCTGTGGGTTCCGAGTCCTCCTTGGTGCTGAAGGGAAACTTGATGCTGCGCGCAGAGAGCTGGGAGTAGATGGATGGCGAGAAGGGCGCGGAGGCGAAGGAATCACGCTTGGCGGACAGAACGGGTTCAGGCGGTGCGAGGAAGGCAGAGCTCGTTCCAGCGGGAGACTGGACAGACGCCATGTGCAACTGCCTGCTCACGCGCGCTCCGAAGCCGGGGCTCTCGAGGGCGAGCGCGTCGACGACAGTGTAGTAGTCTCCTGCCGACCTGCTGCGTCGCTTGGTGGATCCTGTCGAGCTACGGCTGTTAGCGCGACCGCGCCTTTGTATGAGCAATGCGGAGACCGCAGCGGTGGGGCTGGTGACGGTCACTTGAGGCACGGCTACAGGCGCAACAGCAGCACTCTGTACCTCCAAGGGAAGAGAGGCGGAGCGCTCGGGGACCACTTGGCTCATTGTTCCCATGCGATAAAGGTCGAGGAAGGAGGTTATCTGTTCAGTCTTCTCCTCCATCTGGCCGAATGAGGGATATATCATCTCCTGTGGGATGCCTACTGCAGAGTACTGCGCGAGTTTCTCCAGCGTATGTAGCCTCTCGACCTTGCTCTCCTCTACCTTCTTCACCGTAATAGGCGAGAACGGAGACATCGGGGAGAGCGGAGACAGAGATGGGGTCTTGGCCGCCCTGAGAAGATAAACAATCAGAAACTGGTTTCAAAATGTCATATCACGAAGTCTCACTTGAGCGTTGCATAGCGGAATGGGGACAATGGCATCGCCTCCGTGCGCGATCCCTGCTTGAGGGGAAGAGCAGCAGGGACCTTCTTCCTCCGGATCCCTCTGCCTGCATTCGTATTTTTGGTAGCGAGCGCGGGTGCCTGTTGTTCCTCATTCAGAGGGGAAGATATCGTGATTTGAACGACGGGCGACTTGAGTCCCTCGTCATATGTACTCGCTCGGGTTGCAGCAACATGGATGTGCCTGTTCGGGGAGGGACCAGAGAATGCACGCACGGGTGCGCGCTTGCCGTCCAGAACGCTAGCGTTCAGAGCGGACCTCGGGGTGCTCATGGGCGTAAGGCCGCTCCGGCCTGGGGATACCACGTCTGTGACGGGCGTCGCACCTAGCATCTTGCCAACCTTCTGGCTCGACTTGAGTATGCGCACGCGCTGCTCCGGCTCGAGCTTCATGAATCCGGGTGAGAGTGGGGAGGCATTGCGGCCAATCGTTCCGGCAGTCCTGTTGAGCATTCTTGACGTGGGTCGAGGCGTGAAGTGTCGTTATAGACGTGAATGTGCGTAATTGAGATGCGAAAGCGTGATAGCGCGAAAGCGAACGTGGTCCAGCCACGGGCGAAGATTAGGGAAGGGGACGGTACGGTATATGAACACCTGGTTGTCGACGAAACAGAAGAAGATGAAAGCGCCGTGCGATATAAGTATGCAGGCAGACACCGCGTGCTTGAGCATAGCCCCGCGGGTGCACTGCATCATCGTCCTGCCAATCATCGTCTCAGGCATCACCGCCCTGGAAATGCCCGACTTGCTGGGCCAGGTAACCTCGGGAATCAAGCTGATGTAATCGGATTAAACAAGTCGTGGTGATGGTCTGTTTGGGCGGCCCCGGTGCGGGAGCGGTTTGTGTCATGCAGTACTGCAGCGTCGCGAAAGACGGTACGAATTGTCAGAAGTATAAATCTGCGAAGAAGCTCGCGAGGCGGTGAGTACAAATGCCCAACAAGGTAAGTATGACATTGAGATCAACGCTCCCGAATGGGCGCTTGGTGTGACTGAGCGCAAATGTCGGGCGCGCATGAGCCCAACAATGCGGCAACACCACCGAGTGTAGCAGACGCATCCGCCGGGCGAGACGAATCGTCAGTCCTGTCTCATCACAAGGATTCTTGTCCGTACTGCGTACCGATCTGTCGATGAAGTGCCGGTCGGTCGTGTGCACATCCGTCACCTTGAAAAGTCGCGCGTACAAGATGCGATCGCTTGACAGTGTGCTGACATGTGGCCGCGCGAGGAAACAGCCTCCTGCGGTCAACTGAGATCGTTAAGAAGGGCCTCAGGCCTCAAGACCCGTCACATCCGATATGGCTGCCGTCATTGCGTGTGTCCTGCGTGGTCAGAACGCCGTCTGATATCCGTTTGATTTCGTCGAGGACATCGCGGAGGCCATCGACAAGATCGGCCTCACGCTCTGTGCGGTGGAGGAAGCGACCGTAGCATGCTAATACATGCTCATGGATGAATGAGGCCGAAGGCGTGAGGGTTGGCGGGGCGGGTACCCAGAGTGTTCCTGAAAGCTGAGTGGACATATTTAGAACTGTCAATGAGTGGACAGCGGTAGATATGTACCTTGCAATCCGTAGCAGGACACGCCGCTGCTCCGAGTACGTATCGAATCATCTTCCAGAACGTCAACCAGCTGCAGAGCGCATAGTTACATTACTGGTCAGCGTGATCATGCTTTTGATGGGCAATGTACGTACTTCCAACCGGCGTCCTTCTCCACCACATCCTGTACGATATTGACCCACTCGCGTTCCCACCCTTGCCCACCCGAGTGGCTGCTGTCGTTCTGGGATAGCAACTCGCGTACGTCTTCTAGTGCATGTTCGACTTCGGTCACTTTGGCGCACATGGAGTCGTACAGAGAAGGGAGGTTGATGGAGTTGCACCAATTGTGGTTGATGGAAATGCAGGCGGTTATATTCTCGACCTAGACGAGCAGTGAACATAGTGAGCTATGCTATAGCTTCGTGTGCGATACGATTGCTGCATACTTGATGATACCACCCACTCGGCCTTATACATGGCTGAGTCACCAAAGGCTCTGGGATGTGGAGAGAGCTACACTTACACAAAGATCGTTTCGCCGTCTTTTTGCTCGACTATAACCGGTGTCGCCTGGGAGTAGCCAGGAAACTCGTCGGGGTTGACATGGCGCACGTCGAACGCCGTTTCCAGATGCTCCTCCGCACCCTTCCGGAGCAGGAACGTGGTTTGTTCGGGAGGGAAGAGCCACCATCTCTTCCTTCCGCAGATGTTCGTAGACCAAGAATAGCTAGTATAGACATCCCGGTGAAGCGGCGTGAACGTCCCAGCTGCGCCAACATAGACAAAGCGAAAGTCGTCCGACGTACAGGCGGAGTAGTACGCATTCATCCAATCGTCCCTGAAGATGTCGGGCGTCTCGTAGAACGTCTCTGGATGGACCGCGCGCGCAAGGTGCCAGTCTTTCACGTAGAGCGAGTCGCCCTTGCCGGTACGCCAGAGGTCAACCACTTCGCGGAAGGGTATGGTCTGTCGCTTCTGGTCGCTGAATTCGCGGGTAGAGCAGTCCGCTGCAGTGACGAGCTGGTCACCGTATGCTTCCGAGAGGAAGTCCCAATTAATGCTTGGGGCAACATCCGTCTTGACCACCCATTGAGAGAGAGAAGACCACGAGAAGACCAAGGAGGGCCCAATAAGAACGGGTTTGTTGGGCAAGAGATAGTGGTCAAGAAAACCTTGATATGACGGTGGAGACTCGAGATATTCGCAGCAGTTCTGGGTGACCATATAACCTTGTCAATGGGTTTGATAGCAAGCCGTACCCCGACTCAGTCCTTCACTTCCGGATATAAGCTGGATTTGCCTTCCTGGTGCCCTCTCGTAGCCAACGGTACGCGTCTGAGTCGTATAGGTAAATGTTTCGCGATGAACAAGATGCCTGCAGTACTAGTAGTGTTAGCTCTGACTTACCGAGCGTACAATGAGTCTGATGAGTCAAGTGATACCAGCGATGAACAGTAGCCTAGAGAGCAGATTCAAGATGCTGAGGCTGCGTCGAGGAGTGCCACTTCGTCTGAGGATGTAAGTCACGTAGTGGTTGAGAAGACAAAGTCCCTGCAAAGTCCGGACGAGGACATGGGCTCAGCCCCGGTTGGATCGCTACCAATTCCCGGGCCGGAAGTCGATCAGCCACAGCCACCCCGCCGCGTCGACAGTCAAACTTAAAGGTCCTCCCCAAGTCCTCCCCGCGCCATTACTCAAGTGTACGAAACTCTAGATCTAGAGGCAGCTATTCTACGGGTCTACTGTTTGATTCTACAGTAATGCTGAGAGGCACGCACGCTAATCTTGCTCTCCGGCGCACCACTGCTCAGCTTCGTTCACGACTTGGACAGCGTTTCGCATCTACATCCGGAGAGGCATCCTCCTCGTCCTCCTCGTTCCTCAAGACCGTTGGCAAGATCTCTTTATACACTTCGGTAGCCGGGGCTGCATATACAATAGGGTCACTGTACCCTCCTACACTCGCCACCTACATATCCCCGCGGCCAGCACCAGCACCACTACACCCTGAGGCCCCAGAAGCGGTCGCCTACGTCGAATCGCTCGAAGACACTCTCCAACGCCTCCCACTTCTACAAAGAGTTCGGGAGACCACTAGTCCGGACGAGTGGTACGAAGCGCGACCATACGCGAAGATCCCGCGTGAGCGGCGGATTAACAGCCTGACGGCCGGCTCGCTCAACGGCCCAGGCAAACTTGCGCTCGCGCCTCTGGTCCGGGCGAAGCGGGACAATAGCGAGGGCATGGTATTTGTTCATGTGGGGAGTGCGCTGTGTGGTCATGAAGGGATTGTACACGGTGGTTTGCTAGCGACGTTGCTGGATGAGACGTTGGGCCGACAGGTGAGCAGCGTAAACACACCGGTGCTGCCGTCAATCATACACTGGACGGACTGCGACTCATCTCGACCACACATGGCCATACTATCGCTTCTTTCACTTGCTCCGAGTCACCTGCATACGCAGTAACTGACCAGTTATGACAGGCACTCATCAACCTCCCAGAGAAGATTGGCGTGACGGCCTACCTGCATCTCACCTACAAAGCACCAACTCGCGCAGACCAAGTACGTATTTCCCTTCCCCCACACTACCCCATGCGCCTGACTGAACTTGACCCATAGTTCCTCGTCATCAAGACCCGCCTTATTGAAGCTAAGGGCCGCAAATCCAAGGTAGCCGGTGCCATCGAGGACATGGACGGCAACGTCCTCGTCGAGGCCGAGTACGCCCCCAACTCTTGTTCATCCACCGTTGGCTCCATTGACATGGTCGTTCTTCGCAGGGCGCTCTTCATACAACCGAAGTACGCGAAGTTGCTGAACACCGCGCGCATGCGCGAGCTCATCGGTGAGCCGGAGAACTCGCGCGAACCTATTGGCGAGGGCGCGAACGCGCCCGTGCCTGTGAGCCCGCCAAGTGGGCCGCCGTTGGTCAGAGGCGCGAGGGCGTGAGCAGGGGATCGTTGGACTGAGACTAGGAATTTGCACGGAGGACAGGATCTGACGGGGCACGGTATTGTATGTCCGGGTTCGTGACCATTCGCTTTGTTGTCGCACTTCTCAGGCGGGAGGCCTCAGACGAACGTCCATTGAATCCGCGTTGATTGTTATAGTGAGCTGACGACGATGTCGAACTGCTGACGACGATGTCGAACTGTCCGAAGGTCGTTGAGTGGATCGGCCTACATAAAATCGCGAATGTGTACGCGGATTGACACCTCACAGCAAAAGCGACAATGGCATGGCTGGGAGTGCGAAGGTATGTACTTATGCGTGTGTGCCGGCAGGTTCTGTGCTCTCGGCTGACACTCTCACTGAGTTGCCAGGCAATGAATGATACTTCACCTACAGGCGGACATCATCTCAGTATGTATGCGTAGTGAATCGTCCTGCGCCGGTAGAGCTCCTCAAGTGACCGTTGCACTCCAGACGCTTACGCGGTGCTCACGACACATCCCAGAATTCGAGTAATTTTCGACTTCGCCTACCACGGAGTGCACTATGCAGTGAGCGAACAAGCCGAGACAAACTCCCATCCTTGGGATTGATATGTCTGTACCAACCCTGTAAAAGGACCCGTTTTCACGTATGTTATCTCTCCCGCGCGCCACCTGCTCGCACGCCTTTCTGTAACGCTGAATACGCTCAAAGTACTCCCACCGGATGCGCGGCTCGTTTCCTCAGGTTCTCACCAATGTCCCATCCTCGCACGGCATGCGACCAGATCGAGCGCTGCCCTGCCGATCTGTCTAGCTTCTGCTGTTTCGACCGTCCAGAGCTGAGTGGCGTGCGTACCCAATGTTCTCTCGGAAGTTGCAGTCCTGCGTATCTACGTTTTCCCCGCACACAAGTAGGGGCGAGATGCAACCCTCCCCACGCTATTCTGATCTCGCCCCCCTCCTCCACCACCCTCTGCCACGTCCAGGGTTATTTCAACGCTCTCCCAGTGGCCTCGCATGTCACAGTCCTCGCCCAGCGACTCGGGCTTCTCGCGTGCAGTCCGTCCGGCACTCTCGCAGCCCTTGACCACCGCATCGTCTAGTGCGACCCTCGTCGAGCACTTCCGCGTAGGCATGAGCTCCACGATGACACCTGTACCCAGGGTCACCGAGACCTCTGGATCAGCAAGTGTCTCTGCGCCCAACGGCGATATCGCGAGCACGCTCGCGCATCTCATCGCGCGCCTTGATGCGATTGAGGACACCCAAGCGCGCATAGGGCAGGAGCTCGCGAGCGTGGTGGCGAGGCTCGAAGGACCTCCCACTGCGCCTGTGGTGAACGGACGCTCGGAGACTGGTGTGGAGGAGGAACCAAGGGGAACGGCTCAGTCGGGTGCCGTGGCCACAAAGGAGCCGCAGGGAGAGAACAGCGTAGCTCTCTCTGTGGAGGCGCTCCAGAAGAAGGTCGATGAGCTTGCGGAGACCGTCCGTCTGGAGTGAGGATTTCCTCCCATATATGAGTGAGCGTTAACTGAATAGAGTGGATCGGATGTGTCCTCAGTCAAGCACGCTTGTACAACCGCCTGCGGAATGCTACCATCACGAATCAGAAGACCGCTATCCAGCCTCTGGTCCTCGCTAATGGGAAGTACCCAACCAACGTCCCTGGCACACAGGGAGAGTTCGAACATATGACCAGTACGTCTGCCTCACTGAATGAGCTTCATCATTGGAGAACACTGACCATACGCGTACTCAGAGGAGAGATACGAGCATCTCCTCAAGTCGTACGGCCAACCGATCAAGGGAGACACAATCGCGAAACGCGAAGCCGTTCGAGAGTTCCTTGGGCTCGCACAACCTAACCCGAGAAAAACTTGAGCTCGTCACACACTTGAACAGTCGACGAACTATGTTTTTCATGTACATTGTACTTATTACTACACGGTATGATGGGATCTGGAGCATGTGTATAGGTATCTTTCAGCGCATCGTACACCTTGCCAGACTTCCGAGTCAGCGCATCGTACACCTTGCCAGACTTCAGCGCTTCAGCGCTCAAGCGCTCAGCTTCACGGCTTGTTTCACGCCACCACCACCACCACCACCCCTACCACCGGCCTAGTGGCCTGTACTAGCCTGTACTACTATCACTCGGTCTGAATGCACCTGCTGCATGCTTGAATGCGCTTGATGTAGTCTCGTAGGAGGAGGATCGCAGCACCCAAAGAGAATATCGTCTCAGCTGGTACAACACTTCTCCTAGTCGCGGTTGCTTCAGACCCTCAAATCACAGTGCATTCATGGCATACCTTCTACCGTTTCACAAGTCTCTGCTTGAAAAGATACATGACCCCTCGACGAGTGAGCTTGTCCTCCTGGCCAGGGGCCTCGGCCTGCGGAGGGTCGTCTGCAAGTTGCTGCAGATATACGACGCGCCCACAAACCTTATACTTCTCGTGAATGCTACGCCCGAAGACGAGTCGGCTATCGGTGAGGAGCTGGGTATACTGGGATGTCGGAAGCCGGGGCTGCGTATTGTTGGGTTTGAACAGGGAAAGAAGGAAAGGTCCGTTCGTTCCTCTGCGGGATATGGCGGCTGCTTCATTTGTGCTTCGGCAGACAGGACATGTACAAGAGAGGCGGATTACTGTCTATAACATCGCGCATCTTTACCGTGGACATGCTGTCCTCAGACATCCCTACCAAGATGATAACGGGCATCATCATGCTGCACGCAGAGAAGTGAGCATACCCTTCCCTCTCCCGTTCGAGGATCGTGTTCATGCTGGTTCAGAGTCACACCGACATCTTCTGAGGCATTCATTGTCCGACTATACCGCGAGAAGAACACCACGGGCTTCCTCAAAGCATTCTCCGATCAACCTGAGCATATAACGAGCGGAATGTCCCCGCTGCGCACCATACTGAAAGAGTCTCAACTACGAACGGTCCACATTTATCCTAGGTATGCTCTATGTCGTTTCATGTCACGACAATCAAGAGCCAATAGCGACTAGGTTCCATGCCGAAGTCAAAGAGTCGCTCGACGTGAAGCGGCCGGACCTCGTCGAGCTTCACCAGAACATGACTGAGTCGATGAGCGAGATCCACCACGCCATTGTGCAGTGCATGACGACAACCCTCTCTGATCTCAAGCGGGCGAATACCTCTGTACGTCTTCCGGAGACCGGGAAGCCAGCATATACGCTGATGCCGGTATACGCAGCTGGACTTGGACGACTTGAACATGGATAACGCATACTTCAAGTCGTTCGACATGATCGTCCGCCGCATGCTCGACCCTGTGTGGCACAAAGTCGGGCCGCGCACGAAGCAGCTCGTCGGAGACCTCGCTGTGTTGCGACGCATGCTCACGTACGCCTTCGTCCCACCTTGGACCACCCCTGTTTTGACGTGCACTACTCGACAGCTACTTGCTAACATATGATGCGATTGCATTCCAAGGCTTCATCGACACACTCATCGCTTCGAACACTACCACAGACGCGGGCACCACGCGCCAGAACCAGTCGCCCTGGATGCTCACTGACGCCGCAAACATCATCTTCCAGTACGCAAAGCGCCGGTGTTACACAGTGAACACTGTCGCGAGGAAGGCACAGGCGCCCGCTCCCGACCCGTACGAGGACGAGGATGCGTGGGAGGCGCTGTACGAGATGGAGGGGAACGTGCCGAATGCGGTCGGCGGTACGCGTGCGGCCAATAAGCAGGCGTCGGGTTCGAAACGACCGTCCTGGCTACCGGACGGGATGGAACCCGTTCTCGACGAACAACCAAAGCTCAGCTTGCTCGCGGATGTGCTCCAGGAGATTGAAGAGGAGATGATGCGGCTCGAATCCAAGCTCAGTTCCCGTACGTCCCCCGCGCGTGCCCCTGCAATCAGGCTCTGACCGCGTTGTGGTCCTCTCCAGTGACCCCAGGGACGACCACTGTCCTCGTGATGACCTCATCCACGCGTACGTGTGAGCTCGTGAGCGAATTCTTGTCGATGATGGACTACGACGCACCGCGCGGGTCGCAGGGCCGCCGGATGATGGAGAAGAAGTTGAAGGGATACCTCTGGTGGAAGGGGGAGCTGAACAGGCGCAAGCAGCACGCCAAAGGCTTGCCCGTGCCGGCAATTGCTCGGACTGCCAGTGGGGCAAAGGACAGTGGTGATGCGGGTGTGAGCGAGGCACTGAGGAGGAAGGACCGGGAAACGAGGGAGCGGCTGGCGAATCGCAGGCGGGTGCGGGGCGGCGCACCTCCTCAACCGTCTTCGGGGAGGGAGAAGTCTGTTGCGCCGGCGGGCGCGTCCGGGGATCCAATCGAGGTGCTGGACGATGCGGAGAGCATAGCTGCATTGTGAGTATTGCCGAAACGAGGAGTCCGGTATTGCTGACGAACTCGATTAGCTTGTCCACACAAGGCGTTGCGCCGGAGTATCAAGCCGCAGAAGATATCGCCTTGATTGATTTCACGACGGACTTCAATGTGCACTACGGCCTGCTGGCGCCTGAACAGACTGTCGTGGTCAGACCGTACACGGATGATGGGGATGACTTAGTACTGCGTGAAGTCCAGCCTAGGTTCATCGTGATGTTCGAGCCGAATCTCGAATTTATTCGGCGCATTGAGGTGAGTGGATGATGCGGTTTCTCACCTAGTGCTCATTGATTTCGTGTGAAGGTCTACAGGAACTCAAACCCTGGGCTTGGCGTTAGGGTGTACTTCATGATGTACCGGCTGAGCAGTGAAGAAGGGAAGTACTTGACTGGTCTTAGAAGAGAGAAAGAATCCTTCGAGCGGCTCATCAGGGAGCGAGGGGTCAGTCGCCTGTAACGTTGCTTCCTCGAAAATCCCTCATTGAAGCATTATTCAGTCGATGCTCATGCCCATCATGGAAGACCGGAATGCAGGGCGAGCAGGAGAAGCGCTCATCAAGACGATCAGCTCGCGAGTCGCTGGCGGCAGGAAGGAGGTGTCTCTGGAGCCATCGCGCGTACGTGCAGTCCTCACTCACGTCAGATGAACTCACTGACGTTGATTGTAGGTTATCGTCGATCTTCGAGAATTCCGCTCGTCTCTGCCCTCTCTGCTCCACGCCGCCAACCTTCTTGTCATCCCAGCAACACTAACCGTTGGGGACTATATCCTGACACCAGACATCTGCGTCGAGCGGAAGAGCATTCCTGATCTCGTGTCTAGTTTCAATAGCGGCCGTCTGTGAGTGCAATTTGCCATAGATAGGCAGATGTTGTTTGACATCTCGAAGATACACACAGTGCGAGCTGATGTCGGTCCATTATAAGCAACCCATTCTCTTGATTGAGTTTGAGGAGCACAAGTCTTTCTCCCTAGAGGCGCGTATTTCACAGTGACAACGCAATTGGTATGCTGACCACTACGTATACAGGCAGTCGCAGATGTGAAGTCGTACGCGAAGGTCGACAAGTTTGCTAAGAAGAAACCAACGGGTGCTCCCAACTCCACGAACAGCGCTTCGGCGAGCATCCAAGCCAAGCTTGTTCTGCTGACGCTCACCTTCCCTCGCCTGCGGATCATTTGGTCCTCGTCTCCGTACGCAACCGCGGACATCTTCCGCGACCTGAAGGCAAACAGTCCCGAGCCAGACCCGACGAAGGCCATCGTCGTCGGTGCGGAGGAGGATCCAGACGCTGGTGCGGGTGTCAACGCAGTCGCGGAGGAGCTCGTGCAATCCTTGCCCGGGATCACCGCGAAGAACGTGAAACACGTTATGAGCAAGGTGGAGAGTGTGTTGGAGCTGTGCGAGCTGAGTTTGGTGCAGATGCAGGAGCTGCTGGGGGCGGAGCCTGGGAAGGCGTGTTGGGATTTTATCCATTCTGGCGAACGCCAGAGATGATACAGATGTCTTGCGCCGACCAATAACTTACATGTTCCATAGAAGGCAAGCTAGGTCGACTGGAAGGTGATGTACGCAAAGTCTAGACTTATAACCACGTAACAATCCTCTTACAATCCGATATGGTGTAGTGGCTAACATTATCGCCTCTCACGCGATAGCCCGGGGTTCAATTCCCCGTGTCGGAATGTTTTTTGCCCCTGTAATACATCAACAAGTACATAGCCGTCAGTCATGATATTCCTGTACTTATACGTGCCTAGCTACCCCAGGAAATTTAAATCAGTGGGTGATGTTTCGGGACGACTGAGAAAAGGGATACGATGCTCGGTCACTCGCCAGGTAAACATGCAACGATCGCACAAGCGCCCATGAATGGTTTTGCAGGCGCCTCTCCAACGCCTCTCACTGAGCTTAGTCTGAGACTCCCGCTTTCCTTCGTCCCATCCGTGCAAACTAGGCATCATCATACATGGCGACTGCCACAAAATCATCACAGAAGCGACCTGCGACCGCACAGGCGGGCCCGAAAGCCAAGAGGGAGAAAAAGAGCAGCAAACACAGTGGCTCGGTGGTTGCGCTAGACAAGGGCAAGAAGCGTAGCAGGCCCGTCACAAAACCCGTCCTTGACGAAGCGGAGGAGTCTGGGTTGGATGACTCGGAGGCAGACGACTTTGAGGATGAGTTTGGTCGCAATGGGGATGAAGCCGAAGGCGAAGATGCGGAGATGGACGGCGACTTAAAAAGTGCACCGTCGAAAGACCCGAATGGTGAGTACGCTGTGGATCGCACATGCCAGGATCGTTGATAATCCTTGGATGCAAAGCTGCACGGGAGTCTCACAAAGCCCAGCGAGCCCTGCACAACGAACGGCGCGCTGCAAAACCTCACTCTGTCCTGCTTGCAGACGCAAAACGCGCCTGGCGCCTGGCACATCAAAAGAACATACCGCGGGCGGAGCGCGAGAAGCACCTCACCGCGCTGATGGACGTTATCCGCGGAAATGTCAAGGACATCGTGCTGAAGCACGACGCGAGCCGGATCGTACAGACGGTCGTGCGCTATGGTGGCGAGAAGGAGCGGAACGAGGTCGCACAGGAGCTAAAGGGGAGGTATAGGGAACTGGCGCAGAACAAGTACTCGAAGGTGCGTCGGCATGAGATGTATGTTGGTCCGCTGAAGCTTGACGATGGTACCATGTCCAGTTTCTTGTCACGAAACTCATCCGCTTCTGCCCCGCACATCGAGCATCAATCCTTCGCGAGTTCCAAGGCCATGTCCTCCGCCTGCTCCTTCATCGCGAAGCTTCAAGTGTGCTCGCGGATGCCTTCGAACTCTACACAAATGCCTATGAGCGGTCCATTCTACTCCGCGACTTCTACGGAAAGGAGGCAAGCCTAGTGGGCGTGAGCGTTACTGCAGGGGGTGAGGAGGAGAAGGAACGCGCGAAGAAGGGGCTGAAGGGCGTGTTGGAGGGCCTCGAGGGCGAGCGGCGGCGGAGGGTGCTGAATGCTGTGAAGGAAAACCTCGTAACAATGTGAGTGTTGTGCAGATTTGTTCTCGTTAGGTTCTCATTGGTGCACAGCTTCAACAATCCTGACAAAGGGGCAGTCTCGCACACGATCGTTCATCGCGCACTGTGGGAGTACCTGTCGGCGGTTGTGTCTATCGAGGACGAGGCGGAGCAAGAGAAGCTCAGGCGAGAGATGTTTGAAAGGTACACCCTAACGGGTACCTCATGCGTTGTGGAATCTCATCCGTTTGTACTAGTTGTCAAGACGTCCTCGCGGAGATGGTACACACGAAAGACGGCAGCCGTTCCGTCCGTGAGTTCATCGTGCACGGCACCGCGAAGGACAGGAAGCAGATTGTCAAGGCGATCAAGCCGCACGTCCAGCGGATGTGCATCGACGATGAGGCGCAGCTGGTGCTGTTCACGGCGCTGGACGTCATTGAGTACGCTTGCCGTTCTAGTCACTTGACCGTCGCACCCTGACTCTTACGTAGTGATACAAAGTTGACTGCGAAGTCACTAGTCTCGGACATGACAGGATCTGCCTCAACGCTCTATACCTCACCACAAGGCCGCCGTGCGCTCATCTATCTCGTCGCGCCGCGGACAAGACGACACTTCACGCCTGCGCAGGTATGACTACGTTCTCTCATCGCTGTCTACGGCGCCTCATGCCAAGTCCCCATGCAGATTGCGACGTTGGCCGAAACGGACGCAGTACGTGCGCGGACGAGCAAGAAGGACGAAGCCCTGCGTGCAGCCGAGATCCGCAAAGCAGCGAGCGACGGCCTCCTCTCCTGGCTCGCGGAGAGCGGCGCAGATGTTGCGCGCGAACCCGGCGGTAGTCTCGTGGTATGCGAGGTTATGCTCTACGCAGAGGGCGGTAGGTCCCACCGCTCGCTCCCACCTCTCGCCTTACTCACGCACTCGGTCACAGACAATTTGCCCGCCTCCGACAATCTACTGAAAGCCCTCTCGGCACCGTATCCATCCCCCGACGCGATTTCCCCGCATTTGATCTCTCTCCCCCATACATCCCGCCTATACAAGACCCTCCTCCAGGGTGGCCACTTCAACCACTCCGCAAAAGCGATTGAGCCCGCGGAGAACTGGTCTCCGGCTAGCTTCGCGAAGCGATTCGTCGAGCTCGTCGGGCAAGATACTACGATCGCTATGGCACGCGGAGAGGGGGCGTTCGTTGTTGCAGCGCTGTGTGAGCAGCTAGCGAAGAGCGAGGAGAGCGCGAAGGAGAGGAAGGCGGTGAGCGGATGGTTTACGGAGAGCGTGAGGAAGGAGATCACGGATGCGAAGGGGAAAGGTTGCGCGGTCTTGCTGGAGGCGCTGGACAAATTAGATTCGTAACCAGCCAGACACCCCCACGGATCGTCACCTCGTGTATTGCACTACTCAGTCCAATGTTGGATCACAGTGATTATCTCCTTCGGATTACTATACAGCGTGCTGTCCGATATGCGTAATAAGTTATCCAATATGCTCTACAGCTCCTGGAGACTCTCTGGCCAGGAGCTTACGAAGACTCGTTCATGAGATCCTTCAATAGCGACCGTCCCTTCAGTATCGCCTCGTCCGTAACAACCGACTTCCTCCCCTTCTTCGATGGCCTAGTCGGGGTGTTCTCTTTGCGGTCAGGAGAGAACGGTTCCACCATGTCGTCCGCAGAGCGCTTCTTCATGCTTGAATCCGTCAAGTCGGATATTGCGTGCATCTCATGTGCGTCCCGCGGAAGGGGCAAGATCCAGCCGTGGTCGTCCATGAGCTCTAGGAACTCCTTGAGCAGCGGCGTGCCCTGCAGCGTCTTCCGCGAACCAAAGATGATCAGCTTGGACCGGGCCCGCGTGAACGCGACGTTCATGCGACGCCAGTCCTTCATCAAGTCTCCGACCTGGCCCAGAATCAGTGTTAATACGTCAAGGTCGCTGTAATACATTTGAGGTCGCTACTTGCCTGTCCTTCATCGTTCGAGCGCACCATGGAGATGATGATGCACTCCTTGTCACGGCCTTGACTCCGGTCCGCGGTCAGGATCTCGACCTCTTTCCGGTGTTGCAGGACGTGCGAGAGCAGCTTGATCTGTTGACGGTAGAGAGACAGGACGCCGATCTGGTCTTGTTGGATTCCACTGCGAATCAGGCATTCGGCGACCTGGTAGACGAGGCGCGCCTCGACGCGGTTCTCGACTAGATCACCAACGGGGGAGTCGTAGGCCGGTACGGCGTCAGTGTCGACAAAGACAGCCTTGCACCTGGGTCATGGTCAGACTTGATTGACAAAAGAATATCGACGAACTCACCTGTCGTCCAGTAACTGGGCCAACCAGCAGGTGCTTACCGCAGTCTGGCAGGGAGACGCTGTCGAGTGCAAGCCGCGCAGAAACGCGGGGTCTGGGATCTTGAGGGACCGCTGTGCCACAGCTTCAGATCCACAGCGAAGCCTGTCACTGTAGATGAGTTTGTTTGAGAGAAGCATGATGTCGGCATTCATCCGATACTGTTCATTGAGATCGACCACCGCGTGAGGATGTGCGTCGGAGAGCATTCGGAAGAGGGACACCTCGAGGCCATTTCTCTTCGCAGTACGGTTGCGCACCTATATGGTGGACATTCGTGAGAACGCTTTAGCGTGTCAATACAGCAACAACTCACAAGAGGGGGCAATTGGAAGTGATCACCGACCAGCACGAATTTGTCTGCGAATCGCAACGGTCCTAGACAAGTCGGCAAAGTGATCTGTGACGCCTCGTCCACGATACAGTAGTCGAATTTCCGCCGAGAGAACAGCGGGCTGAAGACATTGTAAAATACGACACAATGGTGTCAGGATAAATTCCTTACTGGTCAATAGACAGGCAGGTCGTGGCGACGACCGGCGGGGCCATGACCTGGTGCTCTAGTTGCTCCAGCGTTGTCGGCACGCGACGATGGGCAAGGGTGAACTCATGAACATCAGGGTGTATCTACGCTCGACATCCTGTTAGTTGCATGGTCGATATGCAGTACTCGATCATACCTTGTCAATGTTTCCGACGCGCAAGATACTGAAGTCGGCGACGTGTTTTAGCTTGAGTAAAATGGTGTCAACCGCTGAGTGCGTATAGGACGCAAGTAGCACAGTCTTTCCTAGGCTGACGAGCATCTGGATAATGGCTGCGATGACCGTCGTCTTCCCTGTCCCAGGCATGCCGAGGATGAGAGCATAGTCCTGCGCAGTGAGCACCTTCGCCGCAGCCATCTGCTGGTTGGTATTCAGCTTCCCCATAGCAGCGTCCGCCGTTTCGTCAAGGGTCAGCTGCTCGATGTCGTCAAACTCTGGTCGCTTCAAATCCACGACAAGATCGAGCCTCTTTGTGTCGCCGCCTGGATAGTACAGCTGCGCGAGGTTGTCCCGAATGCGGCCCATGCCGCTGAACAGTTCGTCCTTGTCAATACGGAAGATGACGTCCTCGAAGAGGTTCGCCCGTGTCCTAGTCCGAACGGCATCCATGTCGATCTCATGGTCGACTCCTACGATGACTTCTTGTGGAGTGAGATCGACAATGAATCCCTTCGCGAACGCCAGGAGGTCAGGTTCAATTGAGACGGTAATGGCGTCTCCGGAGCTCATGTGCCCGTTGAGCAACGATGACTGCGTAAGGGACTCCTTGATAAACCGGTACGTGTGCCCATGTATCCTGCTGCTAGTCTGTGCTTCCGGGCGCCAGTGATACGACCGATCGAGCACCATGTTGCTGAAACACCGTCCGTGGCGTTCGCGCTCTTGTGCACCCATCGTCCATAGCTCTTTTTTGAAACGAATGAGGTCTTGCTCTTCCAAGGATATCAAGGCTTCCCACTTTTTGAAGAACGCGCCTTGCTCAGGAGTGATATGAGAGGTCTTCAGGGCATAGATATCTGCGATAGGGGAGGCAGTATCCACGATGTTTTCGACTGTCTATCAACGTATATTTAGCACATAGTACCGAAGACTGATAGAGAGCGTTACCTTGCGATAGAGCATGCATGTGTCCAAAGCGAAACACTTCCCGCATTGCCATCCATCGTCGATGGTTGGTGGGAGGAACGCCTCCACCTCAGGAACATGCTCCTTCTCATCGCCTCTGCCTCCGCCAGTCCGCATCCTTCGCATCATGTACGCTGCCATTTCGTTGCGCGCCACAAGTAGTGCCCGAACTTCATTGCGGACCGCAGGCACGCGCACGACCTCGTCGCTACGTGTATAGTAGAGGAGCCCGCTGGGCACTTCGGTGCCGTAGCGCTCTGCCATGAGCAGCGTGTAGAGCATTGTCTGTGCACGATGCTCCATGCCTGCGACTGCCCGGCCCGTCTTGATCTCGAAGGGCATCGTCCAGCTCTGTGGTGTTTTTGCACTCGCAGATGCGGCTTTCGTGAAGGGGTTGGAGCGTGGGCCTTCATCTGTATCAAGGATTATGGCCTGCACGGACGCGTCAACCTTTCCCTTGAGCCCGTAGGTTGGGGACCATATATCTTCTTCGATGTCATGAAGCTTGGCAATAGCCAGAAGCGATATCTGGCCGGTGGCGGCGCGGGTGTTCGTCAGCACTGCGTCAGGCTAGGGTCTTGCTTCAGCGAACCGCAACGAGATCAGCACAGAAACTACACGAACCTTCGGTTCCTCCGCCACGTACTTATCCGCGAAGGAGCGTAGACCTTGAGCGCGGAGCCTAATCTCGCTGACAGCTTGCTCGATGCTCATATTGACGCGCATCAAGTCTCCTAGGCTCTTCTTCACCACCTCGTCTATCTGGGCCTCGATCCACGGCCCGTCCCAGCGACCTTCACATAGACATGCCTGCATAACCTCGTGGAGAATGTTGCCCCACACGAGTGAAGGGGTCACATCTACCGAGCTTCGTACCAGGTTGGTTACGATAGGCTTGCGACGACATTGCGACGCAGTGGAGAGGGCGGTTGCGGTGATGAGCAGGTCTGGGTGATGTATGAAGAGGTTAGTCTGGACGTTGATCGTGATGGTGGGTACCGGCGCGGCTTTGCACGTAGATGCAGGAGCTGCGAAGTCCCCGAGCACGTTGATAGTATCGCCTGCACCGGAGGACTCAACAAAGACGATCGGCAACGATGCAACGAAGACGTACCTGGACGGATGTCCGTGTCGACCCATTCATCTTGTAGGATGACACAGCGACGTTCATCTCCCGGCACTACTTGGACGGCAAGAACCTGAAATGCTAGTGGTCAGCAAGGAGGGGTCGCACTGCAACTCCATGGATGTACGTACCTTTTGCAGGTAACCGGATGAGAAGCGCTCCTCAATGCCTTTGACCACGCATCGAGTACGAGTAGGAGGCACATACGCTGGCGGTGGTGCCACGACACGGATAGCAGATGGCTGAGAGTAGAACAATTGAGAATGAATGCATCAATAGTCATAGGCACTGCGAGCGTACCGTCTTCTTCGGCGAACGAGCACGTCTCGGCGAAAGGACGTCAGAGTTCATATCGTCCCAGTCCCAGTCTTCAGCACCCTCCATCAGCTCGGCGATATCGACATCTTTAGCTGTGAAAACATTTGCAGAGCGTGTTGGTGTGGAGAGAGAATGATGATTGCACGAAGACTCGGTATGTCGTGAAAGATGGCGTTTTGGGGTCGCTGGTGCTTCAACTTTGATTTCTGGCCCATCGCTCAGTATAGAAGCCATGAAGTCTTCCTCTTCTTCTTTGGTCCGTGCAAGTGGAGGCATGACGGATGTCGCGTAGTGTTTCCGCGTCAAGATGAGTCGGGGCACGAGTCGAAGTGGCCCCGTGGAACTTCAATGAGCGTAAGCCCCTGGTCAAGCTTTGTCAGTCGGATGAGCTTCGTATAGAGATCTAAAGTGGGAAGACAACGTGTGTATGGCGCTGAGGCAGCATTGGGAGTGGCTGCCTCAGCGGCCCTGAGCCCAGTGCTTTATTGCCCAGAGCATGCAGTGTAAGTCAATCCCTTAAAGGCAATAGCAACATCTGCTTCGTGAAAACAAATGATCACAGGACTCACTTGACTAGGTAGCAGCTTCAATCCAGGAGCGGCGTCACTGGACGCCGGGGGCGACAATTTGAAGACGCGTAACTATGCGTAACTGATAACTTGGTTGCGCTTCCGTACGGTCTTGCCAACTTGAGTATACTTAGTATGATAGCAGATAGTAAGCTTCGATGCCTAACTCCAGAGTGTGCAGTGTGACTGGGAGTGGTGGTGACACTGGTGACTGTGGCGGCGCACTCTTGACGCGTTATTTGACACTGTTGACGCGTTCAGTAGCTGCGTCACGTGGGTAAGGGCACGGGATCGCGTCGAACGGTCCATGTTGATTCGAAATTCGAAACTTCGTTGTCAACGGTCCCGGCGGTCAACTTCAACCCTCAAGATTTCCTTGTCCCTCGATGGCCCATCTTCAGATTACCTGGAAGCACACATCCTATCTTTATTGAAGGCTACTGCCGGTTCTTTGGTGTTGTGGCGTCTTGAGAGCTCTGTTGAACCCTCCCTATCAATGAATATTGGGGTTTGCTGCCAGAGGTTGGACTCAAGGCTGCTACTCGTAAGTCTGAATTGATCAGATATGCATGTTGATCTCATTGATTCTTTGTTCAGATACTGCGAGGTCGAGATTATACCCCTTTGACAGTGGCGAGGGGCCGTCCTGCAGCCACTAAGAGTCACGGATAAAGCGGCGGAGACGATCGCCCCCGCCACTAGCCGCATCGCCACCTTACCAGCCGGCTTTGGCCTTGTCTATTGTATACTGCTTGCAAAGCCTATAAAGCCTGAATTAGATCTGACCGAAACCTCTTCATCGACCACCATTGCCACTCCGTCATCGTCCGTTCGCTCTCATTGCCGCCACAAACGATGGTCGCCGACTTGGCTGACATCTTCGCAACGCATCTCAATCTTGCTGAGATAGACAAGCTTGATCATGACATGGATGTCGACTCAGGGTCAGAGGTACGACTGCGAAAGCTCATGCGCCTCTACTCCCGTAGCTTATATCCTCGCTTTTATGTAGACTTCTGAATCTGAAATCGATGTCACAATGGAGGTCTCTGCAAGCAGTCATCGTCGTGCGCGCTACGATGGCGTTATGACTTTGATCCCCGCTGCTTTCTCGAAACATCAGAAGATACGCTTTCAGGGACGGCAGACCAATCGTGTTGGTGTACCAATGCGCGTGCTCGTGGATCACGTCCTACCTGTGTCACTCCTTCGCGATGGAGATGAATCCGTAGCGATATTCGAGGAGTCGAAGTATGATAGGATACTTGTCAGAATCAGGGTACGCTTCATCCTCATGTACACGAATGTTTATTGATCATTCATTCCGGGGTTTTCTATACCGATCCACTGCAGTGGATTGGCTGCGACGAAGATTCGAAGATGATACCCATCAGGGATGGTATGGGCGAACCTATAAACCTACGCACCCTCGCAGAAGATGTCGCACAGTTCTGTTTGGATTGCATGCGAGTACGTCTTGTCAGAATCGCGATCTACACTGTGTCCTTTGCCGCTAACCCGTCGTGCGTTTCAGCAGCGGAGCGGCGTCAACGACTCGGAATATCCGACCATAGGAAATGTGACATTCTACCAGCTCTATCTCGTCGGGCTATACTCGACAGACGGCTCTGAGTGGGACGTTGAGATTCAACGATGAGTAGCTATCTCCAATTTCGGCGAGGCAACTCTCCAGTAAGTATTTTGTCCACTTCTCTTTCGATCTGCCGCGTTCTTTATGTAGCACTCTACATGTATCGCTTCTTGTATCTCATATATGCTAGTAGGCTGGCCTTCTCGCGATACATAAGTTACGACACGCAAGCCTAAGCAGGCCTAGCTCCAGACGAGTCCGCCCGGCAAGTCACGTGCCGAGCCACATTTGAGAGGGCGTGGGATGTTGATCCTGTCGGAACGCGAATCGAGATAAGGATTGTACTGAACGCAGTCCCAACCTTCACGACCCCGAGCGCCTGCCGTATGGAATCTGTTGTGTCGCCCTGTCTGTACGACACAGCAACCCGCAGGCAGTCATATCTGGATGCTGCCAAAATTTTGGGCAGAAAGTGCGACTGCATTCTCTGGAGAATTGGTGCTTGCCCTGACGGCGGCCGTCATCCCCTCGTGCCACTTGCATTGCCCCAAATGCTTGCTGATATGCGGGACCCGGAAGAAGTGATATATCGATGCTTTCATGTGATGCGACATGATTGATACTCCTGATAGTTCCAGGGTCGTTTCCCACACGCATCTGCGCTTGGTGGGCAAGTGTTTAGCTGCACGGTGTCGAGCAAAATCACATTGTCAAGGGAACCTGTTCGGTCCGTGTATCTTATTTCTTGCTCTTTGCTATGATGCTCTTAGCAATACCTTGCAAGGACTTGGGGGCCACGACATCCTTCGAAAGACCTCGCGGCCGGCTCCGCCAGTATGATTCCGCACCTAGTGCGCGCCAAACTCCGGCCACCCAGCTGGTCCAAAAATAGGTTTTCAAAGCCTCATGTACGCGGGAGAAGCTCACAGCAAATGAGACCGGTCCAGCCTCACTGGTGGGCTACCATTTCAGGACGCCGACCGTGGTTCGTCGCGAAGCGACCTTTGATACCATTGTGCGCTCCCCCCGACTTGCCAAATTTGGATGTCCCCTTGTTCCCGGAACGGCGAAAGTCCTCACGGAGCCTCGCTTAGGGATACGCATATATAGAGCCACTATCAGCATCGGTGTGGCGGTTTACCTCGCAGCACAGCTCGCTGCGGTCCGACCCTTCTCTCCCCTTTCTCTTCCTTCCTTCCTCCGGGTTCTGGTCAAGTTTATAGCTTCTTTATACGTCAAATCATGGAGTCCATTCACAACAGCCTCTTTTCATGGGATTCCTCCACGGGCACCGCCGACCCGAAAGTTGATTTTTACGCACTCTTCGGATTACCGCCGCCCTCTCGGCCTGTGCCTTGGGATCTTGGCGTTCACGTTGGGGAGGGTAGCCGCAGTGAACCGGCCTCGAGTAGTGACTCCGCAAGCGGCTCAAAGAAACCTCAAAGTGTATCCGATGCGAAGGTGAGTCGCTTCCCAAGAACAATGAGGGGGCATGGAAGTCAACAAATTCCCGTAGCTTCACGGTGCTGCCGCACCATCTATGCAGGCCAGTGCACAGCGTGCTCGACATCGCCCCTCAAGATCTATCAATCCGCCGAGTCCTTCGCTGCTACCCGAACCGCAGGAGCGGGACCAATGGCCAGGTTGGACTTTCTGGTCCGTTTCCAACGAGCGGCGCCCAGTGACTCAACGCAAGGTATTCACGGTCACCTTCGCGAGCGAGGAGGTCTACCCCGCACTGCCGGGTGTCCGGCTTATGGACTTGGTGCGGAAGCCCGAGGCGACTCGGACAAAGGTACGGGGAGGCACAAAGCCTCATCCAAATCTGTGCCGAGATATCACCCTCCGAGTTTATATCAGGGTGAGTATGTATTCTCTTCTGCGGCGATGTATGACGGTTCAACGGGCATCTCCGTCTCGCAGCTCTTTGATTACTGGAAAGGTCGATTTGATCTCTCGTGCATGGACACATTCGGAGAGTCGAGGAATCCTGAGGCTCCAGCGCCTCTGAATACGATCGCCGCGCGGGTATCAGAAGGCATTCGTGGTGTAATGCAGAACTTGAAGGTGTGCCTCTTGAAACAGCTTCTGAACCAGTGCAGGGCACTCAACGCTGATTTCGGTTCTGTACAGGCGAGCGTCGTACCCTCGGACTATCACAGTCCTTGCGAGGACCCGCGATGCGTGGGTATACCATTCTCCAGACTATATCTGGAGGCAATGCATTCCCGCGACATGATCGACTGGACCGTACAAGTGTATGCCGCCTTCCCTCCTGGTGAGGGCCCATGCACCAATGCACCTTGCCCCAACGAACCCTCCTCACGCTGCCTTTTGTACCGGTGGGCCTCGTCACCCGACTCTGAGTCTGACGTTTAGTCCGCAGATCACCGCATTGTACGTCGCGCCCCATGATTAGCACCATACTTATGTGGTCGCTCACGAGATACGTTACGAATCTACGTTATCTCTCTCCTTTGTTCACGATTACTACTACTTTGTCGAATGTTTTCCTAGTTTGTCCGCCCTGCTGATTTTATGCTGACCCTGCACTGTGCCCGAACCGATGTCGCACTAGTCTGTATCGCTACTAGACTCTGTGTTGCCTTACTGTACTAGTCTGTATTCTCGGATATACACCACTTTATTCTCGGAGACCGTCAGCATGTCTGAGCCTGATCAGAGTCGCTGCCGGGACAGCTTGCCAAGTGCCAAGTTAACGGTGAGTCGCCCCCATCCCGCCCGACATCTCACTTTCATATCTCAGGCCACTCGGGCTACTCGATAGCTCGTCCTCCATTTAGAATCCGACTCGGAGACGGGAGTACATTGTTGTCACGCACTAGTATACTGAGGAATCAACCGGCGTCGACATGATCAGGTGGGCAATCATTTCAGAGCGGCTCCGATTCAGGACGCAGGCACAACTCGGATACCGTCCTCCGACTAGCTCAGCATACCAACTGCTCTGCGGCGGGTGACGAACCTACTATCGTTGACTCACCCTCCCATCCGAGTCCGTCCAATGCTGTGCCAGTGGAATGTCAAGTTGACCGCGCGCACCGCTTCCAGCTGTCCATACATCCGAACGGTAGATCACCGACTGGAAGCCTCGCGCATCCGGCCACCCAGGCAGCAACCTCGCGATGCGAGCCACCCGCTGTCACTCACACGCACGCGCCTCCGAGTCGCACTCCGCGCGAAGGCCTGGCGAAGGACAAACGACTACGCAGTGATCGAGATCCAGTCCGATTACGTTGCAATCGGACTCGCGGGAGGTAATTTACTCCTTCGCAAGAGTCAGGGCCAGGCACCGAGGCCGCGGCCGCGCACCACCCTCCACCACCGGCGCATTCGAGCCCGAAAGCATCGGAACGGTCGCGAGCACAGGACTGTCGGCGAATTGGCATCCTCGGGGTGAGTGTTCCGAGTACCGAAGTCTGTTGTTATGCCCCGCGAGGCGATTCTGTGGTGTACAACCGTGTCAATTAATAGTGCGGAAGTGAAAGCGACTGACCTCGAGCTACATGGTCCGAACCGAAGACGCCTTGAGGCTTGTACCACTGCTACTGACCATGAGACTCGGAGATGAGAGTCTCCGTGTCGAGGGTCGGTACGGGACCACTGTGTCTCTTGCCCGTTGTAGAAGAGGCGCCGCTGATGTTCATTGTTCTCATACGACGGATCCCGCGTGTCTTCCATGCGTATTAGCGCTGTGTTTGACGTCGACGCCCGAAGTGTCGTGTGAGCGAACTGCTGAGCGATGGTTAGACAGTCGTGTGTAATCCGCAGCCCGTACCGTTCTCTTGAGACATGCGCGACGGGCCGCACATGCGTTCAATGCACGTCGCGGGACACGAACGCAGTGTTACAGCACTGAGTGGATTCAACTAGCGACATGAAAACTATAAACACTGGACGAGGCACAGCAGCAGAATCGTCATCTGCAATAGCGTAGATAGGAAGAGAAATGCACTGCGAATACAGCTTCTAGCCAGCCATGAGGATGAGCGATCTAGAAAGAAAGACCAGTACCGTATATGTCCACGGGCACATGAGATGATGAGAACGAGAAAGAAACGGAGAAAGGGGAAGAAAGATGTACAATTACGGCGAGGACCCAGGCCGCGCGATAAGTTATGTGCTCGAGATCCGAGGTGAGGAGAATGTGGGCGGGGACGACAACGAGAACGATGATCGATGAGGAGACGGGAGGTGTCCGGTGGAGTGCATTAGCGGGCGGGTCATGCAGGCGCAGTCGTAGTAACGTCAGTCTAGTGGCAATCGTTCAGCACAGGGTAGGCGAACGAAGGGAGGGAGCACGTACGAGTCATCGCCAGTCATGAAAGTCATCTCAATCATCATTGCACGCCGATGTGCATACCCGACTTGAGCGCCGCGTCGACTGTCGCGGCCGCCACTGTGGGCTTCTCGCGCACCCAGGTGCGGACCCACTCAAACTGGGGCCCCGTCTCGGGGCTGTAAGGGTAGCGCTTGCACTTCTCGACACCCTTCCACTCCTCTGCGATCATACGCAACGCGTCCGTGCCGTCTCTTGCGCGCCCGCTCTCGACGAGCCAGCAGCCGATGACAAGGCCTGTGCGGCCTATACCGCCGCGGCAGTGCACGGCGGCGACGCGACCGCGCTTCTCCGTGTCGCGCAGGACGGCCATGATCTTGCACACGAACGCGGGCGACGTGGGGAGCGCGCGGTCGCGGATAGGGAAGTTGTGGTACTCGACGTCGCATGGGTCGATGCCGAGCTGCGCGCACGCGGCGGCGAGGTGCGGCGCGTACGAGAAGAGCTCGTGTGGCTCGGTGAGATCGACGAACGTGCGCACGCCCGCGTCGAGCAGCGCGTCGAGCTTCTGGGCAGCGCAGCGGCGGGCGAGCTGAGCGGGCGTGAGTGGGCAGTACGGAAACTCGCACGCGACCAGGAAGGGCGTCGCCCAGTACGAGTTAGGGATGGGGCGGGGGAGCGCGCGGAGGGCGCCGGCCTCGGAGCTGGTGCTTGCGCTCGATGTAGCGAAGGAGGAGGAGCTGCTGCGAGTGCGGTACTCGGGTGGGGGGCGCGGGAGGGATGAGGATCCAGAGCGCTCGAGGGTAGCAACGGACATCTTGGGGCGGGGATGGGGCAGGGGCGAGGTAGGGGCGCGGGGTAATATAGGCGGGCGGTCAGAGCACCTGTCTCTGGCACTGGGAGGGCGGGGAGGAGGAGGCGTCGAGATACTCCTGTCGGGTGGCAGGAGGAGGTGCGGTGCGCGAGCGCGTGTGGCTTGCAATTTGGCCTGGAGCCACACAGTCCGGCCCAGTTCCGCCCGCCTTCCGCCGCTCCGCCCGGACCACGTGCCAGATACCGCGGCTGCGATCGGCGTGCTTGAGCTGGGCATCCGCGAGGGCCGCGACGTTCTCGACGATGGCTGGTCAACGTCTTACTTGCCAGTTCTCGGACAGGAGCTCTTGCTGTGCCTTCGTTGTTGCGCCCAGGCCGCACTATGTCCACCGCGGTCCGCCAGATGATCTTTCGCGCCGTCGGACCACCTGTCTTCGCAATACGCCACGTCCCCCATCGACACGCCCAAGATTCACGCACCCGAAGTGGTCAGCGGGACGTTGTTTGTGACCGGAACACGACGGAGTGCGCACAGCACATCGACAGCCAGAATAGCACGTCGTGGTGTGGCTCACGAACCCCGCCGCGAACCGCTCGCGCTCAAGCACCGCAGGTCATCGGGCCTGGGCTTGGTCGCTCGGAGGCCTTCCTGTCCTGTGGGAATATGTATGTACGTTCGGTATGCGACGAGCTATCTATGATATCACGGCGTCCGCACCTCGATAGTCGCGCAATGCGCACGCAGTCAACCCCACTGTCGAGTGCCAAACCGGTCGTCTATTCAGGGCGTCGGTCCAGTCAAATCGAGAGCTTGAGTGAGTGGTCGTCCTCACGCACGTTCTTGTCCGCATAGCTCCATCGCGCTCGCCCCGGAGGAACTGCGGGGTTCACGGCGGTCTATCGTGATCCACGGATTGAAGTCATGCAAGGCTACCGATCGCACCTTCATCGTCCTCGATAGGCACAGGTGGTTCGGGCGTCGTCCACGATCCTTATACACCGACGCAGCGTCCGTTCTCCTTGATCGACGCGGCGACCTGTCGCTCCGGGCTAGTCCTGCACGTTGCTTTATCTCATTGGAGATAGCCGTGTGGGCGGCCGAATGGAGTAGCTCATTCATTGGCCCATTCTGAGGGACGTAGGTAGGAGACCTGTCAGAATGGGCCCTTGCTGATCCACCGCGGAGTGAGGCCGCGACAAGTGCAGCTGAGGATCTACCGGATTCAAGCACAGTGGAGCACCCAAATGCTCCCCTCATCTCCGCACGGTGGTCAAATCCTCTTCTTTGAGTGTCCCGCAGTCGTTGACTAGCATGCCGTCAGTGACAGGCAACCTATGATTTCACGTGCTTACAGCGAGCTGAGCTCTGGTCCGCTGGACGGACGTTCTGTCCCCCATCTGGATTTCTTCTTAACGCTATCCGGATCAAGATACGGGAATGCCTGGATCGTCGAAGTTGCAAGCGCTCGAGACGTGCTGAAGGAAGGAAGCGCACCGTATCAGCAAATAGGAGGGCGTATGCCAGCCTTTTCTTCCACTGGAGCGAGCGAGACCGAAGCCTATGCAGATACCTGGTATTTGCCAATGATAGGCCTCCAGAACTTGGAAGCCTGGACAGCTCCCCGTGCATGGGGCCGGTGGTACCACCGACTCAGGACGTCTCGCACACAAAGTCGGCAGGCGTTCATGCGCATACTCTGCGTAGTCGGCTTAGTGGCTACGCCGATGCCAACTGCGGAGCCCTTCACTTCAGGTGCGAGACCTTGGAGCTGCGTTCGCGCGGTGGCCCCGGCAAGCACCCTCTGCTGATAGCATACGTCCAGACCCACCTGACACAATGTATGAGCCGAACTTGTCGACTTGATTTGCTCGTTCAGCTTGCTGATCGACAAGCTGAGCCATGCTGGCGCAACACCGCGGGCAAACCAGCCTTTTGATATCCCGAAACCCCAAAGAAGATTGGTGCCCCCATAGGAATCTTTTCTGAGGATGTTCGGGCTCAGAAAATGATGCGTTTCAGCATCTTCGACGAAAACACGCCTTTGCGTAGGGGTTTCGACGCGTTTTTTGAATCCGTCCAATCTCAGAACAGGTTCTCCGTGGGGCTCACTGTTCGCGGCACGTTCGGAGCATGGATAAAGTGGTTTGCCCCTCGTGCAAGCCCATAGGATGGGTTCGAATATGCACGCACAGGCATCAGGATGATGACGGCGGCCACCCACCGCTGTTCCTTCGGAAAATACCTCTTCCGCGTCGAGCAAGCCACTATGTGTGCGTTAATCACTGGATGCCGCGATGTCGGGCGGCGCGATACTATGGAGTAGTTAAGTGACCATTGGGACTCGCACGTAATACAATTACTCACGACAAATCGAATCCGATTGAACATCATATATATCATCCCGACCGTCAGTTCGACTCCGTTTCACGTTGACGTCACAGCGAAGATATGAGGACTAGAGAGATATAGTAGCGGGTCAGGACGACCATGTAGCGCGCTATAAGTACTATAAGTACGCGTCACGGTCGCGAGGGCCAAATAGAGTGCAATGCGAGAATAACCGCAGCAAAAAGAGAGAAATTCGAAGCGGAATTCGTCGAGTGACGCGTAGGACAGCACATGTACTACAGGAAGTCATAATACTGAAAGCGTGAAGAATTGCAGTGCGGGTGATGGACATCCCTTCAGTTGCTGACCAGCTTCATGTGGCGTACCGTAGTCTCGGGGCGAGGGTCATATGCATGGTCCGTGCGGGTGGGGAATGCTATGGCAGCGGCGTGTTCGCATCTAGTCCGGGACCGTCTGGCAAGTCCCAGTGGGGTGGTGCTGCACTGGTACTACTGCCAGCAGATGTGTGGTACGGCCACACTATTCGCCTTTGTAGACGACAATTGTGTCAGTACGCAGCTATCGACGAACACAAATCGACCTGTCTCTCTTCGGAGGCACCTGAGCTCAGCGCTCAGTCCGAGCCACTGGCATGGACTGTATGTGTTCACGCAGCCATCCTCAACTGGGTTGAGATACACACACCCCGATACACACCTCGATAATACAGAAGATGGGCGTTCTCTGGCGGAGTTACGCTCTGGGCAGAAGACGAAGCAGTTTGGAAGTACTATTGCTTCACTACGGTGTTTTCTGCAGAGGCGGTGCTGTCATGGCATCGCAACTGCAAGAGTAGTCACACGTCTGTGATGCCGACTCGGATATACACGCGAGATTGGCTCAAGATGATATAGGTTATCTTGCCATCAAGGAAGATGTTACAGTAGTGACCGATCGCCAACGCAGGTGTAGACGAACGCGACCGTCGCATACAGGAAACCTGCGCGAAACCCTATGAAGCCTCCGAAACATCCAAAGCAAAAGAAAGAGGTGCACTCAAGGGTTGTAGGTGTTCATACCGGGGTTCAACCACTCGAACACCGTCGTGCCCGTCTCCTGTCCGCCACCCACAGGCCCACCAGTCGCCGTGCCGATCCATCGATGGTAGATCGCCTGGTTCGGGTTCGCGCCCTGCGACGTCAGGTCGAACGAGTACACGTCGCCGTTCGCGAGCGTGTAGCTGAGCGTAAAGCCCGTCGGGAGCGTGAGGCCACTGTCGATGTACGAGCCGGTAGGGGTCGCAGTGCTGATGTCCGTATTGCGTGCGCCGACGACGCTGCACTGGTTCTGGAGTACGACGCCGTCCTTGGCGAGGAAGCCCGTGTTGAGCTTGAGCGAGGAGTTGACGGGCTGCACGAGCACTGCGGACATGTCGTATGGGCCGACCGCTGCGTTCAAGAAGTACCAGCTGCTGACCGCCTCGTTGAGCGGAGCAGGCAGCCAGTTTGCGTCGTGATAGGCCGTTCCTGTGAATGCAAGCTTAGTACCGTTCACGGTGAGCGTCACGTCCGCGGTGCCACCCGGGATGGTCGTCGCCCAACCGAGCTGCTTGTACAACAGGGACTCCGGAGTGCTGAGGGACTGCGAAGACGATACCGCTGAGTCGAAGTACGCGTCGTCGGTCGCGTTGCAGCCAAAGTGGTGCTGCGTGCGGGCCACGAAGGAGATCGACGCCTCGATGCCGTAGTCCGCTGCGCTCACGTTCGCGGTCATCGAAGAGAGGTCCTCTGTGACGGCGAACTCGCCGGCATCGCCCCACTTGCCGGAGACAGCCTCGCCAGACGTCGTGATAGCGCCTGTTGAGGTGGGAACGTTGAAGTTGAAGACCGTCCCGTTGGCGAACATGCCGTTGATCGTGATGTAGTACTCAGGCTCGCCAGACTGGGTTGCGGTGGACCCGTCCGACACCGGATAGCCTAGGAGAAATGGTGTGTCAGTGTCTGATGTATTTGCGGGATGATGCACTGATGTACCTTGGTAGTATAGGATCTGCACGTTGGCCGGGGGGTTATCACCCTCGACATCTGAGGCAAGAGCCTGGAGGTACCACCACTCGACCGCAGTGCTGTCCGCGGAGGTGCTGATGTACTGGCCATCGAAGGGTGTGGTACTCCTCTGCAACGGAGGAGGCCTCACCACGGCCGCACCTACAAACACTGTTCAGAAACGCACGAGTGCATCATATGGTCTAGAGTACTCACCAACATGCGATGCCCAAAGAGAAGTAATGATAAAAATAATGGGAACAGCAGAGCGAAACATGCTTGATGCTGAAGACGAGTAACGAGAGACTTGAACGTGAACGACGGGTGGATACGAATGATTGCACGGTCCCGGCTTATATACCGACATAGAATACCAATTTCCGTTCCGTGTGTTCCTGTTTAGGCCGATCGACCAGAGCTGCTGAGCGCGGCGACGCGACCAGTATGGCACTATCGCGAGACCGATCCGCAATAGCGCTCACTCGCCATCAAATTTCCTGGAGAGCAGGGATGGAACGGTGTCTGAGCTGCGCGACCATGCTGTGCATGACGGGTACACTAGCAGCGGTCGCATGTGCGTTTGTTGTGAGCAGCGCGTAAGCAGCGTGAAACGGTTCACGGTAACAAACAGTGAGCATACGGTTATCTTGTGTGACACCTAGTACTTGCGGTGTCTTGGGCAGGTTTCATCGAAGTGACAATGTCTGTTCGACATGCTCCCATAGTCACAAATGCACGGGATCGCGAGACCGGACGAGGATCTAATGACGGGATTGAGCAGGACGTCCGGCCATCAATGCGCGCAGATCAGGAACTTTTGAACGATCTACGCACCTACATACCGTGCTGTACAACGCGTCACACGTTCGGTATACCATCACGTCGGATGTTACCATTGTTCCGGAGGAGTCGGGCGGGTATCGTGAGCGACTGATTGTGAAGGTGTTCGGCGGGTTTCATGATTATAATTGCTACTTCAAGGTCGTTCGTAATCCGTTGGCAGGCGGACGGCGGATATTGGCACACTGTGGACATATCAAGACATGCTCCGGCGGAGCCATGACCTACGTGCTCTCTGCTATAAGGAACATACTCAGAAACGACAAAGGGTCAGGCGGTCTCCGCTGTCCAAGGGAACCTCTCGGCGCTTCCAGTGTTGATCCGCGCATAGCTTGAAAGCTGAAACCAAACCGCATTTCGCGTCGGTGTCGCCACAGGTTCCGTCGTTGCGAGAATTACAGGTCTGTCCGAGGGCGAGATGTATGTACAGGCAAAACAAGAGGGAGTGTAAGTACCTGTGTGGCAGCTTCAGTGGGCAGTTGTGACGGATTCAGAGCATTTGGACGCACCCAGACAGTATGGCGGCTGTGGCAATACGTATGCTTCGTCTCATTGTTCGATCAAGTCCGATGTGAGAGGTCTCCGACCGAAATGCTCAGGTAACCTGAGGATACCGTGGCAAGCCACCGGCCTGTCTCAATCATACTTACATTGTCCACGAACGGAATACAGTTCTTGTCGGCCTCTGTTGAGGGGTAGGAGCGTTGTGCATGTTGAGACCAGCGATACGCGCCATTATATACCGTATCATGCCGTGGCAATGGCAAGAGCATGGCCTTGACGGAAATGTCGGAGGCTCAGACTTGTCCGGGACTTGGCTCGTATGCGCATGCTTCGCTCCAGGTACCGCGCGTTGAACCGATTGCCACCTGAGTGCGGATGCAAACATACGCTATGTACAGGCTGAGCTAGGTGATAGATGACAAACAGGCAGCTCGAACAGCCACGACTAGTGCGGTAGGAACTATAGCTCGCTTGTCAATGCGTGAGGGAGAGTTGAAGGCCGGAGGAGGGAGCAGGACTGAGTACTGAGGACGCGGCGCCCGCCAACGGAGAGCAACCACGTGATCATGTTCTAGCCGCCAAACAAGTGGCAACATTCAAAACGCGCGCCGGCTTCATGGCAAACTCACTGTCAGGTCGTGCATTGTGCTGGCCGGTTTGATATTCTCAAAGCATCGCATAGTATTGCTCTGAGGCTGTCTCTCCAAACCTCTATGTTACCGATGCATAACTTGACTGGAAGAATCTCATCATCTCGAAACACAACTTGAAGCACATGTCATGAACCTTCCGACATTCTAGGTATCGACAGGGAGTCTTACAGATTAGGACCTCGCAACGCTGCAGTCTCGTCTGTGCTATTATTGGGTCTTTGACGGTGAGACCAGCATCTCTTGTGATACCACCTAGGTCCTATATGCTTACCAGGCCTACTAGCTAGGATCGCAGTACACGAACGCGGCAGTCACTGAGGAGGCAGTACTCCTGATACCGCGCTGCCGTTGTGCCAGGCGCTGTTGCTCTGTGATAGTTGACAACTCGAGTAGCGGTGCGTCTAGATATCATGAGCCAAAGAGTCGAATCGCAATACTGGTTACTCCCTTGAGACAAAGCGCCGCTGACGTGTGGTGTACAGATGTAAGTGCTAGATACTGAAGCAGCAATCTAGGACAGATGCTGCTCTGAAGATGTCATGTACTGCGAGCGTTACCACTGATTCGTCAGTTGCGGCATCTGACCGATGTCAATACTGCTGATAGGATCGCGACAACTACGATGGTGTGGGTCTCTTCCATCCAAGATATCTGTCATAGATGCTTGTGTGCAGATTCTTACGCTGACATCGAATGGTGCGTCACTGAATCATGATGACGCACCTTGGTCTGACCGGATGTGAGCAGAGCTCGTTAGTAGCCCATATCATATGGTGCTTGAGCGGGGGCTGCGCTGCGGTTCCGTTATGCCGTCAGAGATACCATCGACAGTCATCTTTGGAGGTGTCTGCTTATTTGAATAAGAGATTGCGAGATGCTAGCTATCGAACATACTCTGGGCTTTTGACGCTGTCTCCAACTGTTCACTTTGTAGAATGTTTCGCTATAGCTGCCCGAGGACTGCGACGTCCGATTCCGTCCGTCTGGAGGCACAGATCTAGACCGCTGTATCTGCGTGAGTCGCCCCCTTGATACTGGTCAGGTCTTGAGGCGCTGAAGTATATTGTTACTCTAGACATACAGAACAGGAGATGCACCGCCTGATATGCCGTCAACAATGATGATCATACCTCCAGCGGCGGTCGTATTTGTACGTCCAAGGGACCAGCGTACTCCGGTGAAGGGCGCCCCTCCCTATTCTTCTTGTCCCTCTTTTTTTTTGGTTCCATTACACCCTTTCGCTGTTCTCTTCGTCTCTCTGGGTTTTCCATTGCGAGCACTGCCAATATGTCCTCAGCGTCAGACACGTATGACGCACAATCATGGCAAGAGCTTATGCCCGACGCCAAGGACTACCGCGTCGTGCGGTCTTTCTGGGGTAAGTCCCTATGTACTCGACCGACTGCGCCTGAGTAATGAACTCTTTCACTAGTGGCTTCGCTTACCCTGCTCACGTACGAAATCAGTGAGAAATGTCATCATTTGGAGGATTGCAGCTCTAGCTGATATCTCCTAAAGTGGTTACGTTTGATGACGAGGTAAGGGAACCGCCAGAGGCCACTTGATATCGAAGCTTATCACTCGGTAGGTTGAGTTTATGTGGCGTGGCCGATTTGTGTGGACTAGGTCCCTTTATTACGTTGTACGTGCGCAACGCACACACCACATTGTAACCATGCTGAATGACATTGAACCACAGAACCGTTATTTTCCGTAAGTCGGTCCTTCATACTGGGTCAAGTTAGTTACAATCTGACTGTCTGCGCATAGGCTCATTAACCTGATGTGAGACGCATCCACTTCTACCGTCTCCATGGAAGGCTCACCGACACAATCCACGATGCAGATTTGATAATATATGTACGTTGCTCGTCACTCGTGTCTCTAGAATGAGTAACCAACCGAGGACGCTACAGTCGAGTCAACGATCCACAGTTCCGACATTTCAGTAAGCTTCATAGCATGTCACTTAACGCTACGACGTTTACTCATGACCGCAGTTGTAAGACCGATTGGTCGGTACATAGTCACCCTGGTTAACAATCCCTACCTGTTCCAGTTGTCACTTCTGGTACAGGTGGTTCCTGTACGCCAACCTGATTATGCGCATATCTATGTCAAGTAACGTATTTCTGCCTCCGCCTCACCTCATGCTGACATCGGCTTAGGCATCCTAATAATGAGGCTATACATCATGTATCGCTGCAATCGGGCCCTCCTGATTACACTTTGCGCAATATTTGTCGTCGAGCTCACTGTCGAGACTACTATCATAGCCGAGGTGATCTACAACCTTAAAGGTGCGCTCTACAACATACCACCCTGGGTCAGTAATCCTCATGAAGTTCCTCGACTACAGATATAACCCTCTCGATAGACATTCCAGTCTCAGGATGCGTCGCGGTCGGAATCAAGCAATGGGCATGGGCGTACTGGGTACCGGTCATGATCTGGGAGGCCCTTCTGCTCGTCCTGTCACTGTACCGCAGCGCGCAGCAGGCTCGAGAGGAGGCAGGGACCCCCCACCTGATGGTCGTCCTTCTGCGAGACTCCGTGTTGTACTTCGGGGGCGCGCTGGCCTCCATTCTGGCGAACTTTATAGTGTGGAAAGTGCAGGTGAGGTTTGGTACAAGCACGCTACGGATAGGACCTTGACACTGACGATCTTTTCCCAGGCCACAGCCTTGTTCTTTGCGTTCATCCCGTAAGTACCACAGCGCGCTGCTTGTAGGGGCAGTACCATCTGACGACGACTGCAGGCTCATTATGGCACTGAACTCTGTACTGGGATGTCGCATGATGGTACGACACATTACGATTAGTTGGGAGATGGCTCTGTGATGCCTGACCCATCCTTAACAGTTGCACATAACCCGCGCTGGCCGTAAACACGTGCAGGCAACGGCCAAGGAGAGCTATCTGCTCACATCGGACATATCTATCGACGACGCTGACGACGGTAGCAAGGCAGGCGACGACGACGTCTCAGAATCAGACCATCATGCATCCTTACCCTCCTTGGCACGGACTCCACGGGTACCCTCTGTTGCGCCCGTGAGGAACTCGACATCGACGGCCGGCCGCAGCGCTGTTTCGAGTCCGTCACCGTCCAGCTGGCTCGGGCTATCGACCACGGGCGCGTGCGAAGATGTCATCGAAATCACAAGCACGGCGTCCGAGCACCTCAACTGGGACATATACGCACGACGGAACGACTTGATTTAGTGTATTATCGAGGGAGAAGCCCGTATGCGTCGGTTTTTTGTGTACGAATAGTGTCCTTATTATCATAGCTGCAGAGCGGCTTACTCCCCGCAGCGTTGCGCGATTTACAAAAGTCGGTCTGAGGCCTGGCATTGCTGCCCGAGATCGCCGTCAACAAGTGAACGTAAACGACAGATGAAGCAAAAGCTGCCAGTGTCTGGTCATCAAATACGGGCGACCACACATAGATGCATCAGCTAGTCACACAGCAGAACAATTCGGAGGCGCATGGTCCACGAGGCGCGCTGAAGGCAGGTCGACGGACAGGCGGTTCATTATTGTGCTGACTGCCTGAAACGATCCAGGGCGGAAGGCTTCCGATCCTTTGCCTTTCCGGCGGCGGCTCTGGCCTTCCTCCTCTCCATCCTCTGCTTCTCCAATTTGGCACGCTACAATTGCAATGGCAGGACGTCAGGCTCGAACCATTCTTAGCGATGTCAGAAGGATACGTACATCCCGCTCGAAGATAAATGACGTTCAACTTGCGCAGGTACATACGGTTATCGGTGTACGTATTCGATCCCTCTTTCCGAACCACAACCTCACGTAGCATAGCTCGCTGCGTTGATGAGAGCTCCGCTAACCCATGCCAAATAACTCATCGTGATGCTCTAAATATGCAACTTACCAGTGCCACGCAGACATTGGGTGCTCGTAGTAGCTGTGCGCTGAACGCTGAATAGACACAACTCGAAATCGTGCTCAGCGTCGAGCAAGCGCAGCTGCATATCATGTATATCGTACAATTCAAGACACTATGGTTCGGGACTGGATGCGTGCGTTCAGTATATGTATCATCTGTCATAGCCATTGTCGGCCCGGGACACCAGCATGCGAGAGTTGACGTGGCCGCGCAGAATGCTACATCGATCGTGTTACGTATTGCGATCACGCCTTGAAACTCTCGACCTTGGTCTTGACCCCGTTGGCATAATTCTTCAGGTATTGGGCCATGGCCGAGTAGACCTTCACAGCTTTCTCCAGCGATAATTTCATGTACTCCGGGACGTCCTACCACGGGTCGATATTTTTGAGTAACGGTGAATATCAAGAATTGCAGCAATGACATACAGCATCTTTCGCACCGTCCTCGAGCCACTTCTTGATTTCTGTCGCATTGTTCTTGACATTATTCCATATACCCGCAATGGCCTTGATATTGGAGGTGAAGATGAGAAGGTCAGCCTGGCCTTCCTCCTCGAGCTGCGTGCGCGCCGCCTTGATCTTGCTGATCTCATCCTGCAGGTCCTTGATCTGATTTTCCTTGGTACGCTTGTCGTTGAGCAGAACTATAGACATTACATTAGACGTGAATTCCCAGGTCCCAGGAACAACCCCAACTGTGGTAGGGAACATACTGTTTTGCGCAATAAGCAGCCCGGTCAGCGACCCAAGCTCGACACCAGCAATCACGCAGCCGATCCCCTATCGTTCTGTCAGTCTGCGACGAAAGAAGGAGCAATTGCCACGGGAGACGGACCATGATCCACGGTGCAGCCGGCAGGAAGACGACGGCCAAGATACCCGTGACTGGGAGCGTCACTGCCAGTGCCGCGCTAATGGCATAGATCGCGGTTTGTATCTTGGACAGCTGCTCGTCGATATCACCGATTTCTTTCAGCAGCTGTTTGATCTTCTCTTGGTCTGCCTCCTCGCGGGCCTTCGCCCACGTTGAGAAGCTTCCGACGAACACGGAGAACCTGTCTGTGAGTTTGGTGAACCGGTCTTCCATGGCCTTTGCGTCTTTGTGGATGCCTTCGCTTCTCTTTGATATAATGAAGTCAGGGTCAGAACACTCGATTGTCAAGATACTGGATCACACACTTACCTTTATGAATTCGTCAATCTTCTCCTTGCGTCGTTCGACTGTAAGGCGGTCATCCGCGCAGAATTTGACAACGACGTCGTCAAATGCTACAGCCAATTGGTATCACTATAGACGTGTTCAGCGGGATCAAGTGATTGCTCACATTCAGCGTATTGCGCAATGCTGATAGCCAGGTCATGCGAATCCGATACGACGACGCGATAATCCTACCAAGGATTTTTTAGCGACTCTACAGTGGCAGAGTGATGTAGAACTGAGTACACACCCCCTTGATGCCGCCGAATTCCTTCACAAAATCCTCCGTGTCCTGGAGGCTGATCAGTTTCGCCGTCAGAGTCACGAACATGGTGTCGATTTTGTCAGCGGCTTCTGCAGCAGCGTTCGCGGCCTCCTCGAAGTGCGACGCGGCATCGTCCCGACTCGCGGCTTGAGCAACGCCTACACTGACTTTGGCTTTCTGGTCGGACGAGAGGGCGTTGAACTCGGCCAATGCCTTCTCGGGATCGTAACATGGAGGGGTGTCTTCGAGGCGACTGTACGGGGGCGGGACGTCGGGGTTAGCCATGGTGTTGGCAGGCCAGTTTATCGATGGAGTTTCTATGAGACAGAGCTAGGAGTCGACTGTCGCAGCTGGAAGTTATGAAGTGTCAGTTCTTTTATACATACGGTGGTCAACAGCTCGAGCCACTCAGGCCGACTCACGGAGAGGCGCTTTGGTACGTGTTGACGGACTTGCCAGTGGTCATGAGAGTCATGTATCCTCTTCTTGAATGAAGGCCTAGTTCCTCCACAGTGTTCCATACCAGTGTGACCAGGGAAACACACGTGAATCCCGCGGTGATAATGCTGCATGTTGGTACGAGGGGGCCCCCTCGTGCTGAGACGGCCTCATGGCAGGGACGGTGACGGGACGTTCACTGATTCCAAGTCCGGTGAATAATTGCCGTCTGTATACTAAAGGTCTCAAAGGCCGGAATGCAGTGCTTGAGAAGCAACAAGACGATGGCATGCCTGAGCAGCACCCTTACCTCAAGGCGGATGTTCTCGTACAACAGAACATCAATACTCACCTTCGTCTTCAATTCTTTCGCTCCTTCCTGTCATTATTCAATGCGCTGTCAACTTGAACCGATGTCATGCAAGGCACCTAAGCCCAAGCGGAGATGACAGATTCAGGGCTATGACTCTTGAGGGCCTGCGTGCGGCGCTGGCACCACGACCGTTCCATTGAATGAGAAATATGGACGGCGTAGTAGGAACTTCTCGCATGGAAGGACATCGCTTTTCAGCCGGGTCCTAACAGCCGATGGATGTCACTCGAATGTGTGCGGACCTCGAGGCGATCATAGCGGTCTTGGATGGATGACCTTGACTTACCTGCGCGGCAGAAAGCGCTCATGACTCCTCGGAGCCTCTCATCGCCGCGTCACATTTGATCCTATGCACATGAACGACAGCCAAATTGAGGCACGTTCCCTTGAATGATCTCTGGAGAAGACAAACATTCGACATGGTGCTGCTGTTATTGAAATGTCAGCGAGGCGGGACCCACGAGGCTCACTCAGGATCATAATCAGCCTTCTGGTGACGCCGTGGCGTTTAGACTCGGAGACCTCCCCTAAATGGGTTTTCGGGTAGTAATCCCTTGGTCGGAACTCAGCCATCTTATGTTTGTACAACCGTATCGTACTATACAGTGTACTCAGGCTGTCATCTCTCGTTCTCATGTCTACCTTCGCCACACGATTCTACAGTCTACGGACGAGGGATATCCTTTTCCGTGAGAATGGTCGCATACGCACGCAGTGCCACAGCCATGTCGGCGTATACAGCAACGGCGTGATCAAGGGAAAGCTTCATGTACTCGGGTATGTCCTGGAAGTACATCAGAATCCAATCTTGCACGCATGGGTCGTACTCTTACCGCGTCCTTCGCACCATCCTTGAGCCAGAGTTCGATCTCGAGCGCATCATTGCTCACTGCTTGCCAGAGCTGTCCGAGGGAGTTGATGGCGTCTACCGAAGTCATGTTTTTGAGCTCGTTTTCGGCATGCTACATAGCGCCGCGCCAGCACAAGCCCAACGATCAGTGTCAACCTTCAAACCGACATCGAGAGACGCACCACAGACAGGTTAACCATGGAAGCAGAGCTGCCAACGATGTTCGCGGCAGCAGCATTGCGTGTGCTCGTTATGTCACTCTCCAGTTGATCTAAACTCTTGTTGAGCTCGGACACTACGTCCCCCAAGCTCTGGACACCATCAATCCAAGCTCGAAAGGAGGCGATGAAGGTGTTGAGCTCGTCCTGGAGATTGTCCAGGTCGGTCATGATTTCTTTTGCCATCGTGTGGATTGCATCCGCGGCCTGTGTGTGCGCGCATGCTTCACGGTGAGAACGACTAAAAGGGGTGAGATCAGCAGTTGGTACGCTCACCCTGATGAACTCGTCGATTTTGCGGCGCCGTTGTTCGACGGTGAGGGACCCGTCGGCGCACAACTTGATGATCTCGTTATCGAAGCCTAGTAAACAACATGAAGTCAGTGACTCAAGAGTAGATCAACGGAGGCTAGCATGCGGCAGGGAGAAGGACCCGAGGGCGGCCGGGCTCACTTACGTTCTCCATACTTTGCGATAGCGAGGCTGAGTGCGTATGTCGCCCAGACATAGATGCGATACGTCTATGGCAGGTCTCATCAGCAAAACGCAGAGCATCAGACGCAGGCCGAGTTGTTCCTGCTCGGCTCACCACCAGAATTTGCGCAAGCTGCGGCCCGAAGGGCTGGTGGCCAGACGGGAATAGCACATCGACAACATACATCCCCAAATTGACGGCCACGTCGATCATGACATCGATATTTTTGTAATCATCCGCTGCGCGTACAGCGGTGTCGACCGTTAGCCCAGCATGCGCCTGGGACCTGAGGACGGCCTGAGTCGTGCGGTTGATAACAGACATGCTGTAGTTGGTGCGCGTCGCATGCTGCTATCATGTGCACATATATACACATGTCGGTGTGCACGAATGGCTCCAAACACCGGAATGCTGTGCTAGATTTGCCATGGCATAGAGGACTGAGTCCCTGATTGCTAGACCTCGACTCAGTCATCAGGTAAATCCATGAGTCATAGTGCGACGTTGACACATACCTTCGCGTTCAATGCTACCGCTTTCTGCTCATTCATTAAAGTTACGCTGTCAACCGGAACACAGAAGAACCGGAACCCTTTGAATGATGGCGGAAATTAGAACGGCATAATTCAATGGACGACGCCGACACTTGCCTTCGTCTTCGATGCTGGCGCTTTCTCTTCATTGATTGTGCTGTCAACTGGACAACAGAAGACCACGACCTTGTCAATGATGGCGGAACTTGCCAGGGACGGCGTACCTTATTCAATAGGCCGTTAACCTGGTCTGCAGGAGACCGCGGCAGAAAAGACGAGAATGTGTAAGACCAGACTGTAAGGAAGTCGGAGCTGCGTCCGAACCAGGTTGTCCTCCTCGGACGCAGGTATGCGACCAAGGCCGCCGATCCGCATGTTATGACCTCCGGTGTCGACGTTTTGGTACCAAGTCAGTCCAAAGGCTGCTTGTACCGAATGCACCATGTTGTAGTCGATGTCAAGCTTCCATGAGCCAGATAGGCGAGTATTCCCATGCAGCCTGTGGGTGCCTAGCGCTCGGACTACGACTGTGCATCGGTGTGCATAAAACGGCCAGTACTCGACTCTTGCTGGCTGCATCACCTACGTGTTGACCTCGCCCATCTTCGACAAACCAACTGACTGGCAATATGGCTCGCTCCGGCTCAAACCTTGCGCCCCCGCCATACACCCGGTTCCAAGACACCCCGCCATGCTACGATCCCGAGAAGGCGTTGGCCGAGTTCAACGCACTCTCGTCCGACCAGAAGTCCCGAGTCAGCATAGGCATCTCGCAAGCCGCGAGTCAGACAGACGCATTGCCGTACTTCAAGGACGCTGCAGACGCCGCCGCCAAGGCCGCCGAGGAGATCGACACCATGTTCATCACCCTAACCTCAAAACTGGTCAGCCTCGAGGGTACGCAGAAGTTCCAAGCCGACTTCAAGGTGATGAAGGAGGTACGTACCCCTGATTTCGATCCATTGTCCTACTAATACAGCGCCCTTTGTCGATAGCATTACCGCAGTGTTGTGTCGGAATCGCGTGACCTGGCTATTGGCATCGCACAATACGCTGAATGTAAGTAGATCTCTCGTGGTTGATATCGATATTCAAACACACCTGCCATAGCTTTCGACAGCGTCGTGGTGAAATTCTGCGCAGACAGCAGACTTACGGTAGAGCGGCGTAAGGAGAAGATCAATCAATACATTGCGGTCAGTGCACAATCCCAGTGTTGGCCGCGCAGGCATTTTGACCATGGTCTCATTTGCTGCAGGACTGCGACAAAACGAAGACAGCTGCGGAGGGCATATTGGTCAAGTTCGGAGACCTGAAAGAAGAGTTCGCCAAATTTGTCGGTAGTTTCTCGACGTGGGCGAAGGAACGTGAGGAGGCGGATCAGGAGAAGATCAAGCAGCTGTACAAGGAGATCACGGACATCGACGACAGTTTGGACGCCATAGAATCCGCAATGAGAGTCATCGGTTCGTCCTTGGTGGTCACACTGCCTACGACGACAATGCTGGCTCTTCTTTTCCCGCCCGCTGCTCCGTGGATCATGGTCTGTCTGCTGCTGTGCGATGACATATGCCTTTATGGACTGACCTGTCGTGATAGACGGTCGGCCTCAGCCTTGCTGGGGTTGAGCTTGCTTCCCTTGCGGGGCTCGCCATCGCGAGAACCGGTGCGACAGCTGCTACAGTTGAACTGGTTCAAGTCTTCTGACGTGCGCTCGTATGTTCGCAGCTCTGCTTAATGACAAGCGCAAAAAGGAACGTGCTGTTGCGGACCTGCAGAGCGAGATTAGCAAGATCAAGGCGACGCGCACACAGCTCGAGCAAGACGGCCAGGCCGCCCTCCTCATCTTCACCACCAACATCGATGCGCTCTCAAGGATCTGGGTCCAAACACGGAACGATGCGCAGGAAATTCGCAAATGGCTCGAAGAGGGAGCGAGCTCTGCTGTGAGTCGTGAAGTTAACAGGTGACATCGTCGGATGGCGGTAATGACCTGACTTACCAGGACACCCCCGTATATATGAAGCAAGCGCTGGAACACAGCGTGCAGGTTTACACTACCATGGCACAGTACTTGAAGGACTACGCAAACGGCGTCACCACGGCTGTGAAGAACTTCAAGGCCTAGAATCCCTGGTATACGCTATATCTTGCAGTGCTTCATGACCGTCAGCCGAATTGCATGTACTAGTAGGGAATATACTGCCCTTGAGATCGAACCGTCGCTTGCGGAATTGTTGCATCAGTGTATTATCCAGAGAGGGGCACGTATGTGCCGGTTGTTCGTGTACGAGTGGTGTCCTTATCGTCATAGCTGCAGAGAGGCTTACTCACTGCAGCGTTGCGCGATATACAAGAGTCGGCCAGAGGGCACTGCTGCCCGAGATCGCCGCCAACAAGTGAGCGTATACGACAGATGAGGCAAAGGCTCTGTCCAGTCATCAGATACGGGCACCCACATCGCCACATAGATGTATAAGCTGTATAAGCTATGTCGAACAACAGCACAATCCGGAGTCGCATGGCCCATGGGTCATCATGGTGCTGACCGCCCGAAACGATCCAGAGCGGAAGGCTTCCGATCCTCTGCGTGTCCGGCAGCGGCGGCCCTGGCCTTCCGCCTCTCCTCCCTCTGCTTCTCCAGTTTGGCACGTACGGCAAGCTACAATGACAGGAAAGTCAGGGTGGAACCATTCTGAGCGATGAACGAAGTAAAGAATACGTACCGCTCGAGGATCAATGACGTTCTTGCGCTGCTTGCGGAGGTACCTCTTGAGCGTCTTGTTCTTCCCGCGCATTTTCTTCTTTTCTTTCTCCTCCTTCGTCGGCCTCTTCTTCGCGGCCTCATCGTCGTCATCGTCGTCATCAACAAGACCCTCGTCGCCGTCCTCCTTCTCGTCCGCTTTGCCCTGCACACGCAGACGTTCCAGCCGTGGAAGGCGCGCGAAGGGGACGTCGGGCTCGCCGCCGACGGCGGTGGTGAGTTTGGGCTCCGGAGCGAGCGAGCCGACGAACTCGGGGTCGAGCGCGATCATGTCTGGTTGGATCTACAACACAGTGCACCTCAGTTACCTTTTCGCTGGGCGTCGATTAACAATACGTACCTTGTCCAACAGGCCCTTGACCTCCCGTTCCCTCCTGGCGCGCTTGTTCTCGAACGGGTCCGCTTCGGCGCTGTCAAAGTTGGGCTCGCCCGAGCCTGGGACGATGATGCTCGAGAGGCCGGCGTTGTGCCCAACCGTGAGGACATCGTGGAAGGGGCAGAAGCGCAGGGAGGTCAATGGGCGGTGGGGAATGGGATGCGTGAGGTAGAGCGGCGGGGAAACAGTCGCTGCAAGAGGTGTTTGTATAGACGGCTTCGTGTATACCTGAAAGGCAGGGTGAGAGGGGATGTCACAGTATCGGCGAGCAACAAACGCACGTTGACACTCCCGCCGGAAGCTACGGCGAGCGCGCCTCGCTGGCTCCATTCCACTTCGCCACCACCGCCTCTCGCGTTCCACGTCCGTACCGCCCCTTTCCAATTCCGACAGTCCCACACCTTCACCAACCCATCCTGGCCTGCCGTGGACATGTACCTTCCTGCCGTACTCGGATCGACGCTCACACTTGCGACAGGTCCGAGGTGAGCGAGTAGGCGGACAGCGGGATGTGGAAGGTTTGGTGTCCAGAGCGTGACTGTGCCGTTGGCGTGTCCGAGGTGGATGACGGCGTTATGTGCGTTTTGGGTCATGGCGCTGGGTGCGCCGAGTTTCGTGCGGTGCTCGACAAGCAGTTGTCCCGTAGAAGTGTCTTGGTATTTGAGATAGCCAGCGTTGCCCTACATGGGTGCAGGTCGTAAGTAGGATGATACTGAGCTAGGTGAGACGGAGACATACGACGCTAGCAAGGAGCCAATGATATGGAAGAAACTCAAGCCGTGTAGGCTCGATATGCGACTTCAGCTGGTGCAGCTCCACGCCGTCACGATCGTAGATGTAGACGTATTTTTGCTGTGCTACGGCGAAATGTGAATGGTCATGGAGGAAACTGAATAGATGTTGGTGAGGACCAAACAACCCGTCAGAGCAGAAGTGAATACTGACGTGATATCCCGACATGTTTCTCGTAGTTGCAGCTCAGCATGCATCGTTCCCGTCTGCCAGTCAAATGTTGCGACATGGCCTTTCCTTCCAACAATGGCCAGATGTCTGACAGGCTCCCGCTCAGTGTCTCGCGAAATCAAACACAACCCAACTTAGATTGACGCACCTCCCATTCCGCGTATATCTCGAGCGGTACGGCCCACCATCCAGCTTCCACTCCTTCCTCCCTTGAGCAGCTTCCTGTCCTGCCGCCTGCACAATCTCGTTCTGTCCAATCCTCCACGTCTTCTCCACATCCCCTTCCACCTCCATGAGCCCCGCCTCCTCCGTGAGCAGCAACTCCGCATCCTTCACAAGTGCCTTTGACCGTGCAGACTGCGTGGACTGTCGGGTTAGTTGCGCCCGAAGCTTCTTGTCCTGAATATGACCGTATTTTGGCACGTTTTCGGGAGGAGGGGACGTCGGTCGAAGAGACTTGGGCAGTGCGGTGTGCAGAGAGACCGAGCCTAACGTGCGGTCGTCCGAGGGCCCTGGTCGTGATGTTCCTGACTTCTTCTGGGATTCATTTTGATGGATACGTCTTTTCTTCGTGACTGGACGAATCGCATCCGCTTTGGCGATGAGGGCGTCCATTTTGCCTAGTTTTCGTTGCCGAGAGTTGCCCGATTTCCCGGTGTCTGCAAGTTATAAAACCTAGTGGGACACAGATATATGACCGTTAATCAATTTCTGGTTGCCCTCTTGAGCGTCGTAGTGGTTGAGCGGGAAAATCTCTGGCTGCAGACTGCTGCAGAGTCCAGACTCCAGACAGGTTACAACTCGAAAGTGAAGTTAGCAGCATACACGTGATCAGGATCGAGGCTCTGGCGCTGCCCGAGATGCAATCGAGATCCGAGATCGCGAATGTACCTTCACTAACGGGACTACTAGTAAGACTTAGACATCTGGATACTACGTTCTACCATCCCGCTCATCTGCCAGGTCCCAGTAAATCACTGAACAGGATTCCAACAGATAATGTAAGTTGTGCTATGCCGCTGATAACTCTCTGTGATATATTATGATCTGGGAAGGCCTCCGAAAGGTTTCGCCAAACGGAAACCGTTGACTGTGAACAGCGATGGTTCCCCAACGCCACCGGTTGTCGTGAGTATCCCGTTACCCATATATCTAGCATCCTACCAATATATTCATTCATCAAGTCTCTTGCAGAGCAGTTTTCCTACAACCACTACCCTCGCCCCTTCAAGAACCCAGAATACACGAAGAACACGAACAGGAGAACAAAGAACTTGAAGGCTGTCCTCGCGCAGGAACGGGAACGAGAACGGATAGAGCGGGAACAAAGGAGGCAGCAGCGAGAGGAGCAGATGGACGTCGATGGCGCGGAGAAGGAGTTCATCATGGAGGAAGACATGCCAACTTGTGCGTCGCATGCTGAACCTCCGTTGACCTGTGATTCTCATAGACTCCGTTCAGACTCGTCTATTGAAGCACCTCCCTCTGTGCTCCCGCAGCGGAGATGCTGCGACATTACTGGGCTCGAAGTGAGTTGTTCATGAGTCGCTTAGGCGCACAGTCGTCTCAACCTCATCGCCAACCTTCGCCAGGGACCATACACTGATCCAGCCACCGGTCTACGCTACCACGACAAGAGCGTCTACGACATGATACGGGGCTTAGTGAGTCAACTGATATGTCATGGCTACATCGCCCTGACGTTGTGCTCGACCAGAGTGCTACGGCTGCCAAGGACTATCTCGCAGCGAGAGGTGTCAATCCTATCGTGAAATGACCCGTCGGCTATCTTCGGTTGTGCAGTGAAGTTTTTGCTCTTTGATACGGTCCGTTGGAATGTTGTACTTATGTCTTCGTTGTATTGCTTTCGTCACTCACATGTGATCATCCAAAGACAAGTAGCCTGGTCACATACCATCAAGGCCAATTCCTAGCATGAGGGGGGGCTGCAGTGTGTATCTTGTCTATTACACCATAGACGTAGTCCGCGGCGCATAAGGTGGCGATTGCTAACGGCAAAGTACTACTATGCGAACATACCAATCGCGAGACCTAGGTGCCGTCCCGCAATGGCACTTGCTACATCCATTCAGTCATGTTCCGCTCATCATCGATGTCTGTCTGCTCCGAGATGTATCTGCGTGCGTACTATCATTCCAAGCCTGTGTCCTTTATGCTTTGGCCGCCACACTGATTCTATCTAGTCCTCGTCAGGCGTGTCAAGCTCTTCAGCTATGCTCCAGTCGGGATTGTACATGGGCGGCAGCAAGTCAGGCACCGGACCCGCATCTTCATCATGGGTAGGGAGAAGCAGTGATGGTGATGATGCCACTGCTGGGATAACTGGTGGAGATGAGCTGTCGTGATTTTCAAGGCCTGGAGCGGAACTTGAGGGCATTTCTGTGGGTCTGCGACGTGACGACTCCGCCACTTGGGAAGACGGGTCTTCGGTCTCGACCGGTACAGACTTTCCGGACGTTGCGTATGTCTTCGTATCTTTTGTGACTTCAGCTCTAGATGGGATCGCTCATGGAAGTTGGCGAATGGTGAACTCACAAGGATGCACAACCATCGCGGGGGCATCCGATTGGGGTTCCGTGTCTTGAGGCTCTTCACCAGTTCGGGACGTAGCCTGTTCACCCAACTTCGGTTCAACCAGGTTTGGCGCGGTCCCGTGGGTGTAAATGCCCCTTGCGCGAAAACGTGCGAAAAGGAAAATTGCGATCAAGAGGGCTCCCGCTATAGTGCCGACCTGTACATATGTAAGTACTAAGCTACTGTGTCCATGGACAACACGCGGCGACGCTCACCACAATGCCGGCGACAGTTCCGCGCCTTAGATCATGCGACGTGGCAGCTGGACCGCCGGCATTTGACGAACTACTCGATGTCATAGTTTGGCTCGGGAGAGCAGAAGAAGAGGATGCACTAGAGCATGCAAGTTCGCGTCAGCACACACTCGTATAGTGACTGAAGGAGCAAAGATATGAGCCGGACATACGGAGAAATGGCATCGAACAGGATAACTCTACCGACGTTGAATTCCCTCCCCGACTCTGCATTCGTCAATGTCACCGAGTAGTTCTGCGTCCTGTTCAGCCCGGTAGCAACGTATCTGATTTCCTCGATCACTACCCACGGCGCCGTGGCGTTAAGCTGGTATGCTGTGCTAGTGTTCGGATTGTTCGGCACAGGAGGATCTATGTCCACTAGGTATGTACCCTGCGAGGGATCGTTTGCTCCGTATACAGCGAACGTTACGCTGGAATTCACTACGAATGTAACGGAGTCGCCCTGGGTGGCCGTCAGGATGATTGTCTCCAGCTCCCCGTTTGGCCCGAACGCCAGATCGCCCTGCCATGAGTCGTTTGAGTTGACGGTGAAGAAAGGATTGATAGCCGGTATGTCCTCTATGATGGACGAAACATTCGTTGCTTTGATTGTCGAACTAGCTCAGGGCGAAACATCGATCAACTCGGTCTGCTACATCGTCCAGCTTACTGAGAGTACTCACCCAGGCTCACCCATGCCAACCGTGATAGTCGCACCAATAATGGTCACGGGTCCCTCCAGGACAGTGAGAACCACCGTGTGCACCCCGTACGACACACCGCTCTCGGCATAGAGAACGCCACCCCCAGTTCCAGTCCCTTCGCCCAGGATCGTGCTCCCATTCCAGGTCCTCCCGATCTGGTACGTCGCATTTGCCTCTCCATACAGCCACACTGCCGTACCTGTCCACTGTAAGGAGACTGTCGCGCCTAACACCGAGGTGGTATAGGAGGACGCCTAGGACAGCTCTGTCAGCTCGTTATGGGTGTATCGCGCCCAAGTTGGGCAGCTCCGACGTACCCTCCCAGTAGTATTGATCGCATACCAGCAGTCATATTCTGGACGTGAAGTTCCACAGAACGAACTGCCATTGTTATCTATACCTCGCAACGGCGTATACCACAATAATGGCGACTTGTCATCGAAGGAGATGTTGTACGGCTGATACAACATATTCAAGGAGGCTGGGGCTTGCAGGAGGGTAGGACCAGGAGGCACCGCGTGTAGGTTTTGGGGCACCGAATTAATAGATCCTTACCAACTTGGCAGCGCCCTACACAATAAAACACGGTCTGGCGGCCTCGGGCCTACTGCTGTGCTTCTGCAGCACGGAAGTCGTGAACATCATATCGGGGTCTCGAGTCATCAGGGTACTGAACATGAAAAACGTGCCAGGGCCATCTGGTGCGCTCATCGAGAAGCTACATACAAGTAAGCATGCAGCAAACGCTGTGATTGGTCGGGTCTCACCGGGTGACATACTAAGCTAGAGCGCTTCTTCTCTTCCATTGGACCTCGTCACAAGCCGTTAGGACGTTGAGGGAACCCACAGGTCGTTTGTTCGAGTCGCTGGGTGCGCGGCGCAGCGTGAGTTGAAGAGATTGACGGAGCAGACGCTCATGCACCCGCGAACCGTCGTCAAACTGCAGGGTCACGAATCAGTAGCACTACAAACACAAGGGATTCTGTACACACCCGCACACGCGATGGCACCAGATAATCAACGAAGCTATGTTCATCTTACGATGGCGGGACATGGCATTGCGAGATATGCATCCTCCGGCCATGACCCCCGTGCGGTTCGTGATTGTTATTGCAGAGCTGGACACATGGACCTCCTGGCCATGAGTAGGGCCCGTTTCCATGTGTTGCGGTGATTGGCCGCGAGACAAAAGAAACATGGATAGACACTGATGACGAAGGGAAGAAGCGACAGAATCGCTCGATATTGAGATGGTCAGGTGTCAGTCTGAAGGAACATCGCCGTTAGGGATGATAGCAAAGATGTCGACACGGAACCCACCGCTCAGCCTGTGGTTGGACATTAATTCTAGGCATCCCACTACATGATCACTGGCTGCGACTCATCCGTTCGTACCTGCGCTTCCAGGGACCTCCATTCGAGAAGGAGCACATCCCAGCCACGATCCCATACGAGCTTGATCCCGCACAAGCTATACAATTGAATGCCTGGCACCCGCATCTTGCCCTTTCTTTCGAGTCTTCTGTCCGTGGCGACGCACGCAAATTACAGTGCGCGCGAGGACGAAGGGTTATTCACACCATCAATCCCGCTAGTTGGTTTCATGTGGTTGACAAAACATCGAGGACGTCGGATACGACGATAAGGCAGTACACATTACCGCCGACGCCGTGGCAGAGATTAATCTTACGGAGTAGCCCGAGGGTGTATACAAGCTCGCTTCTGTGGACAAGGGCATCAACGACGTGTTCGCGCATGGAGAGTGCGAACGGGAGGATGGGCGTTCGAGCAGAGGAAGTTGGTAAGACGAGTGTAAACAGGAGCAGAAGGACACCAGAGCGGCGGAGAGTACTCAAGGCGTTGACTATGACTCACCTGTTCTACGCGCAGCGCCGTACCCTTCCTCGTCCCGTTTCCGAAAGACCGGCTCGGCGCAGACTGCCAAGTTTGCCGTGGCAGACGATGTTAATCAGTTCCCTCACATTGTCGCCACAACAAGGTCGACAATCCCCCTCCGTTACACTACTGTCGCAGAATCCTTCCCTGTTCACGCCTTCGAAGAGAACGAAGAGAGCTCCGTTGGACGTGACAGTAGCACAGCATAAGGGAGCAAGGTCGCCCATAAAGCACCTCGGAGCCACCACTGCCTTGATGCTGCGTTTGTTGTGTGATATGAAGAATAGCCACGCCCCGCCGAGACCGTACTTCGGCGTCTTCAGCCCGAACAAATGATTTTGATGTCCGGCGAGGAGCAACTGCGCAGCTTGGTTAATTTTAGTATCGCTGGTCAGGTGCTCGTCAAAGAAAGAGGCTCGAGATCCTGCTTCGGGGGCGGAGAGCACCAGGGTAGCCAACGACGGGAAACTCGACCAGAGGGGTGCTGGATGGTACCAGGCTGTACACCTTGTTGTCCATGAGCACGACACCTGACAGACGATATTAGCCATCCACGGGCCAACCAAATGTGAGATGTACTCGCCTACAGCTCCGAAGAAAACACCCGCTCTAGATGTAGGCTCCTCGTGTAAGTCAATTGTTGCTGCGATTGAGACCTACCTGTCTGTCATGCTGCATCCCCAAATGGCAAGATTGCAGTGCATCCACTGTATCCACGCAGTCTGTCCACGACATGAATGGGCTTTGCACTTCCGCTGATTCGTATACCTACATACTGCCAAGTCCAATCAAGCTCGGGAAAGAGTCCAAGTGACACGGTAGTGCCACAGTACGAGGGAGAGACGCGTGTCGTAAATGTCCGTACCAGTTGAAAGTGATATCACTGTTGGGACCGGACGGGTACAAGAAGCATGCGGCATGGGGAAGGGTATAACGATTAGAGACAAAGCGGGAATGGAAAATCTATGCATTCACACGAACCTATGAGCACTCACACAAGCCCAACGAGCGATCGGCCCTCATGGAGAGGCGAGGCACGCTAAGAGGAATGTATAAAAAGACTGAGTCCGGTCGTTACTGTACTCCGTTCACCGACGAGGCGCGTTCTGGTAGTAAGGATCAAATTCCCCGCTGGGCCCGCCCATCCGCGGCTCGTCATGATAGGGTGACAAGCTGAAGTTGCTCGCGTTCCCTGATGCATCCCACATGCTCTTGTTCTCGTGCTGCAGCGGCACAAACGCGCTTGAGTCGGAATTGCGCACGTCACGCCTGCCGAGCGCACCAGCGCCCCCAACAGAGGACATGGCGTACATCGAGGCTGGCTTCGCTTGCGATGCGGCGCGCCTCTGGCGTGCGATATAGACACCAAAGGCAGCACCCAGGATACCGACGAGCGCGACGGCCCCAACGATACCACCGATAATGGCGCCAGTGTGTGAGGTACTCCCAGACGACGACGAGTCGCCTGAAGAGCTCGTGGAGGAAGAGCTACCGCCAGAACCACTGGGGGCAGAACCGCTCACATTGTCGAGTTGGACCTTAGCGGGAAGAGCGGATGCGGCGGACGTAGGCTGGTCACCAAAGTCGCCGCTACCAATGAGGACGAAGGTGGCATTGCTCGGGACACCAGACATGGTGACGAAGAGCATGGCGGGGCCGGGCTGGAAGAGGTTCGGGTTCGGTGGGAGCTGGGAGACGTGCAGGGTGATGGAACCGTTGCTGTTGACGGTGTAGGTGTTGTTCAGCTGCATGGAGCGCTGACCCATGTTCATGGCGTGCGTGGTCCATCCCGTACGGATGATCCAGACGGTGGTGTTGTCGGCGGCGTCGTTGGCGGAGCCAGAGTACGATGATGCGGGGAGTAAGACGTTAAAGTAGTCACCACCATAGCTGAGCGTGCTCGGTACGTTCTGCGGAGATGGGCGAGTGGTCGCGGAGAAGTACGGTGGGTAGAAGACCTCGGCATCATACGTCGTAGGGTAGATGGCGGTCATATTGACATCGAGATTGGGGTTAGACCCGGCGATGAGAACTGAAGCATCGGGCAGCAGGATGGCCGAAGAGTGGTACAAACGAGCAATGCTCGAGGTGTTCAGGCCTTCTGTCGACCAGTGAGAACCGGAGGACGCATTGGGGTCGTAGATGGCAGGCTGGCCGACGGGATCTGCAGCAAGCGATTGGTCGTACGGCATATCCGCCAGAGAGGTGACGTAGAGCGTCTGCTTCGAGAAACCCGCCGTACCCATCGAACCACCGTTCACGACAAGCATCTTGCCATTGGGAAGGTGGACGAACTGACCCATCGTCCGGCCCTTCGGCATATCGTCCGTCTCCACGTACTGCGGGTCAGAGCCGTCCGTCGGCTCAGGCGTAATGTAGTGGCACTTCGCCGACGCGGCATACGTCCACGTGTTGTAGAACGGCCACGAGTAGTTGCCCCAGTAGTAGTCGGGCATGTCCGAACCACCGCAGAACAAGACACTGGGCGAGTAGTCGTTCGCAGGCGTCAGCGGCATCATCGCAGTAGCGCCGGAGGCGGGATACACCCGGATAATACCGTCCGGCATGGCGGGCAACTCCGTCTCCTGGTTGTTCTGCCAATCCCACAGCACTGATCATCTACATTTAGCAACCAATCGTCATCAGAACAGCCATAAAACTCACTAGTGGACAGGTTCGCTTGCACGAACATCTTCCCAGACGGCATCAGATACGTGTGTGCGTACGAGTTCAGGCCGGACGTCTTGATCATGAAGTTCATGACCGTCGCATCGCCCTTGCTCGGATAGAACTCGTACGTCGGCTCAGCCGCACCGCCCTCCGTCGCCGGATCCTTGTTGGGCCAGTTCCTGTTGATGTAGCCACCCTCGACGAACCCACCAATGATCGCAATCGACCCGTCGCCGAGCGGCTCCGCCGCAGAGTACCACCGCTGCTTCTGCATGTGCAGCAGCGTCGCGTTGTCAAACCATTGGCAATCCGCATTTGACGAGATCTCGTCCCACTTGCACGGGTTGAGGATACGGATCGACGTCGACCCAGAGTAGTCGCCGTACGTCGTGTCGTATGTCGCCGAGTAGCCGCCCGGCGCGAGCACGTCGCCCATGTTTCCGCCAGGGCCCGCCGCCCCGTTACCGCCGAACGTCACGTACGACCCGTTCGGTAGGTGCATGCCTGACGCGCAGAACGTATTCGTGATCACACTCATCGTCTGTGACGTACGGCCCGCAATGTTGTACGCAGCGCCCCAGGCAGCGTGCCCGTCAATCTGAGCTGCGTTGCCCTCCGCCTTGTCGAGGATGTAGACGACTTCGTCGTTGCCGATGAACATCTGAGCGACCATCAACACACACTCGCATGACGGAGCCGGACACACTCACCATCATCGCGCTGACGAGCGTGCTGCCTCCATCCTCGAACGAACCGGGTGTGTGAGTCTGAGCCAGGGCAGCCGGTGCAGCCGCCGCGAGCGCCAGGGCCAGCAGCGAGAGCTGGCGAGGGAGCATGTTGAAAAGTTTCGAGTCGTGCGCGTCGGTGCGTAGCGAACAAAGCAATTATGGCGTAGTTATGGACTAGAGAAGGGAAGAACGTCCGGATAGCGAGGAGAAAGGAGTGTAGAGGACGCGAGGAGGAGGTGGTTGAGAAGGGGAAGGACGCTGCGTGACTTATTGATTTGCCGCCTGTCGCAAATAGCGCCGGCCACGCGGTGCCTTCCGGTCGTTCGGTTTCCTGATCAAGTGTTGTTTCTTGGACCTCCCGTTCCGCCGTGGCGGTGAGGCCTCGCCGACGCCTCAGCCTTCCGAGAGCTGCCTCGACATCTCTCGACTGCCTTTCGACCAACGCATCCGTCGCTTCTCCAGAACGAACATCTGAGGCGATTTTCTGTGCTCTTCTGGCTGATCCGCTTCTGTGTCTCTACGGCGCCCGGTTGTCTTCACAGTGGTAATACTCCGCCAGCAAAACCCAAGCAAGCTATTCTTGGATCCGACAAATCGACCTTCCTCGGCGCAAATGCCGCCAGGCACACAGAGGCTCACCAGGATTTTGTGGCATGATGTTCCGCGTACCCACCCTGGGGTCATACTGCAGGACCATCGACCTTGCGTGTCCTCAACGTTCAACCAACGTCAACGTTGACATGCCTGGTGCGGTATGTTTGTCTGTCATGCTGTGCGTGTGTATAGGAATTTTGCACTCACCCTATGTAACGAGCGTCTACTGTGACAGAGTTCGCTGTCATTACCTGGTGCCGATCGGCATGCCAGAAGGACTGTCCTTGAGGCTATGTCTATTTTGGAGTCGTGTTCTGACAAACCGTCAAGCGGTACACGCATGAGTCTCTGGGCCCCGCAAGTTCGTTGACATTGCGCAACGACGAATGTACGGCCATGGCATTGGGAGACTTGCGTCCGGAGCACGTCGTCTTTGTCATGCGGCGTCCGAATGGTATTCGCTGATTTTGATGAATCTGCCTTCCTCTCTCCTTGAGGATATCGTCTGGCCAAACGTTGGCCAAACGGGCGTTCAATCAATCTACGAACCTTATTAGATGCACAAGGGTTTATACGCGGGGCTGGACATCCGACAGGCTTCGTTTCCGTGCCTTCACGCGTCACGACCAAGCCCGGGCCAGGTTTCGTTGCGATCTCGACTGTTTATTGACGTTGTCGACGGCACCAGTCTGGTATGCCAATGATCGATACCAGGCCTTGCCAGCGATCTACCTGCAGCTATGGTGTGTTGTCAAGGTGCGCGACATATCTGGCATCTCGATTCTCGGTTTAAGTCGAGGTTGACTCCTGTAACCCACTGGAAAATCCTGCGTGCGGCGATGCATCGACGAGCATGATCAATTGGGGAAGATGCAAACGCACGCGCTGCAATGCCTTGAATAATTTGTATTCCCTGTGCGCTTGGGCTTGACGACGTTTCGGTCCTTTTGGCCGTACAAGTCTTGCGCGTCTGCTGTGTGTCTGTCCCGGTCACCTGGAGAGCGTGATGCCGCGTTGTCCTGACCTGGTTATTTGGCGACAGCCTTCGATTCCCATTTGAGATGGCGCCACACGAGGGGCACGAACCTCCAGACATAATCATAGATTCGCGCATAGCGGGCCATAGCCTGCCGGGGCTTCAGACCATCTGTCGATGTCGAGTGCGTCATCTACTCACCCACACCCACTAGCCTCCGAGCGACGCCATACGACGCACCAGGTGGCGTCAGGCTCAGGCGGATGGCGCTTTGCCCAGTGTTTCGGTGACAAGGGTGATGTCGAGGATATCACAGAAGGTCCGTGGCCTCGCTCTTGCCGTAACGCGAGTAGGATCATTGCTGACACGCTGCCCGATGCTCAGTCAACATCATCCGTATGGGTCGTTGTGGTCGAGCCCCATTTTTCCGTAGCCTTCTACGCGACACGACGACGGGGCACCGGAGGTTCGTTAGTGGCCCTATATGCGCATACTGATGTTTGGATGGTGCCCGAAAAGCTAACGGACGTGATACGAGGTCGAAAATGAGGCGTGTACTGTGCCGACATGGACGCATATAGTCCCTCACCAGCTTTTAACCCGGACATTGCGGCCAACGAGTCGGGGATCGGCGCGGCAACTCGGAGCAGAGAGTTCATGGTGGTAGGGAAAGAAGATGGACGAAGGGATGCGACCCTTATATATGCGCACGTTGTCGGGGAATGAATATTGCGTCATGACGCGAAGGCGCAAGTCGCGAGTGCGCCTGTGCGTATGCGCAGAACGCGATCTGAGATCGATCGAGCGCGCCACCGACGCGTTTCGGTCGGCCACACTTCTAATTATGGAACAGAACGACTACTCACGTCACCAGTGATTGCAGCCTCCAGATGACGACGTTGTCTAATCATGGAAGCGTTCGCTACGGCATCAACTTCCGTCTACTTATTAGCCTGTGATACAAGTAACTTAGTCGCCAACACAGATGTGCCAGTGAGTTCTCGAGCGTCCAGGATTGTATTCTCGACTCGGACATAAATGTGTAACGTGCGGATACTCTGAACCATGACTACGTACCTAGATGCCCGCGAAGTCTTACTCTCCCGGCGAAGTGACCTCTTCGGAGGTACACCGAGTCAATGTTCCAGCCGACCCTACGTCCTGACCTACCATACTAGTACAGTACCCCGACAGCTCATGTCTACATAGGGCTTCGCTCTAACGCGACAATAAACGGGATTTACAAACAAACAAACAAGTCTTACTCTACAACTTGGGATGCGCTTGACCCGCCTGGAGCACTCTGTCACCCGTGATTGCCACACACACTGCGGACAAAGCAGGTTGCACGGAGCGCTTACATCGTCAGAACATTGTCAGAACGTGTATATCATCTCGAAATCCGAATATTATCTATTTTCCTGGACCGAACATTGAAAGGCAGCCAATGAGGAGCCGTGCCTTTCAATGTTCGGTCACCGATAATAATTCATGTTCGGATTTCGAGATGATATACTCATTCTAACGATGATCTGAGACTAATCCGACGCCAAACAAAGGGGTTTGTCCGCAGTGACAGCGCCGTGCGATGGTTGTCCATGCATGTCTGGCCTTGTCCGGCTCTTTGTAGCCCTTTGTAGCCCTTTGTGCCCTGAAGAGGCATCCCGGACCGCCTTCGCCGCAGAGTGCTAATCACGATCAACGTCTGCATTGTCCACTCATTCCAGAGTTCCTTCCATTCATCGATTGCCATGCGGTGTACTGATTACATTGTGAGTCAGCGGGTAGTGGCGGTACAGGTATCGGGGTATAAAGGGAGAGGGTACTGAGCGCAAAGCCCAAGCCAGGTACAAGCCGCTCAACACCGCTGCTCGTCCACTATCGTACGTTCTACACACGCAGGGTATGCTCCAGCAAACATCAGCTATATCGTATCCATCGCACCCACAGTTCAAGTCCATCCCTGGCAGGTATGTACACAGTCCTTGGTCTCACACCTGTGGACGCGCAAACTGACGGCGACCTCTACAGTGTCCGATATGTCCAGGTATCAGGTAGACATGCTTTGGTATATCGTCAAGTCTGGACGCTCGACAATGGTTTTCGACGGGGAGTATTAGAGCTGGTAGAGGGACTACCAGCTCTAATACTCGTCGACGCATCCGGTGCATCGAAGCGTTCACCGTCAACATCGGGGTTCAGCCTACGCCGTTTCTGCAGCCGGGTATTCTTCGCGGGTGGCGATGGACTCAGTGGCGCGGGGACTTCCGGTTCCGAACGCTTATTAGGGTATCTGGATGTACGCGTCGACCGACGTTGGGCCTCGGGCTTTTGTTGTGATCGCAGTGGCACTGGGCGCAATCGTCTATGTGGCAAGTCAGCAACAGCCAAGTACATTGGCGCGGAGGTCGGTAGCCGACACTACCGTGTGGCCACTACGTCTATACGTACTACTCACCTGGGTCGTGCGGCGCGTTTTGCGGCCTTTGGGGACGGCGAGCTCTGCGTTAGCGGCCGGCCTTCATCTGAGCAAGGCGCGCTTGCGTCAACCTTGACCTCAGGGGTAGCATCCGGCGTCCCGGAGGGAGGCGCCCTTCCAGAAGAAATCCCAGCGAAAACCGAATCGACGTCGTTCGGAGCTCTGCAGTGCGCGGACAATCGTCAGCCATGGCCGTACCTTCCTCATATGGCTGGCCAATTACCTAGTTCGCGAGGCTACGTCCTCAGCCACCTTCGCGGACGTTGCGTAGCCAGTGGGTCGTGCTACAGAGGATGGCGAGTCTTCCGGTTGCTGCTGTTGTCTAGGCGCATCGCCGGGCCCTCCGCGAGGAAATGCGTCTTGCCTGGGCCGCAATGGTCAGCGTGAATCCACCTAAACTACAAGTCCAAGGCGCACCATCTACCCAGAGTCAACAGGCTCGCGTGGCCGTACCTTCGAGACGACCTCGCGGGATCAAGGCTAGGGCGACGGCGCGTCAGCACATCACCAGGTTCACTGGAACTCTGTTGGTGATTCGACTTACGTATAGTAGGTCGTGGCCGAAAACGCCCCGGAAAAAGACACAGGCCGGCTACTCGATGATGAAGACGAACGATAGTCGAGGTACGGAGAGGTATAAGGCGAGAAGGTAGCGAGCATGTTGGTGATGTTCTATTGCGTCAGGTGAAGAGTAGTCAACAGGAGTGCGGATGATAGGGAGAGAGCACGAGTGTGGTTGAATTTAGGGGGCAGTGCGCGGAGCTGCTCTTATGAAAGAGTCGAACCAGGACCAAACAAAGCGACTGCCACCAGTTCCGGCCGGAGTGGCCACGAACAAAGGCCTACAGACGATCGGCATATGATATAAACAAAGACATATGTCGTCATCGCCCCTATACCTCACCTGCAATACTACAAAGCGGCCGCTCAGGAGCACAATGGATTTTGGGTTGTCCGTAGAGGGCGACTGTTGTGAGATATCCCTCGCTGTTGGGCTGAACATGAGCGACTCACTTAACAAAGCAATGTACCTAGTACTCACCGCTTCGTCGTCCTCTATAAGACAGTGACACCGCGATGGAAGCTTGCGAATGCACCTCCACATCCATACCCAGTCAAGAGTATGTGCCGACACCAATGCATCAGCCAGACTATCACTTCCTCGACGGACACTGGTTGAATCAGTGTCATTCAGCCACATACTGTACAATCGTTAGATGTCTTCTTGTAACCCTTGTCATCACTCGCGTTCACAAGTCGTCGTAACCCGGCATGCCCGACTTCCTCTTCTCAACTCCCCGGCTCGGCACACCGAGCCTCACCAGCACCTCTGCCCATGCGCAGCACATGCCTGCGATGCCCTCATACAGGCTGTACGGCTCGTCGGGCACGCGCGTCTCGCCCTTCCTCTCGAGCGCTCCGTACTCCGTAGCCAGGTGAGCAAGGTGCACCGCGCGCAAGAGCCAGTAAGTGTTCTCTCTTGAGTCGAGCGCGTCTGAGACAGCGAGGAGGGCATAAACGCTGCCGGCGACGCCGTGACAGAGTCCGACGCCCTTACGGAGAAGCCCGTGGGTGTAAACGAGTTCTCCCCCGCGCTGCATTGCCGCAATGGTCCGATCGCGGAGGGACGATGTGATGGTGAGGGAAGAGGACTGTGCGGTTCGGTTGAGGAACGCGGACAGGAGGATCAGCACCCCAGGGGCGCCATGGCACCATCTACGTGAGAACGCGAGTGAGTCACCCGGGGACATCGCCACGGCAAGCTAGCAGGACGCACTGCAATAGTTCGTGCTGGTTATCCTTCCCGACACTCACACGCTTCGCCTCTTGACTTGTCGCCGTACCGCCGGCGACGTAGTACAGATGTCTTCCGGCCTTCGACGGCCAGTTGCCAAGTGGCTCCTGGATGGCGAGCAGCCATTCTACCATTCCGACGATATCTGGCCAGTAAGTTGTGGTTATGTTTGATGGCGCCATGACGAGCATGTGTAGGATGCCGACTGTATCGGCGCGATAAACATCAATGCTCCTGATTTGGTTGTGTGACTCACCAACACCATGCGCCCCGCCAAGGTAGCGAGATACATGCCATCTCCACATGAGGGGAGGGACTTTGTCACGCTCATCTCGAAGACTGGCGAGTTCTTCCTGATACTCGCGAGCCCCGATTTTTCCGCGCTTCATGATATCGTCCACAAGTGCTTGCACGTTCGCATCGGAGCAGAGCGATGTAACTGCACGAACGGCTGGGTCCTCTGTCTGGCTGATAGACATGCCTCCGTCGCGAAGAGACGCGAGTGCTGTGCGAAGCAAGAGTAGGGCATATAGTAGCCCTGCGCGTCCATAGAGGACTTCGCAGCCATCATCGTCAATCTCCTCGCTGACCGAAACTTGTATGGCCGACTCAAGCAGCTGAGCGCAGGGTTGCCAGAACTCCTCGAGCTTCTGCAGATCGGACTTGCTGACGCTAGCGCTGCGCGCATCAGAGCCCACCCAAATCCTCTCCTTGAGGATGAGGGTTGCTGGGCCGACGCTGGTCTCCAAAAACGAGGCCCGAGAGCCCGAGGGTGGAATTGACAATTGCTTGGACATCAGAAGAGTAATGGACGACGTTGGCAGGTCTGATGGGATGAATCCCGCCACGCTCTTGTCCATAACGTAGACACCTAGAGATCATAAGGTGGTAGACCTGGTCAATTTGATACATTAGATACGTACCGGCGGACCCAATATATACACCATTGCGAGCAGCCGTATGCCTGTGGACACGTCTCACGTGTGAGGCTAATGCATCTTGGATGTCTTCTTGGACTACCCCCAAGTCGGAGGGCGGTTTGTTGGAGTGAGGGATGTACCGGGAGGTAGACATTGCCAGCTGTCACTAGAGAAAAACGAACGATGGTCGCTCGAGTCAGCAAACAGTGTTCGTGCAAATATGGCTATATACCGTACCGCTGGAGATGATTCATAGAATCTGAGTTCACGTTGACGTCAGGCGGGGCCCTTATCCCGAGTTTCTGCCTGAGACACCCGACACGTACAGCTTGTCCGAACAGCATGTCTGTAGACTTGAGATTAATTCATATCGGATCGCGAATCACCAAACATAGTGAGGAAGTCTGGGAGCTGAATATTTGAATGTTCGGTATTCAGACTCGACGTGTGTCACACGGTGGATTGTGAACCTCTGCTTGTTGGCAGATCGCCCGCCCTGTCGAAAGTCCAGCGACCCTTGTGTGAACATAAGCAACAAGTGGCTTGCACTTCACAACTGAACGATCAAGGGAGTCTAGACGGGAGTCACTCAGTGGTACTCAGACTGGCAGCCATACGAAGCGTGACGATTGTTTGCATCTATTTGTTCTGCAGGACATGCCGGATTTGGCAACACGTCGACCAGTGAGTCGGACTCGGAGTGACCGCCCTCTGCGGCTGCCTCTGCAGCTCACCATCAATTTTGCGATCACTTTGAACACTCAGCACACTGCAAGGCCGGAGCGAAAAGAGGACGAGGGTAAAGCACTCACGCACAGCCTCGCGACGTTTCTTCTACACGTGCTGCACTCGTTAGTAATGACAGGTCATTGATGCGAACTCAATGGCAAATGCGTAGCTAGATAGCTTCGTGCACCAATGTTGCCATACCAGCACGAATCAGCCGTTTCAAGGTCTGTCCTCTACTTGGATCACACTCACTTCAGCGTTGAGGGTAAATCCAGCCTACTCCGGGTCCCTCTAGATCTGAATCTCGGATCCAGAGTCGATACAATAGAGTCGATACAGTTCCAGCCTCCAAGTCCCTGATTCGGATCGAGTAGCCCCCGCGGTTTCAATCCTCCCGACCGGTACTCCAGCGACTAGAAACCTGCACTAGATCACAGGCGACGTGCCGGGCAACGATCCTTGAACCAGATCTCACTCTGTCGATATGGACACGACCGGCGGTCCTATCACAGAGAAAATATTCCAGGAAGATCCCACATTGACCAGAGAACCCGAGGTACGGTAGCCGCTGTGGTTAGCCTTAACGATCGTCCTATGTACTCATATATCGCAGAGAGAAGATACTGTCCCCTCATATGAGTCAGTGGAAGAGCAGAGTCCCACAAAGAATAGTGCTTGGAGGACGTGCGCAGAGAAAGTTTGGAAGCGCGAGCAAGCAACAATAACGAAATGGAATGGACAGATCGATGCGCTCCTCGTCTTTGTGAGTTGATTTAATTGTCGCCCTGCATTCGTTCGTGCCTGGACTACTCGCATGCGTCAAGGAGTGCTAACATCACTGATCTCAAATCGTGTTTACTCGCGATGCTGATATGATCTGTAGGCAGGTCTGTTCTCGGCAGTTCTTACTGCATTCAACGTCCAATACTACGCAGCGCTGCAGAACACGCAGGGCACTCAAGTGATGTTGCAACTTTCCTCAGACACGACAATCCCCGTTTTCTTGTCGACTCTCGCAGCGCCGTCGAAACCGCCCGTCGCGATATCGACGATTGTCATCAACACCGTTTGGTTCCTTGCCCTTGTATTGAGCCTGGGTGCAGCATCCGTCGGTATCAGCGTGAAACAATGGCTCGTGTCGTACGTCCCTCCGGACAGCACTACCGCGCGACAGCGCACCCGGATATGGCACCTCCGACATCGGGGCCTGCGAAGGTGGCGAGTGTCCGCCATTGTCGCCATGCTGCCGATCCTCCTCCAGCTTGCACTATTGCTCTTCTTGGTCGGCGTCGTCGTGCTCCTATGGACGTTGAATACGGTTGTCGCTATCATCGTCATGGTCCCAGTGTCTGTGCTCATAGTGCTCTCCGTCCTGGCCGCAATCATCCCGACATTCGCGCCCGACTGTCCATACAAGTCACCACAGGCGTGGTGGATATTTTTGGTACTCCACCGGCTCACTTGCTTCGATGGAACACTCCGAAGACGATTATTCGAGACACGCAGGCACTTCATGCTGCGTCTATGGAGGACCGTCGTCACAACGCGGGACTGGCTGGATCGCGAGAACAACCTGCTGCGTTCGGAGGCTCGGGAACAGACATCTGCGTCTGTCGTGGAGACAGTGACTGTGCTTGTAGCGGCGGATCAATTAGTTCGAGACGACGACTTCCTCCAAACTGTCATTGTCCCTGCATTCCAGTCGGTCGACTCGACACATAGCGACTTCGATGCGTCTATTCAGGAGTTCTATCGGCTAGTGCAGTCTAGAGCGCACGTCGCCTACCCGGATTCCAACGTCCCTGGCGATTCACTGGGCATACCAATCATGTCTTGGTTCAAGGATGAGATGGACAGTGGCTCAGTGGCTGCCATGGCCGACTTAACCTTGGACATGCTCATGAAGGTCGCCGGGGAACTCCGGCCGAACCGAGCGAAACAAGCGCAGGAAATGTCGCGGATGTTGGCGATACTGCAAGCGCTTCTCGCTGCACTACCCCGCTCTCAATCTCGGGTCATCGTTCGTCTCATTGACTGGTACTGTGACGAGAACACGAATTACCGAGCATCTAATGCACGTGAAGACGACCCCGTGGAAGTGATCGCCCAACACTCGGTCCGCTACAGGTCCAAGATCAAGGCGATGCCCGGTACGTCTAGTGTTAGTGTGATCTATTTGGCATTGCGCTTATGGGTCTTGTAGTCAGCCAACAGACTGTCTTGGGCACCAAGGCCATGGACCGATTAGAACAGTTGTTGCAAGACGATGCATCGGGTGGCGGCTTCCAACATCTTCAGGCAGAGCGTGGGCTGCTGCGACTGATTGGAACCGTTCTCGACAACCGACAGTCTCCTCTAACCGACGAATCCTCTCATGTCGTCTCTCGTCTTTGCCATCTGCTCGGGGGTGTCACGGCTATTTCGTCCGGTACCCGCACGACCCTGATATGGCTCGCTGCAAGAGTTGCGGCTGACCTGAGCCTAGATACAGGGTGTAAGTCGCTCATTCGAAAATTCTGCTACATCGCGCTGACCGTTCGGTAGCTGTACTCGACCTAATAGCTTGTCTGCGCAAACTTTCCAAAGAACACCACAACGACATACGCTCCCAGAATACGTTGTGCCTTTGCACTGCGATCGAGACCTCTCTGCATAAGCTTGACTCGGACCGCGAGCTGGCGGAAGTATCTCAACCTTTACTCGATGCCCTCCACGACTTCATCGACTCGATCCGCGATTTGGATAGATACGGAATGTTCGAATACTTGCGAGGTATTATTTCCGTGTATCAGGTCATGGCTCGGAAGCAGGCCCAACTGCTCAGTCGGTCAGACCTCGCAAAGCTGGATGCCTGCGTGGCGACCTGCACAAAGGGCTGGCCGGCAGCTTTAGCAGAGGCGAAGATGCTCCGGGAGAGCTTAGCACAGCTACATGGCGTTATGGACACGATTCTGTGCGTCACGTCACTACACTCACCATACCCTCACACGCTGACCCATCTGCTGGCAGCAAAGACACTGATACAGAGAACGAAGTCGGTATATCTGTCACTGCTGCATGAGTCAATTATGGATAATCAATGTGAGCTCGTAGCGATGCTGATCAGAACAATCCTACTCATATTGGGTGGCGACCGAAAGCAGATCATGCTGTGACTCACAAGCGATATAATCTTCGGCGGGTACAGTACAGTCCGAGTAGAGATTCTCTTGTCACTGTCAAGGGCTTCAGCAACTGCCAGCCTTCGCCACGGCGATCCATGTACCAGTGGTAGAGGACCTGCTGGGAGAAGATGCAGGTCGCTTCACTTGGCAGCCCTTAAAAGAATTGACAAAAATCCGAGATGATCGGGAATGCTGTATGCGTCCCAATTTCGATGACAAAGGCCGCCCGCGATTGCAATCGAATCGGAAGATGGCCATGGCCCGCAGGACGTAGGATCATACATATGTAATTGACGTGAGTCCGTCTGCTATACTTTTTTGTTACATCGGACGCATGCGATTTCGCAGTAGACCACTTCAGGTAAGTATTGGTGCGGCCTAGTCGGCTTCTGCCCGAGTTGAAATATTGAAAGCTGACAGGTCCCGCGCAACCCGCGCGACATACTACTTACCTCAGACCACCATACTTGGAAGGTAAGTTCGCGATAGACAGAATGTCGACATAAGGTGTGCGGCGTCCAGACTACGATTGGTAAGCCTGTATGCTTGGCCGTTCCGGGCCCACGAGTCCTTTTGAGCGAAGAAGCCGGTCAATGTCCGGATATACCATTCTGGCCGGAACATATAAAGACGAACATATTTGCCGTCAACGCTGTACTCGTCCTCGAAGCACTCAAACCATGTCTGCATCAGTCATACCCAAACTCTTTCAACCTGTGATCGTTGGGAAACATGCCTTGTCGCATCGCATTGTACTGGCGCCTCTCACACGATTTCGCGCGAACAAGGAGCACGTCCCGAGCGAGTACGCAACCGAGTATTACGCCCAACGTGCAGTCGTTCCTGGCACACTCCTCATTACCGAGGCTACATTCATCTCTCCCTTTGCTGGCGGACTCAACAGTGTACCCGGGATCTGGAATGACGCTCAAGTCAACGCATGGAAACCGGTGGGCCCAAACGCTGCATGTTACTTGACTGATGAATCTCACTCACATGCTGAACAGATCACGGACGCTGTGCACGAGAAGGGTTCCCGAATCTTTTGCCAGCTTTGGGCGTTGGGTCGCGGTGCGAACCCCGAAGTCCTAGATGCTGAAGGGCTTCCCTATGTCAGCGCATCGGATGTCAAGCTGTCAACCGCTACTAGAACACCGCGAGCTGTGACTACTCAAGGTGATGAGAATCGTTTGTGCTCCATCATGATAACTCACACATCCCAAACAGAGCTAAAAGAATATGTCGAAGCCTACACGAAGGCGGCTGTGAATGCAGTCCGCGCCGGCTTCGACGGAATCGAGCTCCACGGTGCTAATGGCTACTTCATCGATCAGTTCCTACAAGATGTCAGTAACAAGCGAACGGATGAGTATGGCGGGTCCATCGAAAACCGTTGCCGCTTCCCGCTCGAAGTCATCGAGAGCGTCTCGAAGGCGATTGGCGCCGAGAAGACCGCCATCCGGCTGAGTCCATGGGGCGATGTCCAGGGTGCGTGAGTTATGTCGCACGAGACTGCTTCACTGACCCTGGCGCCGCTTTTAGATATGCGCATGGACGATCCGAAGCCTACGTTTGCGTATTTCGTGTCCCAGCTTGCGCAGAAGTACCCAGACCTCGCTTATATCCACGTCGTCGAGCCGCGCGTCAGCGGGTTCAAGTCTCGTGAAGTTCAACCTGGAGAGGTGCGTCACATCGAGTAGATGTACAATCCGTATTTCTAATAGGGCCTCGACGCACTTGCGTATCCAGTCTAATGACTTCTTGCGATCGATCTGGAACCCTCGACCATTCATCAGCGCAGGTGGTCATACGAGAGATAGTGCCTTCGAGTTCGCGGAAAGCAATGATGACCTCATTGCCTTTGGTAGACTGTACATCTCGAATGTGAGTGCGTCTCTGCCGTACTAGGACTCGGGGCTGACAACCGACACACCTTCAGCCCGATTTGCCACTCCGCATCGCAAGGAACCTGCCACTCAACCAGGGTAATCGTGATACCTACTACGTCCCTGGGCCTGCTGGCTACATCGACTACCCATTTGCTGAGGATGCGTTTGCCAAGCTTTGATTGAACTTGCGTGGCAGGTATTAAGTAGACAGGATGCATCTCGACTTCGGTGTGTATAGCGCGATGATACTGCCGAGGTTCGTAGGGATACGAAGCAATGGCTACAGCGTGCTTCGTTTCAGTGTGGCCGAGGGACCAAGAGGGTTGTCGAGCTTAGGTCAGAAGAATTCCGCAGCGGTGCAAATAAAGGCATTATTGACCAGATATCCCTCCACTAGGCTGCTGTCAGTTCAGGCAATGTCACAATGCGTGGCAAACGTACTTCTCGTATTACTATTACGCATTAGTCATATGACGGCTTGCGACACCGGATGGCCAGTCTGAGAGCCCCCGTATAGCAGCACGACTTGCCAGTGCGCCCTTCTCACCGTGCTTCGGCTGTCATCCATTCGCACACAACTGCAGCCTAATCCCTCTGACCGACCGGCTACTTACCAGAGATCGACATAGCCGTCTTCAAATTCACTTCATGCGACTCTCGGCTCCGGATCGCAGTTCTGGGGCTTGCGTAGGCCTGAGCATACGGAATGGGATCTCAGGATGGTGAGATCTGCAACGTAATACATGGGATTGCTTATGGACTTTGTTGGTATTCTAGGATGTCCTGGATGTAAGGATAATCCTCAATTAGACCAGTATTATCCCGTGATTTCCACGATTCCTCCGCGGATACAGCAACCCTGTGAACGCACCATGAGGTTTGCCTTGTACTGTCCAAACGCGTTTCTCTCACTGGTCAAGGTTCCCTTCGGAGCCAGTAACCTGGCACGCCACAGGAAGCCCTCAAGTCAATCGCTTGACCTGACAAGTATGCAAAGGCTGCTGTGAGTGTAGAGTATCTCTTTTCTGGTAGTAAATCTATTGACTGTGTGAATAAAGCGTTATCTGGTCGTCCTGCGAGGAAAAAGAAGGCTTCGTCCTGGATGCGTCTTCCTAGCATCGCAGGACTGCAGAAACTCACATGAATCAGCCGCTCATTCAGATTTCGGTTTGTCGGAGTATCGACTGGGCTACGACGCTTACGCGGTCAAGATGCTTCGAAATCGATGGGGTCAAGGTCTATTGCACTGCGGCGGTGCTTCTCGTGCGACCGCGTACAGTGTATGCCTTATATGAGAATGCTCGGGCATGCGCAGCTGGCACTATGTGCGAATTCCTCTGGCATCTGCTCCCTCCTGTTGACGGTCCGCCATGGCAGCAGTCATACCGATGTTGTCCGTCATCCTGGCGACGGTGTGCATCGAGAGTCTCTTGTACGGCATCTTCTTCGTGCTGTCTATCATCTCATTGTACATCCTGGCACGTCGGCGAGAGGACATGGTCAATGCAGCACTCAACGTCAGAGGAAAACGGCGTGTAGCTTATATGACACCTATGTCGGTGGCGGCGGTGTTCATTTTCGTCATAAATACAGCGGTAAGTTTCACTTTATGTCCGCTGATAATCCTCTGACGTCGGTTATGGTTTTTACAGCATTGGATTGTGGCCGTCTATCGACTCTTTGCTGGATTTATGCTTTACGAGGGTGGAACGCAGCCGACGGTCTACTACGCCATCCCTTCTAAGCCGACTGAGGTGACCCAGAACACGTTGCTCATGATCTCACTCATCATCGGCGATGCAATGATCGTGAGCCTACAGAATCTTTCACTTCATGGGAAAGTCACGGACGGGAAGCGCGAATGACAGATTTACCGGCTATGGCTGGTTTGGGCATACAATATCGCCGTCACTATCTTCCCTCTCTCCACTCTCATTGGGTTAGTAGGTACGCAACTATGCTTTGAAATTTCGTCGTGTGGTTAGTGATGCTCGTTTCCAAGTCTGCGCAATCGGCAGTATTTATGCATCTGCTCTGTCGAAGCCCAATGAGGACATCTTCGCATCCGCGACGGGTCGCTGGATTTCAGCTAACTGCGTTTTCACGTTATGGTGAGTGACGTATATGACTCGCATGCGCAATTTCTTGTTGATGCCGCGATCGATACACTATTCAGCACGAATGTTTACAGCACAGGTAGAGTCCCTTTTCATATCTTCCAGTAATCCCTCGCGTGACTGAGAACGCCCCTTCAAGCTACTATTGCGTGGCGAATCTGGCATGCTAACAGACGAGTGAGGAGGTTTGGTGGCTCTAGTCTTATGGTGCGTCATGCACTATCCATCCGCGTAACATCTGAACTCACGTCGCCACAGGGCGTCGTAGGGATCCTGATTGAGAGTGCCGCTCTTTATACGTGCGTACTCTACCATGTCTCAATTTTGACTGCCCGTGCCTCATCCGTCACGCTGGTATAGCGTTTGGACAATCCTCTTCTTCGTGGCCTACCGCATCCGGTCTAACCTGCAGTACTTTGCAAGCGAGACGTACTGTGCGGTAGCCGGCATCACCTTCATGCTCATCCACGTTCGGGTCGGCCTGGGATGGGAACAGCGCGCGAACAGTAGCTACGACGAATCCCTGGACTTGTCAGCAACACGAGATAGCAGACAGAACGCCTATGGACCACCACGCGTTGCGGTGAACATCTCACGCGTCGTACACCGGGATAACGAGTATGACTCCGACCACTCGATCAAGTTCGCACCAAGCAGTGTGGTCGACCTGTCTGGGCCTTCGTAGCTACATCCCAGTTGTCACATCTCGATACCCTACTGCAGTTGTCATACTTTAGCTCCGGACGTTAATGTTGACGCCTATGCGCATGTAAAGCCATCTGCAAGGCAGTGCCCGCTGCAAGGATGACAGGCCAAGCACATTCTGACGTTCAGCACGTAGATACGTGCACAGGTACCAGTCAGCACCAATGTCCCAGCGGATTGAGCGCAACCGACGCAGCAATTGCAGTTAGATAGCTGAGAGTCTATTCGTGCATGTATCGAGAGGGACAGAGAGACGAGTAGGTAGCAGGGAGACAGAGTTTTATGGTCCGTTAAGTACACGATTTGTAAACGCACTACTCGAGACAACATGCCGAGGTGTGCACTAATATGCGCTAGATAATAAGCAATTGGTGTGGACAGACAATGCACTGCGGGAAACAAAATGACGAGAGCGAGCACCGAGCGCGACACCCGGCCGGGACAGTCAAACGAGTGGACGGTACGATATCAACGTACACAAAAGGGTCGGGATGATGAACCACGAGGGCAGGCAAGTGTCCGTGTCCAAGATGATAACATGGCCGGTGGTATATGAACAGCGAATAACTTCGTCAGGAGAGCGCAGACAGAGGAGGCGTGAGCGGACGTGAGCGTGAAAGCAGACGATTAGTACGAGAACACCATCAGCCATGGGTTCAGCACGATCTGTGACGATGCCATGAGCATCGCATTCAGCGGACGGCGCAAGACGACTCACCGGGTAGAGTATGTGGCATCCGATCTGGATCGCCAACGGGAAGATGACGGCCCACGACGATCCGTCGATGCGCCACTGGAAAGGCACCAGCGATGTCGACAGGATGATGATCGCCGCCGTGAGCAGGATACAAATCGCCCACGGCACCCAGAACCTCTTAAGGATCTTCGGGATCTCCTCGAAAAAGTTCGACCGCTCAACCTCCTTCTTCGTCGCACCCCACGTCATGTTGTATGAGAATAGATGGGCGAGAATTGCCTGGCTGACGGGGATCGATAGACCACCGAAGAAGAAGAAGCTGCGCGCAATGAGTCAGCCGACGGCCGCAATGTCATGGAAGAGAGTCACTCACAAGTACGGAACCCACATGACGTTGATGAGGAAGGACTTGATGAGAGGCTCCTCACCGAGACGGTACTGCAGAAGGGTGTAGCCGACGTTGCCGGAACCGATGAACACGACCGTCGTCGCAAGCCAGATCTCAAACGAGTGCATGTAGAAGCCGTCGACGGGGAGCTCGAAGCCGAGGAGGACGTAGTTGATGACACCGATGGTGATCGAGCAAGCAATACCGTAGTACGAGAACATGTACGCCATCATCGAGAACTTGTAGTGCAGCGGCGCGGACGACCACAGGAACGAGTGGATCTCCTTCGAGATCGGGCCCTTGCGCCACCACTGGACGATCGGGTTGAACAACAGCTCGTTACAGCCGTACGCGTACTTCTGCCACCGGTTCAGCTCGTCGTCGCACGTCAGGGACACACCCTCCTTGAAGCCGCCGAGGGAGTACGTCGCCCACCGGATGATGAAGCCGCGCTTCTGGAGCCGCATCGCCATGTCGAAGTCTTCCGACACGTTCGTCTCGGACCAGATCTTCTCCTCGCCGTCGGCGGGGTCGATGAACGCTGCGTCCTGGACGGCCCTCCAGCGCAGGAACGCGTTGTGGCCAACGAACGGCGCGACCTCGCCGTTCGCGCACGCGTACGAGATACACTTGTTGATACGCCGGGTGAAGTACGCAATGCCGTTCTCGAAGTAATGGTGCGCGACCTGCATGACGTCCGACTCGTGCTGGATGACCCCGACCTCGGGGCACTCGGCCATCTCGCGCGCGGCATCCCGGAAGCAGTCCTCGGGCACGATAGTGTCGGAGTCGACGATGAGAACGATTTCACCGACACGGCACGCGCGGCCGTTAGCAGCCCAGGGACGGAACTTGCGGCCGCTTAACTCATACACCTCGTCAATAGCCAACTGGAGCGCGCGCTCCTCGAGCTCCCAGTCCTCGGTGTTCACCTTCTCGTCGTCGCTGCCAAAGTTGACGACGCTCGCGTTGCCGCCGTCCCGGTGCTGGTACTGCATCCCGTAGCGCTGCTCGCCATCGTGGCCGAGCGAGTCGCTCTTGCGCGGGCCGCGCTCCTTCTCCTCCGTGAGCAGCTTCTCGAGATGCTTCTCAGCGATGAGCGACAGCTTCAGACCGTAGTTCATGTTTGACGCCTTCTTGAAACGTCCGGCACGCTTGAACCCATCCGGCGCGTCGTCGTGCTTCGCCCGCGCCACCCAGCCAATGCCGTGGTTGGCGTAGAACGCGATACGCGCGTCACGCTCCTCGACCGAGAGCAACTGTCACAGCGTGAGTCCCATCTCCGAACACGACAGCAGTCGGAACTCACCCTGAGACCGTCGTCGTTGATGAAAATCGTGGACGTACCACCCTGCCGGGCATACGTCTGCATTGCCTTCTTGATGGACTCGATAGATGGCGCCCTGGCATCACCGGTCAACCACCGCACAGCGTTGACAAACCTAGGTGGGAACTCACAAGACAGTTTCCAAAGACTCCTTGTACACCGGCATCTGGATCGTGATGTGCGGCAGGTCGTTGTCCACGATCTTGTTCGGCCGCGGCTTGAGTGCTGAGTAGTACTTCGAATTCTCGTGGTACTGCGCGATGGGTCCGATAGCCATAGACACGTTCTGGATGATCTGGAGGGCGAAGAAGAGCGAGACGCAGTAGAGGAACGGCATCGTCGCGACGAGTGCAAACCGGATAAAGTTATTGTCGAGCTGCCACTCGTTGAGCAACGTCTTGAGACCATTGCCAATGAAGTCTACAGCCCGCGCGTCAGTCAATCCCATCCAGACATCAAACTTCGTCTACTCACAGACAGAGAGACCGGCCGCAAGACCATTGTAGAGAGGCGCGTACAGCAGCGCAGGCCGCTTCCCAGGGAGCGCATTGTCGACCTCGCTCATGTCCGGGCCCTCGAGGATAATCGTCTTCTTCTTGCCGTACCATGTCCGCACGGTCTTTGTCTTGACGACGTTCTCTTCGACGTCACCGCCCTTCTCGAGGTCGTCCTTGCCCATGAGCAGACTCATGCGGCCCATACCGCGCGGGGTGCCAGGGATGCCGGGCGTGCCCGGTGCTGCTGGCAGTTGACTGCTTGAACGGCCTGAGCGGTAGAGTGAGTTACCAGATACAGAGCCTACGTAGAGAAAGCAGCATCAGCATAGTGGCCCAGACAAACCCAGCCACAACACATGTCAGAGGGTCTACGAAGCAGAAACGGCCCTCCAAGTACAGTAGTGTCAAATGCAAAGATAACTACTACCTACCAAAGGTCCCGATAGTCAAATGCACGAGACATCCTCCTACGAAACTAACTAGCCCTCACGCGATAACGGTCGTTCACTCACCATTGATACTCGCAGGATGACTGCTTGAGCTCGCAGCGTGGCTACCCACAGCATTTGGTCGTGATCGCCAGAGCAGCTTGATGAGGCGCTCCTCAAAGTCGTGGCATGTCGGAATGATGTCGTCGATGGAATCCGACCATACAACAAGTACTCGCTCGTCACGCTGCAGATGAAAATATCGGTCAGCATCATCCTCTGTAACCATGCAGGCAAAAATCGAGAAGGGGTTATGTCTAGGAAAAAAAGGCTCGTGGTGTGGTGAATACACCACAGGTGGGTCGGCCCGAGTACTGGCTATGCACCCAGGACGAACATCACCCGCCAAAGCCTTTGCTGCAAGGACTATTCCCAGCGTGGGACAACAAAATAGATCCGTTTGAGTGGGTATTTAAACCCTAAGAAAGTCCACATATATGGATGTTCGTTCCGTACAAACCAGAACAGAGACTCGTATATGCATTGTCTTCAAACAAAAAAGCGCCGACAACTTCCGAGGTCAATGCAACAAAGCCAATGCAGACGGCATACAGCAAGACGACCGGGTCATTCAAAAGAGAGATCTCAAAGGGCCCGCTCCGAACAGTCTGGGTTATGTGCACCCGGCTTCCGCGATCGATCGTGGCAGCGATCACATCCGCGTCGCGGTCACAAGCCCAATCGCCACACGACGAGCGGCGCGTCTGACACGGTGCCGCCATTAACGTGGAAGTGTCTCGTGTCAACCGTGCGGACTGAACCCAGAAAAGCCCATGCCGCGAGGTCAAATGGGAGGAGCACTAGATATTTCAAGTCGTATGATGAGGGGTGTACAAGGTGATCTCGGGTGACGGTGAAACGCCGCAGTGTTGTGCCCTAAGGCTCAACAACATGCGGCATATCAGGTCAAGTTCACCTGTACAGCACAAGAGGATGCCGTCGGTGAGCGTCCCTAGGGACAAATCTCGCATGTAGAGGTGGGGTCAAGGGCGTAACGAAGCGCTTATGCACATCTGATGACTGACGACGCCATTTACGCATACGGAAGCTGTATGCGAAAATGGCGTGGACACAACTGCCCAGACAGCCCCACATGTTCTGTCGCGACAGTGCCCTCGCAATCTGTCAACGGTGTACCCCATCGAACTCTAATGAACGTGAGCGGCACTTGTGGCCCAAGCTAACATCCCCGATGTCCAGAGCAACGCATATGCGTCTCGCGACGCCGTCCCAAGACTGGACCCGTCTTAATGGAGCATCGCCGCGCCCAGCTGCCGCCAGACCTGGTCTGTCCTGATCCGTCACGTGGATCCAACCTCCAAGGTCGCCAGGGTCGCATATATCCCTCTCTTCTTTCGGAAACGCAAAGCAGAAACCAGGCGCATACAGCCAGCAGGAACCGTAAGGAAAGCAGACGGAACACAACGCAAGGGAGTGGAGAACAAGAAACCACCAGACAAACGCCCGGGGACGGAAAAAGAGACTCACGATGAATGCCGCGTTCTGCTCCTTGTCCGCGGTGGGAAGGTCCATCATCGTCTCGATGATTTGGATACGCGTATTTGCGTCGACATAGATTGACCTGTCATCCGGGCCACTGCAAAGCAAAGATACAGTTAGTCTGAGTACACCGCAGGGCGCGCTTGCTCTGGCTGGCTAGTGGGCGGGTGGTGAAGCGATAAGGCCATGCAACACGCCGGCACCTCACACCCGCCGCACGACGCAGAGCTAGACCACGTATGAGAGGCACTCACACTTCAGCCAACGCTGCGTGTACTGCTGCACTGCGGACCTTGATGGCGACGGCCGGGTTCAACGCAGAGACGGCCGCCTCGAAGGGCTCGAGCGCGAGGTTCTCGTAAGGGAAGACACGGAACTCGGGGCCATTGTCGACACGAAGTGCGACGCCGGCAGATAGGTTGTCTTCGTTGGGGCGGAACCACGCGTCGCCCTGCGTCTGCTTGAAGATGTGGTGGAGGAAAGCGTCGTAGCGGTCGTAATCCATCGCGGCTGCTCTTGCGGGCGGCGGGGCGATGATACAGGCTGACGACGGGGTCGGATAAAGAGGGGAAGGCGGGTCGCCGAACGCGAGGGCGGGGAGGGGGAGACGAGGACGGAGGAGAGGAGCAAGCGAATGAAAGAAAGAGAGGCAGGTGTTCGCACGTCCGGCGAACGGTCGGTGGGGCTCTACCGCATGTCTGCTCCCTTATTTCCCGCGGCGCCAGTCCCGGCCCTTTCCCTATTTTTGGGCCGGTCCCCCGCCTAGCGGCCTACATACCGGCCTTATCGCCCGGGCGCCCCCGGCCGCTGCCGGCTCGAGGCGCCGCCACAGCCTCCTGCCTCCCGGTGGGTGGTTTGACATGTCTCGCCCCCCCGCCGTGTCCTCGAGGTTGGGGAAGGAGGGCGGCGACACCGACGGCTGCACACCCAGAGGCACGCCGGCGAGATCGTTGCCTTGGACAACGCAGCATTGCGCAGCCTCTCAATCTTGTCATCCCGTAATTCCGCAATTACCAACGCATCATTTCGTCGCCCGGATACGCTGCGAAACCCGTCACACAACTGGCAGGTTCACTCAGGTACGCGTCTGCCGATGATGTGGCGATCCAACGTCGCCGACGTAATCACACCTGCATGTGCGGGGTTACCTCTCTGGGCTCGTATCGCGGGTTGCATACCACCTGAGCGAGCGAGGACATCGTCTTGTGAAGCATCGAAGGTTACATCCACTCTATCTGCACGCCAAGAACACTCTGTATGTAACTACACCCGAGTCCGCGCGATACAATACGATATGTCAAAGGAAACGGAATAGCTGTGCAAGGCCTATCTCACTGAGCCCGAGTTGGGCTTCGGAACGACGTCTCGACGTTTCCCCGCCTCTTCTAGCAGACGAATCGTGTGCGTTCCAGGGAGAGAACCCACTTCGTGTCCTGCATTCCGTAGACACGAACCTGTCGCGATAAATAATCCCTGTTCGGCCGAAGATATACAGCCACCTGGCGCGTATAATCCTCGTAAACGCGCCACACGCTCACCTTGACACTTGTTCGCCTTAGCGCCCACGTTCCAATTCCTCTCCGCTCGAAGTTCGACTCGGGCCTTTCGTAGGTCATCCCCCTCTCGTATCCTAGAAACCACACGTATTATGGCCCTGGATCCCGCTCCACACACGAACGCAACACACCCGGTAGAAATTTACAGCAAGCGCAGTCGTCACGTCCGACGTCACATCTCGGACGTTCTACTGGCAGTGGTACGCTGCAGCAGGCACGCGCTCCCGTTCAGGCAACGAAGACGCCCGAGACCCCGGCGACTGCGGCGGCCAGCCCGGGGGACGGTGGGAACGCGCCGGGGCGGGACCGAGGAAGCGCTGTGCCGTGATGCTGCTTCGAGGCTAGCGCGCCTGGGGGGTCTGGAACTGTGACGGTGATCACCGATCATTTTGATCTCCGTAGCAAGAGATCTGATGAGATGCCCGCCGGCCTCGACCGTGTCCTCCATCCCGAGCTGTGCTCAGTGCTGCACCCTTCTGGACCCCGCCGCGCAGAGCAGCTTCGCAGAGAACTACTTATCTGTCCTGGCTGCCTTCGAGGGTGCGAAGTTTCCGCCTTGCCGACAAGAAGGAACCGGACTGACAACCCTGGCAATTCAGCTTACCGCTTCTGCTTCGCCGTGCAACATACTTCTGCTTCGCCGCGCCGTGCTACTTCTTCAAGTTCGCATGTGTCACCGGCCGGACGTTCTCAGACGTTCTCGCAATATGAATGATCAATGAATCCAATACAGCACTGGTCCGCCGGCGAAGCCTGCGTGTAAACGACACGCGATCGCTCTGGTAGGGCACTTACCTATAAATACACGAAGACAAGGTTATAAGGTATGATATGCCCCACGGGCTCCGAGGAAGGAATGCGTACAGAGTTCGTGAAGAGCGGGTATTGACGCAGCGACACAATGGCCAGCTTCTCATTTGGAGTGGCACGAGGTCTCCACCCTTCTCCACCCTAACACTGACAGGTTGCATGAGTTATAGGAACGGGAGCACAGCCTCACGGAGAACGACGCCTTCGTGTGCGGCAAGTCACATCTGCCGAGCGTATGAGCACAGTCAATGGGATCTGCGTACCGACGGCAAAAATACGAGCACACGACTTATCTACGCAGCATGGATAGGGCTGCTGTTGACATAGTCCATATGTGCGCAGGTAACGGAACCAGGACTGTGCTGATCATCACTCTCATGTCGACAGCCCACACGGTGTTGACTTGTGTTGGCTTCATGTCCACTGCACGCGGAGGTGAGTCCACGCAGCACCAGCATGATATTGACATCCTCACCTGGTACATCCAGCTCGTTCACCGATCGAAGTCAAAAATTGATCAAGATGCCTGCGAGTGAGTCGGCACTGCATTGAGGTCCATGGAGGTTCCAGCCGGTGTTGACCAGGTGAGGACGTAATGATAACGACGTCGGAGAGCGTCCCCGTAGCCAGCGCACAAATGTCGCCACAACGGACTGGAGGTTCCTCTGGAGTCAGAATGCAGAGTCAAGTGGTAAGTAGATGTTTCAATAACCTACCAGACGCTGATGGGTGCAAACGTAGGCCACGGCGCCATAGGTCGGGGGAACCTATGTATACGTTGGATCGACGCTGCGCATCCGCAGGTAGTGATATTCCCCACGAATGGCATGGCGTTGTACACTATCTCCCGCTTGTCTTGCGCCGTCTCATTTGCTTTGATTAACGTCGTCAATGCGATGGGTTGTTGCGGTGACGTCGATATAAGTGCTTGTATATGAGTTCCATGGCTTGCCTGTTGCTTGCCTGTATGCCAAAAGCTACGATCGGAGACTTGCGCACAACATCGAGGGCATAGGTGACCTCTCGAGCCGCCGTTTCCCTGCTTCCAAACTTCATTGTCGGTGAGCATTTGCACTGCCAGAACTGTCACGTAGCTACGCCGAGGCCAGCTGAGTGTCGGCTCCTTCATACCGTTCTAACTTACTCAAGTTCTCCCCGTCCTATCGTTGTCCTCTCTCGCGAACCTGTTCCGCCGGGACAACATGATCTACCGTGACGTCCTCGATCGATCGACGCTGCTCCACCTCCACCCTCTTCAGCTTCAGGTCCCAGCTCTCTCTCTCCCGGCACCGGCTCGGCACTGGCCCTTGCCGTCAGGATTCCCGGCCACGCAAGCGATCGCGCGAGCCGCACCGCTCAACTGGTGCCGCCCTAGGAGAGGCGGCCAGACCCGCAAGCATGGGAGCGGCGCTGGTACCATGGCAGCCAGGTCCAGCCCGTTGTTCGCCTGAATCCGCCATCGACTGTTGCAATCCCATGACTGCATATGTTATTGTACGATCATATCAGGCTGGGTGCAGTCAAATATTAGAACTTTCGATTCGTTGCGGCCGTCCGACTGAGTCCACAAAGGGCTCAATCCCTTGAAGTACTCGGCCTCTTATAGGTCTTCCCCAATGCTCGAACTGCTCATGCAAGAGCGAGCGTGTGCGCTCATGAAGGAGAAGGCACGGCGCGGCGATAACTGGCCATGAAAGAAATGAGCAACGGTTAGCGCGCATTTACTGATGGGGATAAGTTATGTAACGCCATTCAAACACACCGATGTGACTAAGTATCAAGGGTCCGACGTCCCGCTGCATCAACAATCCTTTGCTGTCACAGATAGAGCGGCAAATACTTACTGTAGTCAAGCCGCCAATAAATAGTTTGTAGTTGGACTGAGTTGGACGGTGGTGTTTGCGCCGGGGCCTGACCTGGTTCAGAAGCCGCCGCTCCGGGAGCGGCGACGTCATGGCAAGAAAGGCAACTGTAGCCGCGGGTCCGGACATGCCATCGATCGGGGCCGGGGCGTAGCGACGGCCACGCGATAAAGGCTATTTACGGAGGGACCCCGGGAGCTGCTCGCGTACCTGTCCCACCGACTTAATTATTGACGTCATCTTAAAAAAGGAAACAGGCAGCGAGATACGGCGTCTCTCGCCCGAAAAGGCACGTTGGGCATATCCGCCCGTGCAGATTGCGCGCAGCACGCCAGGCTGCGCGAACAGGTACGTCTCTGCAGCCGGTGATTCCTGCGCAAGAGACAGCGGGGGAGAAATGGAGACGAGGGGCAGGAGGTCGGGGGCGAACGTGAGGACGAAATGCGTATCGGAAAACGTGGTGTCTGGCAGGCCACTCCCGTCTGTCGAACGGAGTGCGGGAGCGGCCTGGAAAAACGCTCGGAGCCTGTAAGTACGATAGCCCAGAACCACATACCGAGGAAGCGATGATTAGGGTCCGTGTGAACGAGACGAGCCACTTTCGTTGCAGACCGCAGGACTCGCAGTGACACTGGCGACGCGACGACGCCAATGCGGCTTTGGATCGACCGTAACTTGGATCACGAACGCGGCGGCAGGGCGTTGTTCTGTTTAATCGAACTGAACTGGCTTGACTGAGGCCGCGTGAGATACTGATGTCGATCAACTGTCGGCATTCCCCGGTTTTGTGCTCTTCATCCCAGTGGTTCAAGAGCATTTACCGGAAATTTGGGGGTCGTTTCCGTCGAACCCGAGCTTTGTGAAGGAATAAAAGGCTCCCCCCCAACGCTATTCGACTGTGTTGAGTATTGTTTGGGATGATAACTCATCCTCCGCAGCGCGAGTGGCGTTGGACTGGCTTGATCCAGCTGAGATTGGAAGTCCGGTTTATGAGTGTTTTCCACACAGGCTGTCGGAGGCCGAGAGGCCGGCGATATGAATCTATGATGCAGGCAGACCCCAGATAGCGGCGTGCGAGCGCGTGGAGCGGAAGGATTGATGGAGGCCTGGACGGCAGCGCCTCGCTCAAGTCGTCTTGCGCGTTGTTTTTCGCTTCCATATCCTCCACCCACGCCTGTGAGTCGTCTTCTTCCCGCCTTTCGTCCGCAGACTTAGACCATCCAACTTGAGCTCACTCTCTTTGTTCCTCCAGCCGCCATGTCAGCCTACCGCAGACGGGACAATGCGCCCTCCGGCTACTCAAGCGCGGACGCCTATCGCTCCGTGCCCAGCACCTCCCCGTCGTTGCAGCACGCACGCGCAGTGACCAGCAATGGAACCACGTCCTCGTCGGAGGATGACCATCTCACGTCTTCGGTATCATCGCCACAGCCGGCGCCCGTCGCGAACGCCTTCGTGCGCACCCGCGCAGGCTCCCGCTCTCGCCCGCGCCGCGACTCGCAAGAACAAGGTGGCGAGCCGCTCAGCCCTCCCCGACCGGGGTTCATTGTCGGCGACCGACGTTCGTGGTCCGCATCAAGCGGGGCTAGCGAGGCCGAACCCACCAGCGACTCTGATGTCCCTGCGGCCGGCCTTGCCGGGGTAGGCGCCGGGGCCTCGCAACCTGCGCGCGCGCCCGCTGGTACAAATGCAGGACGTGTGCCAGTTCGCAGCCACGAACGTGTCCGCAGTAATAGCAACCAGCAGACGAGTCGCCCTCCCGTCATCGCCGCCCAGACCCGTGCCCGCAACCACCGCCGTCGTTCAAGCATGGCCAACGAGTACGCATACGCTGGGTCCGCGGGCGAGGAGGAGCCCCAGTCCCCGTCGTCGCAGGGTCACTCGTCCTATGGCATCAGCAACCCCTTTGGCACACCGAACGACACTCCACGCAACTCCTTCTACGGTGGGCCTCCAGCTGTCCCCGAGAAGAACACCCGCTCGCCCCCGTCGGCGTTCCCCTCCTTCCCCTTCCAGAGCCATGCAGGCAACCCCGACCCCGGCACCGCCATCCCCGGCACCATCGGCCGACGCGAGTCAATCGACTCTCTCGCTGCACGCGCGCAGAACGGCCAGGTCCTCCACGCACCTGGTAGCGTCAACCATCCATTGTCCCCACCAGGTAGCGGTACCGCCTATCCCGCGGGCGCTGCCCCGGGCGGCTACGGCTTGGTTGAAGAGATCGACGACCTCGGTCGTCCCTACGCGCCGTTCATGGGTGAGGTCCCCGAACGCGCGCAGACGCCGTCGAGTGCCGGCAGTCAGAGTCAGCTCTACCGCAACTCTGCCGCTGCAGCAGTAGCAGGCAAGGGCGAATACGGTCAGTGGTCTTTGTTGCGTTCTGCTGCCACTCGCAGTTGACCCAAAAGTAAGCTGACTCTTTGTATTACTCATCTGAAATAGGCAGCGACAACGGTCACGGACTCCCTCGCACGGGCAGCGCGCAGCAGATCAGCATGCGCGCCCCATTCCTTAGCCCTGCGAGCCGTCCGACGAGCAGCCTTTGGGCACCCCCCAGCTTCCCGTATGCGTACCCGCCTGGCAGTGGAAGCAGCACGGCACTGGGTGGCTATGCCGGCAGTGGCATGCTGGGCCAGTATTCCAGCTATGCTGATATCCAGGCCCAGCTTCGCAAGAACAAGCCTATCATGCCGTCGTCGAAGTGAGTTATTGATACTGCACTCACCTGTACCCGTTGCCCATACCCGTCTCTTCAGGATTGCGCAGAAGCTCACGGGCGAGGACAAGCCGTGGATCACACACAAGGATGGCCGGGCGCGCGCCAGTTACTGGTTGACCGTCGCGGGGATCGTCGCGGGCATTGCGGGTGCTGCGGTCCTGTGTTACTTCACCTGGGTCGACACCTATTTCCTCGCGGACAGCCAGGTTTGCTCGTACTTCTACGACGACTTCAGCGGTGGCCTGGATACGTCGAACACGTGGAACACGGACAACGAGTTGGGTGGATTCGGGTGAGTGGTCATGTTCGAGCGCATATAGTCTGGCGAGGTCTTCGTCGAGGCGTGTGAGGCATCCTCGAGGCGCATATAGCCAAGTGTGGGCAGTCGTCGAGGCAAAGCAGCTTGGATGCAGTGATATGAATGGCGGAAAGCGGAAGAGAGTTGCATCCGCCGCGGGTCGCTGTATGGGGGGCGGGTAATTCCCTTTTTTGGATGATGACGCGACACGACTTGCCTCTTTTGGTTGTGGCACGTTGACCCGTGCCCGCGCGCCTGCAGTTGTTATCCAACATCTAGCACATTGAGCATATGCTGACGGTCCTTCATCCGACAGCAATGGCGAGTTCCAGATCACGACGGATGACTCCAGCAACCTTCAAGTAACGAACGGCCAGTTGTACATCACCCCGACGCTCACTAGCGACTCGATTGATGGTGGTTACTCGGCCATTCTGAACGGCGGCTCATATGACCTGGGCGACAAGTGTTCGACAACCAACACGGTTCGTGCACGTCCACATGAACCTGGTGGTATGCTGACAGGAGCCTTCTTAGAGCGCGTGTTCGGTGAAGGCGTCCAACGACTCCGGCACCGTCGTTAACCCCGTCATCTCGGCCCGTATCAACACCAAGGACCACTACAGTCTCAAGTATGGCAAGGTCGACGTTGTGGCCAAGCTGCCTCAGGGTGACTGGCTCTGGCCGGCCATCTGGATGTTGCCCGTCAACAGCACGTATGGCCCTTGGCCGCTGTCTGGCGAGATTGACGTGAGCATACCCGTTTCGTACTTGTGTCTCGCATATCGCTGACTGCTGTCGGTACAGATCATGGAGGCCCGCGGCAACTCAATGTCCTACGGCGCCCAGGGTGTCAACTACGTGCGCTCGTCGCTGAACTACGGCCCGATGGCAGCACTGTACACGACGCTGTACGGATGGTGGAGCAAGAAGCAGAGCACATACGCTGACGACTTCCACACGTATACGCTTGAGTGGACCGAGGACTTCATGCGCCTCTACGTCGACACTCGGCTCGACGCTATGCTCACGGTCAAGATCCAGGGCAAGGGCGGCAAGAGCTTCTGGAACCGTGGCTCGTACCCGAGCACGGCGCAGAATGGCTCCAGCCAGGCCGTCGTCGAGAATGTGTGGGACGAGGCGGGCGGAGGTGCAAATGCGCCGTTCGACCAGGACTTCTACCTCCTCATCGACTTGGCTGTCGGGGGCACCAGCGGTTGGTTCCCCGACGGTGTCGGTGGCAAGCCTTGGTACGATGGCTCGAACTCGGCTATGCGTGAGTTTGCGGAAGCGCAGTCGACGTGGTCCGCGACTTGGCCGTCGAGCACCGACGACCGGTCCTTCAGGATGTGAGTGCATCGCGTCATTCTCCTATGTGACGGTGCTGATGTCGCTCTTTAGTAAATCGGTTAAGATGCAGAAGCTGTGTTGATCGCGTCTTCTTGTTCGCCTCTGATCCTCTACGCTTGCTCTCCCCTTGCTCTCGCGCGTCACGCCCTCGCTCTCAGCATCCAACCATCTGTTCCATTATTCACTATCCCTGTGTGTATACCCTGCGGGGCCTCCTGCCGTACGTCACCACGGACATCGACGATCGCGAGACGAAAATGAATGCCGGACTTTTTTTGCACTTGCTACTTTACCTTTCGTATCTACTTACACTCGTCTGCACGCGCGGGCGGACACGGACTTATCTCTCCTCTATATCGCGCACCTAGACTGTCATACTAGTGTAGCAGCTTGTCCTCGTGTGACGATGTCGCTAGCTGCAGGAACCTCCTCTGGCTCTGTCCTCACTGTCTCAAATCTCCTCGTACATTAGTTTTCGCTCCACACCTCATGTTGTGCGCGCCCTCGGGCATGTGCGACGCTCTTTGGGCCTCTTGCTCTCGTGTTGTACGGCGCAGGGCCTGTCCGTTCGTTATTTATCGCAGCTGTCGATTCATAAACTGCATACATGACTGTTTTGTTGTTCGCTTGCGAGCTGATCCTGCCTGTCGTACAGTACCAATGTGTTGGCAAATGCAACCATGTTGTCCTCATCGGTGCGGTCTTTGTGCCGGTGCTGTCAGTGCGGTGCCTTGCGCCGGGGTGGTGTGCAATTCGCAATCCTTTGACATGCAATCTTCATGGCAAGTGCTCCGTTCCGTCTGCGACTCGGAACCCCGTTCGTCGCATTTCACTGATTGATAGTCCACCTATTACAAGTGCACAGACCGCCGGTGACTCGATGTCATTCCGAGGTGAGGTTGACCGTAAGTTTTACCGATATTGAACAGCTGGATAGTCACAGGGTCGAATCAATCGAGAGCGCACTCAACACTCAAGAGTCAAGACCAAGTGCGCTGAGGCAAATACTTCAGCCAGATGCTGGCCAGATGTACCGTGAGTCGTTCCAGCGTACAAGTCTAGATCCCAAGCACATCTACTACTAGACGGCGCTACATGGGAGAAAAACAGACGCTACATTCCAAACGAGCGTTCAAGTTCAATTGGCTCCATTCTGATGCGTTCGTCTGACATCCATATGCTCATTGGCACCTGCCGCCAGGAACGGGGGTTGGGCGAGTATGACATACGAACAGTGAACTACTCGCCGGGTCGGTCGCCAGTTGTCGAATAGCGCCCATGGAACCACTGCGATTGCAACTCTGATATCGTCAGATCGCGGCATACGTTCGGGGCGGTGGAGGTGGGGAGGGGGGTGGTCTCCGCGGGGCTTCGCCTTCGACGTCCACCAGGAGCTCTGTGCGAGTGTGGGTGGAGCAGCGACTAGTCGCGCATGGGGAAGTGGTGGCATGACGCAGAGTTTATAATCCTTGCCAGCGGCTGCGGTGATCCGCATCCCGCACGAGCCATCAGGATGCCCTCTTTATGAAATCGGTATGTACATTGCGGGACTCGGAGACGCCGGCCTCGAGGATACTACATCACACGAGGAACTTAACAGCGGAACTTGTACAAAGCCTGAGGCAGCTTGTGCTTAAGTAGCATACGTACATGGCAAACATAAAGATGTGGGGAACGTACTCTGCTTCTCACTGCTCCAGTCTTCGATGGAGCAACTAATGCATTGGCGTGCTTGACACTCGTTGTTGAGGAGCCCATCGTCTCGTGCGAGGAGAAGTTAGGAATTGCGAGGCTGATCGACCGGTCTATCAATGCGGTAAGTGCGGTTCGCATTGGGTAACGAAGACCACTAGGAGAAGAGTAAGGCAGGAACCGATCAGCTCAACTGCAGCCACGGCATGTGGCGGATAATACAACACCGATATTGTCATTGTGTATGATCCTGCATAAGCGTAGTTGGAGTCCGTGATTCCGCATGCCCATATAGTCCTCATCGACGTGACGACAGTGATGCGTCGCACGTATATATAGAGACAGCACCACGCTGACGAGAGCATTCCCAACATTGACAACTTGGGTTGTGACACCATGATCATTGCCTCACGAGCGTGATCATCGCCTTGGAGTCAGCGATGACAGTGTGAACATCCTGACACTCTTCTACGGCAGGATTGGTGATAGGCACTGTCATGATCAGCTGGTTACCGCTCTCACCCCCAAGAGCTTGAATTTCAAGTCGGAATACAATACTAAGCCTGAGAGTATAGCTACGTGGGGCCGGGCTTCCCGGCCGGGGGTAGTAAGTTACGACTCCTGGGAATTGAACGTCACGGCGTGAGGTTGTAAGGCAGACGGTCCGAATTTTAGCCCGATACTACCATGTTCTGTCTGTACATTCGTGGCGTTGTTGGAGCAGAAGCGAGTGTTGAGAAGCCGTTTCCTACGGCGAAGAGAAGTCCGAGTCGTTGGAGCGATCTGCCGTCTGCGAAAGTGTACGTTGAGATTCCTGCGGGTATACATGGCAAACTTGAACGGGTACATACAGCATATACCTGAGGGCCGTCAGGCTAGAAGAGTTTTTGAAGTGAGATGTCATAATGTTGATGTGGTAATAAGACTCAACTTCTTGGGTGGGCGAGGACGGTAGGTGGTGTTCAGGTTCAGTACACACAGTGACGACGGCCAGGCGGCTCAAGCTGTAAGCGTGATTGTACATCTATACGGCTGCTACTCACGATATGTAACAATGCAGTGCTTGCCCACCGTCATGTCTCTAGAGTCTTTTTGAGTGCTCTGAATGGGATTTGGCGAGGTCCGAGTTCATTGAGCCTTGTGTAATAGCGGATTGCGGCACTGTAGCCTTGGACCCAGATTATATGTTGTGTCGGACGAGCCGAATTGAGTTCGAGATGGAAGCGGAGAGATATGAAAACGTACCAGTCCACGTAAAATGCAGGCGACGTGCCAGAGGGACGATAGGGACTCAAGGCACCTGCCAGCGGGGAGAAGGAAGAATCTTGTCCCGATAACAAAGGAAGTTCGGACCCTTGATCAGTATAATGCGCTGACTGCAATCCAGACAGAAGCCTGCCGTAATGAGCCCAGGTACATCCATAGTATGTTCTGACGCATGATTACTAGGTCCTGAACGCACAGCAAACCCGCTTTGAGGATGACATAAAACGCTGAACTCGATGCTGCTGGCCGACGACCCCGTGGGCCGTTGCAAGTGCGTGATGAGGGACGACTCACAATCGTCGGTTTCTGGCCGAAGAATCACAGTCAACGAAGTCGCAAACATAGTTATGAAAGAGTAACGTACTACTACGCCACAGGCCAGGCTCTCGTTATATTCGTCTCGATGCGATCCAGAAATTCGCCGCGCTGGACTCATAAAGTAGTGATATCCTCTCGCTATGTCCCTGAATCGTCATGCATTTTCGGACTAAAGCGGCTTGTTTGCACGGTTTCTCGATGTGCTTGGGGGTTGAGCGCCACGAAGACCACAGGATACAAGAGAGTTTATGTGAAGCCTCTCGTGGCGGATCCGAGTCGCTGGCCAGAGGTTTGTCGACTGAGGGAGACGGGCAGAAGAGTGCGTGCTAGATGCTCGCAAGGATACATGCATGAGGCGGGCAAGTCAAGCTACGCGTCGAAGGTATTTTTTGTTGAGGAAAAGATCCCACGGGCGGACCCGAAGTGATGGCACAGAAGGGACCGTGGCCTATTTCTTGTAGTCATCCATCAGACAAGCTAGAATTGACCGAACACGCACACAAGGAAGGGCTCGGCAAAAGCCACGACTCGGGTCACCTATCCTTGACCTATCGGGTCTCCGCGTGGCCTCGCTGAAAATGAAGCGTACATCGGCATTAAGTTCCGGTGGCTTCGCTCGCATCTGCTCGCATGCACAGCTGAGCGTTCCTCCCAGTTCCGAGACGGGGATGACTCCGTAGAGAAGATATTACTCTGGTCTGCTCGTCCTCGGATGTCTGAGTGCCCAGAGTTGCAATATGCGGAGATTTCACTGCTCAGGTTTATGCACAGCTTTCCGACGACTCCCTCCATGCTGATAGCAAGAGGTCCGAGTCCTGCATGATATATAATTAGAGGTACTCCGAGAGCGCAACTACATCTGCTCACGGTAAGTTTTCGGCCGGACACCTGCATTCTAGCGAGCCTGCCAAGCATCAAGCCTACCGCTCTCCGCCATTTGTTGGCTCTGGCCCTGTGAGCGGAGCGCGATGCACAGTGATTGCTTGTCATCATGTGCTCTATACCACAGCGCCGGCGGGAGCGAAGCATCAAAAAGTCGGAAGACGACCTTTGAACGTATGCTTCCACTTTCGACGCACTAATGCGCATATCCTCCTTCACTGTCATCGCACCGTGCTGTGTTCCCCATTTAAGTGAGTCCAATGCACAAGACCGGTATGCCTAGACTGAGGTATACCGAGGAACAAAACGACGGCACTGACAGGAAAGGACACCGGCCTGGCGCGAAACCAATGCACAGCGACCCTGCCTTCTCATGTCATCGTCACGCTTTACCCGGTCCACACGAAGGGAGCTGTAGTAGATTTGATGCGGCCATCGGCAGAATAAGAATGTACATCACCGCTTCAGGGACGCCCGTCAGGAAGTTATTGTGTACCCGGTGAGTGGTTTGCCGGCGGGCGGTACAGTCTGTTCCTGTATCGGCGGTGACCAAGATTTTAATTGTTTTAATCATCATGCGCGCAATGGTTCCCGACGAGACACCATGTGCCAAAGCAATTTTCGATGAGCGTTTGATGCAAGTAAGGGTGTGGACATACGGACGATCCACGAGGGCTCGACAGAAGCAGAGGCGCAGTAGGTATTCTTCTGGCGCCCGAAACCTAGCGCCGTAAAGGCGATGAAGTAAAGGCGATGAAGAACCACTTTGAGCTGATGAGCAGGCTCCTACGCATGATTCTCAATGCTCACCTACGCTCCATTGATCTTGTCGCTGTCGTACGATGGCAGAGGTGAGGTTGCGGGTCGTCCAATTACGGCGGTATTATTCTTTGGGCGACAGCAAACGCACGGAGGAGTCGCAAGGCATAGATCCGAACGCGTGGATAAACCGAACAATCAGAGAGGCACAATTTTCCCAAGGAACAAGTCGTGAATTGGGGATCGAGCACAGTGGATGAATGTGAGGTCGCCGAGATACACTGTCTAACACTACAAGGGGCGGCAGAAAGCTGAAGAATACCATCGATACACATGACAGTTGCGGAGATTGCACGACAGCGAACAAACAAGCGGGGGTCATTTCTCAGCGTAAGCGGCAATTGAATGAGGTCATCACGGAGAATCAGGATCCTTGTCGACATATGAGGCAAAAGCTCAGCGATTATGTGTATAGGAAACTCACGGCGTCTCTGTCTGCAGGCAACTGGCGCGAAGGATGTTCGGGGTCGACGGGCATGTACGCGAAGACCGGCGACGCTCCCACCCTACGGAATCCGGCCTGACAGTAGTCAATTCAATAAGACCGGGACTCGGGAATCACGATGCAGCGGCGAAGAACGTACCTTGCGGGTGAAAGCGAGGTTACGTCTCACAAGCAGACCCTCGACGTAGGTATCCTTATAGCTCGACTCGAGGCGAGGTACGCTAGGCCGAGTTAGAACCACCTTTACGCCCTGTAGAAGCCCGGGATTGAGAAAGGTCCGTCACGCAGCTGTGATCGGACGTATTGACTCACCTCGTCACGCAGGAGCTGGAACAGCGCGTGCAGTGCCCATTGGCCAATTTTATTGCGGCGGAATTCTTCGTGCACCATGAGAAAGTCACCACGCGGGTCCTTGTCGACACAGGCCAGTACCGCGACTTTGGTAGCTTTGGCACTTATCTCTGGTCCAAATATTTTAGTGCCGGCATCTTCCCCGGCCATCCACTGGTCGCGCAAACGGCCGTCTTTTTCGTACAGCAGAGTGAATATTTCCTCCAATTCCTGACGTGAATAAGGACAAAAACATTTCAACTTCACCGCTGAGAGCGAAAGACGTATTCTTGCCTGGCCGCCGTATTCGGACATCTGGAGATCCTCCTGAAAATCTTCGACATAATTGCCATTGACCACTCTGTAGGTAAGCTGAGCGACCTGTCTGCCGTCTGTCGTCTCTATTTTGGCCTTGTAGTACTGCGGAGAGATATTAGTCTGGTACGAGGCGAATACACGAGGGAGACCATACTCTGAGCCATGGCTCAAACTGATTGCGTAAGTCTCGCTGGACCTGAAAACCGACGCGATAGATAGTGATCCTCAGCCTGCCAAGTCCATTGAAGTGCCGCTGAGGCTCCGAGAGCAGCTCGCGCTCGGGAGCACCCTTGGCATCGGGGAAAGTAGTCAGCCCTGCTTGTTCTTGCATTGTCTGGAGCACGCGCAGTGAGATCAGTGGCGCATGGGTAGGCAGACTACACGCACATGCACTCAGTATAGGAGGATGCGGTACGGAGGAGTGTTCAAGATGAGACGTACGCTGTAAGCTTAAATACAAGTGTCAGAATCGAAGCCGCAGTATTGTTGGTGCGTGTTGTATGATTCTGTTTAGCCATGCTGCAAGATTGTTCGCACTGCATACGGACTCGACTGCTAGGATTGTGCGACGCCGCGGGAACTAAAACCGTATCTCCACGTCAGACATCCGATCAGACCTATCAGCGGGCGTTTGTGGTTGGCGGATCTCACCTGCCGGTTATGCATCCTCAGTAGACTTCCGCTTACCACCATACTTAGGAAAGGCTTACTTTGTGCACGAGTCGCTTAGCACTGGGCCCGGACCACATCGGCTATGTAGCACGCCTGCGCCTACACGCCCGAGAGAACCGATTCGCTCAGTTTCAATTCTCCCGCGAAGCTGTTGATAATACATAGGGTCGTTTGTGGCCGCTCGTACGTACGAGTCTGCGACCGAAACGGCCCGACTTGAAGACCAAGAAAGTCTCGGCCAGCCTGTCTCAGGTCAACCTACACAACAATTTCAGTATCATGCATGAGCGGACGGTGATCAACTTACACAGACAATGACTTCTGTCAGGTCCAAGGTAGCCACTGGTAGCCATGTGAGATGCTGGTGGGAGACTGCTACGGCGGCGACGTGAGCGTGGCCTCCTGTTTGCTTACGTAACTCGGGATAGTACTTGAGGCGCTCACGCCGGATCCTCGCCTCCCCCTCCTACCTCGTGCAGCTGCGTGAGGCCCCACGTTTTTTGAACGTATCGGGGACGCTATACGTGCTCAGCCCGGTACAGCCATTTGTGATAAGAACCCGCACCTGGCGCTCTCAGCCAGGCTCGCCGTTCGAGGCTACGTGGTCCGGCCCCGGAGCGAAGCAAGAACATGTGAGTCTCATGTGAGACAGTACAATGTGACGCTTCAAATCATTTGACATACAGTTGCATGCCGCAAGTCGGCCCTTGTGGTCAATCGCCGGTATACATAACTCGGAAGCCAGCCGTAAGCTTTGTTTGCATCTATACCATCGTGACGTCGACCACGGTAATTGCTTGAAAGTAGCATCGCCCTGCCATATCTGGCCGTACAGACCAGGAAGCTTGTGCTACAGTTCTCAAGTGCGCCGGTGACGTGATCATGTGAAGCATTCCCGTTGACACACAGTATGCCGCCGCAGACACACCCTGCAATTGCCGTGGGCCGTGGAAGCCGCAGGCCGTAGCTAAAGGACCATGCAGCAAGCCCCTCTGCAAGCGGTACTTGCCCCCCCTCTGCCTCAGTCTGGGTTCCAAGGTGCTTCCGCCCATGTTTCGTGCAATGTGTGGCACGCTTCTGACCGCGGCGCTTTCCGCGCTTCTGGTCGAAGCAGCCCCCTCTGCCTTTCCCTCATCTGGCAACGGCCTGTGGTACACAGCTCCAGGTGACGCCGATTCCTGGTCATCGGAGTGGCTCCCTATCGGCAATGGGTACATCGCGGGCAAGTTCTTCAGGAGCTTCGAAGTCATATTGGATCTAGAACTGAGACACGCGTCTTAGCCACGATGCCTGGAGGCACCGTTCAGGAAACTATGCACGTGAACATCGAATCCCTCTGGTCGGGTGGTCCTATACAAGACCCGGTATGTCCGTGCTACTTGCCATGCATCTTGAATGCCGGATAGCTCGATCAAAATCCTACATCCGTGTCGCTCATTTCGCGGATCTCGCGTCTCACTTGCATCGACCTATTTGAGCGGCGTCAATAACTCGATCAGTCCGTCACTAACCGACCTCTAGACGTACAATGGAGGCAACAAGTTACCATCTCAACAAGCCACCATGGCTCAAGATATGCAGATGTATCGCCAAGCGATTTTTGACAGCTCAAATGGAACTATCGACGGTGGGTGTTGTACACGTTCGGTAGAAGCTACTCGATGAACTGGACGAATTGGTAGATATCGAGAATTTGATGACAGATGCGGGCGCCTACGGTATGTTGACTATTAGTACTTCCTACTTGGCGAGGCTGAACCTGGTTCTCCAGGCTCCTATGCCGCCGCCGGTGCATTTTTGACGACACTCAACTCCAGCGACACTGTGTCGAACTACTTCCGATGGCTAGATCTGGATGAGGCTGTGGCGCGCACTCAGTGGACAGACGAGAGCGGTAACTCGTATTGGCGGTACGTTGATATCTCGTAACCCGCATCGACCTGCAAGTATCTCACGCACGCACTCTTGTTCATTGATTCGTGCAGCGAACAGTTCTGTTCTAACCCCGCGGAAGCTTGCGTTCAATATGTCAACAGTACCGGTACTCTGCCATCATTAACCTACGCACTGTCGGTCACATTGGAGAGCGGCCTTCCGGTGCCCAACGTGACCTGTCTCGATAATTCGACACTGATGGTCCAGGGCCTAGCGAACGACCCAGGCATGCTGTACGAAGTACTGGCACAAGTTCGTGCATCTGGAAACGCGACAGTGACATGCACACCTTCTGGTTCCAACGCGACTATCAGCGTGAATGGTGCGAACGAGGCATGGCTTACCTGGGTCGGGGGAACGAACTACGACATGTACTCGGGCACCGCCGCAGCCGACTTTTCTTTCACAGGCCCGGATCCTCACGACGCCCTTACCACGTTGTTGAATGTGGCAACGGCTGAGACGGTCACCTACGATGGCTTGCTCCAGGCGCACATCTCTGACTACAAGTCGGTTATGTCCCCGTTCTCCCTCGATCTGGGTCAGACGCCCGACCTGTCGACACCTACGGATCAGCTGAAGGCGGCGTATCAGACGAATGTCGGAAACCCGTACTTCGAGTGGCTACTATTCAATTATGGGAGGTATTTATTAGCATCCAGTGCACGAGGGACATTGCCACCGAATTTGCAAGGCAAGTGGGTGGAGACATGGACGAACGCTTGGGGAGCCGGTATGTAGCTGCATTGTATGTTCGTCAGAACTCGCGTGTTGATCTGTTCGGCATGGTACCAGACTATCGTGAGTGTATGGCTCGTGCGGCCTTGGCCCTCGAGGCTCATTCGAGTTTCTTGCAGACTCCAACATCAACATACAGATGAACCATTGGTTCGCGGAGATGACCAATATGGACGTAGTCCTACCGTTGTTCAACTACATAGAAGTAAGGTGGCCCATACTCAAGTGGCAGCGCAACTCATACGATCGCATCACAGAATACCTGGGCTCCGCGTGGTGCAAGCACAGCACAAATTCTATACAATATTTCACGCGGCTGGGTCACTCACGACGAGGTATGTTTCTGGCCCCTAATGAGCGAAATTGAGACGTCTGACATCGCCTATGACCCCTCAGATGAATGTATGTCAATCACGGTTCTAGCCGCCTCGTGGTGTTCATGACTGTCCATCCAGCTCTTCGGACATACCGGTATGAAGCTTGAAGGTAATTCAGCGCAATGGGCCGATTACCCCGGTAAGCTTCCTCTGCGTTCGAGGTTTGCTTCGCGCTCAATTAACATGCCTCCGAACTAGAATCCGCGGTCTGGATGGTACGCCATATCCTGTCGTGACTCGACTACGGTGCTGACACATTACATAGATGTTCCATGTATGGGACCATTATGATTACACAGGAAACAAGACATGGTTTCAACAACAAGGATGGCCCTTGCTCAAGGTGTGTGGTCAGACTCGCCGTTCCTTTACGTTCATATACTCATGATCAGCGAAGGGTGTCGCAGAATTCCATTTAGATAAGCTGATCCCTGACCTCCATTTCAATGATTCGACGTTGGTCACCGCTCCATGCAACTCGCCCGAACAGGTTCCAATCACATTCGGTCAATTTGTGTGCATGATGCAGTAGCGGCAGAGTATCTGACGGCTTCATATAGGCTGCGCACACGCCCAACAATTGATCTGGCAACTCTTCAATGCCGTCGAGAAGGGGTATGAGGCCTCTGGGGATGATGATACAACATTTTTAGAAGGTGTGTCGTGTCAAAAGCCCGTCTCATTGCTTGCTGAAATGGATACACTCAGAGGTGCAATTGAAACGAGCACAAATGGATAAGGGCATCCATATCGGCTCATGGGGTCAACTACAAGGTGGCGCTATTCGTCGTGCTTGGCGTAACGTAATGTCAGAAGCCGCTAAACTTCATCTCAGAATGGAAGGTCGATATGGACTCCCCTACCGATACGCATCGTCATCTATCGCATCTTATCGGACTGTACCCTGGCTATGCTATAGCTTCATACGACCCATCGATTCAGAACGGCAGCACTACGCAATACACCAAGAGCGATGTTCTCGCAGCGGCGGAGACGAGCTTGTATCACCGTGGAAACGGTACGGGCCCAGATGCAGACGCCGGATGGGAGAAGGCATGGCGGGCTGCGTGCTGGGCCCAGCTCGCGAATGCCAGCGAGTTCTACTTCGAACTCTCGGTAGGTTCTGAGGTCTCATCGATGGCGACACGAGGTTGACCGCGGGTCGTGCATCCAGTACACCATTGAACGAAACATTGCGCCCAACCTGTTCAGCATGTACGCTCCGAGCTCTGGATCGAATGGAATCTTCCAGATTGACGCAAACTTCGGATATCCTGCTGCGCTCCTCGTGCGTTTGTAACCCCTTTTCGCTGAGGCATGGTGATTGACGTAACATAGAATGGACTGCTGCAAGCCCAGGACGTCGCAACCTATTCAACTCCCCTCGCCATAACCATACTTCCGGCATTGCCTGAAGCATGGCCGTCTGGATCCATCAGAGGGGCCCGTGTACGAGGTGGGATGACGCTAGACTTAGAGTGGGGTAACGGGAAGCCCACCGTCGTTAACATCAACGTTGATGAGGGCGTCACTCCAAGGCCTGTCGAAGTCGTCTATGGAGGAAGCGTGGTGGCGTCGTTCACTACCTCCGGCGGTTTGGAGAAGACGATCAACTTCTCGTAACGTGGTGGCGCAGGGTGGCGCTTGACGCAGTCAGGCGGTCTTAGTACGTCCATTGCAGACTCTATCGGACTTCTTCATGCTTCTATGCCCATGATCGGGTGGGGTTTGTAAAGCTTGCAGCGGACCTTCGTCGTAAATCTGTAGCTGATGATTTCTTGTACGCTTAGTAGTTTCCCGTCGCAAGAATGAATCACATCGTGTCTTGGCGCTCCTGTATGCGATGCGCGCACAGACCGCTACGGAGTTCATGCCTGAAGCTGTCATGCATGCGCGGCTCACAAGACGTTCTACTCGCCGTGTTACGTACACCATTCTTGGCCTGTAGACATCTGCACCAGTGGTTCCGGCAGAGCGGAGGCTGCCATATAGCACTTGCTGAGTACGCACACGATGATCGACGTCGTCTGTTCAATACCAGCCACACTGCACCGCCAGAATCTATTCTGATCATAGCAGGTCATTGACTCCGAGCGCGACTCGCAGCGCTACACTACTTGAGAATATGCCTAGCCGTGATGTACTGTGCATTCTCGTGCCACAACCTCGTTTCTCGTGTGTCAGAACGCGACACAGGTTAGACAGGGACTTGCGAGCAAGCAAATTTCATAGGCAAGATAAGTAGTACGCAACCTAGCCTACGATTGATCGCACGAGTGCGGCGAAAGCTCAATCAGACATGGAAGCTTCTCCAATAGCGCACATACGTGTGTAGGCCGCGGACATCCAGCCTGATTCGCATTGACGGGATCGAAAGATAACGAATCAATGGTGTAGAAGGTACATGTCCCGTAGCTCCTGATGAGTCTCGTACAAGCGATGCGTAGAGAACATCTGCACCGGCCTGGCCAGCCCTCAGTAAGGATGCAAGGACGACGCCACCAATTGAATGAGACCGCGGTGCGATGGCAAAGGAGTCCAGTAACCTCCGGTGGGCGGGGGCGCCCCCGGGCCATTCCCCACATTGACGAGCTGATCGGCATCTACTAGTGTCAATGAGAAAACAAGCCCCGCCTTAGCAAGATATGAGAGACCCACCGAGTGAGTTCACTCGCGACAGTAGTGCTTTGCTCATCCGGGGTCTCCCGCATCATCGTACAGGTCCCGAGACTGTCCTAGACCACTTTGGTTGTCGTCACAGCTCTCTGACACCCATTCCGGTACCCATGTCGTGAACTGAGGTGCCCTTTCCCATCCGCCCTCCTGCCTACGTTCGTACTTCATGCTGAGCATCTGATTGAGGCCGGTGCGAACGTTGATGAGCGTACATGCAATTCCAGCTGCAGCAGGCAAGCCCCCGATACCGATGTACCTTGCGGCGCTCTGCATTTCGTAAGTGATGGTGTAGAAAAGAGTCCACGCGGTATAGAACGCAGCGCTCTCAATGAATATCGGGAGCCAAGCCTGCGAGACAGAATCAACGTTGGTCGCAGTCATTTGCGCAGCAGTGGTTGACTTGCCATAAACATGATGCTAGGCGCGCCTGTACGCTTGGTGCGACGGTCTGCACGTAAAAGCATCCCTGCGATCATGCCTACGACTTTCCAGTGGTTGTTTCCAGCTCAGACAGGGGAAACTTACATGAACAGTAGACAGTCGTGCAAAGCGTGCAAACCAAGCCGCCTGTAGCCCATTTGCCATGTTTACTTGTTAATCCGTCATTCTCCCTATATCCAGCCTCGGTGGAGGCAATGGTACCTCCTATACCACATACTGGTGTGATATACTCGTAAGAATATCTTTGTTACGACGTATGGAAAGTACTGACCTAAGAGCATCACTAAAGCACCAAGGGGAGCTGCGACCACGGCCCTATTATAAGACCAGACGACCCAGAGGCGGAAAACCTACATCTGTTGGAGGACGCAGTCACACGTTTTAAAAGTATATCACCCACCAGCACGGCGTCCCCGATCAATACACACAGGGCCACAATTGAGACTTGGGCCACATGCAGCGACTGACCGATGTCGGCGAAGTACTCCACCGCTTCTTGCGCCCCGTGGCTTCCCAAGCCGAGGAACAAACGGCAGATGCTCACAACCCAATGCTAATCGTCATGAGCCTCTCTGTGAGTCATCTGTAGAGACAAAGCGTACCGTCGTAACCGCCACTAGTAGAGTCACATAAGCTATGTATATTGATATCGATAATGGTGGTCTCTTGCCGTGCTCTGAGTGCTTCCGAATGTGCAACAGATAGAGGGATGTAAGACCTAGACAATCGAACATCCCGCACATTAGACTCTCGATGCAGAAGCTAGCGAGATTGGCAGAAAGATCCGCGAGTAAGTGCTCGGATTCAGCGTTGGCCATAGACGAAGTCGCTATGCGTCCAATCGCACCCTAGTCGGACGTCCAGTCTGAGTCATGAAGGAGAGATGGAGGGAGAGAAGACGGGGGCGATGAGGCCCGGGTGAGTGCATCCTACACTGTGTGGACGGTCATGTCGGCGACGGAGCTGAGTGTGGTTTGGTCGGCATGCTACGGAGTAGCCTGTAGGTGGCGACCAAGTAATAACATAAGTATCAGCCGAAATCTGACGCTCGAGAACCCAGCTGAAACATCGTCCTTTCGAAAACACCGAGACGGGGAATCCAAGATAAGTACCGTCTTGATACTTAACTTTCGGGCTGACCCAAGGCTGACCCTCCAAATATGGGGGTCCTGGGAGGCGGTGCAGTTTCATGCATCAGATATCCTAGTCAATGGGATTTGATGTCGCTGCTCACCTTCGTCGTCGTCGACTAACTGAAGTATGATAGCTATGTATCAAAAGACGCGACTCGGAGGAGGTGAGGGTGCGGAACCGTAGGGAACCGTGCGGTCTCGGGTAAATTATTGGAAATTGCCCAATTTGAAGACGATCGGAAGGGCAACGCCGAATTTGACAGGATGTTTATGTAATGTGTTCTCACTGGCAGTCCTCTCCGAGGCGGCGAGTGCGCGTTCGATGTTGGTGAGCCACCACTTGTATCGCCATACCGCTCGCAAAGGCGCAGTCACCCGCACACACGTACAGTATAGCACCCACTGAGGAGTGCTAGTGTGTCAGTGTGAAGAACATAGGTATTGAATCGAACTTCGATCGGACGCACGATGTAGCCTGATAGTATAAGGGATTCTGAGCAGGATGCTCAGTTGACTCAGAGGGCGGAACCTGTTACGCGGAAGAAGCTGTATGGAGGTTTCACTCACCATCAGTAGGCCGGGAATTACGACGGGAGCAAGACGCATATTCAATATTGTCACCCACTGATATCCGATGGTACATAGCGGGTTGTACGAATTCACTTGGTCAGCTCGTCCTCGTCCACTGCTTCCCTGGCTTCTAATATGTGACGTATGTCCACGGAGCGTCCTGTGAGTTCTCGGGAAATATCCTGTCGTGAAGAATGAACGAAAGACAAGGGGATCGAGGTTTGCGCAGTAGAACGGGGAGCGGGTTTGAAAGCCCACCCTAGTCCCACACGAACGTTGATCAGCATGGACGCAATACCGGCCATCGCAGGGCATGTCGCGTTGGCGATATTCTGTAGGTTCGAGCCGGCCTCATACGTGACAAAGAAGAAGATCGTCCACGTCCTATAATGATGTACGCGCTTTAGGTCATGCACGGAATCGCGTGTCCTCTGAACTCACGCATAGAGCGCTGCGCTCTCAGTGAACACAGCAATAGCGCGCTGAAATTCTTGCGTAAGAGGAATTCCCCAGTATTTACCACCCATGACGCACCATTGCAGGGTCCTTCCCGAATATCTCTACGCGGAGGCTTGTTTGGCATATGCGCAATGCGATCATGACTGATGGAGGTCAGCATCCAGTATGGCCGTGGGATTGTTGACTTACCTGTGCTATAAATACTAGAACTGTCCTCGCTGTTGTACTTTCAAATCGCAGGGCAACAGATAAAGCTTGCGACGTACTGGCAGATCATGAACACGCACAGAGCCGTCATCCAATCGCCTATCGGCATGTCGAAGACGTCGGAACCCAGCTTATAGAGCGAAGAGTGGTAGAGCATGATACTCCCGCATACTGTGACCGCATGAGTAATGGTTCCCCATAGAAAAATGCACGGTATCCTACTCACCAGCATATACTATCCAGCATAGCATTGGGAACACAGTGACATATATGCTGTAGGACCAGACTACCCAGACACGGTATATCTAAACATTGTCTTCAGGTTCGCAGGTTCGTTTCGAAGTCAGCTGACAACTGACCATCATTGCATCGAATATGAATACAGAGAGAACCAAAGTGGCTGTCTGTGCAATCTTCGTCGCTTGGGACAGATCACCAAGGAACAGAACGGGCTCCGTTCCGCCTTCGAAATAAATCAACGCTTGGAATAAGCGTATGTCGGTCAGAAGCCAATGCTGAGGTCGATTCCTTGTTCAGTGTTTAGCGATTCGTAAAGTGTGTAGGTTCTCACCGCTGTAATGCTGAGAGCAAGAAGAACGGTTCCAACGAAGAGGGGATGTGTGTACGTTCGAACATTGGGCGAAGGGAAGCGGCGCCGCCGACCAAGAAGGAAGATGGACGTGAGGCAGAGAACAAAGAAAATGCCATACAGACATTTTCGAGGCAAACAAGAGCAAGATTCGCAGCAAGGTTCGACACACCTGGCATTGTGAAGAAGGTTAGGGCCCGAGAAGCTTCATATGCAAGGCTTATATACGTTATCTTACCATTCTGCCAGAAGTACGATATGGTACCACTCCTCGACATTCCGGCAAGTCAGCAGTGACACTCCCCACGGACCCAACATCGACAAGGTCCGAGGAGCTGGAGGATATACCCGGAAAAAGGGGCGGCAGCGACTGCGCTTCATGTTCGGTGTGTCTTCCCCGACTCCGACCGGAGGGAGGGATGGCTTTGTCCATCGTAATCCCAGAATCCGACCGGAAACAAAGTCTATCATGACCTCTACAAGGGCGCACGTCGTGACTCGTCAGTATGATCTGTCAGTCAGCTACATGAATAGAGCTGCCCATGGCGGATTATGGCCGGATTATCCACGTCCGCAAGGGACGAAAACCAAAAACGCCTGAAGAACAACCGACGTCAGCTTTTTCAGCTATTCTCAGTAGCTAGACATCGAAGACGATTCACGATAGATGGTCATCGCCACGTCCCGACATCCAGCCACTACATTCGTTACGCAGCTCAGACCCTCGGATGCTCGATGGGACAGCGCTGCATTTTATTGCAGTATGCGTACACGCGATGCTCCTAGTCACCTAAACGAGGAACCAGTCAACTTGATTACAATTTCGCAATCGCAGACACACGCACGACTGGCCTAAAACTCGTCAAGCAGGATTCGGAGAGGCTCTAGTGTTCCCTTTGATGTGTCATGCTGGCCATCCTCCTCAGCCTCCCGTACGGCAGCGTTCACATTGATTGCGATCGAAGTGAACACATCAGATGTGTGGCGTGTGTGATGAGAGGCAAACTCGAGAGCGTCGACTGTGCTTCTGTCTCGTGCTGTTTTCTGTGGCCAAGTCAAGCGAGCCTGGACAATGATGAGCCCGAATGCGATGCCCGCAACAGCAGGCGAGCAATCGCGCGCTATGAAGCGCCCGAGACTTTGTACTTCGTAGGATACGCAGTAGAAGATGGCCCATCCTCTATCAAAATGATTATTAGCGCGATAACTCTCACGTCGGCAGGTAACCACAGGTTACGCACGTGTATATACTCGCGCTCTCGATGAAGACAGCGATAAGTGCCTGAGGCATACCACTCACCGAGTGAGTCGGTGTGTGCAATAACTGCTACTCGAGTGCTCACCGTGATCAGTTGCGTGGCATCGGACTGAAGGCCGGCCTTGGTGAGATTACATTGCGAAGCCAGGAGCTTGCCAACGATGAGTGCTGTGGCGGACGTGATCAGCGTATGTATAGTGGCAGAGGGGTGAGCGACCGAACCTGTGCAGTAGCTATTGAGACTATCAAATGTTTTGGTCATTTGCAAAGACCACATATCTAACGCAGCTCACCACAGATGACTAGCAAACGCGGCCGAGGCCCACTTCCACTGCGCCGTTTGTAATTCACTAAAGGTGTTCCGCATGTGGCCCGTTTCATATACGGCACGTATGCCGCATACTGGCAGCAGGGGTCAGTGATCCCCCCCGACGAGCCGTGAGGTCAAGCTTCACCTGCAAAAACCACCAGAGCACATAGCGGGAAAATGACGACCGTCTTCCTGAAGGCCCAGATGATCCAGAGGCGATATGCCTTACACAATCACACAGAGTCAAAGAGATAGTGTCAGTGACGTTTCCAATCCGCTAATAAGACAACTCACGCAAACTGCATCAGTTACGAATACGCAGAGGAACAAGAGCACGGCATTCGCTATCGCAAATGGTTTATCTAGATACTCGTCGAAGTATTCTTCGGGATTTGCGCCTCCTTTGTATGTCACAAGCGCTTGAAACAGGCGCACTACGCTAATGATCCAATGCTATCGAAAGAGAAGAATTATTCAGCTGCTAGACACAATACAAACACTGAATGCTTACGGCGGTTGTCCCCACTAGCAGACAAACACCCGCCACTATAAGAGGAATCCCTCGCGCAAACGAGGGCTGTCGAGTGGCTGTTCTTCTGGCCCGGTTCCAATTATAGGTCCAGAGTAGCCATATAGATGTGGATCCTATGATGAGGAACGCGCCGTATGTTACGCTTTCGATCACTGCGCTCGCAAGCGTGGAGGGAATAACTCTTGTGGGGGCCATGAAGTTGTGCGAGATACTCAGACCCGATGACTTGAAGTGCACCGGGATCCTGGGACGCGCAGCTAGGTACTTGTGGATTCCACCGCAGCGCTCAATAGTGGGCAGAGCGTGGCTTGCATCGCATTTTGACAGATGATCATACCCAAAGCCGAGTCAGCCGCAAAGTTTCTGAACGGGCGCTTCGGAACTAAGCTCTCACCGCATTGTGTAACCTTGTTTACCTCGCGAAAGCCCGACGCAGATGTCATTGAGAATGTATAATTTGGGATCTCACTTTCAAACTGAGATGAGACGCATTCCTGAGAATCTGGGAGCGGAGCGAGACTTACATACATCGCCGCATATGCCGAGTTGAGCTTCCCTGTCCAATACCACGAAGCCTTGATGATGATCTCTCCAGCACTGTACATATGTATCGCGCACGTCACAGTCCGACACCGAAGCGTAGTCGAACTCAGACCTCGTGTTCCTGTCATGCGGTGCAGATCAGCACAGTGGTTGGCAGATAGCGATGGTCTTCGGTGTCAGAGGTATATGTACGTCCAACAGTCCAGAGCAGCCCGTCCCACGTAGTATTTACCACCGTGAGGCCCACTTGTAGTGTCCGGACGTTAAGAGAACAATGGAACCACGTAGATGGCTGTAAAGACGACCGACGAGCCGCAGTGGATGGCTTCGCCAGTGACGGGAGTGCCTGGTTCGGAGGAGTTGCAAATCTGTTATGGACGTAGCGGTGCAAGGTTTCTATCGGAGTCAGTGAAGCAGTCCACCTAATATGACACCGCCTCTGATAGCTTGAGCGTATGTAGCAACGTGTATTGCACCTGAACCATTGGGATCGCTCGAAACGCCACTGCAAACGAGGAATTTAGCAATGCTGTGCCGCCACATAGGCGGTATAACTGAGCGGGAGAAACGACTCACAAACCTCAGCCACCCCGCGCCGCTTGTTATCGCAGTAGCACCAGAAATGAATATACAGCACACACAAGTTCCAATCATCGCGTCTATGCAGATTCTTCTACGCATCCTTCTACAACCATTCAAATCACAGATTAGCCTTAGGATCGTCCGAGAAGGGGTAGTCGATGTAGCCGTGAGGCTCCTCGGGCAGATAGTACAGGTCGCGGCCGCCTTCCACGATCGGGAGGTCCTTCGCAAGGCGCAGGGGCAGGTCGGGCTACGACACAAGTTGAGTGCATGAGGCGCATGTGACAGAGAAGACCCGTACGTTGGGAATAAACAAACGACCGAACGCAATGAGGTCGCCGTATTTGTCCGCGTCCTCGAATGCCGTCTCGCGGCTATAGCCACCAGCGGAAATGTATGCACGCGGCCTCCAGATGTCCCGCAAGAAGCCGTTGCTCTGCAACCGTGTTTCAGATCCCCGGACGATGAGTATTGTATGTGAACAGACTGACCTCACCCGGCTGCACGTCACGGTCGACGTTGCCCTGAGCGCGCGGCTCCACGACATGGATGTACGCAAAGTCTGGGTGCCGCTCCGCGATCTGGGACACAAGGTAGGAGAAGGTAGGTTTGGGATCGTCCATGAGCATATCTGTCGACCGGTGCGCATTCACCACCTCGTGTTCTATGTTCTGAGTGCATGCACAAGGACGCACCTTGGAATTGGCCCCAGGGGCTCAAGCGGATGCCTGTCTTGTCGGCCCCGATCGTGCTGACGACCGCATCGATGACCTCCAACGCGAACCTGCATCGGTTCTCGACGGAACCGCCGTACTCGTCCGTGCGGTTGTTCGTCACATCCTGGGTGAACTGGTCGATGAGGTACCCGTTCGCGCCGTGTAACTCGACCCCGTCAAAGCCCGCGAGCACGGCACAACGTGCAGCGTTGCGGTACATATCAATATACTCCTTGATCTCTGTAACGGTTGATAAGCTCTAAGCAAGCAGGAAGAAAAGGGAAGGATGCCACTCACCGGGAATGGTCAAGGGCCTTGGGTTACGCTTTCGCCCGGTGAGGATCTTGTCTCCCGAACTAACGTATGGGAGGCCTTCTCTATCCAATACTGATGAAGTTGCCGCGCGGCCGAGAGCCCAGAACTGGCAGAATATGCGCGACCCCTTGTCGTGAACTTCATCGGTGACCTGATGAGATGTAATTAGTACGCCGAAGACAGTCGTTCTGCATGAGAGGCGACGTTTCTCAGTGAGAAAGTCTCCGCTCGCAACGCAGACCTCTCTGCGACTGTGTTGAATTGCGGAAGGCAATTGTCGTGGTCATACACCATTTCCTGGCTACAAATGAGCAAGACAGCGAGTCAAGTGCCCGCTGCCACCCGTCGGATACGATCAAGAGGGCTGCATATAGTCGGATATTTGGGGTTCACGAGGGGCCACCCCAACGGTCTCCATCGAAAATTACGTCGCGTCAAATGATTTCCCTGCATTGTGGAATTCCTTAATGCATCACGTACTGCAACCCGTGCATTACGCAGGCATCTGCAAATTCATGAATAGGGCGATGCCGCAGCCACCTCCATATTGCCCGTGGACAAATGCGATGTGATCGACAACATTCTACTCATCCGAAGAGGTGGGAAACACAAAGATGGGGGATAGTGGCGGACCAACGCCTGACACCGCTATTGGGAGGTTCCAATGATTGAAAGCCGCGAGACGGCGGCCTATAGCCACCTGTCGACATGAAGAATGTCCAGAAGGCCGCATACAATTCGCGACCATGATTTTGGAGAGGCCGCTCGAAGTAATAGCCCAGATATTCAGAGTCACTCACCCGCTTCCATCCGGCCACTTGCTCGTCGTTCCAAATTCCTGGGACGTTGTCGAATCCTCCTGCCTTTGCCGAGATAAATGTCGCTTCTGAGATGAGGAGGGTTCCTGGTACAGTCGCGCGCTGGCCGTAATACGTGACCGCGAGGTCGCCATGGACGTGCGCCTTGTTTGCACGGTAGCGCGTGAGGGGTGCGAGGACTACTCGGTGTCCAAGCCAGTGCTGTCCGACCTTTACAGGCTGAAAGAGCTTGGGTACGACGGCCTTGGACATGGCGCTATGGTTTCGTCAGCTTCGACGGTGGTGGCCTTAAGCTTGAGGGGGACGTAAATTTAGACAAGGTTCAGAGAGTGCATGTCTGTCAGCCTCCGTTCACACATGTGTCGATGTCACCCGCTGACCTGGACCACGGCAACGATGGCGTTACTCATGCTGCGCTGAGTAAGACAGAGTAAGACGGCACTGTGAATGCGTGAGCATGGCTATAGGTTTAAGTAGGCGACTTATCTCCGGATGAAGTCCACCCGGTACTCACGCTGCTGCAACTGGTCGCGCCGGAGCACTGGCATTGTCTACCCGTCTCTCCACGTCATAGCTGATGGTACCGATTCGGATCGAAGGCCTTGAAGGATGAGTCCAGAGAATAATAGAGAGAGCAGGAAGGAACTTTGGATGAAGCAGGATGCGAACTTGTTACTTACTTGGCACGAAATCTAGCGTTGTGACAGAAGCGTGACAGGACCGTGACAGGACCGTGACAGGACGCGTACAGACGCGTCTCGGACAAAGTGGCGTCGACAGACTCGACTCTCGAGGACAGGCGGCCAAGTTGCCCGTCTCACACCTGTCAAATCTCTCTCTGAAATAGTCTATGACTCAGGAGCATGTCGCAGAAATCTGTAAGGTCTCAGAAACGCTCTAAACCAACGACAAATCTCCGTAGCACCCTTCGCCTTGGTTCTCCAGCCCCAAGCGGCCCGCCACCAGCAAAGAAGCGGAAAACCAGAACCATCTCGTCGGTGGGTCAGACTGACTTAACCTCCTCTCGTCATGTTACAGATGATGATAACTTCAGTGTATAGGTCGCCGGGGCGCACGTCTTCGACCTAACAAGCAGTCAACCAGATTTGTCGCCGCAAGACAGACCGATAACAAAGAGCAAAGGCAAGGGTAAAGTTGTCCTTGATGGAGTGGTGAATGAGGTTTTTGCATGCGGTTCTGGTGAGTAGATCGACGCGAGGGCTAGATGCGCCTGACTATATGTTTATGGCCGCTAGATGACCGACTATGGGTCGACCGATATGAACCCATGAATGAGGTGAGTCAGAGCCACCCCCCCTTTCTCCCGAGGTATGTTACACACTTCGCCATGAGAAGCCAGACGGGGGCAAAGTCAGATAACGCTGCGTCTATGGGAACCAGCGATATCCGCAGAGAAGCCATTTGTAGATCCGGTGCGTCATTTGGATCCAGACACCTCCAGTGTCGTGATATCCTTGGTGACAGCGCTGGACATGATACTCGTGGTGGACTGAGGGTAAGGGACATCAGAGCACAGGTCGCTCGCAAGCTGGCATAGCACTTTCACATAATCAGTCATCCATCTGGTCCGTTGAGCCCCAGGGGCAGTCCGGACGGAGGGATGATGTGGTACTCATCCCCGACACTTTTCCAAGCTGTAGGGTGATATATATGTATGGACTTGCTTGCTGGTGGCCGTCGCTATCAGGATCCACTGCCCCAGTATGTCAAGTGGGACGTCTGGCGTCTGATTGCATTTGACATATTCGTATATCGGATATATGCCCCCCTTCGAGCAGTTCATTCATTCTCTGTGCACTGCGATGCATCTGGATGCATGCTGACACAGCATGTAGGACGATCTAGCTGTTAACAAGCGGAAAGTGCAGGATGTTCGCCAATGGCTAGTTGAAGCTTTCGATGGCGGTCCTTCAGGGAAACTCAAGAAATATCGTGTGCGCACTCTGTAGCCAGCTGTCACGCATATGGCCACCTGCTCACTCAGTCGGACGGCCCTCAGCGCATCCTAGCCCTCACGGGTCCGGCAGGCACGGGCAAGACTGCAACGTTGCGCGTCCTTTCACGCGAACTGGGTTTTGAGATTGTCGAATGGCGAAATAGCATGGACGAGCGCTTCACGCGCGAAGATCATGACGACCTCGAGTATGGCGACAGTGGCGAGTGGGGACCATATGAAGGGCTATCCGACAAGTTCCGCAACTTCCTCGCGCGCGCATCGAGCTGTCGGTCTGTTTTTGGGACTCAGGTTGTCCCCTTGCATTCGCAGTCACCAGCTCCTTCGCAGCTCCAGTCGCATTCAAGATCGTCCACTCTAAGCCAGAGCCAACCCCGATCATCTGCATCTGCCCCTACATCCCAGTCTTCTGCACCATCGACATCCGCTGCAAGGCCCTTTGACAAACGACAAGTCATCCTGCTGGAGGACTTGCCCAACATCCTGCACCCCGGCACGCAAGCCGCCTTCCACGCGGCTCTTGAGGCCTTCGTTTCCCTCCCCGATACGAGCACGGCACCGCTCGTGCTCATCGTCAGCGACGCAGGACTACGCGGAGAGGACACTGAGGCAGATGGTGCGGGCGCAAGTACGAGCTGGAGGCGAGCAAAAGAGGCCGTCGATATCCGAAGTGTGCTGCCGTCGCAACTATTGGGCTCGCCGTATGTCACGCAGATCGGGTAGGCTGTCCGGTCCATTCTCTGTTGCACTGTCTGACGATGGTGTGTCTGGTGATCGTAGATTCCGACCAATTGCGCCTACCTACCTCCGCCCTGCACTGCAGTCCCTCCTCAATAGATACTTTGCCGGGGGAGGAAGTCCGCCGTCCAAGGACATCTTGAACTTGGTCGTTGAGTCCGCGAATGGCGACATCCGTAGTGCCATCATGGCGCTGCAGTTCGCTTGTACTGTAGGCGGGAATACGACTACAAAGAAGAAGAAAGGCGGGGGCGCTGATGCGAAGGCAATAGTGGAGTCGGTGACGCGACGCGAGCAAAGCCTAGCGCTATTCCACTTGTTGGGCAAGCTTCTCTACAATAAGCGTGAGTGCATCACTGCATCAATGGCGAGTGAGTTATTGGACTCACGGGGTGGCCATAGGGAAGGGCGATCCGCCGAATGCGAACGCGTCTGCGAAAGAGCTTCAACGTGATCGTGACATCGATGCGAAGCTGAAGAAGGAGCCTGCTCTTCCCGCCCACCTCAAGGAACACAAGCGGCGGACATCAAGAGTTGACATCGATGTATGCGCTCAGGTTCTTATATGTCGCCTAGACAGCGCTGAATCTAACGATGGGCATGATCTGTAGACGTTATACGCTGACTCGCCGATTGACGCGTCTCTCTTGTCTCTCTACGTCCATCAGAACTATACACAGTACTGCGACGACCTCGGTCAGTGTGACTCACTGGCGGACTGGCTCAGCTGGATTGACGCAAATGGGGCTGAGAGCGTGCGTGCTCATCTCTACTGGCTTCCACTGATCTCGTGCTGACATTGCACTGTATACAGTGGCACCAAGCAAATCCGCACCGTTTTCACCTGCTCTCACTCAGCACGCTGCATTCGTTGCCCTCACCAGTGCAGCGCCGGAATCAGAAGCCATACAAGCCCGTGTTCTTCGAGAAACTTCAGCACGAGCGGGAGGCGGAGGATGGGCTGCGCGATGCGCAAGACTGGCTACTGCACGTGCGTAACGTCCAGAACCCGAACGTAGCTGGCAGTGTGAGCTGATGCGATGGCCCTGTTCGGCTACAGAACTCGGAATTGGGTGCGGGCGGATGGAGCAGACGAGACGTCGCGCTCGAAGTGGGCGGAGTGCTGAGAGCGCGCGACGTCGCTGGTAGGGCACCGCTCTCGCATCCGTTAGCGTCATTGCTCATGTTCTGGCTGTACAGGTACAAATACCGCTCCATCAACACACCGGCGCTTCTCGAGGTTGGAATTCAAGCAAGGCACTGGCAGCCCCGTACAACTGTCGGAAGAGGGCGACGGCGCTCCGGAAGACGTACCCGACGAGGACGAGGGAGAGGGATCTGCGAGCAGAGCTGCGACTGTCGAAGAGCCACCAGTGCATGGGTGGTTGGAGGACGACGATATCGAGGAATTTTAGGCCGGTGAGGTCTCTTGTAACATTATACTGCTATGCTTCATCTTGGTATGGGCCCCCATGCATCTATGCTCTTATCATCTGTATGTGGGACCACTCGTCGTTCTGCTTCAGGCTTGGCACATGTTCGAGCTTCAAGGGTCACTACCCGCGACACGCAGCTCTTCTAACCGCGACGCGACAGCATCCGTACCCTTCAACATTTGCGTATACTTCGTCTTCGTCATGCCAATAGCATCTATCCCAAACGGAAAGAAGAGCGGCATGCATATTCAGATTGGACTTTGTATTCCAATGTCATGATGAGTGAGTGTATCGTCATCAGACATGCAAAGTTACAGACTCGCATAGCTATTGACACCCCGGGCCGACAATGGCCATTGGTCGACTTAGCGTTGAAACTGCAATTCATTTCGTGAACCGGCGAACATGAAAACGTGCGCTGAAGGGGAGAACCATGTCAATACCCGGCTTCATTCGCTGTGCTCAAACCGAACGCCGGTGTGCACAGTAACTGCCAGAACCCGGGCCCGGTGCCGCGAAAATTTCGGTACTGTGAGCTGACATGCGATACAGGTTGCAAGATCTTGTGTGTCGTGTAAAGATCAACTCTTATATGCATCGGAGGCGGAGCCACGGTCAAACAGCTCCGTATAGAAGTGGGTCGGAGCGGCTACCAGGATGTACGTCGAGGGCGTTGAGATCCTGTACCGACCGAATTGCCGCACTGTCAGGTCTACCGCTCTTTTTTCCTTTTGAGATAGATGCTATTGGTATGGCGAAGACGAAGTATACGCAAATGTTGGAAGGTAGTCCAGCGCCACAGACGCGTCGCGACGCGTCAAGTGCGCACGTGGTCCGCGCCGTCGATATCGACTCGGCGCGTCGCCGCTTTCGCAGGCAGGCTCTTAGTCACTCCTCCGGATGGCGCACCCTCCTCTCACCGTATCTCTACCTCCCTCATCTACCCAGCGCGAGGCAGACGACTACCTGACGCGCTAGCACATCAATACAGCCGCGGCTGCCTTCAAATTTTGTACGACAATGCCGATTGCACCGCCGATCAACTTCCCCAAGTGGCTTGAGGAGAACGGGCACCTGCTCAAACCGCCGGTGAACAACTTCTGCTTGTACTCAGGCAAGGACCATGTGATCATGGCCGTCGGGGGCCCCAATGAGCGCAACGACTACCATGTGAATGAGACAGAGGTGCATTACCTGACCCGTTGTATGTGCGGAAGGCAGAGGACTGACGGCCGGCGTAGGAGTGGTTCTACCAGCACAAGGGCGGGATGCTCCTCCGCGTGGTGGACGACGGCGAGTTCAGAGACATCAGGATCGAAGAGGGCGAGATGTTCCTGCTCCCGGGTACGTCCTCGCCGATAAGTGCAGATAATCTTTCCGCCGACACTTGTATCCCGCAGCGAACACCCCGCATAACCCCGTGCGCTTCGCAAACACCATCGGACTCGTCGTCGAACGTGTCCGCCCAGCAGACGCGACCGGTGAGCCTCCTCCCTTCTCCGGCCCAGCGAGCGTGCGCACTGACGCGGCCGACGCAGACCGCCTGCGCTGGTACTGCAAGGCACCCGCGCACACGACGCCGACGATCATCCGCGAGGACTCGTTCTACTGCAGCGACCTCGGCACGCAGCTCAAGCCGCTCATCCAGAACTGGATGAACAACGAGGCGGTGAGGAAGTGCGCCGAGTGTGGTGCCGTCGCGGAGGCCAAGTAGATCTGCCTTCGTGGGCGAGCACAGGTGGTGTATGCGTAACGTTATCGTGGTCAAGAGTCGGAATGGGCGGTGCTACTAGTCAAGGGCGAATATGGGGTCTTGTACGTTAGCTGATGTCTACAACTGTAAAGGGGTCAAAGAACTCCGTGCTGTGCTGATATGGGGAATCACCAGGTCTCGCGTTTCGTCGCTATTGCTGATAATGATACAACCTGTGCTCGAAACCACGCCCTGACAGAATATTGTTCTAGAGCAGCGGCAGCCCGACTTGCTTGTGGCTCAGGATTTTATTTCCCAGGTATCGGTTCATTGTCGAGGCAAATTTCATGCAAGACTATGTAAAGTCTTGCATGGATAAGCTGTCTCGAAGCCTATGTACCGGTACCGGCGGTACCGTTTGTTACGCCGCGGCGCCGGTACGCAATTGCAAGCCTGGTATGTACGACGTCATGGAGTGCAGGTACCACAGAACGCTATCTGACGTCCACTGCGCCAGTCGGCCGGGCCCGCCGATCCGGCAGCCCTTGCCCGCTATGACAGGTCGACTGCCTTACACAGCACTGGACCCAGACTGGACCTGCTCCTCCGCGCCCTGACATCTCCACAAGTATGATGTAATCGCAACAACAATCTCTTATAAGGCGCTGCAGCCCGCGGGTCGTCTCACAGAATCCCCCGAATCTCTTCATTTTACCCCCCTTCCCCGACGAAACCACACACACATAACGCCATGGACAACTCGAACTGGCAGCAGTCTCAGAACGCCGACCGCTACTCCGACCAGGGCACCGGCCAGGGCAGCACGTACGACAGCATGCAGGGCGGCCAGCAACAGGGCGGCCAGCAGCCGCAACGTGGCATGGGCGGCGGACAGGGCGCGTTCGGCTCGGGCGTCGCTGGCGGATACGGCAGCAACAACTCGCAGGGCCAGCAGAACCAGCAGGGTCAGGGTCAGCAGGGCCAGGGTCAGCAGGGCGCCGAGAAGCAGGACTGGCTCGACAAGGGCATCGAGGCGCTCGGGAACAAGGTTGGCCACAATGTGGTGAGTGTTGCTAGCAAGGTCGCGTTTTGGGTGCGAGCTGATGAGGAAACTGGATGCGCAGAACGACAAGCAGGCGGACAGCGCTGGTGACTTTCTCAACAAGCAATTCAACAAGTATAGTGGTGAGTCCGAGTGTCCGTGGATTGTACAGACGCTGAGACGTCCCTCGACTGTTGTACAGGCCGCAATCTTCCTGGCGTGCAGTGAACGTACGCGCGAACATTGTAGACTTTGGTAGGACGGTAGGACGGAGGAACGGTCACGGACGAACTTGAAGTTATGCATATTATTGTACGACTAGCGATGGAAAGATTGGACAAGCGGTACTCGATCGGTCTTGCCTGCCGAAAAGCTTCGAGCGTATCTGGCTGCGACTTCTCAGGTGGATGAGAGTCATAGCTAAGTAATTGCAGAACGATAGTCACTTGCGAACGCGCGCGACACATGATGACTAAGCGCCCCGCCCTTCGGGAAGTTGGAGGAGGGCGGCGCGGACTCCATCGCACCGCTCTTCTACAGTGTTTGTCCTCTCAGGTCAGATTTCCCCGGGACTCTGTTGTCCGTACACACCTTCCATACCACGGTCACGTTACAGGTACCGCGTACTGTAGCACGTCCGTACTGTCTATGGTCTCATAATCAAAGTCCACTTGTATTGCCTCTCCTATTGCTCGCTACAACGGAAACCGGCGATCTGTCCGAACACCCACGAAAGAGTGCATTGTCTACTATGTGCTGACCTTCTTGCATCCAAAAAAGTGTCCTACCAAGTCGTCGATTCGCGTCAGGGCCGTTGCTCACGGGATCGCGTCGGGTGGCGTGGCATAGATCGTTACGTCGCAGCCGTGCAGCGTGCGCGCAATCGAGCATGAGTCGAGCGGAAGAGGCGGGTGGGGTGTGGCGCAGATGAGAGACGCGATGGGGTCAGCGCCGCCCTCCTCCAACTTCCCGAAGGGCTTAGTCATTATGTGTCGCGCGCGTTCGCAAGTGACTATCGTTCTGCAATTAGCTGCAATGAGAGAAGGACAAGACTCATACTTACGGTGGAGAGCAGTGGCCCGGGGGTAGCGCGTTAGCCAGGTGCACGTGATCGTGTTGCACCGGGTGCCCCACTTGAGACGCGCGACCTCTTTCCATCTTCTCGTTTCGCTCATCTACCCCCTTATACACGAGGTTGTGCGGCTTCTCGGTGGCCTGTTCGTGCGTCAGCTTGTATGTAAATGAGACCTACAGCGCTGAGCTCATGATCAGGGGTCAAAGGTGCGCCTACCAGTTCGTCCCCAATGCCTGAATCTCACGTTTGCTGTGACAGGGTGTCGATTGACATGCACTCGTCGTGTGGATTGGCGGCTCGCTCGGCGGGCCGACCCGCTGTCTCACTTGATTAGCAACGACAATTTAGGCGTGTGCACAAGCATAAGTATGTGGTGGAACGACTGACATAAACCTGAATGGAATGCCGGATCCCTACACGCGCCGAGGGACGAGGATATAGTAAGGACGGCAGAGTGTATGCGCCGCCGAATTATCACTCCAACACTACGCGGATAAGTACCATGGGTGGCGGGGCACAAGTGTGGGTGAGTTGTCAATGCTTGGTGTAGTCTGCGCAGCCCGAGAGTAACTCTTTTTGGTCAGCAACGGCGACTAGCGCAGCCCGTCGGTCTGGTGCGCATATAACATCGAATGTGATGCTTTCGGCCCTATTCGAGCAAGTGAGCACACATACACTCAGTGTACCACATCGCACACCGCTCTCATATTCCTCTGGCTCCTGACCATCATCTACCTTCAGGCACTTCTTCCGGCCTAGGAAGATGTCTAGTCACGTCCATGCTTAACCGTGGCAGTTTGGGGCCGCGTCGACGTATTGGTGAATAATTCCGGACGTGACTCATATGCCTTCGCCGGAAGGAGGAGGGTACGTCTGCTGCTGGAAATATGAGTATGAGGTCGCATTGCTGACGAGTCTCGATACCAGAGTGGAGTTCATGCACGAGACCAACGTGTTCGGGACGGTGAAGATCACCAACGCTATGCCGCCACATATGCGCGGACGGAAGTCGGGGCTCATCGTGTTTCTAGGGCAGGGCGGTACGGCAAGCCAGCATCCCCGTGCATCTCGGCGATCCCGCGTGCATGCCATACAACTCACTCACATACGGCTCACATCATCGTAAATCTCTAGACTAAGGCAGCCGTACAGGGTGCGTCGCCGGCCACATCTACTCCGCGGATGCACCGGTGAACACCGGTTGCGTCCAGCAATCAGCCAAGTCATCGTCTTCCTTGCAGTCCCGGGCGGGTTCCTCACCAGCCAGCTGGACACGCCGTATACCATGACGCACCACGTCGCTGACTACGGCGGGTACCACGCGCACACACTCAAGGCCACGGCCGAGCGTTGAAAGCAAGCACACCTCGCGAACGCGATCAAGGGCGAGGGCCGGGCGGAGGGGATGCCCACGCCGGACTGGCTGCTGCTGGGCAAGCCGACGTTCGCGCAGGCCACGCAGCTGAGCGGGAAGCTGGAAGAGAGTGTGAACACGTGGGAGGGGGTGTCGTCGAGGGACCTGGACTTCGATGATGATGTAGAGTCGCAATGTTTGGGACAGGAATAGGAAGGTCGGTTCGGGAGGACTGACGCCTTCGAGGTAGAGGTGTTGAGCGCGGGCGGGCGGCTATCAGGGCATGGCTCGGCGGCCTGGGGGCTTCGTAGAGTCCGATTGTCTCTTGCAGCTTACCTTCATCTTGCCTGCGGAGGGTCTGAGTCGTTTCTTCATCGCAAGTTGGGATATGTGAGTGTATGTTACTCTGGTCGTCTAGGACGCAACTGTATTGACAACAATCGTTTTCCTGAAGCCGCGCAGCAGTACTAGTTCCGCCGATACATAGGATTTCGCGTACCGCGGATCCTGACTCAGTGAACCGTTAAGTTTCACACTCGGTACAGTAAGTGTGGTCGCATATGCAGCGCGCGCTACGGTGCGCCGCTTCACGCATCCTCGCGTTACTGTTACGTGCAAGACCTCTTCTGGTTCTCGACTGACATGTTTCTTGCCCAGGAGTATCGCCTCGCTGCGCAGTATGACCGCCGAGCAGAGGGTTTGGCTCATCACCGGTGAGTGATCTTCGTGTCACGATGGCGGATCGCCCGATCCATGTGCGTCTGTTGACCTGACTATCGGCGGCCTTTTGCAGGAACATCTTCGGGACTGGGAAAATGCCTGGTAGCGTCTGCTTTAGGTCGAGGAGACCTTGTCATCGCTACAGTGCGGCGCCGGGAAGACTTCTCGCTTACTGATGTCGATACGTCTCGCCTCCACGTTCTGGTCCTGGATGTGACAGAACCCGAGGACGACGTTCGTCGCAAGCTGGACGACGCATGGAACGTCTGGGGGCGTATCGACGTGCTCGTGAACAACGCGGGATACGTTTCGCAGTGCTTGGTCGAGGAAGGAGGGTGCGTGGCATCTTTCTGCGTACGTGTCGTACGAGGAACTGACAAGTCGTGGACGTAAGATTATCTGCGGCCACGGCACAGTTCAATGTGAACTTTTTTGGCGTGCTGAAGGTCACGAATGCTGTTCTACCGCACATGCGATCGCGCAAATCCGGCTTGATCGTCTTCATTGGAAGCAGAGCAGTTTGGCAGGCGGATATATCTGTGAGTACCTCCGCAGCACGATGGGCCTTCTTCTGATACGTCTAGCGTCTAGACTGCCGCGTTCTACATCGCGTCCAAGGCTGCTATACACAGTAGGTGCTAGTGATGTCTGAGCAAGCTACTGTGAGCTCACTTCCGTCGCTTCTCAGCATTCAGCGAGACTCTCGCGTCCGAAGTCGGTCAGTTCGGGATCCGCGTGCTTCTCGCCGTCCCTGGCAGCTTCCGCACGTCCCAGGACAAGCAGACATACACCCAGAACACCCATGTCGTGGAGTACGACGGGTTCCGCGAGCAAATCTTGACGTCCATGGAGGAATACTGGAGACACGGGGCTAAAGGCGACCCAAAGAAGGCCATGGAGGCTCTGATGGACGTCGTGCGGAGCGAGGGGAACGCGGAGGGCCGGGAGGTCCCGCCTCTGCTTCCCCTGGGGAGTGCGACCTATACGCAGGCAAAACTACACTGCGAGAGGCTCTCGGACAACGTGTCAAAGTGGGAAGCCATTGGCAAGGACCTGGACTGCGATTGAGCAAGCTCGAATACTAAAGCAGTCTCGGCATAGACGATGGCACGACTTTCACCTGACTGCGTTTGCCGACTTGAAGGTACTCCAGTGTATACTCTACTGTTATTGGACCTTTCAAGGCGATGAAGTGGGTTGTGGCCGTTCCTCGACGAATCTGATACGCCGTTGAAGTTGTGCAATTGCTAACATAGTAGAAAGTGCCTTCAAGAGCAAATGCACGAGCAAAACGCGTGTCTAATGGGCACGTCAAATGAGAGTCAGTCTGACCATTGCCCCGCCGGAGCGTGATGCCCTGTGGTGTCCGGGCCCGCAGGGCGTAACACCACTGCGCGTTTGAGCACTCGTAAGCTCGTCGGTCGGATCGGGCAATTCACGTCTTGCTACTGTCTACGGAACGTACATACCGGCGTATACGACTACGGCATATGCTAAAGCGGCCGTAACGTTGCCATCACGGAAAGCGAGGTGGAACGAAAGGCACATCCAGATGGTCGCCCAGCCGCAGCCATGTTAAGGACGCCCTCTAAGGGCCGGCACCTACAAGATATAGGCAGGAGGTCCGTCCAATCTGTTGTGAAAGGCGACGCAGTCAAGGCGAGCCGCGATGTAAGGCATAAGGCGAGCTGCAATATAAGGCGAAAGGCGAGCTGCGATGCGAAAGGCGAGCCGTGATGTAAGGCGAACTTAGGCTAGCCGCGATAGGCGACTCGGCGCCGGCCGCTGGCCCTCTGAAGGCTAGGCGACTGGTGCCTATTAACTCTGAGAACATGTTAGTGTCTGAGACTCTGAGTTTCAGAGAGCAGGGCGGCGGCCAAAGAGTCCACCGGCGCAACTGGAGCCTGAGCGTTTGAGCGATCATACAAGCCGGCCCGGGTTGAATGAGCGAAGAGGCGGCCCGCGCCGCGGTTGCTGAATGACAAGCGGCGATCGCTGTACTGTCAGACCTCTCAACTCTGTGACCCCGGTAGCACACCTGAATGGTGCTCCAACTTGCTAGCAGTATCGCAGAATGCCAACCTGGCAAGGTCTGAGTCTAGTGGAGGGAGATGGAGACCGATGAGGTATGGCTGCTCAAGTCCTGCCTTGAACATTCAGGGCAGAACTTGAGCGGCACAGCTCATCAAACCCCTTCTACGGTCAGCCAGCTTTGGCTTGCAGCTACAAGGCACCTATCATCACAGTGCTTGGCATGTAAAGAAACTGCAGGAGAACACATGTTGCTGCGCCTTCGCGGAATTTCCTAAAATGGAAGGTGGTTCCATCAGATTCCCACAGTCAGACAGTGAAGCCGGCGGAGAATGCCAGAGAAGTTGGAGAGTACACAATATAGTAAGTCCCTGCCTCAATCCTAATCCGTGCAACGCTGTCGCCCTCCCCCCGCGTCCACCGCCACTCCCGCGTTTGGTAGGTTGCCGGTGGCACGGGTGGTGTGAGTCCGGTGGCTGACACACGGCTGTGCTACGCTGGTGACTCTGGCAATGTCGAGCCACGACGTCGACTCGCGAGCGATGATGTTCGTGTTCATGAGTATGTAGGAACTGCACAGCCGTCAGACGCTCAGTCGTGGGTAACACTCGACTAAATTAGGGTTACCTGCACAGCCGTCAGACGCTATGCAGGACGTGAGTAACTATCGTAAGTATGGAACGCGGAACTCTCACCTCAGTCGTGGGTAACACTCGACTGAGGAGAGAAGAGAGGGGAAGGGGACGAGAGGACGAACCACCCCCGGCGGTCTGTCACGTGCGGTGTGGCCGAGATCGAGATCACGTGCCGCAACCTCAACACTCCTCCTCGGCGCGGAGTCGACGAGATCTCGGCCAGGAAGAGAACATATCGTACGTATAGTAGGTGTCGCGTGTGAGTGGGTTTTCGCTTGTATGTGTGGGTCGTATGTATCGTAGTCCGTCATAGAGTATCGTAAGGGAATGTCAATGCAGACGAGAGAATGAATGAAAAGGAATGTGAGCGTGAAAGAATGAAGAAAGTGTCATGGTCGAAGAACTCCTCCTCACCGTCGACAAACTCCTCCTCACCGCACAAGCTCCTCCTCGGATGGAGGACGAAGGCCCATCCGCGCGCGAAGCGTCAGGAAAGGCTTTCGCTCGAGCGGTTTGGTAAAGGCGTCGGCGACGTTCAGATGACCGGGGACGTGCTGCAGCGCGACTCGCTTGGCGGCGACGACTTCACGTAGATAATGCCATTTAATGTCGATGTGCTTTACGCGGGCATGGAAGGTGGAATCGGTGGAGAGGGACATCGCGCTGGTGCTGTCGACGCGCATTAGGGAGGCGACTGGTTGGGGAAAACCGATACCGTCGAGCAGGAAGCGTAGCCAGATGGCCTCCTTGGATGACTCGGCGGCGGCGATGTATTCGGCTTCTGTCGTCGACGTCGAGACGGTTGGCTGCTTGCGCGCAGCCCATGATACGATGCCGGAGCCCAGATTCCAGCAGTAGCCCCCGACCGAGCGTCGTGTGTCGTAACAGCCGGCGTGACTGGCGTCCGCGAAGCCGTTCAGGTTTGCGGCGTCGGGGCCACCGAGCTCGAGGCGGAATGCCCGAGTGCCCTTCAGGTATCGCACGACGCGTTTCGCGGCATCCCAATGGATCAGCGAGTAGCAATCGAGGAATTGGCTTAGCTGTTGGACCGCCAGTGCGATGTCCGGCCGGGTGCCGATGGCAAGGTACATGAGGCAGCCTACCAGTGATCGATAGGGCAGTCGCGCGGCGCGGTCCTTCTCGTCCTGAGTCTTGGGACAGTGCTGCGTGCGGGATAGGCGAAGACCGGCGTCCATGGGAGTGGAAATAGGGGCGCAGTCCATGCCGTCGAGGCGGAACTCGGCGATGATCTTGTCAATGAGCGCGGTCTGGGATAGAGCGACGGTTCGTTTGGCACGATCGCGGTCAATTTGGATGCCGATGCAGAACCGTGCATCGCCAAGCTCCGCGATAGCCCATTTGCGACGCAGTTCGGCCTTGAACTCCTCCTTGGCGACAGCCGTGCTGGAAGTGAGCAGGAAATCGTCGACGTGCACCCCAGTGAGGACGATGCCGCGCGCGTTCTTACGGTAGTATATGCAATGCTCGCAGGAGAGCCGAGTGAAGCCAAGGCTCAGCATGTACTCGTTGAGCGTGTCGTTCCACGTTCGACCGCCCTGCTTCGTACCGTAGATGCCACGCACCAGTTCCCAGATCCAGGACTCCTTGCCCGGCTCCTCGAACCCTTTGGGTTGCTCCATGTAAAGGTGCTCGTCCTCGGGCAAGATGCCATGGAGGAACGCCGTCTTGACATCGAGCTGTTCGATCTCCCAGCCCAGGGAGGCAGCGATGTGCAAAAGGACCCGGAAGGACTCCATCCGCATCGTCGGGGAGGAGGTACGATTGTAATCCAGGCCGTACACCTGCTGGAAGCCCTTCGCACACCAGCGAGACTTGAACCTCACAGGCTCACCCTTCTCGTTGCGCTTCAGCCGAAAAACGGGCTTGCCCTTGAGAATGCGACGCCCGGCAGGGACCTGAGACCGCGGGATGAGCTTGTAGACGCCAAGGTCTTTTATAGACTTGAGCTCGTCAGAGAGGGAAGCGGACCACTCAGCCTTGAATGGACCGGACATAGCTTCCTCCAGCGTGGCAGGGTCGCCGGGATACTCGACGTCCATGGGAATGGCGTCGGATGCGGCGAGGGCCTCGAGCTGCGCGAGGATGTCCGGCTCGTCGACCGGAGGCGGTTGGTCCACGACGAAGTCCGGGGGCACCCGGGGCTCAGCGGGGGCATGCACCGCGGCGACGTCGGGCGCGTCGGGAGCCACCGACACACGCGACGGCTCTGGGACAGCTGAGCCCGAAGGAGGGCGCGGGGCGGGAGCGCGAATGGCGTCGAGAGTGCGCTGTAGTCGGGTGACGTGAGGCAGGCCATCAGCCTCGGCACGGCGCAGAGATGGGATGGGGATGCGCGAGGAGCGCCGAGGCTCGACGGCGGGCGGGGCGGGCGCAAGTCGCGCAGCCGCATCGGGCGCGTGAGCAGCGGGAGGCAGGTCGTCGGGCATGACGGCCGGCATTGGGTCGTCCGCAGCAACGGCGTCGGAGGCAGACGTGACACCTGGAACCACAGGGTCATCGTCGGGCACGACAGCCGGAGCGGGAGGGACACACGGGGCCGGTATGGCATCAGAGGATTCGTGCGACTCGATGAAGGCGACGTGGAACGAGCTGACTACCTTGTGGGAGGCGCGATGATAACACCGGTAGGTCTTCGAGTTCAGACCATAGCCGATGAGCACGCACTCGACAGATCTCTCGTAGATCTTCGGGTTATGCTTGTTCTGAATCAGCACGAAAGCCCGGCAGCCGACTTCGCGAAGGTGGGAGAGGTCCGGCTTTCGACCGTGCCAAGCTTCATACGGAGTGACACCTGGAGGGAGAGAGCGCGAGGGCGTGCGGACGGTAAGGTAGTTCGCAGTGAGCAGGAACTCGTCCCAACGATTTGCGGGAACATTGGCGGCGAGACGCATCGCACGGGCTCGATCCATGAGAGTGCGGTGCAGACGTTCGACACGCCCGTTGTGCGCCGACGTGTACGCGGCGGTGAGACGTAGAGATATGCCGCGACGGGCGAGGAACGCTTTGAAGTCATTAGAGAGCAGCTCGCCGTTGTCGATCTGCACGGCGCGGATCTTCTCCCCAGATTCGGTTTCGACAGCATTGGCCCACGCCTCGAAACGGGGTTCGGCAGCGTCCTTAGACGGAATGGGGATCGTCCAGGAAAACGACGTGTGATCGTCAATTATGTCTAGGGAATACACATTTCCGTTCGCGGACCGAGAATCCATCTGCCCTTGCAGGTCAACGTACACCAGCCCCAACTTCCGCGTAGCCTTCTCCCCCTCCCGCACCTTTGGAACAACTGATCTCGTCTGCTTGCCGAGAATACAGTGTTCACATTTGTTCGGTGCAGGGGAAAGGGTGATGGGCATACCTTTCGCGGAGCGGAGACGGGCCATGTCGTAGATTGACCGATGGTTGACGTGACCCAGGCGACGATGCCAGGTGTCGAGAGTGGGCAGGCGAGCGGACAGCAGAGCGTGTTCGGTCGACGGCGGAATCCCGTTCAGCGAGTACAGGCGACGTCCCGTGAGAGTGCCGGATGCGACAACGGCGCCACCGCGAGTCAGGATGGACACACCTTCGTCGTCAAACAAGACCCTGTAACGGGCAACAGAGCGACA